TCGACGTGGTAGTATCTGGAATAATCATCGACCATGATCATGAAGTACTTGGCTCCTCCGATAGCCTCATCAAAAGGCCCAGCAAGATCGAAGGTGATCAGCTGTAGTGGTTCTGTTGACCGTGATGAGCTGTCCGGGAATCGAGCTCTTGTCATCTTTCCCAGAATGCAGCTCTCACACTGGTGTGGTACTGTCATCTGGTTAAACCCATCTACAGAATCCTTCAGATTCCGTATCGAGTTCCCACCCAGATGTCCCAGCCGTTGATGCCAGATATCCCCCAGTCCCGAGATCGATGCCGTGTTGGCTGAATCCATCTTAGGTAATGCCGGAGACTTTGCATTGACCTCGTACAGGTTGGTATTCAACATCTTGCCGATCAAGGTCATCTTGTTGTTCTTCCTCAAGATCGCCTTGCCTTCCGTGAACATGATGTCCGATCCGGCTTTGTCCAGCTGTGAGATCGAGATCAGGTTCGAACTGAGTTTGGGAACATACAGGCAGTTTGCAAGATGTAGCTCTGCCTTCTTTCCTCCAACCTCGATGGTCAAGAAGATGTCGCCCATCCCCTCAGCATAGATCACCTGTCCGTTTCCAACCATGACAGGTGCAGTCATTCTCTGATAGTTCGGGGATAGGTCAAAGAACCTCTTCATCCCGAACATGTGTCTTGAACAACCTGAATCGATCAGGGTTGTCATCTTCCTAGTCGCAAGTGAGTAAGCCTTCTCAGTGATGTTCAAGGCTTGATCGGGCTGACGCCGATAGAGGGTCATGGATTGCATAGCGGCATCAAAAGAAGATACAGCGGCAGCGGCCCTTTCGCCACCTCTAAATCCCGGTCCCGATCCTCCTCCTCCGTGCCTCTGCCTGTAGGCAACCATGTCCGGGTGAGGGCAGGTGGGAGCCCGATGTCCCGCCTTGCCACAGGAGTGGCACCCATTGGGTTCGGCTTGGGAGCACTCCCTGGCAATATGCCCCCTCTGCCCGCAACACCTGCAGATCCTGGTGTCGGTCCCGATCCCGGTCCCGGTCCCGGTCCCGGTCCCAAAGGTCCGCCTCCCAACACCACCGGTCCCGAATCCAACTCCGGTGGTCCCAATCTTGGCATAACCAAACTTGGCTGCCATTGCCTGGAAGGCTTTCTCCTCATCCTTCTCGGCAATCTCCTTGTTGGCAATGTCACGGTAGGCGGCCAGGATCATCCTCTCGACCGACTCCTTCTTGACATCGACCCCCATGGTGATGTTCGACTGAAGGAACTCTCCAGCCTTGAAGTAAGGGTGTCCCTCCGGGTAGGATCGGAGACATTTAGACCATTGGGCCATGATCTCCACATCCTCCCGTTGTAGCCCGTTGGCCTCCAGACCCTCAACCACTGTATCCAACCTTGCCATGTACCCCTCAAAGTCGTCTCCAATGGGCCGGAGGTTGGCGAACTCGTCGATCAGGATCTGGACATCGAACGAGGTGGTCTTGGAGTGGATCTCCTTGATCTTGTACATGGCCTTGGCCGGGTGATCAATCCCCTGGATCGATCGCTTGTTGACCCCAAGCGAAGGCCGGATGTAACCCAGAGCCTGGGCACATTTGAGGTCGTAGTCTTCAGCGGCCTCTGTCATCTTCTCGGTGATGTCCCCCTTTTCTGGAAGAACCGGTCTCTGCTTGACCGGCTCACCCTTGGCATCATACTTCACATAAGGAAGCAGGCGTTTGATGGCCAAGAGGTCTCGAATGGACTCCAGCCATTCGACATAGTTGACCCCGGCTCGGGCAAGGACAATGACCTTGGGTCCTTTGGTGGTGATCTCATCGTCGGACATGATGGTGAAGGACAGCGAGGTAATGGAGATGGTCGGTTTACTAATGTCTAGGGAAGGGGTGGTCTTCCTGTTATCCGGTGTAGCAGAAGATGTCTATCTGACTTGTCTATCTCAAGTTCTAGGTCGATCTGTTGACGTGGCTGATTAGAAGTTGACACGTAGAGAAGACGGGTCAACAGCTGGGCTCATAACCTGTTAGAACTCAAGATATTGCTTTATCAATGGCATGTGCTATTAACCAATACAAAGGTACTGACCTGTTAGAACTCAAGATATTGCTTGAGATCTAACAGTCAAGTGATGTATATTGATGATCTAGTTGTCCGAGATTTTCATCACCGGGGTGAGGTCCCAACTTAGGTGATGCTGACTAAGCACCACCCAAGTCTCCCAAGGTGATGCTGACTAAGCATCACCCACCTGTAATCCTGAAGAGTAATCCCAGTAATCATCACGCGCGCGCGCTTACTTTCTACAAAAATCACGACCATCGATCGGAATCGAGGCAAATCCTTTAAAATGTATAGATGTATTTACGTCGACATGAAGAACGACGTCAGATCCCAACCGATCCGCATAAAATATCGTATACATGACGGAAAACATCTTATATCGCCCTGATCTGACCGCGCTTGTTTTCCCGGTCTGGCGGTCATGTATCGCCTGTCATCGATCCGCCACCCTTCTCCGCTTGTATATTGTCGCTTGACTCGCTTCCGTATCGCCGCTCGACTCGCTTCTATATCGGGTTAGTATCCCATTCGCTATTGGTACAGAGGTACTTTTTGTGACATGTTGTCTGCGATCTTGACAACATGTCGTCAGTGTATCAGACTTGCCATCGACGTTTGACTTGCCGAACGTACCCTTTCCGGACCTGAAGTGTATGATGATTCGGGCTAATCGACCAGTTCAACAGAACCACCTCCTTTCTCCTTCTCCTTCAGGTAAGCGACTGATCGCCTGATGTCGTCCATCCATTCAATTCCAGGAGCCTCATCCGACACAGATGTGGACGTATTGCTGTCCATATCGTCATCATCGTCCTCTGCAACAGGCACGATGACATTGATCCATGTCTTGGAGGTCGTGTGCGCTTGTATGAATCCGATGATCGACTCGGCATCAGAATCCGCCTCGAGATCAGGCATATAAATAGTGAGGGAATCGAGCTGCCCTTCCTGCCTCTTCGACACATCGCGCTCCCGGCCAAGGGAGCGGACATCTGGAGGTCCGTCACAGTGCAAATCTACTTTTTGGCAACGACGCAGGAACGGCAGCCAGTTCAATTTTCCCCATCCGATTTCGACGAACTTCAAATTGTGGGCGCCTGAACCGAACCAGTTTGTCAAGGATGATGAGTTCTGGAGATTGCCATGATAAAGAGAGTCAATGTCCAGATTGAGTCGTTCGATCTCAGGACACAGAGTGAGGATAAACGATAGACTCTTGTGCGACAGACTGCCTTCCACGTTCAAACGTCGAAGTTTATGTAGGCGGGTGCGATGCGTCGCGTCCTTGCGAAGCTGTTCCGCTTCAATTAGGAGGGGAGACAAGCATCGATTGTTATCACACTGGAGCCATAGCTCGTCCAGGTACGAAGAACCTCCAAGGCAAAGTGTCGACTCTTGCCAATTCAACCGTTGTAGATCCTCTATGACCACGGTAGCAGAAATCGATCTGTCGCCCAAATCGTGTATCTCGCGAAACTTCGCATAACCCCAGCTTTCCTGTCCGAATAGGCCTCTTATAGTGCTGGGACAGCACTCGATATTGATGTCCACGAGATTTGGAATTTTGGCGCAACCGGAGAGTTGCCATACACTCGCGTGACTATGAGGATCGGCATTCAAATGCACGTGGTCTGTCTGGGTATGGACATGGCCTCTCTCGTTTGCGACGAGCAGCTCGAGTGGTTCGTAATCTTCCCAAACAAGCGAGTCCTCTTTCACGCGCAAGTAACGAATGGCGCTCAGATAAAGTTCAAAACGCTCCTGTAACGAACCATTAATAATGACTGCAATGTCCATGACAGGCGAGGTTCCGCACTTACAGATGGGGTTTGTTCCTTAAAAAGCATGTTGACCTCCCCAAGCGGCACTTTGTTCCACAATAGTCGCACCGCAGTGCGGAACCCTGCCTTCGAGGTGAGCGCGCAAACAATCAAGTCATCACGATCGCAAGCCCTGAAGATCTCTGATCTGATCAGATCGTTACTGAAGACGAGGGAGGCTGCAGAATCGTTCTCTTCCATCGTTTCTAGTTGCCGGCGTTGAGATTGATAGCCTGTCGAAGCGATCAAGGGTGCAGGTGATCAGCTTCGAAGGCTAGACCTGCCTAGACCGCGGTCTTTAAGTTTGAAAACGGCTGACCTGAGTACTTGAGCGGCTGGGTAGTGGATATTTCTCCCTGAAAGGCGGAGGAGACAAATAACTCGTAAAATTACTATCTATCGTATTGAAGAAGCCAGTAACTTTGACTCCTTGCCAGGGTCGGCAAATCTATATATACTGCACGATCCAGAGGCGTTATGCCGAGCCTCGAGAAGCCGTGCGCCGATCGTCCTTTGCGCCTTTTGTCTGTTCAAATGTGAACCCGGTGCATTCCGACGATCTCTGGTACACGTGGTGATTCGGGTCGTACGATACATCCGACGATTGTTCATCAGATAGTGCGCCATAGAATGGCTCGCAGACCTCCATATCCTAGTTTCTCTTTTGACCAAAGCTTCCCCGTAGGCGATCAGCCCGTACCACCCGATATTTTCAGGAAGCATGAATAGCTGATCTGTATTTACCTGTGCTTCATACGGGACCCTGATCGTTTCGAAAAGGCTCAAGCATTCAGCATGATCGAGACCTCGGATGACGACTGTAATAAAATGGCTATCACACGATCTGGTAGAGAGGACGCGCCAATGGAAGCCATCAGTTTCATATCAAGCAGCAGGCCAGGGGCACACAGTGAGGGTCGCACCTAGATGGGACACGTTTGTTGGTGATTTGCTAGGGCGCGTGTTCCATCTAGGCGCGACCCTACCTGTATTTAGCTGGACATCTACGCTACTCCGCCTTCAATCGAACTGCCCGTTGCAAGCCACATAATTTACCGCAATTACTACAGAGCAATATCGATTTCCAATTTGCAGTAGCTTCCGACCTTTGTTTGTGTCCGGTTTCACGTCTCGTCCTCCTCTTCGGTATCGGCCTGTCGTCAAGAGTCAGATTCCGGTGAGGGAGGCGCTAGCTCTGTTCAGATTTCAATCTTGTAGACTCACATCATGGTCGCAGGATATGGAGTCCGGCTTCAATAACACGGATCGGCTGGGGACGACAGATCTCGTTGCAGCAACTTCGCTCCTCAGTTCGTCGAGCCAAATGGTATGACGACTGAGCTTGTATTCATGGTGATACGGCGTAATTTCAACTCGAGTCCACCTTGCAGTATTTTCGACGATGAACTGGGCTATCTTCTTCATCTCTTCGCTCATAATGTCCTGATTGAGGCCTAACGCCAAGCACTGTGTTCGAATGGTCTTCGCATTCGCGGTATCGCTAGCCGCAAGGCGGCATCGGCGTTTTTCCCCGTGTGTCGCGAAGTCGGAGATATCGTACAATCTCTGGTTGACACAGTCGTGGAAGTATGGTATCCATCTGAGTTTACACCCCCCGATCAAGACGTTGTCCAGCTTCATCTTCCCTTCCGCCAGCAATTTCTCGAGTCTTTGTAAATGGCTGTTTTTGCTCGTATCAGAGCTTGCGCGCATAACGATGCCAATCGACCGAAGGTTCTTGGCCACATTCAATATGGTTAAAAGCTCCCTGTACGAGCAGGACCGCAGACCTAGGTCCAGCTGTTCTAGCCTTTCGAAACACGCGCTCTGCCCAACGGGTAGGGCCCTCGCTTCGACGAAAGCTTCAATCATATCCGAAGAAAGAATGATCGACTCTTCCACCTCGAAGAAATTTTCGAAATCCCAAGCTCTCGGGCCAAATGATTTGGATCCATCAACAGTGATCATGGGGACCTCCCAGTCCGATGAATGGTCCCTACTGGGTGCGAATGAGATCGTCAAGGATCTGTCCTCCATGTGGTGGACTTCCTCCACTTCCATTCGGTTGTAGAGCCACGCACAATCCCGATCGTCTGTGTCTAGACAGTGAAGTCGAATAAAGTTCAGATGAGGGAACTGTCTGATGAAATCTTCGGCCTGAATGCGCCATCTGCCTGAGGCGTCTGTTGTGACATGAGTTTCGTCGATCTCTAGCTGCTTGATTGCCTTTATGTAACCGGTCAGGCGGTCCTTTGAGTTGCAGGATAATCAGCGAGTCGTTGGAATGATACTCATATTATCAGTACTCACAGGATCGGGGTAACAGGTATACAACTTAAGAACATCATCTAGGTGCGCCTTCCGCCACAAAACTTTCCGAATTACTTGAAAGCCACCCTTCGAAAGGAGAAGGCAACTGAGCAGATCCTTATGTTCACTCCACCATCACCGGCTACGAAGAAATATATCTCCTGCATAATCAGGCTGTTATGATATACTAATGTAGCAGCCGGAGGCGAAGCTGCAATCCACGCATCCATTTCCATGACTGGGAAAACGATGTTGCGCCATCGATCTAATCAGCAATACAGTAATAAGGCGATACAGTCCAAAATGTGGACTGACTGGGTTGAGACGTCCAGTGAAAAGGCTAAGTAGTGGACTGTTTTGCCTAGACTTCGGTCGAACACGTAGAACTGAATTTTCAGGGAGGACCGAAAGTTGCGGACGATTCTAACAGGTCATGGAGGGTCAGCTTGTTTCGTCGCTTAGTTAGTCGGTTACGTGCTCACCGTTCTGGTCAACCTTTGATTTGACGCTCTAACAAGATCTAAGAAGAGAACGAATCTCGTTGTCGCCTGGATTTGACATCAACCGCGCACTTATATTATATCAGTTACTCCGTCGAGAAGCATGAGAGGCAGGTCATGTAACATACTCATAGAAACTTCGAGACACCAGTTCAGCGATGATCTGCGGATCTTCGAACCTTTTGTTCGCGGGGATCCTTTGGAAAGATCGTACGACGACTTTTGCGTTCCGAACAAGGCAAATTCCTTCGAGATCGATTGCATGACATGCTAGACGAAGACCTTGAAATCGAGCTGAATCTTTCATCTATCGACGCAATACAGACAGACCATCGTTGCGCCACAGAGATCTAGACATATCCTTTCGATTACAATTCGGTAGCAACATAACGACTCTGCATGCTCATCTGTTGATGTATATACTGTTGGCGAAACCATTGATGTTCTCTAGGCCCGTGATATTGCGACCCTCGAAAGGGTACAAAGCTGAATCCTCCCCGTTCGCTGGTAACGGTAGAAGATTTGCGCTCATGATGCGGGAAGCCCATCTACGAAACAGAAATGGTGCGACACTTCAGCGCCTTCCACCAGATTGGGTTGGATCTTAGCCGTCGAATCGAGCGACTCACAATCCGAAGATCACGGGTTCGAAGAGATGTTTCGCTTCGTTTCCTGCGCTTTCCTCAAAACCTCCTCGCGCACCATAATCTTCTCGGTCCACCCTGCCGTGGAGTCATGCGGTATCCCGTTGCCGTATACCGAAATCTCGGTCGAATCGTTGGTTTGGCGTTTAATGAAGTCGATGAGAGTTTTGGGTTCGACAAGAGGTGTGATGGATCGCAGGTCCAGATGGAGACTCTTCAACTTTGAAGGTTCCCCCGCCCGATCATCTAGGGGATCATATACTTCCCACGGAAGAAGTTTGCTCACTGGCCCGAAGCACGTCAAATGAACGGTGTCGCATTGACGAAAGTGGACAAGCCATTCGATGCCTGCGCCAGAGATATTCACGTGTTTCAGGTTCGAAGTAGACGTTCTGAGGGTTTCGAGAAGACCACCGGCAGCTATAGCTTCGCCTTTGCCGTCTTTCTGAAGCTCAACCCGGAGTGTTTCTAGCTCTCTGAAAAAGTCTAGAACGGTGACAAGGCCTTCGCAGCTGATCGCCGTTTCGATGGTGAGACTCTTGACCCGGTCGATGCGCCCCCAATCCTCCCCTTCTTCTAACCATGACTCCGCTCGAAACGCCAGTTCGTTTGCGATGAAGTCCACAACATCTACGGTGCGATGTTCACTTGCGTTCGTGTTCTTCATGAATCGGATCGAATCCAATCGAGAAAAGGCAGCTTCGATCTCGATGGAAGAGTTATGCCAATCCAAATTGCCCTGCTCGGATATCAATTGCTCGATCTTTATGGAGCGATCGTAGAGTTCGTGTGTTTCTTCAAGGACGAGACAGATGCGTCGATCTGGTGGACCATGATGATCCTCAATATCGGACGGGCAGCAGTCCAATCTCAGTCGATACAGGTTGGGTAACTGTTGTAATCCCGAGATTTTGAATGCGTCAGAGAACCGATGCTGTTCGATGCGGAGCGGACCGGATTGTTCTTGTCGATCGAGGAGTAAATCGAAATAATCGCCTGACTGCGTTTCCGAAAGAGTAAAACTGCCTTTGACGACCGTTATTGTCTCGATCTTTTTCAGATAGAGAGACAGTCGAAGCTAAGAGAAGGACGTATGCTAAGTCTCGCAGCAAGTACAGCTCGAATGCGACCCTTTCCACTCACAGGATCGCAACCAGCGATGTATAGGTTATTCACCTGTCCTAACGTCTTGTGCTTCCATAGGTGCTCGACTGCCGTGAAGAACCCCGCTTTGCATGTACGGGCGCAGCGCTCGAGATCCTCTGTGTCGAGATATTTGTAAATCTCGGAACGAATGAGTTCGACGTGATGTATCAAATAGGCGGCGGAATTTTCGACGTCCATGATAGCGAGCGAGAGTATCCTGACGATCTCGTTGTTGGTTTTGCTATCGAGGTCATGTTCGTATCTCTCGTAAGCGTTGCCAACGGGAGGTCGGAACCTGATTAAAATCGGAAGAACTCACATCACGAGCGTCTTGTTTCAGACTCCAGTCGACTGGCAAGTGGGCAGGGTGTCGGTGAGTCTGAAACAGTAGATGTATCGTGACATGAGAGGGCGATGTTGACTGTGACAAGATATAAGATCATGCAAGTCGAAGCGTCGAGGCAGATACGAGCTATGACCGATTCGCAGAAGGCAGAAGGTCAATCTTGTGAATTGAATTTCATGACTATCCTTTGATTCTTTTGTTCGGTCAATTCAGTCTGTGACGTCATGACCCCCAACTTTGCACGTCGTTGTTCTCCATCAATTCGCAGCATCCATTCCAGACATCACTGGCCAAAAGATATACGTTGTATATGAACATGATTTGACGTACGGAGAAGCCCCTTTGTACAGATCCACACCAAAACTCAAATAAATTGTGTCCGTGCTTCCTCAAAAAGAAATGCTGCCGATGCGATCTAGCGTTTCACTCAGCACGAACTTCTGACAAAATGCGACGCATTGCTGTATCATAGTCCGAAGTCTGGATCGTCCAGCAAGCCGAAGAAGGTATGTGGGACCAACGCTCGGGGTTCCGTTTCGGTTGCGCCGATTTTTCCGGGCGACCTTTACCAGCCTCGCGCCCCGTCATTTTAGGTAATTCCATATATAGTCGTGTCCAGTCGTGCCAGAAGTAACGTCAAGTCGATCGCTCAACCGGGTAGGCGTAAAAAGTTTGCTATTCAGGGTGAAAGTCGGTACGAGACACAGTAAGAGACATAGCGACGGTGGTAAGCTAGCTTACTCGACAACAGGCGGCGAGATCAGAAAGTGGACTTACAAAAGCCGATCTAGATGGATGCATATGACAGCCTGAGATACTAAGTCTCTGCCTCATCCGATACTGTCGAATCCGCATCCGCATTCGCATTCGAGGTCAAGCGTCCGAGCGCATCGTCCCAGCTTCCTACTCGAAGTACAGGCGCACCTTCGATGAAATGGCATACCTCGATCCGAGTCTCCGCAGCCGCGTGGCAGCGGATGAAATCGCGAAAGGCTGTTACATCTTCGTCACGGATACGTGACACCTGCAGTGCTAGTCTTTTGGTAGTAGGCGCTTCCTTTGTACTAGTAGACCATTCGATCCGAGGAAGACCGGGTCGATCGATTCGAAACGCCGCGTGAGAGCGCAAGCGGAGGTTCTTGCAATGACGAAAGTAAGGCAACCACTCGATTGGGCAGCAGCGGATCGACACGTCCTCGATCATCAAGGGTGATATCGCTAGAAAGGCCAGGAGACTCTCCGGTTCCTCAGCGTATCCATCGTCATGGCTGGGGTATAGGATGACATCGAGGCTCTTCAAGCTCCTGCAAGCTCGAAGCAGGTCATGCAGTTCACCACATGCTATAGCATCGTCCATTTTGAAAACTTCGAGATGCTGCAAATGGGAGTTTAATGACCCATCGATGAAGATTGTTTGTGATTCCCATTGACCCGGTTCAGGTCTTCCAACCTGAATTGATTTGACGTAGGAAGACGTGTTTGCGATATCGATCATTGGTCGGTCCCAGTCTACCATGCCAGAAGCCGTATAGTGGGTGATCACATTGATTTTCCGTCCGCCTAACTGATATTCTTCGACGACTTTCATCGAAACGTCGTTTTCGAAGTATGGCGCGTGAGTCTTGCTCGGACAAGATTCGACCTCAAGTGTTTCCAGGTGGGGCATCAGTTCGATTCCTCGGAATGAGAAGAACGTGGCGTGCCAAGCTTGGAACAGAACGATGTCGCCTTCTTGGCGGACAAGGCTATGACCCGAATAAATCGGTTTCTTCACGGACGGATATAATATCTTGATCGTGTCATCGGTCTCATCGTAGAGCTCCCTACGGTCCAGGCTATCGTCGAGCACAGTGAGGCGTTGGATCGCTCGGAGGTACATCGAAAGTCGATCCTGTGATGAGAGAGCGGTTAGCTGAGATCATGGGTGAGGTCTTCAACATATTTCACAATGATTTCAACTCACGCAATCACAATCCTCAATGTAGAGCCAATTCACCTGTCCCAATGTGGCGTCCTTCCAAAGCAACCGCATGGCGTCCTTGAAACCCATTTTGCCTACCAGCCCAGAGTTGAGAAAGTCGATCGGGTCGCTCAGGTATCCCAGAATTTCTGATCGTATGAGATCGTTCTCCCAGATGAGAGGCCCGACCGAGTGGGCTAGCGGGACGTCCGACATCGATAGCTACGCCGACGGGAGGTCAAGCTACGATATCGAGATGAGCCTAGACGTTTGATTGAGTTGAGTGAGCGAGCCGTGAGACGTGCTTGTCACCGCCAAGTTGATCCTCCAGGAACGGCGGTGACACGAGATGCCCGAGTTTGCGTGCGATCAAGTTTCGAGCCGAAAGGGCGAGGAACGTCTAGATTTTGGTATCGCTCGAGGTCGAACGGTTGTATCTCGCAGGGTGCAGGTCAAAAGATACGATTCTGTACGATGTAGCTGATGCTGATGACCATGGATATACATGATCCACGATACTTGTGTCTCAGAAGTAGAAGAGCAAACCAGCAGCAGATCAGCAGATCAAGAACGATAAAGCGATCAGAATCTTGAGCACGATGACCTCTCATCACTCTTTTTGCGAAATCGAATACTCGTTCTCTCGCCGACTCGAAAATGAGAATGTTCGCTCGAACTTTGTCATAGACAGATATGATGCACGCAGCGTGCAGGAACCGCTTTGATGGCCAGACATCGCCACTATGAGTACTATACATATGCATAGATCCAGTCCCTTATCTGTTATTGGTGCCCCGAGCTGAATTGCGGGATTCGATATATCGATGGCAGATTGCAAGCCGTTTGACCGAGCCACGCGATTCGACTTGATTCTTGAATCGACGTGACTCTTGGGATATATCAGGAGGATCGCCCTCGCGAGAACGATCTCTCGGGATTGATGCCCATTTGTACCGAGGTAACACGATATGCCACTGATCTGCTTACGATTATACTGCCCACACGAGGACGTCTTCGCGTTTCAGACCGACTTGAAAGACCACTGAAAGCGCTGAAATCTATTGCATATTTCGAGTCTGCTGGGTATATTCGTAACCTTACACAGGTAACTTGTTTCATCGTCATTTATGCCGAGTCCTTCGCCGGGTCTGACTTTGCGCCGGTCCGTACTCGTGTCGTAATCACGATCCGCAGACCATGTCCAGCCGCAACGAGCGTTGCTATGCTTGATCAAATCGACGTATCAAGCTGTATCCCCGTTCGTTCAACGATCATTACCATCTCCGGTCTTGACCAGCATTTTGACAGCGGTGTGGAAGCCAGCGACCGTCTTATCTTCCAGCGGCTAGCAGGCCTGCGCCGGCCGTGACCCATCAAGCACCTAGTCGGCTTCCTCGCGCTTGACTATGCAGGATTCCTCGCGCTTGACTCTGCAGGAATCCACCACCGATCCCGCGGCGGCATCGAGCTCCTCAGACTCTGCGTCTTGCGGCGACCGAACTTCGAAGTACCCGCATGGAACAGCTCGAGCAAGCTCCTCTTCGTCTCGCAACCATCGCAGAGTGGATCGTACCATCTCTAGCCATTGACTATCGGCTTCCGTATTTCCGTGCTTTCCATCTACCTGAACAATGGTGCGTCTCGTGATGCAGTGGTGAATCAGTTTGGCCACAAGGAGCGGGCTGGGAGGAGGTTTGTCCCTTGGAACCGAGAGACGAAGCACCAGCGACTCGATTGATGACGCCGATTGAGGACGGCAATCGACGAAGTTATCCTCCCGCATCCACTGTTCATTCAAAAGCGCCTTGCAGCTGAAGAAGACCCGCTTGACCGCCTGTAGTCGTGGCAGACAATCGAGATTGGGATTATGAAGCGAAATATCTCGCAAAGTTCCAGACTCCCGGTTGATCCAGTCATAGAATTGCGTCTTCGATTGTGGTGATCCTGGATCTGACGATTTTGCGATCCGGACAGATAATGTTTGAAGTTTGGGGCAGAGGCATAGGATAGTATTCAAGTCTTGGTAGCTGATGGCCCACTTAAAGACCAGCTTGTCAACGTTTCGGAAGCGAAAGGGTTGGGCAGCGGACAGAGATGCCATACGCGCTTGTTTTACCAATTCATCTTGGCAGTGAGCCCGGGACTGTGGTGAGAACGAGAGCGCTCTAGAGCTCCATTTTGTTGATCCTGGAACCAAAAACAGCGATTTGCTCGGTGGAATGGAGAAGAGGCACGTCAAGTAGTAAGCTGGAAACTGCACCAGCAGTTCTCGACCGTCTATTTCGTGTTTCTCTTCCACCGTGTGGAGTCGACCCGAACCAAGACCACAGAGCTGAACTACGTCCAGCGATGGAAATTGGGACAGTATTTCTCCATGATGGATCTGATATTGGCCCGGGGTGCGGTGAATTATCGCTAACCATGGTAAAGTCAACACTCGAACCATACGAGCCAAGTCTGCGAGTCGATCCTGTTTTGGTGCAAAAAGGATTGTAATATTCGATCAGCATCAATCCCTTGCAGAGATGAAACTCAAGAAGCAAGACTTGCGAAACTGCAGCCCTTCGCCGTCATCTTGGTGAAAGATTCATGTGATGAGGTATGAAAGAATGCCTTGGCAGCCGTGTGGTAGCCGGTCTTTGTGACGAGGAGACACTGTGAGAGGTCCGATCTATCGAGATAGCGATAGACTTCAGACATTATTAGGTGATTGTGGTACAAGGCTTGAGCCGTCTCCGAGCTCTTCATGATCTCTTCCTCCGATATCGACGTTGACGGGCTGGACATCGTGACACCGTTGTCGAGGTGACCTTGAACAACTGAACGGCCTTTGCCTTATTTTCCAGGGTGAGCCCGACAGGTTCGAATAGGATCTATGTCTGAGAGATCGAGTGAGGTAACGGCTGGGCTGCAGCCGAGGTGATCCTGATACGATATGCGACTTCTGCCGAGTACAATCGGACGCTGAAGATGCCTGTTGTTGTACCGATAGTGATGGATCGAAGTCGACCCCCTCAGATTAGAATGAATCCCGCGAGCAGACCAATGTCAGAAGAGATGGACTAGCTTCAAGTCTGTGTTGTCCCGGTCGTCACAGATGCAAAGGAGGTCGGCAACTTCATTGTTCAGGTGAGGAAACGATCAAGAGAGGTAGGTTGCTGCGATTACGATACTGGAAAGTCGGGGTGAAAGCCACGTCATCATCATAAAATCATAGAAATCTACTCGTACATTTACTGATAAGTCAAACCGTTTCACATCGCTCTGGCTATGAAACTTGCTGGGCTCGATTGTTGCCGCCTGCCAGGCAATCTTGCAGTATCGGTCGCATGCGCTACTTGTAGCATAAATAAGTCTATATTTCCATATGCGAGGAGCTGCGTAAGTGCATATATCATATCAACGAGTTGACCGACTCTTGTGCTGATCCTCCGCGAAGAAATGGTTCCTTCATCCTGCTTGCCGTCATGATTATCAGGCGTGTCCTGCTGAGTTATGTCTATATCCCATGTAAACCTGCGTAAAATTGTTCCGAGTTTCTGGCTTGGGACGACATATTCGGACTGCTGTTTGTTGACACGCGACATCCCCTGCTAGCTGTCGTCGCGCATCATGTGGGTTAAGATCCGAGTCCCGCAGACTATCGGTGCTGAAGCATTGTTTGAGTTCAGCTGTGGACCATCAGACCGAAGGGTTTCAAATTCAGACTTACACTAAAGCGCCATTCGGTGCTTTCGTTGAAGCTAGAAGTCAGGCAAGTCTGGAGGCCGTCCCATTCCGTCGAGGCGCAGTAATGCTGCGCCTGATAACACGGATCCATCTCTTGGAGGGGTCTTCACGAGGGCCCGTCGTAGTGACGCCATACCCTTCGTCGTCACTATCGAAATCGCTTCCTTGATCAAGATCGCTCATATCGCTGCGGAGAGGGACCTCATAAGTAGAGGCATGGATCGCAGTGTGATCGCTCGTAGCTCCTTCAATAAAGCTGATGAAGTCTCCGGCCTGACGATCGTATTGCAACTTGGGCAAGACGAGACCGAGATGTGCCGGACCTGCATCGTCGAGGTTGGCCCATTGAATCGGTGGAAGCGCGCGCAAATCGTCGTACAGCTTGCTATACTGGACAGCGACTCCACAATCCAGAAGGACTCGTCCGCATCGGCGGAAATATGGGAGCCATTCGAGCGGCGCACCACAGATTCGCAGGCTTTCGATTTCGACTGGCTTCTTTGCCAGGAACAGCGCGAAAGCGTCTCCGTTCAGAGGTGGTTCCTTATCCCCCATCTTTGTTAAGATCACCTCCAACTCTTTGAGCTGCGGCAGTAGGCTCAGGATCTCCATCAGATCTTTGCACAGTATCTCTTCTTTAAGAGTGAAGCATTCCAGCCGTTTGAGACGGGATCCTCGCTGCTCAAAAGGAGATATATCCCGGATTTGCCCCAGCAAGGCACCGATGACGTCTCGATAGACTTCGTTCGTTTCTTCGGGAGTCTCCGTCCACCAACCCAAGCGTAGAGACTCGATATAAGAAGCGTCGGAGTGGATATCGACCAAGGCGTTCGCCCAGCACAAGAGCCGTTCCGATTGACGATAGCGGGATCTGACACGAACGGTTCGCTCGCCAATCCGATGTACCTCCCCGACGTCTGCTCGGATGTCACCATCCGAGTATCCGAGAAGCTCGCTGGAGCAGCTCTTGATGTCCAGGAGGTCGAGCTTCGGCAGGTCTTGGACGCCCGAGAACTCAAAACGTCCGCCTTTTTTTCGTTGAAGTGCAATCGGTAGGGGTCGCTCCAAATCCCAACCGACTCTAAGTATGTCGCTGCCTTTTTTGGGGAAAATGTCGTGCTGAACAATGATTTGTCTGATGCAGCCCAGGTATAGATCGAAGCGATTCTAATTAAACATCTCAGTATAATCAATATTTAGAATAACTACAGAGGCAGAATCTGCTCACAAGCCAATAGCCCATCCCGAATAGCCTGTTCACGCTTTTGAGCCTTGTACACGACCAGAGCCTTTTCATTGCATCTTCGAAGGTTGAGTGACTAGCCAAGGCGTAGCTTTTCAGGTCCTCATGGTCCAAGAAGCGACAGATCTCGGAACGGATCAAGTCGATTCCGTGAACTTGGGTGGCTGGGTTGGGTGTCTCCATCGGTCTGAAAACGCTAGATGAGGTAAGGCTACACGAGGTTTCTATACAATCACCAACAAGTCAGCGATGAAGATATTCGCTCATGGAGAAGGACCGCTTACATGTCGAAATATGTCCTGACAATCGTCTGCTTTGTCTTGGAAACAAGGTGGTGCCAATTAGGATTTTTCTATGTTCGAAGTGCTCCGGCTGTGGAAGAAGCGAGTACACAAAGGCGAAGTCTGTTTGAAGAGCTGGAGAAGTATAAATCTTTGTTCGACTCGCTGGGGTGCCATCGATCTGAACCTCGAGAAGGCATCAGCGATACGTCGTGCCGATCATCGAACCTCCTTTGAGTCTTTTGTCTGAAAGTGAGATGATGTCAGCGCGGATCGACCGGATATCCGCCTCCCTCTCATGGCGTCATCGATGATCCTCGCTGTATAGGCTCACTTAGTACGAGTGATTTCTTCACCGCTCACTGCAGGCAGGAGCGTACGAGGCACGCAAGAATCATCTGGTTTTGGTCACGTAGATTTGACGTTCCCAAAAGGATAGATCGACAACTTTCAGTGAAGTCGAACCGAATCGTCCATAGTATCGTATTCATAAGGTATGTTAACCGAGAGCGGCTCATCGTCTATCGGCGTGCGTCCGTCCATACACGTAGAGATGTACAGTTCGACAGGAGGAAAATTGGCGTAAAATATCGTAAAGGAAGGGGACAATCGTAATGAAGTCGTTTCTTTTATCGGTGGCGTCATCGTATATCTTGACATTAGCGATACCGTGAGTCCGTCTGTCATGAACGGACCGAATCGTAGTTGTACGTCTGGACTTAGTAGTCTCGGAGGTTTGGTTCAGTCAACCCATGGTATGCAGGCAGCGTAAGCGTGCATAAGCGTGCGTAAGGAAGGCGTATATCTGGAGTTGAGAGTATGATGGCTTGAAGCGTAGAAGCGTGTGGCTGTTGAAGGGAAAGATTGTCGCTAGAGAGCAGTCGATAGTCGTGCAAGTGAATCGTCGATGGTGGTTCAAAGGCGGTCTGGTAATGGCGGAGAACCGCCCCTTCGCGAACGGCTAGACCGGCTGAGATGCATTCTCGCCAGGCGGGCCGTCTTGCGAGAAGCCAATCTGCCTATATCCCGGAGTTCCAGACTCTTTAAAGGCTCGAAACCGCCTCAGATGTCTCAGGGTGCTCGAGACTTCGATAGCCAGGTCCGCAATCTTCACAGCTTCGGTGTCCTCGTCGTCGTCAGAATCATCGGTAATGGTGGGGGCTGCGACGACTTTGACGACGGTACGCTTGTTAATCATGCAGAGAAGAAACAACGCAGTCAGGTAACAACCGGAACCCCCAGGTTGAAGCTCGATGGTCAAAGACTCCATCACTTCCGAAGGGGACGGGCGCTCATCGGGAGGCGAGGACGTGTAGTCCTCCATGTAATCCTCGGTCGATGCAAACATCGGTGTGCGAAGAGTGACGTGTCGACAGTCAATAAAAAGGTCCAAGTCGTACAGATCAACACCACGCAGCGACACGACGTCAAGCTGTGGGTGCATGTCCCAGATCATATTAAAGTCGCGACGATAACCCGCTTTCTCGGCATTGATATCGAAATCGATTGTGCTCAAGTTGAAGCAGAGGCGAAGTATATCCGTCAAGTCCGTGGAAGTGAAATCGGTGCAACCTGTACTGCATACGACACGTTTGAGTTTGGCAAATCGATTATCGGACCCGCCCGCCGTCAACGATACGCGGATTGCGACCATGAAATTCTTGATAGCAGCTTGGACCCGACGCCGTTGAACGCCTTTACCCCGATGAAATTCGACCGAGAGGAGATCTCCACTGACGACTTCTTTTCCTGCTGCCTCGGTTCCATCGGAAGCTTCGGTTCCCCAACCTAGCTCGATTTCTGAATCGTAGCCGTGTTCCAGAATGATCGTACGATGGCCTCGGTTCACCAACTCCTGAACCGTAACGACGCGTGAGCTGGACGACGGGGTTGTCAGCCGGAGCATGGCCAGATTCGGGTATCTTGCAAACGGGAAATCCCGCTCATTGGGAGCGTCTATGACTTTGACTCTAGCGAATATTTCCGTTAAGCGTTCCTGTTCATACAAACGTCATAGGTGTAGTAAGTAAACGAAAGCTCAAGAGAAAACGAAGGAGACTCACGAAGCTACAACCGCCGTCAAACAACCGCGACATTGCCGTGGTCGATGTTTTAGAGAAGAACTCGTTCGCTGCAGTATCATATCCCTCTTTCGAAACAAGCAAGCACCTTGCTAGGTCTTTTTGGTCCGTAACGAAGCGGTAGACCACGGACATGATCAAGTCGTTATGGTAGATTGCTTGTGCGGCTGTCGAAAGTGTAGGATATTCGACCTCGGCCGGGGTCGATTCCGAAGCAGGCTCATGATTCCCAGCGGGATTGTTCGGAGAAGCTGTTCCCGAGGCGTCCAACATCTTTCAGAACGGCTTGAAGTTACCTGATAGTTGGCGTCAGATCTCAGCCCTGGCTGCGACTCCAGAACGACGGTCTAGTTGATAGAGCAAGGTTGATGATGCACAGGCGGCGATATGATCGGACGATTAGGATCGAGCTGAAGAGCGGGTCTCTTCGTCCTCTTCCGCCAAACTATCTCGTGACTGCGTCGAAGAGCGGTAAGATGAGGATAACCTCGGCGGTCTACTAACCTGAAGGATGATGTCTGCGGTTAGACCTCTTTATTGACTATCGAGTTCTCCAGTGCAGATACAAGTCCAGATCAGATCGTACGCACCTCGATATGACGCCGACAAACAAGGTCGAGTTGCCACGTCATGTTGAAAGCATTCTCGTAATTATGTGATAGGCGGGAGCAGAAATCGTCAGTTTCAGGGTCGAGCGCCTCTTTGTGAACGAAATGCTCATTTCTCCTAAAATATAAGATACTACTGCACGTCAAGACGGTCTCAGATCCACTATCTACAGGAATACCTCGTTTTACATAATGATCGTTACGCCGTATGGGAATTTCTATGTCTACCATCTGTTCTTGCCATATTGTTTCTTCTACCCCGTGCGCTTCTCAACCCGTCGCCAACCCGGCTTCCCGGCATGAGTCATTATCCTCGCTTCCTCTCGAAGATCAGCTAGCGTGGCTCTAACGTGGTCAGTCCAGTCCTTTCTCTGTCCTTCGACGCTATCAACCTCGTGGATGGTGATAACGGTCTGATCGGTGGTCATCATATGCAAGAACTTTGCAACGGTGTAGGGATTGAGCTCAGGGCACAGCTTTTCCAACCAGAGATCCAGCTTCAAGATCGGAATCGCCGTTTGACTCCTCCTGAGGTCCCTCATCGAAGGAAGAATAATGCGCATAATATCCTCGCTGAAGTATGCGAAACCAGTGAGGTTGACGTATTTGTGATACCGTGTCAATTCGTAAAGATCGGAGATAAAGCCCCCTTTTATCTCGATGGAATCCAGGGCGGGAGCCTTTCTCAGCCCTAGCGGTGAGTTCCGGAGGGATGACTCGGTATCGTACCTGAGATCAAGTGAGATGGATCTCAAAGACTGACAACACCCAAGGATGGTGTCTAGGTCCCCATAGAGGAGTTCGACCGATGATGCGTGCGTCAATGTTTCCATGCCGCCCACCCATGAAGAAACGCAGCCTGCCTGTAAGAGTTGATGACACTCCTGTATCAAGCTCTCCATTATGACGCCCGGCTTTCGAGTGTTGCTAGATGATATGCCTGTTTCCTTAAGCACCGTCAAGTATATAAGGCATTTCGACTCAAATCCCGCAACGTGCAGTATCGGACCTTCCCAGTCGATCTGTTCGAAGCTATAGATGTCGAACGCGACGTCCAAGATCCTTATGCCTTGAGTGTACCGCCCAATCACTCGAGCGATTGGTGAGTCTCGCTTCTTGGAGCTAATCTCAAGAAGAGTAAGGTTAGGATAACGCTTCATGGGACAGTTCTTGTCGAGTATCATCCGACCCGAAGGTTCGTGTTCGACATAAGTGTAGGGAATATGAAGAATCCGGACGCTTTGAGCTAGGAAGTTCAAGCGCTCCTAAAAGATGGGAGGTATACCTGTGGATCAGACGCTAATCGTCGTCATACAACTTGGAACGCTTTGCTTACGATGCTACAATTCCCGGTGAAGAAGGGAGTGAGATCTTCGATCCGCATCTCCCTGTACAAACGCTTGGCCGCCGTGTCGTATCCAGACTTGCAGACGAGTAAACAGTTCTTCTGATCCTCTTTTGTGTCAAGATGCTCATAGATCTCCGACAAGAGAAGTTCGTTCGAAAAAACGAGTTCACCCGGCGAGCTGAATACGCCTGTCTTCTCGGCCGTAGTCATAGGATGTCTGTACTGTTTCTTGCCGTTCATAGAGCAAGGGAAGGGGAAGCGTGTCTCCGTGAGCTGGATCAATCGAATTGCTTCTTGTTAGGTGATCGTATCTGGTGTACTAGTTGAAAGACAGCGTCGTCTTGCTTAGATTCGAGACATCAGAGATCATCGAAAGCAACCAGGTCCTTACGTGATTCGAAAACCAAGATCCGCAGCGTGTGTTCGTACGTATCGCAACGGAAGACGGTTCACGGAGCGAAGAAAGATATCTGTGGGAGATGACTGGTAATGACGAGTAGCTTAGATCGATGATTGTTGTACAGGAACACGCAGCTGGGATATCAACAGCAGGTACTGGTATATGTATGTGATCACGGCAAGCGAAGATGGAAGAAGCTGAGATCCGGCCGAGAGCCGAAAACAGATTGCCTCGGAACATTCTTCGGTATCTTCAACTTCAGAGTCAGTAGCGATCGGCGGCCCACCTCTTTGTTTGAGTTTTCCGTAAACGAGGATCATCCTTCAACCGGATTCTCGTCTTCTCACTTTTTGACGACTTGCTTTCAAGACTGTGCGTTATTTCGAGTTGTTGATAACGACGAATCAATCCAACATCTGATTTCGCATGCCGTCATGACGATACCGACCACAAATTGGCGACACATCTACTTCACTATATAATATCTGAGACGAACGAATGAACATGCATTGAAATTCCTTGGCCGATCATTATCTCTGAATATCTGATTCATCCCCCTCCATCTGAACAATTCTCGCCGCACGAACGCGCATCCAGGTATCGTGTATGACCTAGAGCTGTATGTCATCATCAGAGAAATCACAATCGATGATCGTGGTCGACTCTACCGTCGTCACGTACCGCGCTGCTCTCGTGAATACAAGTTTCACGACGTTGCTTTGGATTCGGGAGGATTTTTCCCGCTCATGGATGCTCCGAACATAGTTCATACATCTGGAATGGAAGGTCCTAGACTCAAATCCTATGCAAGCGGTCCCCCTATGGCCGCACACCCGGTATTTCGGGTTAATATCCTCCTTCTGGGCCAAAATCCTATAATCATTCCAGCGCTACGTCGAGTCAAGCATGGACCAGTTTGCCGACTAGTTCATTCGTCGTTACGTTCCGCCTTGGACTCCATCTGTAAAAGTTCCAAAGTAGATCGGACGTTGTCAAGCCACACTTGGTTCGCCCTCGAGCATTCACCTGAGGCATTGATGGTGATTTCCGCCTCGTTCGCAACACACATCTGCACAAATTTTGCGATCACGTAAGGGTTTTGGAGGGGCGATGTCACTCTCAGTCTTAGATCCAGCCTGATCGTTGACCTTCCGGCAAGCTTCTGCCCCTTTCTGCTCAAGTTTTGCACCAACTGCTCGCGAAACCCCCTTTCCGGCAGTAGGCCAGGGCATTCCAAGGTAAGTTGTTTGTAATCTGTTAGGTTTCTCAACCACCAGAGCTGTCCACCATGCAGCTCGAGATCTTGCAGACTGGCAGAACGCTTCGGTCTTAGAACGGCAGACATGACGGAATGCCCGGCATTGGCAGTCAAGCTGACTGAAAGTCGTCTCAGGTGTTTGCAATGCTGGAGAATGGGATCCAACTTAACTGCATCGACACCCCCGATAGCGGTATATGTCAATTCAGTTAAGCCTGCGATGCGGGACCGATCCGCTTCAATTCCGTTAAGCCCCTTGCAATTCTGGATCAATGCTTCCACCAGGGTCGACTGCTGCAAGACAACGGCTGCCGCATCAACCGAGGGTTTAGTCATCTCCAAGCGAAGGAGCTGACTGCCGCTGGATCCACGAATTTCAAGCGAAGAATGCTTCCAATCAATATTGCTTGAGGAATCGACGTTATGTTTCACTATCAGAATTCGCCCCCCGACGTCGTGCCTTTCGGTCACGGTTGCTAGCAGGTGATTGGGTGTGTCTGTGTCAATCACCAACTCCTCGAGATTTGGGTATCGTCTCAAGGGACATCGACTGTATAGCTTCATTCGTCCGAGAGAATCGCGCTCCAGATCCGATTGCGGAATCGTGAGGACTAGAACGCTTTGTGCGACGAAATGTAGCCGTTCCTGGAGGATGAGGGACAATCTTTGATCAAACCCCAATCTTGACACGCCCGTTCGCCACACAACCGAGTAGCTCACCATGCTGCAGAGACTCTCGAAGATATAAGAGAAATCTACATTCCTCATCTCCCTGTATAATCTTTTCGCAGCGGTGTCGAAGCCAGCCTTTGAGATGAGTAGGCAGTTCGCCATATCTCTTTTCGCCTCGAGATGACCGTATATCTCCGCCATAATCAGGCTGTTCGCGAAGACGAGCTCTCCCGCCGAGCTAGTCATCCGGCTCATCTTTGACTGCGACTCTTGCGGAATCCTCGTAGGGGCTTTGGCCTGGTTTGTGTGTCTGAACAAGAGGTACGACTGTCACGTTGAGACTTATCAGTCTTGAATTTTTCGAGACCTTGGAATGGGCAGCGGCTCACAGGACCGGATACCGATATCTTGAGTTGGAGGAATACCGCCTGATACAGAAGATTATCGGCAGCCAGATGAAAATCTGATAGATTGGGTGATTTTGTTTAGAGCCGTCAAAGTGGAGAGTAGGGCGCAGCTATGCGTTGTTCAACAATCCCGGAGAGATAAGGATACTGCAGACGTCACAGTATTCTATACAGCGAAGCAAAGGAATTTGACGACCGTCGAGGAGGCGAGTCGTTCGATTCGGAACATTCTTCGGTATTTTATGATCAAAGCCCGGTGGCGATCAGCGATGGAAACCTTTTTGTACTCTCGAACATCTGCAATATCCGCTTTCTCGCTTCTTACCGATTTGCTCCTTATCTCTATCGAGGATTATCAAGGTATTGCGACCGCGAGGATAACAACGTTCATTTGGAGGTATCGAAACGCAAGGAGCTCAGCCACAGAGCCGAATGAAATACAGATCAATACGATACAAAGACATCCGCATATATTTCTACCGCTCCGCCGCTAACCGTTCTCATCTCGACCATTCTCTGCATTATCGGTACCGGGCTACTCCCGGTGTGTAGTAGTCAAGTTCTTGATCGTTTACTTTAATAAGTTGTAATCGCAGACGAGCTACGATTGACAATCAGTATCATCCCCTTCGTGCCTCACGGTTGGGACTAGTCTCACCATCTTAGCCAACTTGACGCTCTTGGATCGACGGGAGAACCTTTCGGTAACCTCGTCCATTGTTCGGTAGGGCTCTTTGGGGTGCCTGTCGGATCTCCTTGCGATATCGCATCGTCCAAAGGATATCGTCTACCCATCGCCCAGTGGTTGTTGTTACATCGTCGTCCTTGGCTTGCAAAACGATCGTTGACGTAGGCCCGGTGACCCATTGAAGGATATCTGCCATCAAAGCCTGGCTGATGATCGCTTCGCACTCGTCGATAAGTACGGTCAGATCTTGAAGGGGGCAGATTTGGCCTTTCGTTCCATGGGCCACTGCCGAGATCAGTGCCTCCTTGAGTTTCTCCTCGTCTGCGTTCGTCACCCCGAAGCATTCGAGCTTCAATCGTTGACACTGGGACAATGGAAAAAGCCACGATAGTGATGCTCCTTCAATGTGGACGTCCTTTAGCGTGGCAGGTCGGCTAGACAGACAGTCCAACAACTTGTCGTGATCTTCCGTCTTCTTGACATGTACTGAAACAATATCCAGATCGGGAAACAAGGTCAAAAGCTTGACCAAGTCCTCGCCGTCAAATGGCTTATGACACCATTGAAAGGCGCGCAGCTTGGCCAATCTAGAATCCAACGCTTTGATCGAATCTAAAGGTCGTATCTCTTGCACTAGATCATCGAAGAATGAGTCTCGACCTATAGACTCCCAAGGATAACACCTTATCCTGCTAACGATTTTTAGATCGTTGGGAAGGCCGCTCCAATAATGCCAGTCCTCGAGACGATGTGCGAGAGCCCCGTTCTCGTCGCGTCGAGGCCTGTAATTCAAGATAGCGACGAGCTGGAAACGATCCGGTATATGCATGGTAGGCATTTCCCAACCTTCGTTCTGCACACGGACGACCTTGAGAGCAGAGAATCGCCTGACGAGGTGTTCAAGTGTGATGTTCTTCTTCTCGAAGTCCAGCTGTGAGATCTCACAAGATCTCACGGATCGCTCGACGGTACTCAAGCGATCCTAACGGGGAATCATCGTCAGTCCACTTATTCGCTGTACCGGACTGTCAAGGGGAGATATTTGTAGCATACCAAACTACAGCCGTTGATATACATGCTGCTTCCATCCTTGACGGTAAAATCACGATAGAGCTCCTTTGCTGCTCGATTGCAGTCCATCTTGCACGTCATCGTGCAGCTAACCAGATCCTTTTTCTTTTCGACGTATCCAAATATCTTGTCCATGCACAGGTCGTTGCCATGGACCAACTCGGCTGCGGTGGTCCTTAAGTTCGTGGAAGGTGCAGGCGAACTAGCGCGAGCATCGACGGCTGCAATAACGTTGCTTGGTTTGTTTGAAATAAGAGAGCCGCCGGATTCGTCGGAGGCGCCGGACATATTGATCGTTTCGAGAAAGAGTTCTCGACGAATGGTTGATCGCTCGAGTGAATGGAAGCTGTTGAACGGATAGATCCAGCGACGATATCTCGCGTAGTGAAGCGAAGGAAATATCTGATCATCCTGGAGATTGTTAAGGCTAGCTGTTCTCGGCGAAAAACCTGAATACGTACACGTACAGCGATCAATAGGACAAAATCCTTCCACAAGATCGATTCCTTTCTCGATTAGTGCCTTACGAGTAGCGGACTTGTTTTTCTCGTTGCAGGCGGGGGTTAAGGCAGGTCTAGAAGGGAAGAGGAGATCCAGCGTGGGCGTCGGCTTCTTTGGGTTAAGTACAATAGCATCTAGTATGATCGTGTTGAGCACCATCTTATGTGAGTCAGCGTAATCGAGTAGCGTGATATGTAAGCCAGTCTGGACACAGGAAGAAGCAAAAGAGCTCAAAGGACGATCCACGAGGATCGGCGGGATCGCTTCGTGCGCGGTTTCACCGAAATCTTTTTGTCCTCTAGTGTAACGTCCTTTGAGGACGTTGTTACCTGCCCTCTTCATGATTACGGGGTTTGAATTCAGAAATACTCACCCCGGCCGAGTCACGCTGGAATCAGGTGCGCCGAGTGATAATTGATCGGGATTGATCGGCATCAAGTTGTCTAGCAGCGGCCTGGAATTGGGTTGAAATTGAAAATCGATTGTGTTGTTTCATGAGCTTTTAATCGACAAAGACGAGAGTCTACATCTCGTAGACTAAGCGAGAGTCTGTAACATAGCCGACGATGACTTGAGACGCCATCTTAGATTCGTGAAGAACGTTCGTGAGATTGGTAATAGCATAAAGGGGAACTCGTAATAGTGATCCAGAGACATAGCCATGCTCTTGTCGGATAAGGTAAATCGGCTTTTTGGGTGTTCGTAGTATGGTTTCTGTAAGACGAAGAATGACGAGGCGGAAGGCGAGATTAGAAGGCTGGAACGTTCGCGAGTGATTTTGCGTGAGACTGTCGTCCATCCGTTGATACACACCCTGTCGTGAGTGCTCTAGCCTGATTGTCCGATCAAGAGTCGCTGTTCAGGCTCGCATGGGGGGCAGTTTCGATCAAGCGAAAGCCTGGCCCGTCGTAGATGCGCTTCGCTTTTTCCTTCCCTAGTTGCTTGACGGCGAATCGAATCTTCTTGACCCATCCAGTCAGACCGACATCATGGCACGTTATTGTAGGAATGACCTCGGTAGAGACTCCGATGGTGACTTCGAGATATCTAGCGAGATATCTAGCGAGGACTGGAACATTCCGTTGCGCAAAGTAACATTCGGATTGTAATATCAAGTACTGCATAGCAGAGTCTTGTGAAGGGGACGAGACCGCCTCATCTGTAGCTTCATGCAACCAGTTGGTCGATGGTAGATTGCGGAAGGTCAAGGAGACCTGGTGACATTTGCGGAGGGACGAGATCCACTCGATGGCAGCGCCGCCGAGGGTGACGAGCTTCAGTGTGTCTGACCTACTCGCTAGCGCAGGTCCTATCTTGTCGGCATTTCGAGGGTCTTCCTTTATATCGACGGAGAGCTCGACAAGCTTCGGACAGACGGATAATAACGCCACGAGATCATCCGCTTCGATTTTCTCGGAGTGCTTGCATACGAATGTATTAAGATTTGCGAACACCGAATCGGGATTCTGAGATCTGGCTGCCAAGGTCGTACGGACATGAAATATGATGGATGCCATAAGACGATCACGATAAGGTAGGTTGGTCAGGGTGGTGTAACCGTTGTGCCAATCTCTGATCCAGACTGCCGAAATGGTCGATATGGAAGTTGTCGCGCTTCCTGGTTCCGTGGGAGGAAAAAGCATTTCTTCAGTCCTGAAGGAGCCTTTGCGGACGAGTACCAGTCTGCTAGGCAAGATGAGCCTCTCCTGGATGATGAGACCTGGATCGTATCCCGTCTCTGCATAGAGTCTTCGAGACAATTCATCCCATATTTCGAGGGTTTTGAGTTGAGGAAACAGCAGCAATGGTGACTCAATAGCGGCGCCATATTTTTTCCACTCGTCTTCCGTGATTTGTAGGGTTTTAACGTAACGAAGCATCGTTCCTAGTCGCCCCTGTATCTCGTCAAAGAGAAGTTCCGGGGTCGAAATCAGGATATAGACTTATCGCTCCTTCTGATAAGGATATCGTGCTCACAAGATCACATCCCGACTCGAACATGTCCATCACCCTCTCTCGCTCCATGCTCCGATACAGTTCCTTTGCGACCCTCTCGACATTGTCCTTCGATAGCACGAGGCACTCGACGAGCGTTCCCTTTCCCATCTGACCGTAGATCTCCGACATACAGAGATCGTTGCTCCACACGAGCTCCGCAGGCGATGGGTTGATTCCGTACGAGCTAGGTCTTTCGATAGATGGAGTTGAGGCTGAAAGAGAGGCAGTGTCCTCGTCCGGACCAAAGGCACTGCTAGTAATAGATTCGCCTTCGCTCAGGCTATCGTCATGATTGTAGTGCAGAGTGTGCTGGTGATAGGTTGCTACGGCCGGAGATGATGGTGAATGTTCTTGAGTATCGAAGATTTGACTGATAGCAGCGACGTCGATCATAGAGGCGTGGTCCCTTTGACGCATCGTCTGCCCGAACTGCTCCCACGCGATACCGACGATTTCCGATAGTTGTCCCATCAATCCGGTCGCACCAGCAAGCCACGGGTTGTGAGTGAACATGGCTGGATGCGGATGATCTCTGATAGGTTGACTGGCTGTTGTTGTTAATGAGTGAATGTGCTAGCGACTGATAAACTTGGGTCCGGATTTGAGTAGAGATTGTGACCTGCTGAGGACGACACAAATGTCGGTGTGTGAGCTTGACGCCAACCCACAAACGTCTCGCTGAGACTACACACCTCTCCAGATCGTAACGTGTACGGGATGGTCTGGGGTAGTCCGAGAACCTAGAGACTACTAGCTGTTTGATGCCGTCGAGATATACGATTATACATCATACAAGGTGCACTGATCGCACTGATGATGATCGTGATATCGTGATTCGTGCTTGTACGATCGTGGTCAATCGTCAGATCGTCATCAGCGCGGAAGCAAAATCAGCTCGCGGGGTTTCAGACAACCTCGTTGTCCTCGCCCAATTGTCGTTCGTCTCGCTCTGGTTCGATAGACCGTATCTAGTTTGGGACCAGCCATATATCGGGTCTTACAACGTCTCGGTCAGTCACTTATAAACCCACTCCGGTTGGCGAGGATACGACAGTCTCTCAGCCGATGACGCTGTTCGCTGCAAGCCTGCACATAGGCAAATCCGCGCCGAACACATGTAATCAAGATAATCTAGTTTACAAGTTCTTCATCAGATGCCGGAGACAAGACAGAAAAATCAGGTATAGGTGGTCGTCCCAGAGATGGGAGACCGGACTTTCGATACGGAATATGACAAGAAGCGGATAAGAGACGCGATATATCGGGTCCGAGCGACCCGCAGTCGATATGGGTTATGCTGAGCGACATGTCGTTATGCGATGAAATCGTTGTGGTGTGAACGGTTGTTGTTCGTGTCCGGGTATTTGAGATGCTTTGGATATTGGCACGAGGTGCTCGTCGATCGGGACTGAGTCAATGATCGTGTGTCGTGTCTGAAACCGTCGGTTGAGATCATGCAAGCGGAGATCCGTCGTGACAAGTATCTCTCCTGGTTCGATTGATTTTATGAGCTTCCCGTCGGTATCGAATCGATCGTGTTGTTCGAGTTGGATTGTGAGAAAGGGCGATGGACGATACAGTATGTGTCGGGCCTTGAAGCGTTGATCTTGTGTCGTGAGTAGGATCGTAAAAACGGAAGTATGATGATGCTAGATCGTAGGTATATCTTGATTGTGGGTCGTTCCAGATCCTTCGTCTTTGTGTATATGTTGATTAGATTTCGTCTGAATTGTCTCGTATGTGGAGATACTCTCGGCATCGCCTTGTACGACCGATTAGGGCGTCCGCATGATGAGGTATAAGAGGAGCATCCCGCCCATAGATGTGATGGTCAAGACCTGATTGTCGAGTCGAGTCGGGTGTTCAAGATGGTTCGAGAGTCACCGCCTACGGATGACGTAGCCATCAGAAGGTGCAGGCTTTACCAAACGATATCCTTTCGTCTTCTTCGTCGCCCTCCGCTGCTTCAATTCTGCTTCCCTCCTGATGTGCGAAAATATGGTTGAGACTGCGTTCCGGTAATACCTGCAATATCTGGGATATTCCATCTTGCAGAAAAGGACAGACTCGGTTGTCACGGAGTCTACTAGCTTTGCGACAGCAAAGGGGCTGGGTATATTACGCTCAGGCAACTGCAGCTTCAAAGTAATATCGATCGGATGCTGCTGAGCGGTAGGATCAACACCCGCGACAACATCGAGAGCCTCTTCCAGCATCCACTCTGCTGAAGGCGCAGTATTGCACTCCAGATAGATCTTCTTGCATGACTTCAAGCTCGGCAACCATCCCAAATCAGCGTTGATGATGGAGACATCCTCAACCTTCTCGGATAGGTGGGACAGCACTGCGGAACCTCTGTGGACTGGTCCGTTGTCAACCAGCGCGACGGACAATTCGAGCAGTTCCGGACAGAGAGACGTGAGAAGGCGCAGGTCGGAATCCGTTATGGGTACAGAACGGGGTAGTCCGAGAACCTCTAAGCTCCCAAGTCTTCGATCGCCATTTGCCTTCCCGTCAAAGACTGATTGAGCATGGTTGACCAATTCCGCGACCAGATCTGTCGCGTCGCAGGTGCAGTTTCCTGGTGTGATTGTGATCTCGACCAGCGCAGAGGATGAAGCTCCTTTAAGATCGAGACCGAACCAGCTCAGATCATCCCAGTCCGGCCGGAACTCCCGCTCGATCCAGATCTTGACGCCGGATACTATATATCGCGTAACGGTTATAGCGGTGGCATCCATGAAATAATTGTCGTGGCGGATGCTGATGTAACCGACGTTGGGGAATTGGTCCAAGATCGATCCGTCGGTGATGCTTGGGATATCGTAATCTTCAATCTCGATTGCCTTGACGGCGCGAAAGACGGGTTCCAAGCGTTCCTATCAGGTCAAGAAGGATCATTTGGTTTTTCAGCCTGGTTTGCCGCGGTGAAATCGTATCTTGAGCTACTCACGTAAGGACAGCCCAGATCTATCATCCGGTGAATTGAAGCTTTGCTCAGATCCCGGTACAAATGCTTCGCAACTCGCCCAAAGTTATCTTTCGAAGCCAACAGGCAAGAGAGGAGATCTCTTTTGTACTCGATGTGTGCGTAGACCTCGGACATAATCAGGTCGTTGGTCCAGAATAGATCGGCAGGGTCTTCTGCCATCCGAACGAAGGCCGTGTGGGTAGCGGGCGATCTCTGGTCAGATCCTTGGGAGAGAGACGATTTGCCAGCAGGCGAGTTAAGAGATGACGGTATTTGAGGAGGAGGTTTATAAGTGGGAGCCGCGAAGGCGATGGGTCTATGGGCAGGCTCGTTATCGACGGCGATATGCGAGGTGGTTTTCCGAGTATGTTCGTCCGTATCGTTGTCTACCAGCGCAGGACGAGATGGAGCACGCCTCCAGAAGCGACGAACCAGTCCTGATAGGTAATGACGCATGGGTTGAGTTGTCGATGTGGTATGTAGGAATAAAGGAAGGGTGTTGAACGGTTGACTTGAATAACTTGAAAGAGGTCGCGATGATGAGCTTTGTTTGTCACCTCGTGCGGAGAAAGCAACGGCACGACTCACTTTGCGACAAGTCGATCTATACTCCTAGATAGCCAGGCTTTCTTCAATCGAAGTTCGAGAACCCCGAAGCTAGGCTGCTGGACTTATGTCGTTTTTGCTAACAAGACGGTCCGGAACGTCAGCTTTGTCGACGAGGCCGGAATGCGCCCACTTACCGTACGGAATGCGTTGCTAGTTTTTTTTAAGCCAAGATATATTGTTTGTGGGATTGTGGGATGATACGAGCTGTTTGAGTTCGTTGAATCGTAATTCTGGCGACATCAAAGTTAATCAGAAAAAAAAAAGATTGATGAGGTTGTTCGAATATGTTTGTTTGTTGTTCGACGACCTCGAGGTCAGGGGAATGCTCCGGAAGTAAATCCGCATCCGGCGTTTCACCGGACTAGACGACAAGTCCCAAATTCGTTGATACTGAGCAAGCGATATACTGACCGACGTACATTTCAGAAGGACTACTTCTGTACAGCGGCCGCGAATTATATCTGCTTGTCTACCACTGTATGTCTTACAAAACTATCGTTGTGACTTATGTAGATGGTTCCAAAGCATATCAGGTCGTATCGTCGTGAAAATGTCAATGTGGTCTTTCTCGAGCATGCCGCCGTCCAATCCGGTCTTTATCCAACACAGAGACTATACTGGCGCTGTGTTGTTCGATGAGATGGATACGATTCGCGTGTATAGCGAGATACCCGGTCCGATAACGGGGATGCTACCGATTTTAGGGAAGCGGAGTGTCTCGAGGGTTCTCGATCAATCGAAAGCCCGGCGGTAGCTTGCTGTTTCGCCTCATCTGATTCACACGCTGTTCCTCCCGAGCGAAGCTGATAGTTTCTCGCAACTGATCGATCCATGTCTGATTGCTGACATCCCTAGCATCGCCAGTGATTATGATAGCCGCATCCGCCGTTACCAAGCCGAGGATGAATTTGGCTAAGACAGAGTAATTGTAGTAGAAGGCGCTTCCATCCCAAAAATGCAGGTGCAAGTATCGCACACCAGTCCTGTAATGTCGGTTTCCCGATTTGGCCAGCGCCAAGATCGTCTCTTTCATCCAAGGCACCATATTCCCGTCGATACTGCAACTCATGTGCAGTTTGGGCACGAAATAGAACAGAGGCAGCCAGTCCAACCTGGCTCCTCCGAGGTGAAGTTCCTGGATTTGCCCCGACTTGAGAGATTCTGGCATGTCCTTGATGCTGTCTAGCATTATAGACAGGCTTCTCATGGATGGACAAGCGTGGACAAGCTGTGCTAAGCAGTCCATGCTGACAAATCGATCGCGACCGATGTTGTCCAGAGATTGAAGGCTGGCGAATAGTTCCGTGTCTTCGTCCGTTTTGTCACGAACTTGAGCGAGAGTCTTGATGATCGAAGCGGATATTTGGCTGTGAGGGACAATGTCCTGAGGGTCGCAGCTTTGGTTGATCCTGAGTGAGATGAGGGTAGCGGCCGTCGAGCCTTTCACCGGGATTATTGGACTTGTGAAGCGATGGGCATTGTCCCAAGGGATTGAGGCTTTGATCAGGATGGTCCGACCTTCCAGCTCGTGTCTCTCTCCGACGGTTAAGAGTTGCTCCTGTACACTGATCAGTCGCAACTCTTCCAAGTGCCGAAACTTTCGGAACGGTAAGGATTCAGCAACTGTCCAGCATCCCTTATCTTCATCCTTCTGAATTTCATCGTTAAGGAGACCACCTGGCCAATCGAGTACACGCACGTGCTCCGAAATCCGAAGAAAGCGGTCCTACAACCAAGGCAAATCATTTGGTTTAGTTCGATCAGACGGATGGGCCATTGTGATCTTTGAGACAGCGAAATTGGCTTACGTGACCACACCATACTTCGAGGCGGGCTGCAATCTCCAAGTCCAGTTGACGATATAGAATTCTGGCCACTTCCAGCCATCCGCCTTTGCATACCGCCAAGCAGCGTGCCAGATCTCGTTTGCGTGATATCCATCCGTAGATCTCCGACATGATCAAGCTGTTATCGTATACCGACTGTCTGGCCGACGTGACGACATCCTTCCGACCGGCATCATCTTCGGCTCCCGATTCCGCCAGGATCGTATCCTGAACCGGTTCCGTCATAACGTCCGAGACTGCCGACGTTTAGAGCGGCTTTCGAGGATAGAGTAGCTTTGGAAGACTGCAGTGGATCGCTGCTGAATGCGGTAAGGAGCCCGAACGCTCGACAAGTTGTAGCGGTGCAGGACCGAATATCCCGTGATCTCGATCCGGTTGAGAGAGTTAAGATTCTTTCTGGAGGGCTTTAGAGAGCAAACTTGAGTGTTGAGGTGTCGAGAGCTGGTAGGACGGCGGGGTTTGGCTTTGTCCGCAGCCAACGCGAATTCAAAGGACCCGAAGGACGCTTGTCACACGAAGTACTAGTAGATTTTCCGTGATCGCCTCTACTAATGAAGGCTCTTTCCCCTCTACAAAGCTACTTCGAGCAGCCGCAGGCTTGGGCTGTGGAATATCTAGTGGGCTTAGCGATGTCCGGTGAGCGTGTTGACCTGTGCCACATCAAGAAGGTGAATGGAAGTGAGTACGGGCAGGTGATTTATCGTGAGGAAGAAGCCGCTAACCCACAATCGCGAAACCGAACTGTGCTGTCTTCAGCGGATCAGCACACTCCACGTGAGAGTTCCTGCGAATGCTAATCCACAGGAAGAGTGTCGATGGTAGTATGAAAGGTGTTCATGCAAGCTTCCGGAATGTTTGCAAGATGCAAGACGTCGATCTCGACCGACTCCGAAACGGAGGAACTCTCGGTTTCATCACGACTAGAGGTTCGGTATGATGGCTGACGGACATCGGTACATCGTAATGTCCGCTAAAATCGAACTAGCGAAAAGAAACAGATCTATGGCATTCGAGCACAATTCATGATCGCTGTGTCGAGGTATGTTCGGATCTCAATCGAGATTGGCCGGATCTACGAAGCTGAAACGTATTCTAAGTCGTATCGTCATGGTGTCTTGATTGAGTTGTATTCTATAGCTTTCTCTCCCTCGCTGAACGCGGGTCAAGTCGCCGTCATCAGTGCTGAGACTAAGCCAGGGCAGGGACCGAGCCCGCTGTCTCAAATGAGGACGGACTAGATCTGAGGCTTCTCGATCAAGCGATACCCTGGGCCTGTCCTCTCTTTCTCTCGCTGTTCCATCTTGGCGATTTTGTCCTCCTGTCTGACCGAGTCGATTTCCGCGGGAAGAGAACCGTTCCCGGTCACAACGATCTCGGCATCGATCGGAACGAGGGATAAGATAAACCTAGCCACTGCCCGGTATTTGTTGCCAATATCGAAGTAATCGGTGACATGTAAGTGCAGGTACCGCACTTGACTTCGGGTCTGCACATCCCCCTTCGGCTGCAGATCCTGCGCAATCCATTCCAAGATTTCCGGATCTCGTTTTAACTTGCAGCTCAAGGAGAGTCTTGGGATGAAAACGAGACTAGGCAGCCAGCTCAAGGCGGCGCCCTCGATCTTCACATCATGTAAGCGAGGCGCAGTCTTGAGGATGTCGGGCAGATTACCTAGATTATGCAGCCGAAAGGCCAATCTGGTCAACAAGGGGCATCGTTGTAGCAGAGCCGATATAGCGTCCAAACCGATCTCCGGAAAGACGAAGCTTTCGAAGGACCGGAGCTGGGCGAACAGCAAGACTTCTTCCTCCGAAGCTTGTGCATTGCAAAGGTGTTCGCGCGCGGCTTTCACGAAGCCCTCCGCAATAATGTAATCGATTCGTTCGCAGTCGTGCATGGGAATGGTGATACGCCTAAGACTGGAGGCTGACGAGCCTTTGACCTGGATCATCGGGGCTTGTTTGAATCTGCCGTGCACATTTGATTGGACCATGATTGCTCGATCGCCAAACATGTGCTGCTCTTCGACAGGCAGCCCGCGCGGCAAATCAACTATATTCAACAACTCCAGGTTGAAGAACATTGTCAGTGGCACAACAAGAGTGCAGTCATCGCAATGCCGGGAATGACCGGAGCACCTGAAGACGGTCACACCGTCTGCTATGTCCATCTCATCTTGACGACACCATGTGAAGCGAACGAATCCCAGGATCTGTGCGGTCCGCTCCTAAACAAACAGTCAGAGTGAATCACATCAGGCCATTAAGCAGGATAGTCCGTTTGAACATAGACAGCAAAGGGCACTCACCGGACTGCTCTGGTGGTGCAGAGGGAGTAAGTTGCGAACACTTCCCTGGCGAAATAGGACCCGAGCTGCCTCTTCCCATCCGGACTTGGATAACAGCGTGCGGTTCTTCCTATCCGCAAATCCTGGCAACCAGCTATAGATCTCCGACACGAGGAGGCTATTGGCGTAGACCGATCGCGCAGCCGATGCATCGCCGTCCTCGAAATCGGTTACATTGACGGTATTGATACTCGTGGGACGGGTAACATCGTCCGTTTCCGACATGATTCCGTAAGCTCCAAAGAATCAGGTACGTATTTCGCAGCAATGACCGAAGTGATCCGTGATAGATGAGAAAAACTCTCGATCGCTTGATGGTCGAAGAGCTACGGCCCGATCACGAGCTCACCAATATGCGGCGTGAGACTGTGTATGCGTGCGGTCGCGACGTAGGCGATGGAAGGTAGATGCGATTCAATGTCGAGTTCCTAGCTATGCTTGCTATTGCTTCTTGGAGTCGTGCGAGAAACTAATCGTTTTCACGGTGCAGGTTTAAGGGTAGCCAGCGCGAGGAGGCTGCACCAGGAGCCCTGAGTTCGACGTTTGATTGGTTGGTCAGTATCTAGCTCATGTGAACTCTAAGCCTGAAAATGCAGTATGGCGAACCAAACTGGACCTCGATCGTTGACGATAGTATGATAGCGTGATGGATACTGAGATGATTAGATGTAACCGAATCAACCACGTTCAGGTTGCTCATTGGGGATTTGTTGATAACCAGACCGTAGAACAGCTTATGACGTGTATATATGCGCGATTCGTTGTGATAAACCCTATTATAGTGAGTAGTGCAACATCCTCGTAGCCTCTCTCCCTAGATAGTGTACAACCTCGGTGTCTGCAGTCCCTGCTTGTCCCCCTCGATATCAGTCTGCTCATCCTTCAGTCGACTCTGGATCCTCCGGTTCGAAAGCCTATACTGAAGATGCTGAAGAATCGAGACGAGCAGTCCGAGGCTGACGAGACACACGCAGATCTTGAAACCTCTTCGATACAGCGGCGCATCGTCGCCTCGAAGCAGTTGAGATCCCATCAAGGCTCCAGAGTTGGCCGCCATGACGACTGGAAGGTAGATAAAAAATGTTCAGCCTGCTAGACCATATCGAATACTATGATCCGAGTATAGCGACACTCACACATGGCCATTGCCACAGATCTTTGTTGAGGTGTCGCGCAGTTCAATGAAAGCCACGTAGCATTCAACGGCTGTGAGCGCAGAACTTCTATATCAGTCTCGTCCCCACGACAACATTCGATCCTGAGATGCTCACATGGTACGCAGCATTGAACCCCTGAACCATGATCAGAAGCCCGTACTTCAACCACCGGTCCGTCGAGAGCGACTTTTGTTGAAAAGCGACCCAGAATAACCAGAAAGTTCCGATGGCGGCGATGACGAGCGGACCCCTAATCCTAGTTTTGTCGCTAAGGTAACCGAAGGCGAAGGTGACGACGAGGGAGATCCAGCCTGCGACTGATGACAAAGCGTTGGCTTGTAAAGCTACGAAACGATAATCATGGACGTCATCAGCTTCTCGCGCCGCAAGCGGATCATGCCAAAGGTATGATTCACTCACTCTCGAACTTGAACCCCTTGATCAAGGTCGGCGTATAAGTCCCCATAGCTCCCGTAGGCCCAATCAAACAGATGGCCATCAAGACATGCGGCCAGACCCTCCAATTCCCCAATGTCCCCAATATATCCTTCTTCACTCCCAACTTTTTGCCCGAATCCTTCTTTGCGGAATCGTCGTTGTATACTCGGGCGACGAGGATCTGGCGTTCTCTAGCGTTGAAGAGGCTGAGTTTGGGGAATAGGAGAGAAGAGGGGTTCGTAGGCGAGGCGGGGAGGATGGAGGCGAAGAGAAGGGATACGAAGATGGCCATACATCCTTCGACTGCAAGAAACACATTACCAATGATCTCAGCCCTGTCTCCGTAGCGTTATCGTGATCGCTAAAACGCCTGGACTTACCGATCATCATCCATTGCCACCCATGAAGCGTCGGATACCTCTTCCCAAGCGGTAACAACCCGTACGCCAACAATCCCGTAGTAGCGGAAGCCAACCCGGAACCGAGGAAGAAGACCGAGTTCCTTGCTGCCAGCTCGTTGCGCTTGTAGAACGTCGAGATTACGTACAGCGAACCTGTATAGACAAGATTAATAATCGAGGCCAGAGAGTCAGCTGTAGTTGCAAAACATAATACTGATGCTGCGGCTCACCTGGAATGTACCCGCATTCGACCACCCCCAACATGATCCTCGAAGCCAAATACCCTCCATACCCCTTCTGCAACGCCTGCAACGTAGCTACCAACCCAAACGCAAAGACCTGGAAGGACAACCATACACTCGGCCCTAAGAGCTGTAAACAATAGTTGCTAGGGATTTCTAGGAGGATGATACCGAGGTAGAGGAGGGATTGGCCGGTGTTGAATTGATCTTGCGTTATGCCGACGTTGGGGAGGAAGTTGTCTGTTAGGGCGTTGGAGATGTTGCCTCGTTCGAGCTGCGAGGTGAGGCGGAGGTAAGCATACGGAATCTCTGATGAGTCGAGTCGGCACAAATCCCGACTTGATCTAGTGGGTAGGAAGGAATGTGCGGAGACTTACTTGAAACACGTAGAACCCTAGGAAAAGGATCGGCATGACGATCAAATCCAACTTCCTCCTCACCGCCTTATCCTCCGCCTCGCTGAAGACGACTTCATCCTTGCTTCCCGAAGCATCCGAAGAGAGACTGACAGCGCCCGATTGTTCGAGCTTGACAGAGACGTCGTCCTCTTGTTTGGCCTCATCGCTACTTTGACTGTTGCTACGGGCGGGTGTTCGGGCGAAGTCTAGGCCACGGATGGCTTGTTGGGTGGTAGGATCGACAGACATGATCGGCGCTTGCTGAATGGTCACGATATCTAAAAGACAGAGGCGAGAGAGGCCACGAGATGTTTGAGAAAAACAGATATGACGGGACTCGTATATATGGCTGTCACAAATCATAGAGGAGAGCGCCAGGTGTGAAATACGCCTTACGACTGGCGTTCCGATACCAGCTCTTCGCTCTCAATCGGTTCTCGTCCCAAGACTTTTCATCAGTCATATCGCAGACGAGTCATATCCATGACCAACATCCCAACCTTGTTGAAATGCACGTGGGCATCGCGTCGATCGAGATGTCGTGCTTAGCTGGTATCTCTGGCGGCGCCGGCATGACAACCCGTCGGGGTCGACCGTAGACCTTGACAGAAGGGCGCCGCATTGCCTAGATCTCCTATCGCACGATGGTATGCGAGATCCGGCAAGATAGCTCTGGGTGGTGGTTGCCATGATCCACGAGGCTCGGCTTTGCACATTCGAGGTCGCTCGAGATAACGCCGACTGAAATCCCCGAGGTATGAGAGCAGGTCTTTGGGCTGAAACGCCTCTCGATGGCGTGATCGTCATTCTGACGTGACCGCGAATTGACATTTGCATCCGAGGCGTGGCCGGAGCTGACCGAAGACCGAGGGGGATCGTGCCGAGGACTTTATTGTTTCGTCGGACTATATAGACCGGCGACACCTCATTTACTACGTTGCTACAGAGCTCTAGAGCCGAGTTGCAATTCCTCTGCTCACCAACGCAAAGCAAATAAGATCGTTGCGCGATGTCGACCGAGACAACCAGACGACCCAACTTCCTGATCGCAAGTTCCACACGCGCGGAAACGACTCGCTCGCGGTTGATCTGATCGCTGACCTTGCTGCTCGCTGCTCGTTCGAAAACAGATCGTAGCGGATGATCTAGGTTTCAGCGATATCGGAGCCTTCGGCTCAGAGGTGAGCTCCTAGCATTTCTATTCTCGCTGGTCTCATCGCTGAAAATCGCCATTGTCTATCTTCGTTAGATCTCGACGCCGAACCTTGACAAGCTAGCGAGCGAAGGGATCCGCCAGACCGGGTTTCATACAGCTTCCGCATGCAGCCCTACCCGGTGAGTCGCGCATAGAAACCCCTCCACGATCCCATCTGCCTCAAGACTGATCACGGTATACGCTGCCAGGTCCATGTTGATGAGCGGGACCGACAACCACCTTGCCGGTCTGGGCCAGATGGCAGAGACGATCGCTCGGGACCCGCTCTACCAGGGTAGGGTCGGGTATGAAGGGATGTTGAACGAGGTCCGTCGAACTCTTCCTCGCCATATTGTTTTTGTCGCTCAAAGTATACCTAGCTGATTGTGGATTGTGGATGTAGCGCGTAGCGGCTTTGCCTGAGATCTTGCAAGATGCGGGTTACGAGACGATCATGTCCGGTAAGCCTCCTCATCTCTGACCAGCCCCCAAGACGACCCAGATAGGCTTTACTGACAGGATTAACTTGATTATGTAGGGAAATGGCACCTCGGCCTCCCGAAACACGCTCAACCTCATGCCCGCGGGTTCGAGAAAGTCTTCAGTTTGCTTCCCGGCGCTGGAAACCATTGTAGGTCTTCCCCTCTTCCCCACAACCCGAACCAACTTCGCGAAATGTGGTAGCTTACCTCACATCTTTCTCCGCATTTGAAGACCTGTACGAACCATTCCTAGAGGACGGAACCCCTGCCATCAAGATGCTTCCTCCCCTCTATACCGAAGGCCCCGATCAGATCTCTCACAAAGATATCCCTAACATCCCAGCTGAGGGATTCTACTCGACCCAGTATTTCACGGAGCGCATGCTCGGGTTCCTCAAAGACCGAAAGACGAACGAAAAGGGGGAGGAAAGGCCTTTCTTTGCGTATTTGCCTTATACTGCACCGCATTGTAAGTCTCCTCGCTATGGTGGATCGATTTGGGCAGCCAGCTAAATTTCAGCTTATGCCATTCATGCAGGGCCTTTACAAGCGCCGGAAGACATCGTAGCGAAGTACAAAGGCAAATACGCCGATGGACCTGAAGCGTTGCGTCTCTCAAGGCTGGCCAACCTCAAGGAATTGGGTCTTATCGCCCCTGATGTGAGTTGTCCTGGCGCCGATATGTGAGAGGAAGAAAGGCCTAACGAGCTCTACGCGTGGATAGGTTGCACCGCACCCAATGGTCTCCGCCTACGGGACGGAAGAATGGGCTAATCTTTCTGAGGAGGAACGACAGCTTAGTCAACGCAAGATGGAGGTAAGCCCGGCGACTCTCCCTCCGACTTCCTTCTGCTTCTCGGGCGCCTGTCTGATCTGTAACATCATGGTTTGCGGATAGGTCTACGCGGCGATGGTGGAAATCATGGACACCCAGATCGGACGGGTCGTCGATTACCTGGCTTCGACCGGGGAACTGGATAACACGTTCGTCTTCTTTAGCAGCGATAACGGAGCTGAGGGATCACTGTCAGTATGCCTTTCGCCCATTTGGAGCATCGCATTGCTATGAGGTTCGTTTGCGCTGATAATGCATGTTCTGATATTTTCCCGAACGTGATAGGTTGGAAGCTATCCCGATGATGGGCGAAGCGCTCCAAGCTACCATCCGGAAGTACTTCGACAACTCCCTTGATAACATCGGACGGGGTAACTCGGTAGGTCCGCGTTCCATTTATGCCATCTTAATACAATTATCGAGCACGGGCGCTGATAAGGTCAACTGCCGGTAGTTTACTTATCTGGGACCTCGATGGGCTCAGGCTGCTACGGCGCCATCCAGGATGTATAAGGGTAAGCCGAAACGTCTGCTTTTTTCCGATCTCGCCATCGCTCTGTGGTAGCCTTGCCCATATAATACATCTGACACTGCCTTCCGACTGCTTCACATCTGAACCTAAAGCCTGGTCGACGGAGGGAGGAATCCGATGCCCGGCCATCGTACGACACCCTTCGATCCCGGGTGAGAAGAGGGGCGAAGTGGAACATGCGTTTACTACCGTGATGGACATCCTACCTACAGTGGTAAGTACCCATCTTCCGGCCCGTCCCCTAGCATGGTCGAGCGAATCGTATTGACGAGTACAATTTCCCGTCGAATTGAAAACAGCTGGATTTGGCTGGCGTTTCGCATCCAGGGAGGGCGTTCCGCGACCGTACCGTCCTGCCGCCCAAGGGGAAAAGCTGGACGCGTTGGTTATCCGGGGCCGAGGGGGATGTACATGATGAAAACGCTGTGCACGGTTGGGAACGTGAGTACAGGATCCCTCGCATCGAAGCATACGTTTCCGGCGAGACTGACGATCGATGGCCGGATAACCTCGATGTTCATCAACCTATAGTCTTTGGCCAAGCGGCCATCAGACAAGGCGGTTGGAAAGCCGTTTGGTTGCCGCCGCCTACAGGGAACGGCGAATGGTTACTCTTTGATCTGTCTACCGGTGCGTTCGTTCACCCTCTTTAGACGATCTTTTGAATTTTGGCATTTCGTCTCAGTCCCTGTGCCCATACTAACTGCCACTTCTTCGTAACCATGTAGATCCTGGCGAGACGAAAGACCTTGCCCGCACGAATCCTGATAAACTGGTCGCGCTGGTCAAATATTGGCATGAGTACGAGGCAGAGACAGGTACGATCTTGAGACCTGTCGATGAGGGGACGGGGCCTGGTTCAGGGGGTTTCGGGAGGTTTACGGGAGTAGATTGGGCGGACTGGGGGCAGTGATGCTTTCGTCAGCTCCAGCCAACGTGACTCTTGTCAAAGCGCAGGCTCGAGTCCGGATACGTTTGAGCATCATCTCCCATCGCTTCTTTCAATGCTGCCAGCAATAAACTTTGCAACATTCAACTCCAAACCCATCACATTGAGTTCCTCGAAAGTGAAAGGTATTAATTCCGAGGCAAGAGATCTTGCTGAGGTAATATTGTATTCGCATGACCAGGTCTCTAACGGTTGGGGATAGAGCTCGCAAACAACTTAACGTCTCAGCATGCAGTATGATGAGAATCGCGAGACCGCGTCTCTCCCAGATTTGAAGTCCAATCACCTGAAGAATACCCTGGCCAGTACTGCTCGGGGTATTATCACCGCCCATGCATCTATCTTATCAAGTTTTGCTGACTGCTTTTTGCAAATGTTCCAGCACACGAGTCTTCCGACATTGCAGCGTCTTAGTAACAAAGTGGTATCTAAGGATGCAACACAGATATCATTATCATCTCAGCGATATTACAAGCGATCTATGTGGCTGATACACAACTGCTGGTACAACAAAGCTAACGAAATGTTGAGCGGCAGGAACCGGAGAACCACGGTTTTTCATGGCTGACCTTCTTCCCTAGGGTTGATTCCGAGTCCCCTCCAGAAATTCTCCCTGATGTGATCAGGTTGATATCCCATCAGTCGCCACAAACGATCACACAAGAGCCATAAAAAGACACCTTGAGCCAATACCGTAACACCCAACTCCACCCAGATCCAGAACTTGTCATTTTCTTGCTTGGTGGTGACAACCGGACTTTCTGGTAAGGCCCAATGCATCTATCACAGCCTGAGTGATTTGCGGGGGGGTCAACGTGCTGTCCGGAGGCAGATCGAATTCTTGGCCGTTGACATAAATCTTCCTGATTCCTTCTGGGGTCGAAAGTCCCTGGATGGGTTTAGGCTGATACTCGGGGAAGTCTTCGTCTGTACAGGGCACGTCGTCTGTAGTAGGCACATCTGCCAAGGTGGAAATCTGGTCGTCGAAGTTGATCTGAACCTCATCAGGAGGGTTCCCGAAGACGTCCGAATAGGTAGACCGTTGCGTGAAGGAGGGAGACGAGCTGCAGCAGGAAGCAGCGGTGCGGCTGGTAAGAGCAAGACTGCACGAGGACGGATCAAGCGACATCGTGACGCGAGTGAGAAAGAAACGAGGATAGATTGTTCTCGGTTCTGATTTTAGAACCAACCGTTACTGACTAAATCAACGGGACATCGTTCGAAGCAGACACGTATATAGGGATAGTATATCAGGTCGGCCGAAAAACATTTCGAGGTTCTCAAGGCGTCGACATCTCCGTCAACAAAGGAATAACCACATCACGCCACGATGGCGTCAGATGCTCGATGATCCCGGAAACGGAAGATACTGTACTATTGTTGTAGGATTAAGGGAACGAGGAGTGGGACTACGTCGTTCCGGACAAACAACAGGATCCGGAGAACCCTCCCGATGAACGGATGAGGTATGCCATATCACGTCCTCGCTGCCTCATCCCTCTCCGAATAAACGACATCGCTTGATGTGAACCCTCTCGCGCGCACCCACCTGATTCAACCTTGTTGATGACAGCTTGCCCAGATAACAACGATGTCAGAGACGTTAAGCGATGCTATAGCAAGTGAGATATATCTTGGCCGAAATGCAGCAGCTCCAAGCCGAAAAACTATCCTTCGTGGCACAAACAGTTTCTTACACAGCAGCTGGAGTTACCGATATTGTATGGTACGATATACTCTCATATTTCATACACACGCTTCAGTGCCATCGTGACCTTATCCCACACACGGGTCGGACATCATCGTTGAGGACGGTACCCGCACCAGGAGTTTTCCCTCTGGCTCACATGGTAGCGACCTTCCTCTGCTCGCCAGGCTTAGAAGTTTCTGAGCGTCCGGCATTTTGCTGCTCCGCATCAAAAGCTCGTTGGGCCGCTTCTTCTTCTTTGCAGATCTCTCGCTGATTGTCCCACCAGGCGTTTTCCGTCACTTCCTTTCCGTTGCGGTACTTCGGATCATTCATTACAACCCAGCGCACTGGCTTTCCCGCCTGTTTACCATCTCTGATCGCTTTTTTGACATCTTCTTCCAGGCACCAATACGGATCTTTAGTACTCGTATGATCTTCAGTATCAGGCATTGATCCAATGCTTGCAGCAGGAACTTGTTCGCCGAAAGTTGCCGAATAGACGTCGTGAGGCCCACCATTCGACGACGGTACACCGCTGGCGGGGGTACTAGCGAGTGATTGTTGGCTGAGGGCGATCGAGGACATTGGAAAAGGACACGTATTGGGAATGGTAAAGTATCTGTATTGTTGTGTACTAGTCTTGAGATGGAATACGGTTATACTAAATACACAGCTTGTAGAGTCTGATGGAGTGCCAGTATAAATACTTATTCCTAGCTACTCGCCACCGGATATTCACGCAAGCATGACATAATGTTCGACAAAGGAAGCAATGAGGGGCATTCAAGCGGAGCAACTTGAATTGCCAAGAATTTGAAATAGTCACAGACGAGCAGGAGATACAGGGCGCTGTTGATCAGCCGGATGGCCATCAGGGTTCCGAGAACCTCAAGAATGGCGTAATTTGGAGACGCTCCTTTGTGTCTCTTTAGACAGACAGCGTTCTTGCCTTTATATTCACACGATAACACAGTAATCGAGGTCATGTAACTCTATGACTAACGCGACGATGCGGATGATACGATAGCATGCAGTCGCAGAGCACGTCCATATGTATCACGTACTCAGATCACTAGCCACATGGATTCGGGTTTGTCTATCTCGATAATGTATGATACAAATGGTATCGCCGGATGTTAGCGTCGATGAAGTCGCAGGTACGGAGTATAAGGCGTCGCAAGCCTCGTTCACCCGCGTTTGCAAATCAACCTGAAACGCGGGAACAAGGGAGGTAATTACTTGATAAGAAGATGGCAGAGATGACGTGGCAATAATCGTCCAGTGTTTTCGCGTGGCCAACGACTGAATCGGCCGTAATCGGGTTTCCTACGACCAGTCCGCGACCAAAAGCATCCTGCATGCATGCACTCACAACAACCTCGACATCGTCTTCAACGATTATCTACCTACTTCACCTCGACTCTCTAGCTCTCGCTCTCCACCTCGTCTCTTCCCCTTTCAACCTACCAAAAGCTCATTCCTCCTACGATGGTCCTCAAGCCTACTCCTACCGCTATTGCCAGCGCCCTCAGGCAGTTCCAGGCGAGTTCACCCTTGAGAGTTTCGCGTGGTATTCGAGCGAGGGTGCTCATACGAAAGCCCATTTTCTTCTTTTCCTGGCATTACCACCTATACACGAACGCCTGATCTGCTGGACCTCAATACGACCGCTTCACAAATGGCACAATTTACATTGCTCTCAAACTTGAACCTCGGGGGTTGGACGACGATTAGACCTCGACCAAGTTGGCTGCTTCGGCTTACCAGTCGACCGCTCCTTCGTCTGCTTATGCTGCCAAGCCCGGTTCCAACGTGAGCCTCTCATACACTATCTCATATTCCAAACTCTCAGCTGACTCAACAAGTGATCTTCTTGGGTGGACTCGCAGGGCAACTACACCGTCACCCTGATCCCCGGTGACGGTATCGGCCCCGAGATCGCCGAATCCGTCAAATCCATCTTCAGCGCCGCCAAAGCTCCTATTCAGTGGGAAGAGGTCGACGTCACCCCGACCTTGGTCAACGGCAAGACCGCCATCCCCGCCGACGCCATCGCTTCCGTCAAGAAGAACACCGTCGCGCTCAAAGGTCCCCTGGCGACTCCCATCGGAAAGGGACACGTCTCGTTGAACTTGACGTTGAGGAGGACGTTTGGCTTGTTTGCGAACGTCAGGCCTTGTGTGAGCATCAAGGGGTACAAGACGGCTTATGATGATGTCAACACGGTGTTGATCCGGTGAGTCTCGAGCTTGCTCGTATGAGAGGATGAAAGGGAGGGGGTCAAGATAGGGGTAATGGAGGCTGATACGATTTGGGGATTCGTGGATGGTAGAGAAAACACCGAGGGAGAGTACTCGGGTATCGAGCACGAGGTGGGTCAGCCCGAGCTTATTCGTGAAACAGCTTGGTTATCGTCGTGGCTGACACTTCGACCCTCCGCCTTTTACTCCCAGCTCGTCCCCGGTGTCGTCCAGTCCATCAAGCTGATCACCTACCAAGCCTCCGAGCGAGTCGCCCGATACGCCTTCCACTACGCCTCTGAACACGGCCGAAACAAGGTCACCGCCGTGCACAAGGCCACCGTCATGAAAATGTCCGACGGCATGTTCCTCGAAGCCTGCAGGAACGTGGCCAAGGACTACCCCAACGTCGTCTACGACGAGGACCTCCTCGACCGGGTCTGTCTCCGGGTCGTACAGGACCCGACCCCTTATGCCGACACGGTCATGGTCATGCCTAACCTTTACGGTGACATCCTCTCGGACATGTGCGCCGGTCTGATCGGAGGTCTCGGTCTGACCCCCTCGGGTAACATTGGAAAGGACGCTTCGATCTTCGAGGCCGTCCACGGGTCCGCACCGGACATTGCCGGCAAGGGGTTGGCCAACCCGACGGCATTGTTGTTGTCCTCGTTGATGATGTTGAGGCACATGAACCTGTTCAAGCACGCCGACAACATTGAGAACGCCATCTTCAAGGTGAGTCCTCTCGCGTTCTTCTTTTCGGACCTTCTCGTCTCGTCACAGCGTCTGACGAAATGCTCGCATCTTGCCCTTGCAGACCATCGCCGACGGAAAGGCCATCACGGGCGATCTGGGCGGAAAGGCTTCTACTGCGCAATACACCGAGGGCATCATCTCCAGGATCAAGTAGAAAATTTTGTAGATAGAGATCGAGGGATTGTGGTGTGGTGATGCATATATCCAAAATATACGAAAACGCTACGAAAGACTCGGCTTGGGCGAAATCACGGGGGAAGCAGATGGGGTTGGGCTTCAAAGCGTAAAGCAAAGCGTCGCAGCGTGTATAAAGGCCGTCACCACGAGCAGTGCGCGACAGCTACCGCTCGTGACCCAATATTGTTGGCGCTTTTTTCATCTCGTTTGACACACTCCTCGCTGCAAGACCCCGTCTTCTTCAATCGGATTCATCATGGGTCTTCATGTCGATGAAAGTGACTGGTATCAGAATGGTATATCTTGGTTGAGCACGGAAAGTCAGGGGATTGCCATTTTACCTCCGATTCGCCTCCGATCCCTTGCCTCCACCTCTCAGGATTCTGGTCGATGGGGTCGGTCGGTCGTGTTTCCATATCTCATCTTCCACCTTTTCTGAAATCAAGGTCAAAGGCAGCTAGTCCATCGATCATAGATCATAGATTGTACTGCCTGAGTCATAGCTCTCGCAACTAGCTGCATCATATAGTCGAACAGGAAGACCGGCTGTATCTTGGTCTCGATCGACCATTGTGTAGGTTGGAGGATCGAATCTCTGCCTATCCCACTGTTTCGCTACTGATTTTGCTGAGGTTTCTATCTGTCTCGCTCCCAGCAGACACCTTTCTTCTGCCATCTTCACCACGTATATAAAGAACATATCACGATGACCGTCGAACAATGCTCCGGCATCCGGGACGACTTCGTCAAATGCGTCCTCCGTACAAATTGCGTCCTTCGTCAGAATCGGACCGTGGCGGACTGTGTGAAACATCCGGAAGAGCTACCGGAACAATGTCTACACTTGATGTCGGCTTTCAATAATTGCAAGAAGGGACTGGTCAGTCTAGAGATGTTCGACGAGGGTTTCCTCAAGCCAGGGAGCTGATAGGCATGTCGTGTTTGCAGCTGGATATGCGCAAGAGGTTTAGGGGGAACATCACGACGACAAGTAAACCTGCCTCAGCAGAGCCCGTGGCCGACATCTCTCTATAAACACCATCCTTCCGCCCGGCGATACCTTTCTCTATCAATCCATCATCATGGCCGCCATTATCATTATCGTTGTACACAGCACAGGAACGTGCATTACATCTCGCATAGAAACCATCTACTGTTGATCTCCCCAGCATTCAGGTCTACCCCGCTACGGTCTTGGTAGCGATCGTACTCGTGATCACCGCCGCCAGCATATCCTTCTCTGCCTCTGTCGATGGGGCGTTAGGGGCCAGGTTCATCTCGTTGAGCTTGTAGAGCTGCAAGCACAAGGTTGAAAGTCCCAAACCCTCGATCAGTCCCATTACGGCAGGCGAGCAGGCCGCAGGAGTGAAGAATAGATGAAGACGGACCTTCTTGAGCCCTTTCCAATCCACGTCAGACTCTCTCAACTGTGAGAGGCTCGTCATCTCCCCCTCGACTAGGTCAGACATGGCGTCAACGAGCTTCTGCTCGTGTTCCGCTTTAGCATCTTCATCAGAAGAAAGTGGTAATGATGTCGAGGTTGATGTTATAGAGGATAAAGATGGGGGTCCTATTCGAACGAGGATGAGATTCTTGGTCGTCGCTGAGATTCCGAATTTCCTTAGTGCTTCATTGATTTGGGGCTGCGATGCGATTTAGATTCGAGGAGGAGTGACCGATCCGAATTATCAGCACTTCGTCCTCAGCTGCTTCAAATGCCTGGAAAGAGGAAAGTATAAAACGGCTCACCGTAGCGGACGGGTGGAGCGATAGCAAGACTTCGCTATGCAACGTTTTTGTCTTCAATGGCCCTGAGCTGGCAGCTTGTAAGGCAGAGTAGATGGCTGTTAAGAGTTGTTCCCGATCCACAATCTGTTCCGGGTCGAGACATTTTGCCCTCGCATCAGCCTTCGTCAATCTGCCATGTATCCGGCTCGTGGACGCTCGGACTGACCATATTAGCTTCGACGAAAGCATAATCCAACAAATCTCTCTCCTGATCCCCTTCTTCCCCCTCCATCGTCGCTGCGGCGACGAGCCGTTTTCGAAGATCCGCAGAGTTGGTGACATTTTTGAAGAAAGCTAGGTGAACCGAGGAGTGGTCGTCGGGAAACTGGGAAAGGTGGTATGATTCCATGATGATCGCCGATGTGTCTATAAGATTTGCTAGTGCGATACTGGAGAGTTCTAGGGTGCTATTGTATCTATAGCGGTACGTAGGTAGAAGTAAAGCATGTACTCTAGCATGTATCATCGAGGGCAGCAGTAGCAGCAGTAGTAGCAGCAGCAGGTGGAGGGCGACTTCGCGCTCGGGGGGACCGTCGATCGTCACTCAACCAAAAGTCTACAACTACCTACCTTATATCATCACCAAAGTCCCATCCCATATAAAGCCATAGATATTTGCCTATTCTCTATATAATAGCTAACAAGCTTGAATTGGGCGAATCTGTTTTATAACGGACGATCGCCGATCGCCATGACGCAGGATGTCGTCTCAATCTCCCTCGAACCCGCTTCAAGCCAAGGTCTGCTTCGTCCCGTCTCGCGGTATGAAGAAGATATAGGAAGACCAATCTACAAAGAGTGAGCAAAAATGCTACATGCTTGGGTATATAATTGCGACTCATTTTTCCTGTCGTTGATTAGGAAACCGCCTGCAACGGCCAAATTCGATCGGGCCGTCACTGAGCTGCTTTTGCTCAAACCTGGCAGGTTCTCCGAGATCAAAGCTGATAACGTACATCTCATCAAGAGCGATAGCGAGAAAGCAGCCGAGGAGGCTGAAGAAGACTCTAAAGAGGATGATAAGGTGGATGAGGATGTCGCAAACGACCAAAATCGGAGGAAAGAGTTGAGTGCGGAAGAGATGGGGATGATGAAGTACGAAGTCGCTGGCAGATTACAGTGAGTGATCGCTAGCCATGTCGGTCGGAGATATCACTTGCCATAGCTATAACTCACTCAATATGAAATGATTGCCGTGTATCGAAATGTTTACCACCGCAGCGCCGCTTGGCAACAGATGATGAAAACCAGCGAGATCATCCGTTCCCTCACTCCCCTCCAGCCGCACCCATACACCGAACCACACCTAGTCGGCAACGCTACCATCCCAGCCGATTCCCTTATGACCACCTCCTCCCTCTCAGATAAACCGCCTACCAAGGACATCTTTGCGGCTCTGGATGTGAAGAAGATGATACTGGCAAGGAACCGGAAGGGTCTGTCGGATGCCAAGGAAGCGTTGGTATCAAGAGCAGGGGAGATGCGCAGACAGATGGCTGGAGAGCCTCAATACTGGACCGATCTCAAAAACCTAGCCGGGTTCCCCATTCCGGCGGACGACACCCCGACGGGCATGCAGATGAACGCTATCGCCGGTCCCAGCGACCCCAAAACCGACATCAGCAACAGTAACAAAGTATGGTCGATCCGACCACGCTGGAAGCCCGGTAGAGACCTCGATGCACGTGTCCAGATGGCTTCGGACGTGATGATCCCCTACGCACCGGACGAGGCGGGTCTTTCTTTCCGTATGGCCGCTATAGCGACTTTAGATCCCCCTGCGTCCCCGGTTGGTGACCGTAAGCAGGAGGTGCAAGGGAGCTCGACCAGTTCTAGGACGACGATCAAGATACCAGCGAGGAGACGAAGACGGCTGCGGCTGTGTATACGAACAGCAGATAAGAGGGATAATCAGGTGTCGTATAGCACCCTCGATGCTTCGGCGTTAGACGAAGACGATAGTGAAGGTGCCGACTCGAGTCGAAGCTTAGAGCGCGCTGCAGAGGAACTCTTCGAGGAAGAGATCTATAACGAGGTAAGTTTGGAGTTCGCTAAGCTGAGTGCATTGCAGCCAGGGTCAGAGTTGATTCCCTTCAACAGATACGGATAGAAGCCAAGGCTAGCCCCACGCTAAATGCTCGGATCTCGGTCGACTCTGTTACTATCTCGGCTGTTCCCGAGCAAGAACTGGTCTTCGAACTCGTCAGTGCAGCCTCTCACGCACGCCTGAGGAAATCAAAGCTCAAACGACCTTGATATTGTACAGGTCAACTTAGACGAGCTGGAGAGTGACGAAGACGGGCCAAAGAGATCATCAGCCAAGGCCGATCTGATCCTCTCGATCGTCAAGATGAGTATGCTCAAGATCTACCGGGAACGCGGCGCACCGAAAGCCGTCGAACCAGAGCCTACGACTAAAGAGATATCTGGACCTTCCCGACCAAAAGCTGGGGCGAGATCTAAACCAGGTCAACCCCCATCTGCCGCGGTCAAACCTGTACCACCATCCTTGGCGAAGGCAACAGTCTTTGGGACGCTGGTGCCTTATCTGCACTACCAAGCCTTTTTGGGACGCCTACTTCAGGTACTCGAAGGATTCAAGAGGACGATCGGGTCGTTTGGGTTGGACCTTGGGATCCGGCGGAAGGATAGTGGGGTAGTGGGAGGCCTGGATTGGGCTTCGCTTGTGGGTGGGACAGACGGGTATAAGGATGGGAGTATCGACGTAACCCTAGAGGGAAGGTAAGCAAAGCTCGAGGAAATTATGGAAGTTCCGCAAGTTTGCTGACGATACACCTTGAATTAGGCAAATCGTTTCCCTCACCATCTCCTCATCAGCGACGTTCACGCTCGTCTTCCCCAACGTATACCTTCCTTCCAGCGATATGACCCAGCTCCCATCCTACATCTCGCGGGAAATTCGGCAATGCCTGGTGGATATCATCGAGGAACACGTTCGAAGCAAGATCGAAACCGCTGGGTTTGCCAAGGTGGCCAAGGATCATCTCGCGGGGACTGTCAGTACGGCAAAGACGAAAATGTGCGTAGTGAGATAGAGGCTCTCGGATGGCCGGTGATCGACCGCTAAATGGGATGGTTGACCATTACAGAGCTGTCGATATTGGTGCAACATCAACCGCTACCAGCATCAAGGCGTACATCCTCCGGCGCAAGGGAGACAGGGATACACATGGGCAGGAGACTACCATTCAGCATATTGAAGAGGTCGTGTTTGATGGTACGAAGTCGGACGAGGGCGAGCTACTCCGCTGGGTGGATCGTATGATTGTACGGTGACAACATGCATTCGAGACGCAGGGTATAGCGATGTGAACTTCCATGCATGTCGTGCTGCTAGAATAGACCATTGATAAGGCGACGGTTCATCACGGCCGATAATCTCGGATCATTAATTCCCGGCGAATGATCGTTCCTGAATGACGATGATCTCCGCCTCGGAGGCAATGCATGAAACGGAGATGACCGATTGGATGACCATAGACCGCAGGCCGCAGGAAGGTCAGCAAGTCCTATATATCGATACCAGCTGCAACCACAACCTTCCCGCCGCGATACTTACCCGGTTCCGCCACAAGACAATAGATCGCACATCAAAATGGCGTCTGCTCAATCTCCTCTCGCTGGATTGTCTCCAGCATGTCACCTCCTGCTCGAGGCCAAGGCGAACAAGGGTAGGTCTCGCCTCGATAGATCTGCCCGCCACTTCCATTGGTGACTGATCTGCAGTCTCGATCAGGCCTTACTTTCGAAAAGATCGCTGAGAGTATCAACAAGCCGGAAGTTTGGACTGCCGCCGTGTTTTACGGTCAAGCCAAGGTATGCTTGTACCATTCCATTTAGACGTTACGTCAGCTTGACCGTAATATTTGTTCAATTCCAGCCGAGCTCGGATGATCTCGCCAAACTTGGAGAGGTCTTGGGTCTGGATCAAGAACAGCTGAAGTCGAGTTTCGGAGACCACCACATGGTTCACCGGGGAGAGACTTGGACGTGGCCACCTAAGGTAAGTCGGCCGAGCAGCATATCTGCGGCGTCAATCTGAAGCTAACGGTTGTGCGACTGATTACGTTAGGATCCCGTCTTGTACCGTCTATACGAAGTCTTGGTTGTATACGGCGTAAGTGCGATGGACCAACAAGAAGGGTTTCGATTCGCTGACCCTTATGGATATCCGCTTCCTGCTTTAGTACTCGTACAAAGCACTGATCGCCGAGAAGGCAAGTCTTACCGCCGAGTCCGTCGCACATCTATCGAATATTTGCTGACCACAATCACCGTGATTCATCGCTTTCCACAGTTTGGCGACGGTATCATGTCCGCCATCGACTTTCGAACATCCGTCGCTAGAAAACCAGACCCTAAGGGGGATCGAGTTGTCATCACCCTCGACGGGAAGGTAAGCCGGGTCTTTGGCTAAATTATAGAGAAAGAGATGAGTTGAGGGCTGACTGGGCTGCTATCGGCATTCGGTCCTGTCATTCAGTTCTTGCCCTACTCATCCACAGCTGAAGGAGGTACTTGGACCCGTGAGAACTGTTAAGCGAACGATCTTTGACAATCCCAAGCATGAACTTTGTAATCTGTAATTTATCGTCGAGAAACCAACTTGAAAAGCCTCCATAGTGCAGTCTTCCCTGTTCAATAAAACGTTATTGCAGCGAATTTCTCACAGTGTACGCCAGACACAGGTGGAAAGAGTATGAACTCATCTTCATCTTGGTTCTAAGGATCCAGACAATCAACGCTGGCAGCCTCATAGTTGTCCTCTTGTATTTGGCAACAGATGCGATAAAGCCGTTTGGCATGTTTTCTCTTCCCATAATCCCTTTGTGTGCAGAAAGGTCAACCTACTCTTTGGCATGATCAGCAGCTTGATCGTAATTGTATCAGTCTTTGAACCACGGACGATTCCGAATTGACGGACCCTGCATTTGCCCAGTTGGTCAGAGACTTAGGATACAGCGAGATCCGATATGTTGACTCTGGGTCATGGTACACCAAGGTCAGGTGCGAGCAACTGCTGGAACACCTAGATGCTGGAGTAGAGGAAAGGACGTGTGCTCAATGGGTGCTCAATGAAATGGCAAGAGAAGAAGCGGAAGAGGCGGAGGAGGCTGAATCGTTTAATAAATGGCGGCGAAACGATGACTGCAGTAATCTAGTGGCCTCGCTACTACATTGGTTGCATGCCTCGGATCAGCTCATCATCGTGTTGGGCTGAAGAACGGAAGGCATCTTTAAGCAGAGGAAGTCATTGCAGCGGGTCGCGGGAAAAGACCTGAGGTGTAGCATACCTGGCTGCAGCGACCGAGACAGCACCCTTTAGCCGGTATTATACCTCCCAGACGCTCTTCAGCTTGCTCGCTGGGAGGCGAGTGGAGATGGGTCGGACGACGTGGTCGTTCCCGGATCCAACGGTAGCAATGTCACCTCTTCCATCGTGGGTCAAGTCGGCCATCTGAAGCAGGACACAACATCGAAACTTCAATTTCTGTTATCTGGCGGGTTCATGCCCTCACTCGGTAGTGCTGCAAATAGGTATCAAATCGAAAGGAAAAAAGAAATACATTCTCTCTACGTCTACCCTCTGTCCCTGCAAAGGCTTCTACTTATCCATCAGGATCGCCTTCTTGCCTGTCTTGCCTCCGTTCTCGGCCCGGTCCCTGTCTCTATCCTCGGATCTGTCTTTCCTGCTCAGTCCTCCCAAGGTTTCGTTTGAAAGACAGGACCGCCAAATTCCAACCAGCTCCAACAGATTTCGGACTCTAATAAGCACAAGAAGCCTCCCCGACCCTCGTGTTCAGGATCAACGCTACGATGAGGCCGTACAGACCGATGACCTCGCTGTAATGAATTCCCATTGAGAGTCGGTCTCAGCAATGTCTGTCACGTATGTATGAAGGAAGGAGTTGAGAGGTAGGACAGGGGACTCACGCGAAAATGAGAATAAGGACCATCGAGACGAACACCCTCGATTCGTATAAATACGCTCGGACGCACTATCAACCCCCGTCAAGCAACCGAGTACTTCGTCAGCCTTCTCAGAAATCCGGAGAGAGTGGGCGAGACCGACTCACAGCATCTCCGACGATCCCAATCGCATACCCAGCCGCCAACCCCGTCATCCCACAAGCCAATCCCGCTCCCAAGTGGATGAACCCGCCGAAAAGAGAATAAGGCTCGGTAGGCGTGAGGGAACCTGCGATGAGGACGGAGACTACTAGGCCGTAGACTGCGATGACTGTGTGGATGAGAAGGATTCGATCAGTTCATGCGTAAGGCAATGATGCTAGGAAGAGCAAGAAGAGGAGGGGGGCTTACTACCGCTCATCTACACCCCCGTTACCCAACGACGATCAGCATCAACAATAGTGTAACATAAGCAGAATTGTCAGCCCACGCGCCCATTTCCCCTTACAAACAAGCACTAGAGGCACGCTGAAAGATCACTCACGACGACGGGGATCAAACTCTTCATCATCAGGTCCGGCCTGACCTGCCCTAACCCGGCGATACCGATCCCTGCTTTGGCGGTCCCGTAAGCTGCTCCGACTGTGGAGAGGACCATCTGGTGATGCCGGACGACGACAAGATAAATGTGTTGGGGGTGAGGAGTGTTTATATATATAAATATGTAGCCGGTTTGATCGGATTGCAGGTCCGAACAGAAGGAGGTGTAATGAAGAGGTAGAGAAGTGTGTGGTTAGAGGATAATTGCGAAATTGGTTGAACAAGAGTTGGCTTACGGCGGCTGTTACTCCGGCAAAGCTATATTGGAATGGAGAAGAACACAAGAAGGAGACTCATTGTCAGCATTGACAAGCTACCAGATCGCTTCTACCAGCTGTCGTCTCGACAACGAGAAAGGGAACCCCAAGTTCCCGAACCCTCGCCGCGGACATCAAGTCGGCTTGGATGCTCACCCGAAGAATGGGGCCCAAGGTGGACAGAGTTCCGACATGATTTCCGATCGACGTTTATGGAAGTATGTCTAGCAGTGAGTGGGCGTTAAGTAACCAGACGAGGCCGTTGTCATGAAATGTTGCCTCGATATCGATCATCATCCATCATCACGATCATGCATCATCGATCCAGCAGTAGCGACTGCAGTAACGCGAACGCGGACATCAGGAATCGATAGAAGATGTCCGCCACCGCATGGGAGTGGGTAACTTGGCCAGTCGAACATCAAACAACCATCATGAGACGACCTGTTCGGTAACCTCTCGCACACCGTCAAACTCCATACCATTCACCTGGAGCAAGCACACCTGAACTCACACCAAAGATGAATGGCGCATTCAAAGTTCCCGAACTCCCCTCTTCAGGCGGGTCCAAACGCAAGCTCCCCAGCTCATCAGCTACCGATACATTTGGAGCGGGTGTCAAACGACCTCGAACGAATAACAACGGCAGTGCGGACCCCTTGGCCAACCTCAGCAAGATCCCCAACTCTAGCAAATCGGCGGCTTCAACGGGAAACGCAGGAAGCATACCTATAGCCTCGGGGAAGGGTAAAGGAAGAGCAGCGACGGTGGAAGATGAACGAGATGAAGAAGGACCGCAGGACGTTCGGATGCAAGACGAGGAAGAGGATGTCGATGGGGTCTACGGGGTTGCCGAGGAGACGTTCGAAGCGGAAGACGGGGACGAAGAGGGAGGGAGGTTTTTCGGTGGGGGGACGAACGAGACGCAGGAGGTTAGTCTACTGTCCTCGGAATCGGAACTCGGCGAGCACGAGCCGTAGAGGTTGATGCTAACGCTATGTCGTATTACGGATATTGCTGTATTGCACGTGTAGCGGATCTTGGACATGTTCGCCAACGTAGCAGACGAACAAGTAAGCTACACCCCATGTCCAACCTTCTATTAAGAGCTCGCTTTAAACGCTGAAATCTCGAACTATTGCCCTAACTCTGTAGGCCTCGGCACTCCCGACGATCCCCGAGCTGAGGAAACAGATCATCAAGTTCGATCGGGTCGTCAGGAAGAATGCGGAGATGAGGAGCAAATGGATGGATCAGCCAACCAAGTGAGTCCTTGTCAAGCGTCATCTTGTTCGCGAGGGAGACGTTTCCGTGCGCCTCATGCTTTTCTGTTCATAACCCCACCTTCACACACGCACACGCTGACTCTGCTGTCGGGTACATCACTAGATACTTAGATTCCGAGACGGAACTGGACACGGCATTCACCTTCCTCTACCCTCTCCCTCAAAATCCGCTCCTATACTACCCAGAAGTCATCAAGAACGACCTTCTCCTGCCCGACCTCGTCCAACTCTTGTCCCACGATAACACGGATATCAGCTTACAGGTCGTCAGCGCGTTGTATGAGATGACCGATGAGGACGTCGGGGAGGATTTGTTGGAAGCCGAGGGGGAGGGGGAAGATGAGGACGAAAAGAGGGAGGAGATGAGGACGAAGTTGAGGCTGATCATGGGGGATTTCATCGGATTACTGGTGAGTCTCTTTGAAACGGGCAAAGACAAAGTCACAGCGGAAGCGTGTACGCTGATATTTTCCTAAAATCCTGACAGCTGGACCAATCCATCCTCGAACTCCTCGTCTCCAACCTCTCCCGCTTGAACGAAGAAGACGAAGAATCAGACCGTACAGGCGTATTCAACATCCTCGGCATATTCGACAACTTTCTCGGTTTCCTCCCCCCTCTGGCCAATCAGATCGTCGAGCAGACCGAGCTCTTACCATGGTTACTAAGTCGGTTGACGGTACCAGCTTATGATAGCAATAAACAGTATGCGAGCGAGGTCTTGGCGGTGCTCTTGCAGGAAGAGAGGGGGGTGAGGATGAAGCTGGCGGATCTGGGAGGTATTGAGCCGTTATTATTGGCCGTCTCGGTGCGTGCCGAACGTTTCTTGGAGCACCTAGATGGATCGATACATAAGCTGACTTTCCTTTCCTCGTTTCCTGTTCGCACTACAGGTCTACCGCAATAAAGACCCCGGCGACACGGAAGAACTCGAATACATGGAAAACATCTTCAACGCCCTCTGTTCCGTTCTCGCCGAGCCCGAACTCAAGCACGCCTTTCTCGAAGCAGAAGGTGTCGAGCTGATGGCACTGATCATGAAGGAAAAGGTCGTCGCTCGGACGAGAGCGATCAAGGTCATGGCCTATGCCACGCAAGGGGAAGATGGCAAGGGATGTTGTGAGCGTTTTGTAGAGGTTTTAGGGCTGAAGAGCTTGTTCTCGGCGTTTATGGGCAAGGTGAGCGAGTCAATACGGGAGCGCGCAAGGCGGGACAGGTAAGATTGTGATGCTGATCCGTTCGCTTGGGCTTTATAGGGCGGTCCGAAGAAATCCAAGACGACAGCAGCGTTCGCCACTTCGCCACTAGAAGACGAGGAACACGTCTTGTCCATCCTAGCGTCCCTTTTCACATCGCTCGATTCGGAAACACCGGCCAGGATCAGGACGCTGGCCAAATTTGTCGAAAACGACTACGAAAAGATCGACCGGTTATTGGAGATGCGAGAAGGAGCGGTAGGAAGATTGAGTCGAACGGATCGGGAGGTGGATATGGAGAAACAGGTAGGTCTTCGTCCGCAATCGGACTTTCGTGACCAGCATACTTTCGCCTCATTGAACCAAATCCGCGACGACAGATCATGCTAGAAAACGGCGAAGAGATCACTGACGAGGAAAAAGACGACTGGTACCTTCGTAAACTCAACGCGGGGCTATCACATTTGCAAAATATCGATTACGTCTTGGCCTGGGTCGTAATGGAGGATGACGGGGTGAGCACTCGGTGCTAAAGGCTGGCTGCGACTGGTGACTAATGATCAACGAGATCATCATCTCCTCAGGCTCAAGGTCATACGAAAATGCTACTCAGTCGAAAAGGCAAGACTTTCGAAGATGTAATCGGCGTGTTGAAGGGTAAGACGCAGGCGTTGATTGTTCAAAAAATCAAGCAGGTGGCTGACATCTCTTGCTCCGACAGAACTCCGAGATACGATCGCCTCTGATGCCGAGGTGGATAACGCAAACGACGGTCAAGCGGACGTACAGCCGGACAAGGTGATGATTCTGGACGCACTGGTGGCGTTTTGCCAACAGCTCTAGATCTAGTAACAAAAGGAAAGTAGAGGCAACTGGCGAGATTTGTATACATCAGAGTAGATGGCATAGATACAAGACGCTCTCGCGCATCATATCCGACAAACAGCGGTAGAACACATCGACCTGTCTCGCACGCTCAATGACCTGGGCTTGGCTCCCTGGGGGGTGAGGACGACTGACGATACAAGACGGGCACCGGGGACATGTCCGCAAGATACTGAATAATGAGCCGAACCTTGGGCAAGAACGCATTCAGAGACTGCATTATGACAACCTTGATCGCTTCACCAGAGAAGCCAGCCCATCAAGCAAATCTCCCTTAATCCCCCATCTTGGGTTGTGCCAATCGTCTCATCGTCCGCAATTATGCGTACCATTTCGAGCAGCAACCCGGCTGGAGACCATGCAATTGAAATAGTACAATATTTACAGTGTCAACAGCTCCATCGATTATTTCAATGGTCAGGGCTGGGTCAAGCCGCCTTGACGGTGACGAGTTTGCAGACAGGATGTCATTTGTAAGTTATACAATGCAAATCCGAGACGAGTGTCCAAAGACTTGCGAATCTAAAAGTGAAGGGCTGATACAAATTTGCAGAGAGCTCGAGCGGCAAGTCCATATCACAATTAGAACCTGGAACAACAAGCATAACCCATGGAAAAGACAAAGAGAAACAAAACTGCATACCCCGGGCTGGGGGGTCAAGCCCATAAATACAAAACAGACACAACTTCGATCGCAATACCCCAACAACCTGAGCAACAGGTCACTACAAAATAAAACAAATGACAAGTCAAGACGCAACAAATAACAATAACCGACCAACTTTCCCCTCATCTGACCCTCTCAAACCCCCCCCTCCCTTCCCCCCTTCACCTTCCCTCGCAAATTGCACGACAACTCGACCTGAAACGGACTCGAATATGGCATAAAACCATTGTGAGCCTAGGATGGTCGGCAGCAACGTTCACAGAAGAGTTTCTGATCTCAAAGAGGCGGACGTCGGTAACTTCGTAACATTCAAGTGCCTGATTACAAAAGCCGAGGATCGTGCCGAATACCTAAACAGGTTCAACAAGAAGGAACTGGGCGGTAACTGAGCAGAAAGGTCTAGCGGGATATCCGAGACTGGTTGTTCCCAAGGACTTTTGGGGTTTGGCCTAGAGAGTCATTATCCCGCCGATACATTCTTTGGGATATGTTTGCTGCTTCCTTGATAACAGGCCATGATCCCGTACGCAGCTCGGGAGTATTGGTCCGCCGTTCATCGCCACGTCGACAAAACAAGCAAAATGTCAATCGGTCGATCCTGGTCCCTTGTATCTGTTGCGCTCAAGGCTTTTTCTTCTCTGTTCAAGAAGGTTTCGACCCTCGACGGGATCTACGGGGAACGTCAGTCAACTGTTGGATCGTAGGATATCTCTTGGTAGATCCTGCCAGTTTGAGGCGAGGGTTCGGACAGCGGTGATCGCGCTTGGTGGCTGAACGCGCCAAAAGCCCAAAACATGCGCTTGCCGTCAATCCGGTCAAGCGCTGAAACGCGACGTGAAACTAAGCATGGTCCAAGCTGAAAAGCAGAACAGACCATTCAATAATAAGCGGAAGCGAATCAACTGCTTCTGTGTATCTATGATGCTATGTCCTACATCATTGTCGGCCTAGATTTCAGCGTTACGTCGAGTCCGGCAAGCAGAAAGAGCTGGCTTTAGCGGGTCTTGTCATCGAATGAAGATGGTCCCTTACGCCAGAGCATGTTGTGAGGATTGACTATCATCAGCTTCTCAACTATGTAGTCAGAGGAGGCAGACTGATACCTCGGTTAGCCCTGCAAGCGCACAAGAACGGCGCCATGGGAATCCCTAGGATGGTCCCCCATACAATTGGCGGTCAGGAAGGCGAGGATGGTCAGCGAGGGGCGTGAGCGCAGACTGAAAGGTGATAACGAGGGAGTTCTCGAGGCTCATTGGGATCGTTTTGAAGCCTTTCAGGCAGGAAACGGCGGTCAGGATGACGAGGTCAAGTTGATGTATGTGCATGCACATCTACATATCTTGTAATGCACGTAATGTCATCTCGGATTTGAAAAGTTCATATGTCGCTAAGTGTTGCGCCGGAAATCACTCGAAAGACACCTGGAAACCAAGCCACCTCATCCATTATCCGTTAGACGTTCTTCTTTGCTTCCTTGTAAATGGAATACCAGTAAAGCAGATTTGTCCACCAATGATTAGCCAAGATTGAGCGCTGCTCCCGGCAAAGAGTAATTAGGTCGACCACGACTGGATTGTGGGTTTTCTACCCGGTCTTCGTAGGCTGATTGGTATGGTGAGACCTGATGATTCTGGATTGCAAACCGTAAAACAAGTGGTACAAGAGATAGTTTGCGACCCTGACGGCTTACTTACAATCGCGTTGGTTCGCAAGGTAGAAACGTAAGCAACCTTCTTCTCAACAGATCCCGGCTGCGTTGCTTAATTACCGACTGACACACACTGAAGTAGATTTTAGTAATGTTCATGTGCTCTTCAATACTCCAGCGCGCAACATAACATTAAGTAGGAGATAGAGCGGGTCACGATATGAGATGAAAGGGCGGCAACAGACTCAGTAGTGGGTATCGCTAGCATACCTCGTCTCGTTCTCGTTCTGATTTTGCTCTGTTCGAAGTCCGGGAAACCTTTTGTAGCTGACGCTGCCTCTTGACTTCCTGAAGAGAATTGCTCTTCTTTTCGGCTTTCAGCAGGAACCTTTCCAGCCAGATGTGATTAGCGTCAGTCGAGCAGCAGTGGGTAGCAATTTGGCACTGGATAAAGCCGAATTGCTGGTTGTAGTGCGTGACCGGCCTGATGAAACACCAGAATCACCTGGTGCCATTGCACTAACTCGTAAGATGCGCCATGACAAGCCAAGTTGTCTCTCATTGTGGCGACGATGTTTACGGCCCACCATGTTTCCTCCCCAACCCCAACCCCAACCTCGTTGTGATTTCTGCGCAAGACCAGGCGTTGTCCAGGTTCTGCATGGCAATCACCGCAAAACCGACCTCTGTCCGAGACTTGAGAACCGAACCACCTACACCCTGTGCAAGGAAGATCACCTATGCAAGGTCAAGAATTGCAAGGATCTCAGGCTAAATCAAGTTCCTGCGGATCTACAAGGGTTCAATCAGACTACCCTTTTGACCAAGTGTATTTTTGGGAGTTAGCAATGCCCTCATCTGATGTGATAGGGGTATGTAGACGTTTTTGATGGGATCGCTGCTAACCTCAGTCTCGTCCGGGAGAGACTGAGAGACATGGTTCGAGACTTGACGATAGAGCGATGCTCCACACGCGCCCAGAGCCCCCTTTTTGCCCTCTCCTACTACTCCGAACTACCTTTATAAGCCCCGCTCTCAAGGCGTTCAATTGTGCTACTTCTCTCGTTCCGCTAGCGTTCAGTAGGGCGAATACGAACAGTTTTTAGACTCGCTCTCTCTGCGCCAAGATTATCGCCGGATCACATTTTAATCTATCCGCACAGGCGGAGCATCATCAAGACCCTCTTTAGAAGGTCTGTATGGGGGAGAACTGCGGAGCGGAATGACAGCTCGACCAGTGGAACGTCCGAGCGGTCTATAAGTTCCACGAGCGCAAACGTTAGGACACAGATTTGAAAAGGAACTTGGAAACAGTCTGAGGCATTGGCTCACATTGGGTTTCAAAACCGCATCATGTCGAGAAGCACAGGACCGGCATACAGGTAGGTTCACGCTCAGACGGACTATGAACCATGGGATGATCAAACTACATCGCTTGAATCATTCACAAGCGCGGTCATCGAGACGGGCCAAGAAGCTGTTCCAATCGCGTTGTGAAATTCCCATCTCGAAACATGCAAATATATACGTTATAACTAAATGATATGTGATTCTCTCGCTGGACTCCGACGCGCACACATCTCCCCCTCTCCTCAAGCACTCAAGACCCGACCGAACCCCCTACTCGTCCTCCGGCCGACCGACCAGAACGGCACCATCATCACTCTCCTCCTCATCCGCCTGTCCAGCCTTGCTCGATGTGGCGGACTCTCCTTTGACGGCGTCCAGAGCCCCAGCCATCACCCCGCCTGGCCCATCGACCGATCCCGTCTCTGCCACCTCTTGCTTGTCCGCCTTTCCCTTGCCCATAGGCGTGTCCGATACGGAAGCAGCCCCTGAAGCTGGAGAGTTTCGACGTCGGAGTTCTCCCGTCCCATATCCCTTGGACTTGACCGTTTCCTTGTCCTTGTGATCTTTGGGCAAGAGGGCCGTCTCGTCCGATTCCAAGCTGCTCGAAGAGGAAGATGACGCACGGGACGCGGCCGATAGGTCTTTCAAGGTGGTCATCATGCTCTCTCGGACGTCTTGAGCTAGCTGACCGACGTCCTCGCTAGAGAGTCCTTGGGTGGAGATGGGCGGTAGGACTAACAAGTCGAAGCCGAGTGAGGGTAGATAGTAACGTGATGGCGAAAATGAAAGATGTGAGCCGGAGCTCAGCTGTGGGAATTCCAAGTCGAGGCCGACTCACTTTTGATCTTCAAGGTTCCCCGTTCAAACATCCGTTTCCCATCGAACAACCTATGATAATTCTCACAAACGACGGGTACGACCGGGACCGCCGCTGGAACCCCCCGAAATCCACGTCAAGTCAGTTCCGGCTTCCCCCTCAAAACCCAGACACCTCGCTCCCCGCACGGGCAACCCCTAACCCTTGACCCCTCGACTGGCATCTGAACTCACCTTGGACGGCCAGGTGGAACGCCCCCTTTTTGAACGGCAACAACTCGTCCTCCTTCCTCAGGCTCCTCGTCCCCTCGGGAAAGATCCAGAGCGAGACGCCCTTGCGCTTCATGTCCTCCCCGACGTGGTGCATCATCTTGACGGCGTCTTTGCTGTTCTTGCGGTCGACCATGACGGCTCCGGAGAGGGTCACTGTAGGTTGCAAGTTATTGTATTAGAAAACAATATAGGTAGGATGGAGATTGAGGAGAAAGGCGAATTGTCATTGATGCGTTTAGTAACAAATTCAAGCAGGATAGGTGAGGCGAGGATGACTGACGGTATTGTCCGAGCAGAGGAGCCCATCGTAGTTCCTTCTTGGCCATAATCACCGCCCGCTTGGGGAAGATCCTCCCGAGGTACAAGATGTCCAGGAAACTGTACACATACACGAAAACAGATATCGAGATTGTCATCAGCTTACTCCATAGGATCCCGACCACGACCCATCGTCCAAGCCCAAAGCTACCTTCCAATCTATAACTACAACTATAACCATAACCACGACTCACCTCTGATGATTCCCGACCAAGACCGCGCTCTGAGCCTTTCCATTCTCCCCCAAGGTCATCAGCCCGTCCAAGTGTTCCCTGCCCTCTACTTCGAGCTTGATACCGATCAGGGGGTAACAGAGGTAATAGAACGAACGGGCTGTTAGGTAGTTGATGTTCAGGCGCTGTGGGGGGGTCGGAGTTCGTAAGGCGGTGAAGAGGAGAGAAGGGGAAGAGAGAGAGAGATATGGGTTATTCAGAATCAGTACGTCCATATCGGTATAATCTAGTTTCGACCGGCACCCCCCGACTCACCTGCCCGACGAGCGACAAGGCGATACTATAAACGACCCCCAAGACGCTACAGAGACCCATCGTGCTGAAATACAGCGTGAGGTGGAAGTAATACCTCGCCTTCTTCGACCGGGTAGAGACGAGTCCGAGGAGAGAGATGGCCGAGGTCGAGATGAAGGCGAGGGGTTTGAGGAGGAAGGACATGGTGGGAAGGTTGATCCGAGGTCGAATAGGGTTAGCCGGAAAGAGAGAGGGTTGGCGTCAGGAATGCTACGCGAAAAGGTGTGCTTGACGAGAGCTGGCGGCCTGTGTGAGTGGACTCTGCAGCCTTGATAGATGGCTGACGGCTGACTGCAGTAGTAACCAGTCGAGTCGCTCTTGCATAGTGTGCATAGCTTGCGATCAAGAGAGACATCCGGGTACGAGCAGGGCGTGGTCAGGGCGACGCGTACACGATTAGCTAATCACGTAACATCATTGTTGCTTACGTAACTGTATATGGGCAGGTCAGTAACCGGGGGGGATGACGTCTAGAGGTAGCAGCAGCAGCAGCAGGTTGTCAGTGCTATCAGTGCGTATCATACCCACCGACCAACATCGATAGCCTATATATCTATATACACACACGCACACATACATACACACTTACAAAAGAGTTTTGATCATGGTGTGTTGAACACTAACAGTCACGGTCAGACGCGACACAAAGACTGACCCGTTCCGACCCGCCTCGCAGTCTCAATCAACCACCGTTGACCTCCCCGTGACCGTCAAAGATGCCGTCAAGGTCAGTCCCAGCTCTCTGCAATCAGACCTCGATCCCTATCACCTGACTATCAACTCATTCTGTTGACTTCCCGTCCCACTCACTCCGATACCCCTGAAACGGACCACGTAGAAATTCCGCTTCAAACCCTCGAAATCCACCAAGGCCATCTCGGTCAAGATCGACAAAAAGACCCTGTCCATGCAGGTAGACGAGGAGCTCGAAGGGTCCATAGAGGAGATAGGGGAAGAGTTGCCGGAGAACGCGCCTAGGTATATCGTACTGAGTCATGCGTTGGTGAGTTTTTGAACATTCGAAGGGTCGCTGCGGCTGGCGATACACGTCGCGTTTGGCGAAACGAAAGACGTTGACTGTTTCTGAGCTTGACTTGATTTCATTCGGGTTTCGATATGCACAGACGCACAAGGACGGCCGAGTCTCATACCCGCTCGTACTCATCAACTGGTCAGTCCCCCGCTTTGATCCCTTCTCTCCTTCGCATGACCTCCCCTAGCTCTCCTCCAAACCCGACTCTGACTGCAGACTCGGTCTGACAATAATACTGAAAGAAGAATCCCCTTTGCCACACTCGCAGGGCTCCCTCATCTTCCCCGACAGAACTGATGATGCTCCACACGTCCGGCTTGCCGCAATTCGCACAGGTCGCCGAGTGTTCCAAGGTACGCCCCCGCCCTCGCGCCGTATCTCATCCTCTTTATCTCTTACGAGAACGACGGCTGATACCGAGAACGCTTCAACTCCCAGGTCATCGAAGTCAGGGACGGAGCAGAAGGTTTCACGGAAGAGATCATCAACTCCAAGTTGCTCGGCTAGACACCCTCAATCTGTCGTGTGAGTTTATACCCTCAAGATCCAGCCAAGCGGCGGAGATAGATTGAGATCGCAGTGCGCAAAATAGGTGAAATTGAAGGATCAGTAGCCAGATGTTGTATTTGTGATTTTGTTTCACGTTTTCGTTCGGCGAGCGGGACACCCGGAGATGCATACTGTACTCATGCCGGTGTTTGACAGCGTACAAAACCGATCAAGTCGAACGAGCAGGTCGAGTCGCACAACTCGTGTGTCTGTACGCATCAGGTCGTCCATGACAGTCTTGGCAAGCTGTACGTGCGTCCACCCGTATATGACATGGATCATCACATCACATACACCCATCAAAGGAAAAAGAAAAGGAACAAGCACGGAAATACGTGGGTTTACACAGTCAAACTCCTCTCGTCTTCCAGCCTATCCCCCTCTCAGCCCCTCGAATCGCATCCCTTGTCGCTTGTCACGACCGGTTTAGGCCTTGAGAGCGTACTCTGCAGGAAATACGGGTAGAAAAAGACCATCAGTTGCCGTCCTTTGTGCGGTATTCCAGGTTGCAGACTCACTCCTCTTGGGGAAGTGGATGTCCTTCTTGTGCTGCTTCTCGGTGATAAGGTGGGACTCGTGCTTGGTCAATCGTCGTCGGATAGCCCTGGTCTTCTTGTATCGGAGGTCGAGGGGAAGGTCTGCCGGGGCATCATCGATTCGCTCACGGTCAACAACTGCGATGCCTCTCGAATGTAGCGAGAGGGCACAAGGTGGTGTACTCACACTTGGCGTTCTTGCTCTTGTACAACTCCCTGACGTTCTGCCTCTGCTTCTGGTTGATGACGGTCAAGACTCGGGCGATAGACTTTCGGACACCGTTGCTACAAAAAGAAGAGCAAGATCGTCACAGTCAGCTGGGCCGTTACCGGGCTTCTCGTTGAGGCCTTGGTCGCTCGGGGAGGTGAAAGTATGGGTGCGCGGTGCGTGCGTGTGGTGCAAGTGCAGGTGGGAAGCCAGATGCTTCTAGGTCGGGTCCGTTCGATAGTGTTGAGTATGCTCGTATTCTCGAGGTATGCCGTCCTTGATGTAGCTTCAGAGGCGTTCCTTGCACAGCCTGCATGACCAACCTCGTCGTCTTGTCTCGGTTCTTTGGCCATTGCCGCTACATGTGCGGTTTCCTCAGGGCTGATGTCGTCCACCCTCTTTCTTTTCTCGATCTCGATATCCCTGTCTTCCATCCATGTCGACCCTAGCCTTTCCGCTATCCATCCATCCGATCCGATTTGCACCTGGCACCATGCTCCTGACGACTTGCACCGCGTTCGCGCAGCACCGCACCTCGTACCCCGGAGTTCCTCGAAGACCAAGCGTCCCCATCGAGCAGGAAAGGAAAACCGCCTCACATCTTTCCGAGCTTGTTGGCCGATCCACCGGCGATCTTGGCGACCCTCAGGGAAGCCAACTCGGTCTTAAGTTCATCGAGCTGGGTGAGGAGGTCGGACTTGTTCCTGCGGGATCAAGGTGGTTGTTCGTGAAGGTAAATGAGGAGGGGAGGAGTTGATTCGAGTTGCGTTTGTGGTTTGGTTGAGAGGAGATGTAGGCGAATTGGAGTATGAATTTGAGACAGGATATTGTAAAGACGAGAGAAGCAGAGATTCAGTCAGCAACTGCAGTCTTCCTGGCTAATCACCCATCTCTCCTGAATCTCCGCTGCCACGGCGAGATGTATTCCCCCACATCTCCCGTTCCGACAGCTCTCCGAGATCTCCCTCTTTCCGTCGAGGACGCAGCGATACGCACTTGCTCTGCAGCTCGAAGGCACGGATCTTGGTGGACATCTTGAAAACTGTATTTCCCGAAACAACAAGAGAGAGAAAAAGTCGCAACCGCGTCTGAGTGTCCTGGTCGAAAGAGGTGCGTGTATATCTAGCGTCTGTGTATCTCACACTTCTTCCTTTTTTTGGGGGTCGAGTGGTTGCCGAGGTAAAGAGGAACGAAGAAGGGTCAAAGGCGGGTATGGGTGCGGAGTGGAAGATTTTGGCTGAACGAGGTGGTCGATCTGAACTTGCTGCTGGGCTGGGCTGTGGTTCGTCGCTCCGAGAGGCCGGAGCGAGGTGGTCGCCAACGAGCGAGAGAGAGAACGAGAGAGAAAGCGTGCGAGCCTGACAATCTGCGAGGAGAAAGGGTGTCGAGCCTGACAAGTTTTCCGAACGCGACGCCTCGCGAGTCTCGAGCCTAATCGACTCCGCTTCGATCCGCTGTCTGGCCACGTAAAAGCGCGCGCCTCTTATCGCCGATTACACGTTCTGACGATGATCATTCTACGTCCGGTTTCGATCTCGACCTGAATAGGCAGCGAGTGTGGCGAAATGCTTCAGAGCTTAAAGTGACTGCGCGGATCGATTCCAGGTATAGACCAGCGTTGTTGAAGGCGAACACGCTCTCGGCGTCTAGCCGGAGTGCTCTACCCTACGCTAGCGTTCCTTGCAAATCTCCTCCCCATCTCAGATCCTGTTGCCAAACCTGCGAACTCGTTGTCATAGCAATCCCATTTGATAGTGATATACTAATAACGTCGCCGATACAACCTAAACATTTTGTTATTCTTCGCTTTGTACACTCTGTGACTCCCAGAACGATACACGAGACCAGTCCTTTCCGCTCAGAATCCGAACAGCGTCTCCCCATCCTTGAACCCCCAAGCTTTCAAGGGCGGCATCGCACCATGCTCGATCAATCCGGGAGGCCCACACCTTAATTGTCCCATGTAACGAGTCGATGAGGATGTCCACGAGACATGATCAGCCCACTGTCATCTTGAAACGCGCGCTAACAGCAAAAGCAGCAGTGCAGCGACTCACAAGAACGTGCCGACCTTGTCCCCGTCAGGCGCAAAGAACCTCTCCTTGACGACATTTTCGTCCAAGTGACCCGTCGAGTATTCCCAATCCTTGCCTCCGTTATCTTTCGGCTCTGGCGGATGACTGAGCGTAAACCAGGGTTGGAATTGGTCGGGGTATCTCTGAGCATAATCTTTGAGCTCGTCGAACATCAGAATGTCCTGCAGTCGATGGTTGTTCCGAAAAGTCAGTCACGTCGAAACAGAATTCAGGCACTGAGTGATGTGACATACGGAAAGACCGCTGTTAGCGTCTACCATCTTGATCTGAGTATGGTCGTCTTTGGTGTTCTTCAAGATGGAATGAATTAACTGCCAGTGGGGCGTAAGACCTGAACAGCGTAGCGTCAGCACATTGTGGAGCAATACATAACGTGCCTACCTCAGATGCTCACCTGAACCACCGGCCACCAGGTTCAACTGTCAACAAGCGTAATCATGATCTCGTCAGTTGCAAGTACGTCGTAGAGGCGTCCGCCAGGGCTACCACTGACCTTGTCAAATTGGTAGTCTTTGTCGTTGATCTTGAATTTGCCCTTGCCCAGGTAGGTGATGTCCGACGGTCCCAGACGGATGTCGATATCTTCGCCTGTATGAAAAAAGGCTTGTCAATGGGGAGGTAATAATCGTACCGCACGGTGAAAAACATACCTATCTGCATGCAGTCGACATAGTTCGAGCTGTGACGTGGGACCGTCAATGAGATGAGTCTTGAGCGCTTGGGTCGTCAGCCTCCGATACGTACAGTGTGCCACCTGGAGGGAATTTGGAGTCCGCACTCGGGAAGTAACTCTTGATGAGCAAATCTATAGTGCAGACGAAGTCAGCTTTGGCGGAGTAGCCTGAAAACACAAGCGATACTTGCCGAAAGTTCCGTCTTCCTCGTCTGCCGTGACGGGCCTGTGAAACCATGGCATTGAGAAGCTGACTCCTTCGTAATGGAAGGATCTCGACTCACCTGGTCGGTGTATACGGCCTGGTCACCACTCCATCGGCACAGTGGAACGCGATCTGGACATGGTTCCCGATCGGCAAACCTAGTCGACCATGCTTTCCATCCGGTCGTTTAGGCAGCTCGAAGGTGTAGATGCTGGAAGCGCAGATGACGTTATTCAGCAGCGGCACAGGGAATGGTGCGATGTTGCAGCCTACCGAGTGTCCTTGCTGATCTCTTTGCGTTTGATCAAGGTTGCAGCCGTGAAGCTGTATAAAGAAACATCAGCGTCAGCCGATACTCGCTAGTAGTATATTTTGGCTAGAAACCCGTACCTGTACGGCTTCAGTGCGAAATCGGCCCGTTCCTTCTTCACCTTCGCTTGCACCTTCTTTGCCCGCTCAGCATCCTCCTTGAGGGCGTTAACACCCTTCTCGCTCAGAACGCCGATAAACAGCTTGTCCCGCTGTTCGTTTGCGTATCCATCGTGAATGGCGTTGTAATCATTCGAGCAGTCGACGGTGGCTTTTCCAGCATATGTCAAGATGGCTGCGGCTCCACCGGGATGCCAAGATCCAGGACCGGTCAGCGAACTGACGTCGTACACCTTGTTATCGATGATGATCCACGCGTCGTCAGGTTTGTTGTGTTTCTCGATCTCTTCTAGGGTGAACTGCTTCTCGTCTCCCGTTTGCTTTTTGGATGCCTCGGCCTTGACTTGCTCGGCCTCGCTGGGCTTCATCCAGCCATCATCACCTGCACCAGGTGCGACAGGGTGACGGAAGAACAGAGCCGGCTGACCGGTCGAAGGGTCGTTCTGCAGCTCGGGTCGAACTCGGTACCAGGCTGCAAGACCTTGATGAATCAGCATCTTGTGGTAATCCGGATTCGACAACAAGTCTGACCGTTGTTCATCATGCCCAGCAGATTCCAGGTGATGTGTTCCGGTTGGCTGCTCTTCATGGCATCCTAGATGCGATGTGAACGACATCAGAACTCGTTCATCCTTACTACTGCTCACGTCGCACTCACGAAAGCGCGAACGATGATCTCGGACGAATTGGAGAGCTCTCCGACCGTGACCTCACAAGACCAATGACACCAGGCCCAAAACTTGTTCCCGTGTCTCATAGGCTTGTCCAGCATTTTCCGGAAACAGAAGCGCCAGGTTTTGCCGTTGTCTAGGGAGAGCTCGATCTTCTGCACCTGGATACCTCCTCCATGGTACGCCTGACAAACGAAGTTTCAGCTGAGCCGATTCGAATCACTTTAGATCAGCAACTTACATAGCCAGCAATCTACACAAGACAAATAGTCAGCGTCTCGAGCTGGCGATGCGGAGTCTGTCCAACCGCTCACCTCGATCTTGCGCTCCAGGCCTTTAAGGCCATCCGCCTCGCCATCCAATGGGATGTATTGCCCATGGGCGGGACGGGTGATAACCGACTGTAGACACTGCTCCAACAAGAGGGTATGACTATCACTGTGGAAGAACGCCTTTGCCATTGGATCCCGCTTCGACGTGATGAAGGACGGTACCACTCGATTGTCCCATCGATGGCTGTGCCGAAACACTGATCAGTTTGCGTTCCGCCTCGCATGGATCTGAGCCTTGCTTACTAATGGGATTGGTTGGGCTTCTTGCTGATCCAGACCTTTTTGAGCCACTTGACGCATCGACCACCGACGAACGACGGGATGATCGATCGCAAGGGGTATCCATGGTCGGGTTGTAGCGGTGCTCCATTGATACCATAAGCTAGCATCACGTCGTTGGTCTCGTCCATCACGTATGAGAGGGGGATCGACGTCGCATACTTGCCCTCCGACGGCTCATCCGCGCCCTCGTAGTTCAGGTACCACCTCTCATCGCCGGGCCTCTCCTTGAGGTTCTGTTTGAGGAGAATATCCCTCAAGAGCGCTCCGGTCCACATACAAGTGGACACACCCGCCGCGCTCCATCCGAAGCCTCCGCTCTGCTTGATCATGTTGACTTCCTTTCGTCGATTCCCATCACAAGCCAGCGTCACCGGGATCTCGATCGGCGTGAACTGTTGTACTATATCGTCCATGGATAGCTCGATCGGGTCGATCAAGCCTGGGGGATCGGAAAATATTTCCAAAGTATGCGTCTCCCAAGCGAGTCGGGGGACCGCTCCGTGGTTCCGGATATAGTGCAGCTTGGTTGGGGTGATCAAGCCGGCATCGAAGAGCTCCGTCATGTTCGCCTCGGCATTCATCGGGTGCTTCCCAGTGAGCCTCAGTAAATGATCCGACCTTGGGATCCACGAATCGGGAGTGAACTGATCATCCAGCTGAACCCGCATAGCAGCCTGTTCGGTGAACCGCAACTTTCTCTCCTGCCTGGCCGCCTCTATCACGTCCACCGCGTCTTTCCCATCTAGATCCTCAATCTCGGGCTTGAAATCCTCTTGAAGCGCTTTCAACCCATGCTTCCCAAAAGCCGTCGAGGCCACCCCCGGATCGTTCTTCAAGTTTTCGAAAAAGTCCATCTCTTCGATGAACTTCTTGAACCATTTCTTTTCACCCTCGGAGAGGTTGTCGAACATGTCCGGATCGCCGTTTTCTTGGTCGTTGGACTTGTCGTCATCCCCAGGGGCGGACTTTTGGTTGGCGTCCTCGGGCTTCGTCTCAGATTTGGGCTCTTGGGCAGTTTTCTTCTTGTCTCCAGTTTCTTGGCCGTTCTGTTTCTTCGGATCCTGGTCCTTCTCCTTCCCCTTCTCGTTATCTTGACCTTCTTCTTTATCATCCTCCTTCTTCCCGCCCTCCTTCCCATCTCCCTTCTTCTCATCCCCTTCGCCCTTCTCTTTCTCTTTCTCTTTCTCCTTCTCCTTCTTCTTCTGCTCCGCCTCCCGCTCCTGTTCAGCCTTCCCAGGCCATTCCTGGTTCTTGATCGACTTTTCCGTCGTCCTAAATACGCCCGACGCGATTGGTCGGATCACATCGTAATATGTCGTTTGCGACGTGACGGGATATGTCAGGATCGACGTGAGGATCATAACGAGGCAAGGATGGAAGATTAGATCAGATTAGTTGTACCGGACCATGACTAGGGAGAAGTAAATAGCGTTCGACTTACGGGAGAACGTAACGCGCTGCGCCGTACAGCTATTCCCCCAGCCACGAAATCGATCAATTAGTCTGACAGGACCAGACCCAATTCCTGATCTTCCCCCAGACAGAAGAAAAACACTCACCAACGGATCCTCCAACTTCCAATCCTTGACCAACTCCTTGACCTCCCTTATACTCAGACACAGTGCGGGATCATCGAATAAAGCTTGCAGGGCTTCGTCCCGATCCTTCCCCGTCCCCTGAGCTCGTTCCAACAACCGCTTGACCCGCTCGACCTGCTGGGAACTCCACTTCTGGGAACCTTTAGGTGATCGGCCCTGTAGCGTCCCCAGTACGTCTTTGCCGACATCGTCCGGGCGGTTCAAGAGGTGACTCCCGACGGAAGAAGGATCGTCCGAATGCACGTAATCCGACCTCCCATGCGTCCCGGCTAATCTCCCCGTGCCATCCCCGCTCTGCTTCAACGGATGATGCCGACGCAAGAGGGTGGAAGGTTCTTCGTCCAGGTCTTTCTGGGTCGCATAGGGGTATGAAGAGAGGTCCGAGTGGGTCTTGTGGATGGTATGCGATTTGGGCCAGATAGGGGTCGAGAAGCGGGAAAAGTCGGGTTGGTCCGATGAGGGAGAGGGGGAGGTCGAGGGCATCTTGAGGGTGGGTGGGTGTATGCAGATCGCAGATCAGATTGAGCTACTAGCTGGCTATGAACGGTACATGTGACGACGTGCTTTGTGGTAGCTGATATATATACAACAGTCTACCGTCTCCCGATCTCGTGTGAACTTGTGGTTCGATCGACGTCACTCTTCATCGTTCATCGCCCAGTCACACAACTATTCTCGGTTCAAGCCGAGGGAGAGAGCATCCGTCGACGGAATCAAATGAAATGATCAGGAACGGAAGCAACGGACCGATGACCGGGGTGACGTATCAAATTACGTGATGCATGTACTCCCGGAAGTAAATCAGCTTCCGAATGGGGATTTAATACAAATCGAGGGTGGGGGGTTGATTTGTAGAGCGAGCGAGCGTTGAGGTTGATTTGTAGTTTCGAACACGACTAAAAGTACAAATCAACCTCGCCAAAACTACAAATCATCGACCAACCTGCAACCTCCCCCGCCTCTCTGTACACAGCTCTGGCTTCCCTAGCACAGGAACACCAGAGACACAGATCAGAAGAACAAGAAGGACGATCAACTTTTGCACCGATCCCGTTCTCCGCTGTATCTGCTCGTCGATCATGCCTCAGGAAGACCAGCTCACCTCCTCGAACGGTAAGCACACAGCCTTACCGACCACGACTACAAAACTCCGTTTCTCACCACAAACCTGATCATCCTCGCTTACTTCTTTCGTTCTGGCTCAACTCCTCCTTTTCGGCCCGGTGCTTTCTTCCAATCCGTCGTTCGTTGTTTCACCTCATCTCCGGGCGCCTAACATCATCAACATTAGAAGGCGAGGTTGAACCATCGAGGTGTTCTTCCTCATTCTCTACACCGTCGACCTCAACATCAACGTCCATTTCCGCAACAACGACAAATCCAGCGTCTCGTCTCGTCCTGGGACTAGCCAACTTGACAATCGTGCCTGCAACCGCATCCCGGTCGAACCCGACCAGAGATCGACAACGAAGCCGACCCCCAAGTCCGGGCTTTCATCCCGCAGGTGTTCCTGCTAGCCACTGGACGACGAGGTGTAGGAACATTTCCTGCGGTCGAAGTTCACGGACCGGAATCAGTAATAGGGTACGGACTAGGGCATCTTCAATAGGATCGTCCCCGGATCACCATCGTGGGCTTTATCGTCATCGGTGTTGTGCCGCTCGCCCTTCTTACCTCGACCACGACCTCGACCTCGATCTCTTCTCCGACTACTACGCCAACTCGAACTTCAACTCGGCGCTCAACCCGGATATAGACCTCGACCTCGACCTAGACCTCGACGTTGACGTTGACATGCCTTTCCGGTCCAACCATATCCCCCCCTCACCAGCCGCTGAACAGTGCATGAACCCGCAATTGGCCAGTCGGACGGTCTTGAGGTGTGAAAGGCCGTACCTCGACGTCGACATCAAGAATGTCGATCGTACGGGATATGAATACGGGAATATGGACGAAGATATGAATATGGGTAGTGGTAGTGGTAGTGGTAGTGGGAGGACGTATTCGTACAACTACAACTACAACCCAGCACAGGTCAGGGTGAAAGAAGAGTTCGAACCCGTTCCGAGGTCGGGAACGGGGTCGGGGTCGGGGTGGGTCTCGCCGTTTGAGAGTTGGCAGGGACATGGCCGACGACCGGTTCAGCTTGGGAATCGACCTGGAAGAGGTCAGAGGGCTTTTCAGATGAAATCGGAGATGGGGTCAAAGGTAGAAATGGGAGCCGAGGTGGACATGAGGATGGGGTATGATATGCGACCTCGCGCGGGGACAGCACTGGGTTATCATCAATATCCCCAAGGTCACCAGCGCAGTGGGGGTCGGTCTTTCGATATGCAGCCCATGGTCGTGAACATGCCTCCGATACAACATACCGGTCCGCCTCGGTACACGTCCGACGCGGGTTTGCCGAGACTAGCGAGTCAAGGACAATACCAGAATCAGAATCAGGCTCAGATGCAGGGACAAGCACAGGGACACTATAATGAGGAATATGCTGCGAGCACACCGAGCACGACCAGCTCGGTATATCAATACCCTGGACCGTCTTCGAACGCGAACCCCAACGTGCATGCGCAGATCGGGGCTCGGGCTGGTTGGCACCCTTCGGGTTCGGAGCGAGGGACCGACTTTGGCATGCCGGATATGGAAAGTGCTGCAGGGACGGGAACGGGACAAGGGAACAGTCCTCTTAAGGTTGGATTACCTCGGACGAGCTCGTTTGGACTGGGCGCGGGATCGGGAATGGGAGCGAGTGGACAGATGGGTCTGGGAGATCCTTCTGGGAGCGGGATGGGTGAAGGTTCTGGGTCAATGGGACAGGGGGGACAGTCCGGTCAACCTGGTCAGATCGGAGATGGTGTAGGAGCGTCCGGTTCGGCTCGAGGTGCGGGTGCGGGTGGAGCAGGAGGTTCAGGTGGAAAGGCGGTCAAGAAGAAGGCTGCGAAAGCCTGTTTGCAATGTCAACGAGCGCATTTGACTTGTGATGATTGTGAGTGCGAGGTCCACAACCCCGTGACGCACTTTTCAGGGCAAAGGCGGACCGCTGAATACGGTCATTTGCTTTGTGACAGCTCGGCCTTGCACACGTTGCGTCAAAAAGGGTCAAGGTGATCAATGTTGCGAAGGTCAGAGGAAAAAGGCGAAATATCTGATGACCGAGGCAGAATTAGGTGAGCCGACTGTCATCGCGGTCTCGCACACCCTTGCTCCAGCTTGACTGATATCATCCGCTCCTTGCGCAGCCGAACATAACGCGAAGAAGCGGGAACGAGCCCGGGCGAGGAAGGCGCCGACGAACCCGGCAGTCACCTCGGAAGGGACGACAACCACGACATCGGTCGTACGAAAGTCATCAACGCCCGCGGCAACGCTGCAGAACATTCCGGATCTAGAGGATGATATGATGACTGGCGGTAATTCGGGCAGCCAGGAGCTGAGGGAGCCCGAGTTCGACCTCTCGCTGGACCAGGGCTTCCAATTCGACTCGCAAGCTGCAAATCTCGAATACGCCGTGCTCGACTCGATCTTTGCCGACCTGCCTGGTCTAGCCGAACAGAACGGGGTCGAGTCATTCATGAACGCTTGGCAAGGCGCCGCCATGGGCTCGCAATCGATGATAGGCGGCAACGTACCCAGTCAGACCACACTTGACAGCGACATGATGGACTTTTCAGTCGATGCCGGTTCTGGCGTGGGCGTTGGGACCAATGTACCTCCCGCCCCTGGCACGCTCGGGTCTGTCGCTACGCAAGTGTCTGCCAGCAGCGTGTATGACTTGGTGTCGGAACCCTAGTGAGTTGAAATGAACAGCTGCGCAAGGGACATGATACAGCTGTTGATCCATTCCTTACAACGCTTAGTGACTATACTGTTAGCTATCACCAGCTCATGAGATTCTTGGCCAAAAACTTTGACCAGAAGAGTATCCTTCGCGTGGTAAAGAGTCTGGCTGCCTTCCGACCCAGCTTGATCGCCCTGCAGTAAGTCGCAGCCTGCAAGGGTCAGAGCGTCTGTTGTACTGAATATGCCCTTCGGCTTGTTAGGATGCCCTTGTCGTTCGAGGATGAAGTCTTCTTGGAAAAGAGTTTCCAGCGGACTTTGATCGAGTTGGACAAACTAATCTCGTATAGCGGGACGCCAACTGCCGTATGGCGCAGAACGGGCGAGATCTGCGTAGTCGGTGACGAATTCGCCAGACTCGCTGGATGGAATCGCGCCGACTTGTTGGGTACCAACAGCAACAAGGGCAAGTTCATCTATGAACTGTTCGACCGGTCATCGTAAGTCTTTGCCGCATGCGGATTCTCCTTCGCATTAGACTGAAGCGTCAATGGCATACAGGACCGTCGACTACTTTGCCAAGTTCAGCCAACACGCATTCGAGAACACCGCTCAGAACTTCTACATGCAGGTCGTTCTACAGAATGGCGGTGAACAGAGCGGTGCCAAGGAGATCAAATGCGCAGGCTCCTTCACCATCAGAAGGGATGTCTTCGATTTAGTAAGTTTGGCCTTCCGGATGCAAAAATCCTGCTGTCAAGCTGAACGAGACTCTGTCTTGTAGCCTTGCGCTGTGATTGGTCAACTTCTGCCGATCACTGGATGAAACCTCATGGCCTGCGACATGCAACTGTTGAAACTGACGTGAGATGGTACATCGAGACAGGGCGCTTACCAGTGACGATGACACGAGAATTGCTTCCCGATATCGATGCTCTTGTTTTACGATGTATACATCGTCATTCACCGTCACATCGCAACTCGTGTAATGTGTTCAGGACAGAACATCTATGCGCCGGCTCCTGCAACCAAAGCCTAAATTAAGTCATACTACAGCCCAACCAGACTAACCGATTAATTACATTCTGGTTGTTTCAGCGGTCGCGTAAGGATTGATTGCGCTAGCTTTTTCGTCCCGTGTAGCGCGCATAGTAGTGTCAACTTGTCATGCGGCTGTCATTCGATTAGTCTGGCCCTCCCTCCCCTCTAATCGCGGCTCACCTCACCTTGGCTTTCGAAAGATAGCCGTCGGACCAATCTTACTGCGTATCGTGTATTACAGCAGTGAGCTCAAGGGATATTCGTGAATTCAGGCCACCTATTTGCAGTCTCCTGACCAATGTTGTGAGGTGTTTCAGTATATTCGTCACCAAGCCCCTTTTCACTATTCTTCTGGCAGTGCCATGTCGCACCAACAAGGGCCTGGACTTATTACACAAGACTCCCGCCCTCTATCAACTCAGCATATCCACACCCATCACTTCCGATGCATCACCAAGCACCATCGCTAAAGGGTTCTTGCCGGAAGGATGGACAGAAGATACCGAGCTACCAGTCCAGGATATGAGCCAGCTTACAAAGGCACTTGTTGAGGGCACTAAACCCCTAATACAAGGAATATCACACTCGGAGAGGTTCTTGCACAGTTTGATACGTCGGCAAAGGGATACAATTGCCTCGAGATCACTGGGTCACCTCTCCAGAATGCCAAGGAGTAAGCACTGCTTTCCCACTCTTCTCTTGCACATCTGCTGACCCCTGCTCATTGTTACCTTGCAGTTGTTTCATGCACGATATGTTGGCTAGGAATGCGGCACATCAAGAAGAATAAGAAGTTGTCAAAGAACTGGTAAAATGGAGAGCATTTGCCTGGACAACAGATAAACAAGTTCGGCTCTTTCAGACGCAAATACTGCAGGCACGGTCACCGGTGATCATGAGGATGGTAGTGAATGTTTCGCTATGCTTGAAGTTGATTACGGTCTTAAAGTGAGTGGCCTTTGTTGCGATGGAACCCATCCCACTACTGACAGTAGCTCGATTATAGGTATGTGTTAGAGATTGACTCCCTCGACGGAGGCTATCAGGGAGAACGGTTCGGGCATGTTCTATGGACGCGATCGACGGACGTGATCGACGGGGCTGACCGCCGGGATGGCTGGTCGCGTCGCTCCGACAACAACATACCGGAGTATATAGACGGCGGACTTCGGTGGAGACCTATCCATACCACTGTATTAGATAGTTCTACATCCGTTATACAATCCGTAGGCTTAGAACCTAGTACAAGTCCCGCGTAGAGGAGCGACTAAGGGCATAGCAGGGCTCACCCTTAACAGTATGGAATATCTTTCGCCCCAACAAAGGCTGTGCGGAACACCTTACCCTTTGGCCCGGAGACCACCTGTACATTACAATTTCAGGTTCATCAGAAGGAGAGCGTAACTGACTACAAGCATACAAAATCATGAATTCCAGCACTCCTCACAGTGTCTGTCTCTCCCAGACAAAGGGGATCAAGGGTCGTGAAAATCAGCTCTCAACCTTGGAAGCCTTCATACTTTCTTCTTGTGGTTGACGTGTATTTTGCACAGATTGGCTTCTTCGGTCCTCAGGTGGAAGGAATCACCGAGCCCCGCAAGTTGATCGGATGTCGCACAGGTAACATTGCGGTCGATAAGGACCTCATTGTTTGAGGAACTCTACCGTTCCAGGACAGTAGACCAGGGAAGTTGATGTCTAGCCCTTCAAGATGTTGCAAAGGGGTAAGAAGCGGTATCAAGCCAGGTAGATCTGCGGGATATCGAATGCATGACTCATGATGTGATCAGAATACAATGGTCTTGTGGATGGCCTCGAAGCGCATGTCAATTTTCTGGCTGCGCACCTTCCGGTGCACGACGTCATTTCTGATTTGAAGAAGATTCCGACCACCGGAAAGGATGCCAGTGAGTCGTAATTGCAGAAGAGTTCAGATCTGTTCTTCAATCTGTCTATCTCGATCGCGCATTGGCCACAACCCTCATCTCACATACCTATTGCTGCACCACGCTCCTCATCTGTGATTTTGCGATACCTACTCCTGGTCCTACAGTACCACCATAGCCCTGCTCAGATCCGCCTCTAGTACACCGTCCTCTATCGTACCAAGGACAGTCGAAGGTCACGAGATCCGATCAAAGCACAGCGAAACTCAGGTCGAGACCTTGGCGTTTGTCACGAGGATAGGCTAAACAATTTACACGATGAGATGACCCTCATAAATGGCCATCGTGGAAGAGACATCATCAACCATCATTACGTAGTTACCGGTCAAGAACATCACGACTATTGTGCAAGGCTTCATTACTGCTGATTACCGCTCAGGACATCGACAGCCTCCACGATGTATCCACCGGTCAAGAAGATCTCTTTTTCAAAGGTGGCTCGGAGCGCTGTAAACAAACAGCTCGATCAGAAGCACTAAACGATATTTCAAGTCAAGAGACTGCTGTTTGAGTGATGATTGCGGCGCTGCTTTAGGCAACGGCTCAATGAGGAGCTCTACGCGATCAAAGTCGGATTCGTCGACTTTGAAACGTTCGAGGTCCAAGCAAGCCGAATTCTACATGCAGCAACATGTACCGAGATCATATAACGGCTTTGGCTGTCGACTTGCACTGGGCATGTCAGGGTCTACAATCTGGAATAGATTTCAAAACACCACAAGCATATCAAGAGTATCACTACGGAAGGCCTCGAGTAGAAGTCCGAGTAGCGGTCATTCGCGAGCTAGTAGTGCTTCTCTCGACTCTCAAGCCGGTTGTCGCACTGACAGATGACAACCTCTTTGGCGGGACGCCGGTATTTCCAGTCATCTGCCTGTTCGTGACATATTGCCTCGGCGCTTCAGATGGACGACCAACAGTCCGCTCGAGACCCGAGGCCGATGGTTGGGTCATACGGGTTCGGGCTGCGGTGGCGTTTGAGGTCGCGCTAGCGCGCCCTGTTATTACGGACGAAGCAGTCGTCGAAGCGCGTTGGGCAGAGACGACAGAGCTTGCAGTCGATGATACTCGACTCCTGCCGATCATGCTACTATTCGTACTCGCTCGGCTAGCGGGAGCAGCGATCCGGGATGTTCTAGACGTGGGATCCCTGATCCCCATCGAAGCCAAAACTTGATCCGCGCTGGTCCCGTTTGTTCGTGTTCGAGATTGGCCTAGCGCGGGGTTGGCAACCGGGGGCTTGGATGCAGCGGATGGGCGACTTGCGGCTTTCGGAGGCGATGTTTTCGTGCCCACAGAAGGAGCTCGAGTGGTGTTCCCGAAGCCTTTGATAACGAAGAGAATTATCTCAGCTAATTCTCCTGACCGGCTGGCCCGCAAGCAGGACTCACGTGAGGTTCCGCTTCCCACAAATCCTGGCTTGGGCGCTTCTACCGAAGTCCTGCTAGTAACGCGGACCCTGCTCGGTTGTATCGTAACACTGGATGAGACTATGCCAATACACGAGGTCAGCTACTTATGTGAGACGAATGTCCTAGCTGCAACCAGACCTACTTTGCGAAGGGTCCATAGTCGCGTTGCGTCGGTGTCCCGTCAACCTACCCAAATCTTGTCCAGACGAGGTCGCTCGAGATCGCGCTCGACCTAAGGTCCCAGTCTGAGTCGGATCCATACTCGCAGAACGGCGATGCGTTCGGATACTAGTCTGAGCAGGATGAAGTCGCCTAGCATCCTTAACGAAAACTGGAGTCGCAGGGCATCGCACACCTGAACTGATATCCAACGGTGTCTCATCGTAAATACTGTTGTTCGGACGATGGGGTCAACTCCGCAATCATTTGAACCCGAACAAGCCGGTGCTGCAACTCACATCTTCAGCACTTTCTCTAATTGTTCCCCATGTAGCAAACCCTCTGCCTGCATCTTTCGGGCCCACGCCATATTGTCCATGACAAACGTCCACCGCTTGGCGTCCTCCCACGCTTTCAACTTGGTGCCTCTCGCCTCATCGGCTTTGGCCTGTTGATCCACCTTCTTCAATCCGTCTTTCGATAAAGTTGGGTCAAGCTGAAAGACGAGCCTCGACGGCTGAGTCGTATCCGTGCTGGTCATTCGGGAAAATTCGCGTTCGACTTCGTTCATCGCGCGAGGTTCTGGTGCCGGCTTGGTCGGGCTACCGGGAGATCCGCTGGAAAAGATATTACGCAGCGATTGACCTGCCGATCGAGACGGCCCAGCCTGTATGGTGGGTCTATTGAACAACGTCGAATGTCCGTCGGTCCTATGCGCAAGCACGTTCATTTCCGCAATGATATTACACGTCAGCTCAACGATCTTGCAAGCCAATTGACCATGTACTACCCACCTGATCCTCCTTGAAGCCCTTTCCTGTTCCTCCGCCGTGGCGATGAACGGGTTATCCTCCTTCATCAACTCGGTCACGCTCAAGTCTCCCCTCCATTCCGGTTTTCCATCCTTGCCCACTCCATACATGTCTTTCGGCAAGATCGATGTTCGCTGAAGCATCGTCTTAAGGTCCAGAGTCTCGTATGCATTATCCATGTTGTCGGGCGGGGCTAATAATCCCGCTCCCGCTCGGGAGGTGGTACACTTGAAGGTTTCCGCCGCATTTCCGTTGATGTTTCTGACCTTGTGAGGCGAACGTTTGACAGTCGCAGTTGACTCTGCCGGTCTAGGAGTAGGCACCTCCACAAGAGTCTCCATCCCCCTAACCTTTCGCGCTGGTCTCACCACAGGCAACCCTTCCATCGTAGTCTCATCCCCGATCATAGTCATATCCACCCTCCCCAAAGCTTCCCTCATTTCCTTGTCCTCGTTCATCAGGTTCGAACCCAGTATCGAAGAGCCGAGGTTCATCTGTTGACCTAGGTCCAGGCTCGTGTCCTCCAAGGTGATCTCACTCGCCCGTCCTGCCTTCTCCTCGTTCTCCCCCTCCTGCACAGTGAACTGGTCGAATTTGGAAAGGAAGATGACCGAATCATCTCCGATCTGTCCCAGCTCCGTCCCTCCCAGCTCGGTCCGCGTCAAAAGACAGCTCTCGTTCAACATCCACGCGTCCCTCCTGATTCCCGGTGTGTCAGGTAAAAAGGTAGACTTGTCCCCAACGCCCAGGTTTTCTGGGCTGTACATGCTGTTTACTTGCAAGTTATCGTGTTTTGAGTTGGTTTCGCGCTTCTTGGGACCGGATGGGTTGGTATGCTTGACTTCCTTGACCTCGGGCTCGGACCCGCTCAATAGGGTGTTATCGTGACCAGAGGTCGAGGTGCCTGGCCGAGGACTGGCGGTAGCAACACCTTCTCGAGATCCAGACCTCCCGCTCCTGCCTACCGTTTCAGGGACGTTTCCTTCTCGAGGCGAGCTCGAGCTCGAAGTTGAGGTTAAGGTAGGTCGGACCTTGTTCGGAGTATTCATACACACCGATGTAGCTGAATCGACACGAGCATCGTTAACCTCCTCCTGGTTCGCTTTATTCTGTGCCTTCGCTCCTGAACTTGAAGCTGCCTTTTCCTCCGAATCAGTTGCGGTAGTCCGAACCGGTTGGCTCTTTTTCGGGGACGTCATCCCCTCAACCTTCGCTTCCGACCCCACCCCGACTCCCAAACCTAGCTCCAAATATTCTCGCCCGGACGGGGACCTCCCATGCCCGTACGACTGTCCCGGGTCTCGGCGCTTGGTCGGAGGTTCGACCTGGATCTGGATGTTCACTGCTGATTCCACGTCGGGTTCGTCGCTACGCACACTAGGTACGTTGACGTCGATAGGTTCCGATGAGGGTGATGCTGATTTCAGCTCGAGTGGTTGAGGCTGATAAAGTTTCACCGGGATTACTTCCAAAGTAGATGGGACACATGTATCCTTGGTTGTGGTGTTGGTCGAGGTCGAATGGAGGAAGGGGTCCTGCTCGTGTCCTGAAACCGAGTCTAGGCTCGAGGTCGACTTCAAGTCCGGTTCGGGTCGAGATCCCAACTTCGGGACCTCCAGTGTTACGGATTCCAACTCTTTCTCGTCGACTTCATAACTCCTTGCTAGATCCTCCTTTACTCTCTTCTTGAACGGCGTCTTCACATCCACCTTTGGAACGCCCAACAATCCTCCAATTCCTATTTCCAGCTCTTCACGTCCGTAGCGTTCATCCGACCCGTTCGCTTCAGACCTGTATGGTCGAGCGCGGGTTGGTGTTTGTTGTTCCTCTACAGCCAAGTTTGACTGGGATAGGTGGGAGGTGGATGTAGGTGTCGGTGTGAGCTTGTTCATCCGTCTAGCCAGGAAAGGAGAGAGGGGGAGTGGGATCAGGTCTGGCCGCAAGACCGACGGAGGTGGGTTGTCCTCCATCTTCAAACTCTCTTTTTATCCTTGATTCAGATGTGCGGATTTGATGATCTATCGGTGTGTGTCGCTGGTCGGTGTCGAGTCGTTGTTGGTAATGATAATGGTTGGGGTGAGATGCATGAGATGATGATGATGATGAGACAAATGGTTGATCCATCTTCTACCCTCTCGGCGGGGGCTACACACAACAAACAAACATCCACACCACTCTGATTGATGTCAGGCTCATGATATTAACGTAATGTGTCATGCCGTAAACTGACGGACATACGGATATACCCCTGTCGATATACCTTAAACATTGTGATGTCCGCCTCCCCTCCTCCCGTCTCCCCCAACCGCAACAAACGCGGCGCGGATGTGTGTTTGAGCGGCAATTGTCACATTCTCCTTCGATCAACAGCCATTGACATCGACTTGGGACCAACACAATCTCGTCCTCTCGTTCCTTCTCCAACAACTCTCATCCCCCCCACCACACCACACTCTCTCAACCTCAAAAGCACATCGTCAGGATGGCCTCCCGAACCAACCTCACCCGACTAGCCTCGGCTCTCCCCCGCCGATCCCTCTCGACTACCACCCCCGTCTCCCTCTCTTCCTCATCGCCGCTCTCAAAGCTCACCGGGAGGAACGCCCTCCTTACCACACCGGTCGCCAAGGTACCCCGAACCGCTAGCAAATGGGGGCTCGTAGAGGGTGGAAGGAGGTTGGCTAGCGGAGAGGCTAGCGGGGAGGGGTCGACCATGGTCAGTACACGTCCCAGTCGGCAGTTCAGGCGTGAATGCTGATCGCGCTCGTTCTCTTCTGTTCCTTCATCCGCTTCCCACTGTCTCTGGTATGATGCTCGTGTTGGAACCCTATCCGGTGTACTTGACTGGGACGGATCGCTCCGCTGGATATCTCTGGGCTAAACCTCGTGAACAACATGGAATCACGATCGGTTGTTATCCCAACCGCAATCACGACTACAATCACACATATCGCAACTTGAACCGCACCGATCTACCGTTCCCGAATCGATGATTCCTGGTCGATCTATAATGCTCGGTCAAACTCGCCTCGGATCGATGTTCTCGATCGACTGGTCATCTTGCGAAACGACTCTCGTCTGTCACCACGTTGTACTGACAACCTTATCACTGCCATCACTACTATCACCGCTACCTCGATCTGGAACTCCCATCTCACCCTCAACCGTCGCTCCAACTTCGCCCGCCTTCATCCACCTCTCCACGCCTGCACCTATACCTCACGACCACTTGCACCTCACGACCATGCAGACCGTGCGAGACGCCCTAAACTCCGCCATGGCCGAAGAGATGGACCGGGACAAGACCGTCTTTGTCATCGGAGAAGAGGTGGCCAGGTACAACGGAGCTTACAAGGTCACCAAGGGGTTGTTGGATCGATTCGGGGAGGACAGGGTTATCGATGTGAGTATCGGCTTTGCTTTATTGAAGTTCGATCGCGAGTGTGGAGGTCGGGTCGGGGTTGGTGTGGCGGTCGGTATATAGGACGGCACGAAGTAAGATGCGTTCGGGCGAGAACGATAAAGGGAGGCGATGGTAGCCTCGGGAAGAAACGGTCCTGAAAGAATTGTCTACCAAGGCCGTGGGCGAAGATAGCAAGAATCTAGCTCTGGATGCGATGCGGGATGCTGGCTCGAGATCGAGTCTGCAGGTGGCCAAAACATACAAGCTGACTTTATGTTTACTGCTCTTCCCTCCATGTCCTCCCTCGAACGCCCTTCATACCTCCTTCCTCTCTTACCTTGATGTGTCTTCGTAGACCCCTATCACCGAGTCCGGTTTCACCGGTCTTGCTGTCGGAGCCGCTTTGGCTGGGTTGAAGCCTGTTTGCGAGTTTAGTGAGTCGGAGTGCTTTTCTCTTTGATTCTGGCATGCTGGCTAGGCAGCTGTGTGATGGCGCATGCCCTGAACGTTTCTCACAACAAGTACGGCGTGCTGATGAACATCTCCTGCTATTCAATAGTGACCTGGAACTTTGCCATGCAGGCCATTGACCAGATCATCAACTCTGGTGGAAAGACCTACTACATGTCGGGAGGAAACGTCCCCTGCCCCGTCGTCTTCCGAGGTCCCAACGGAGCTGCCGCCGGTGTCGGTGCTCAGCATTCGCAGGACTTTGCCGCTTGGTACGGAAGCATTCCCGGACTCAAGGTCATCAGCCCCTGGAGCGCTGCCGATTGCCGAGGACTTCTCAAGGCCGCCATCAGGGACCCCAACCCGGTCTGTTTCTTGGAGAACGAGTTGCTCTACGGTGTCTCGTTCCCTATGACCCAGGAGGAGTTGGGAGAGGACTTTTTGTTGCCCATCGGCAAGGCCAAGGTCGAGAAGGAGGGAACCGACTTGACCATCGTCGCTCATTCCAAGATGGTCACCCACTCGCTCGAGGCTGCCGAGATCCTCGAGAAGGAGGACGGCATCAAGGTCGAGGTCATCAACTTGAGGTCGATCAGGCCTCTTGACATCGAGACTATCATGACCTCGGTCAAGAAGACCAACCACCTCGTCACCTGCGAGGGTGGATTCCCTGGTACGTTACCGCATTGCTTGATCATGAATGTTTAGCTTCGACGACTGATCTGGATCCTTCCTCTATCGCGCTGGTTGACAGCTTTCGGAGTCGGATCCGAGATCATCGCTCAGGTCTGTGAATCATCGGCATTCGACTACCTCGACGCTCCCCCTGAGCGAATCACCGGTGCCGATGTGCCCACTCCCGTGAGTTTCCGCATCATCCGGGAGAACCAAGTCTTCATTCGTGTTTCGGTAGCTGATCGAGTACCATATTATTGTCGTCACTGTAGTACGCCGAGAGTCTTGAAGGTCTGGCTTTCCCCGACACTCCTCTGATCGTCAAGACCCTCAAGCGTCACCTTTGTGGGTCCTTGATTGCTCCTCATTTGCGCCTCGGAATACGTATGCTGAATTTGCTCATTCACTTTTCATCTCAATAGACAGGCAGTAGATCCGCATGACGGTCTAGCTCACGTCTCGCTCTTTGCTCTCTTTGGTACCTTCGCAAAAACGGGCTCATAGAGGAAAGAGTTGTTCCGGGCGAGGTGATGAGCGTGATGTCAAGTTTAGCGGTAGATAGTTTGGGGTTCTATTTTGTCCGGGTTTGAGGCGTGTACTTTGATGGGATTTCATTTCGTCTTCAATGCTCCTTTCTTCATTGGCACGAGTACTGCAAGGTTCGTGACTCTGGCAAGATGACATCACGCTCGACCTCTGAATCGATCGAGGTCATTAGAAGGAGACGATAGGATTTCCGCTTTCTCACGCGTGTTTGATCGCTCGATCATCAGATGTAGAACGTCAATCGGCAACGGTATGAGGTCGAGGTATGTCGAGGATCGAGGGGAATGTTCATCGATCCATCGCATCTCTCCAACCTTTTCTAACAGAACAACATCGTCTGCACCAATCGTCTAGACAAGACGGTTCTGGAACAAGGCCCCGCAGTGAACGAGCAGATATCGACACGAACTCATCATTCCCCTCGTCGCATCATCAACTCATCAACCTATCCCTCTAACGTCATATACACTAGCAAGCAAGCATGGCCTCCAAAGCTACTTCAACCCAGCCTCAACCTCAAGCTTCTACCTCCGGATCGAATTCAGCTTCTCCCTCAAACATGACTTCGGTTGATCAGTCCAACCCGATGTCGACTATCATCAACGGTGGGACCGGCAGGATCCTCTGTGTCTCGGACATCAGGGGAGATTATAACAATCTGAACAAGATGATCGAAGAGAACAAGGCTGTAGCGGTCATCCATACGGGAGATTTCGGTTTCTTGGACGGGGGAAGTCCGTCAAGGATGATGCCGAGGTTAGTGCGATTCGGATGGACCGGTCGAGCTGAGCTGCGGCGAGGTGATATTCTGGGGATGCCATCGCCGCTGGCAACCGGCTCGATCGATCGGCTATAGTGACCCGTGTTGTCTCGATATTTACCTTCTCTCCTCTCTAATAGGATCTCTCGACACCTCCTCAACTACACCCCTTTGCTCGATAATACCACCCGTACCGAACTCCTTGCCATTCCTCACGGCCCTGCTCTATTCTCCCGCCTGGATCCCTCGCCATCGTCTCCTTCTTCCTTCAAACTCTCGCAACTCGGACTCCTCCTCTCTGGGGACATCAAGTTCTCCTGTCCCGTCTACACCGTCTACGGACCCGTGGAGGATGTCAGGGTCTTGGAAAAGTTCAGGACGGGGGAGTACGAGGTGGATAACCTGTTCATCCTGGATGAAGCTTTGACGAGATCTTTAGAAGTTGGGGGAATCAAGTTAAGGTTGTTCGGACTAGGTGGTGGAGTTCAGATGCACAAGATGTGTGAGTACAGCTCAGAGCTCGATCTTCGCGATCTTGAGACTGGCCGCTGATCAGAGGACATTGACCGTGGTTGGGTGGATGTTTTCGGCAGTCGACAATGGAGAAGGCACAGCGACTATTGCAGGTGGAAACGGAACGATTTGGGCAACAGCGCTTCAGATCGGTGAACTTGTGGATACTGCCGAACGAGTAAGCTCTATCTCTCAGATTTTGTATTCAGCTGCAGTGGCTTCTCATATTGATCTGCATACCCATGACTCGTATTACCAGGTCTTCGATCCCAGCGAGACTAGAGTATTGGTCACCCACGGAGCTTATGGGAGGGACGGACTTCTTGCTCAACTGGCCATGGTCCTGAAGGCGGATCTGACCATTTCCGGCGCTCTGCACTGTCAGTTCTGGTCGATGTCTATGTCTCTATTCGAGTTACGCTCACTAACAATGACGACGACGGCGACGAAAATTGAGCCTACAGTCCGCTTCATCTCCTCGTTCAACGAGTTTGGTGTACAGACCGATCAAGAGAGCTTCAAGAACAAGTTGTTGAAGAGCAGGAACGCCTTTATGGAGGTCTACGAGTCTGCCAAGGTTCAGCTCGACAGCTCGATCTCGTAAGTTTCTTCTCGTCGCGTCGCATCATGAAGGGCTGGCTAAAATGCTGGTTCGGGATTGATCTGGTTTACAGCGCCGATCAGAAGGAGTTTTTGCAGAAGGCTGTCCAGGTTGCTCAAAAGGTTGTTGCGAGCAAAGCCGATGAGGAGGACCCGTACTGGAAGAACTGTTGGCACTGGAGCTTGTCGTGAGTACCAGCGGGCGTGGTCGTGTTGCATAAAGAAGGAGTGGAGCTGACATAGTGGATCACGTGGCAGCGAGGCGGCGTACGGACATATGGTGATGTCAGTCAAGGATGGTAGGGTATCAGCAGAGACTTTCAGTCAAGGTATGTGATGTTCCTACCGCAAGGTGTACGAGGATTAGTCGTACTAATCTGAATGGCGGTACAGGTCTCAACTTTGGTTACCGACGGTTCCAGAAGGCTGGTCGACAGGTCGAAGCCCCGGCTCACGCGCAGACCAACACGGGGACGAATACCCCTGTTCCGGCGAACAAGCCTGTCAACCCTCCTTCAGGACCGGCAGGGCAAGCTCGCTCACAGCCGGTCCAGCCTCGCAAAGTCAACAACAATCCGGTAGAGGCCAAACCAGCTCCAGCCCAGACGAGCTCGACGCCAGCTCCTCCCAAGCCTGCAAACACAATCGCGCCGGCAACGGTCAATCCGCCGTCAAACAATGCTCCTACGCAGGCTCCAGCTAAGCCTACGCCGACTGGCCCGTCCAAACATGTCGACACGCCTATCCCGTCGAGCACGAATTCGGCACCCGTACCTCAGCAGTCGCAACAACAGCAGCAACAGCAGAACCAGCAACGCGAGCAGAACCAGGCTCAACAGAACCAATCTCAGACCGCTCGACCCGAGCGTAAAACATCGAACCGTTTCGAGAAGGGGGAAGGCAAGGATCGAGAACCCCGAGAGCCTCGGGAGCCCCGGGAACCTCGCGGCGAACGCGGAAATGAGCGTGAGCGTGAGAACCCCTGGACCAAGGCGAATGGCGGAGAATCTACCGAGCGGGCCGGAAAGAAGATTCGCGGACCCAAGCCTTTGAAGGAAGGTAAAGAACAAGCTACATCGCCTCCAGACGGTTTCAAGACGGTCGGATCTAAGAAGGACTTGAACAAGCCCGAGGTCGCCAGTAAACCCGATAGCGACAAGGAGAACGCCCCCGAGTCGAGCGAGCCTGTGGATGAGGCCAAAAAGATCGAGGCCGAAGATGGTCCTTCGAGGATCAATGGAGAGAAAGCGCCGAGGACGCCTTTCAACCCATACTCCTTGTACATCAAGGGTCTGCCCACCGATGTCACTCAGGACAATCTGAAGACCATCTTTGACGAAGCGATCCGTGCCAAGGTGAGTGACGGATGGCTTGGATCACGCTGAAATGGTGCTGATCGAATTCTCGATTGACACCACAGATCACCCGAATGAAGATTCCTCTCGATCAGAACGGTAACCCGAAGCGTTTTGCTTACGTCGAGTTTGGAAACGACGAGGACCTTCAAGCAGCGCTTAACAAGCACGAAGATGTGAGTGTCGTCATACTCCCAAAGGGGTGTTCTAACGGCTGATGGTCCATTCACGACGTGTCGCAGACCCTTAACGGTTCGTCTTTGAACATTACCATCTCGAACCCTCCTGCGACCAGCTCTTTCCGAGGCGGTCGTGGAGGATTCAACGGGTCCCGCGGTGGTCGAGGCGGCGGATTTGGTGGACGAGGCGGTTTCCGACCAGGATTCAACAAGCCGACTGTCCCTTCGTCTTAGAGGACGGTCTGGATCGCTACAAAACAACAAAAAGGCTTCTCACCCTTCGTGCAACTGCGTTCTTCTCGGTCCTCAGCTTTCGGTAAGCTCGACACTCCTGGCTTTTGGCTCGAATGGTTTCTCCTTTTCTTTTCCCATATCCTGTTGTTCTTATGCTGCTCGTGTGACGACCTTGCATCGCGCAATACGACCTTTCCCCCCTCGATCTTCCTCACCTCACCTTTCCCCCACTTACACCCTCAAAACACCTCACCTCGCCTCTTCTCTCCTGCTCGGAATCATGATGCCTGTCTCTGTTTGTAGCATAGTCTTAGTAGAAATCACGAGCATGTCTATGAATTGCGACGAGGTCCATGTCGGCCGGATCCGACGGCCTCCACCTTTGATTTCGTTGAACCAGCAGGAAATTCGCGGGAAATATGAACTCGACTTTTATCGAGTCAACTTCGGTACTATACGTACTGTACCGTTCTGACTGTCACTCACAATCGTTTTAGCTACCTATCAAGATGGCAGAACCTAGCATGGATCCCATCAATACACCTGTGGCCCCGGCTCTCAAGCCCAAGAGACGGTTCGTTGGGGCGTCCAGCCGGCCCAACGCCTCGAGAGGCGGTAAAGCCGTTCCACCTAGACGGGTGAACCAGATTCCTGATGAGATCTTGAATGACAAAGCACTGAACGAGGCTATCTCTGGTACGTTCAAGACTTGCTGCGCTTTCTAGCGACTTAGTACTGAGACGGCATCGCCCCCCCCCCCCCCTTTCGCTCTGCAGACTTGCCCGGCAATTACTCGTTCGAGATTCACAAGACTGTTCATGCGCTCAGGAAAGACAGGATCCAATGTGTCGCTCTGCAGATGCCAGAAGGTCTTATGATATATGGCCCCATCATCGCCGATATCCTGGAAGAATATACGTACCCCGAGACGCCGGAGGGGAAGTGGAAAGGGATGACTCTCGAGCCGCTCTTGTTGGCGGACGTGACTTATGGGGCGTGCTGTATCGACGACTTCACTGCCAAGGAAATGGGAGCGGAGATGATCGTACACTACGGCCATAGCTGTCTGAGTAAGTTCGAATCCTGCCGAATCACCACATGGTTGCTGATGGTTACAAACCTGGAATTCGCGTAGTCCCCGTCTCACAAACCACCTTAAAGACGCTATATATCTTTGTTGAGATCGCCATCGACCCGCTACACCTCTCTCTTAGCGTCCGTCGGAATTTCCCTTCAGAAAGTACGGCCTTTCAACGAACTATTCTCGATCGCCAGGCGTCTGGTAGTTCTAGCACTAGCAACAACAATAGCAACGTCACGCCTGACAAGGGAAAAGGAAGACTAGAAATCGGAATCGAGGAAGACCCTTCGGGCGTCGTACCCGTCGCTAAGAAGACCAAAATCGCCCTCGTCTCGACTGTACAGTTCATCTCGGCCGTACACGCCTTGCGGGAAGCTTTGGAAGAACCCTTGCCTTCGCTCGATACCGGGATCGACAACGATAATGTGGATGTCGGGAAGGGCAAGTCAGAGTTGCTCAGGATCAAGGCTGAGGAGGTCGGAGTGTGGAGGGGAGCGTATGAGATCGTGATTCCTCAGTCGAAACCGCTCAGCCCTGGAGAGGTTCTGGGATGTACGGCCCCGAAACTGGACGACGACGTCGATGCCTTGATGTGAGTCGAGAATACCAAACCTCGCCCTGGACAAAGTGTCGTCTTTTCCAACCTGTGCCTGATCCGAAAACTCGTTTACTTATCTTCAGCTATGTCGGCGATGGACGATTCCACCTGGAGAGCATCATGATCGCCAATCCGTCTTGTCCTGCCTTCCGGTACGATCCCTACGACAAGAAGTTTACGCGGGAAGGGTACGAGCACGAGGAGATGAGGGGGTTGAGGGGGGAGGCGGTTAAGCAGGCCAGGAAGAACTTGCTTACCGGGACTGTGACTGGGGATGCTCAAGTTGGGATAGCGGAAGATAAAGAGGTTTATGAGGGGAACGCCGGAGCGGCTGGGTTTGGGGTGGTACTTGGAACACTCGGACGGCAAGGAAGTCTGAGCGTCCTCAAGGTGAGTCTTTCTGCTGACACACTGTCCAGGGCCGGCGTGCTTTCCGCTAACATTGGCTTTGACCCCTCGGATACTTTGTAGACCATCAAAGCGGGCCTTCCGACCACAGACGCCTCGACAGCAGAGATCCCACCCTACCTATTATTGCTCTCGGAACTTTCACCTCAAAAGCTCGACCTCCTGCCACATTCCCAATTATCGACCTTTGTTCAGACTTCTTGTCCGCGACTGAGCATCGATTGGGGATACGCCTTCAGTCGCCCATTATTGAGTCCTTACGAGGCGAGCGTGGCTAGCGGACGAATCAAGGGATGGGAAGGGTTGAGACTGGAGGACGGACTGGGGACCTCGGTTGGCGAGGGAGGATACCCGATGGACTTTTATTCGGTAAGCCGCTGGACTACCATCTCGACTTCTACAGAGTGAAGGGAGAGCTGACTGTATTTTCGCCGTTTCTCATTTGCAGGACGATTCGCTGGGCCCTTGGACGCCTCGGCATGGTATGGGAAGACCGAAAAGAGTAGCGGTGTGACGACAAGGTAGAACGCAATTGTCAAGGTCGATACGTCGGCGGAGCGATCCTACAGCTTCGGACCCATGAACCGTTATGAAACCCGTTTCTACTTGATGTTCTGCCTTGGTGTTCAAGCCGCTGTAGTGACAATTGGCCAGGACGATGCCATCGACCATGACTTCTCAGATGATCCGTCCATTGCACGTCACGTGACTTGAACTTCCAAATCGTAAACAACCTCGAACTCGAGCATACAGTACACTGTAGTATTATCGACATGTTAAACGCCTATCTACACCTCATCACTCTGCAAGCCGCCCGTAGGATGCTCATGCATTCGACATAGGTGAGCAGCTCGAAATCAACGTATATCAACCCTTGTAAACGACGAAGGATGCTTCGTTCGCTCAAGAAGACGACGACGTCGGCTGAGCCCGCGCCGACCCGAACAACCCGTTCGACTGCGGTCAAGCTTGACGATGTGCAAGATTCCACCTCACGATCCGCTATCAAGGCAAGTTCCTATGAGGAATCCGGACAAGGTTTAGTATCTAATTTCTCAAATTCGCAGGCCTACTTGAGGATTCGACCCATGCCGGCATCGACACTCCCGTATCTTTCGATGGTGGACGAACAGAGTGTCTTGATGACTCCTCCAAAAAGATACAACGCCAAACCCCCTCAATTGTATACTTTTGATGGAATCTTCGGACCCACAACTATGCAAGAGGCTCTCTTTTCTCAGACGACGCTTCCTCTCATCCGCTCGGTCCTCACGGAAACCCAGAACGGCTTGCTTTTCGGCTACGGTGTTAGCAATAGCGGGAAGACCTATAGCCTTCAAGGAGGATCAGAGGAGTCTAGAGGGATCGTGCCAAGAGCTATCGACGTGATCTTCAACTCGATAGGGAATAAGTTGAAGCCGGAAGGGAAGGTAGCGGGAATGGACGCAGATGAGCATATGAAGCCGGTTGACGCGAACGATGCGGGGGAAGATACCGGTGAGCCCCTTCTTCTTTTCGCCAACACCCCCTGAAGCGGTTGCCTGATATGGAAGGACTTCGTTATCATTACAGCTATCAAACTTGAAGATGGTGCAGAGTACGCTATCTGGGTGTCATATATGGAAGTATACAACGAGAAAGTGAGTGCCCCGTCTTCGAACGCTGTCGACGTCGACTCCCGAAGATACCTTGCGTGTACTGATTGATCACATGTAGCTGTTCGATCTTCTTTCCCGTGTCAACAACATCGCAAGCATCTCTTCTTCGTCCATCAGCAACAACATCAAGCGTCCATCGCTCAAATCACCCCGATGGATTCGGGTCCGCAGTCGCGCAGAAGCCCTCGCGCTGTTTCGCATCGGTCAGGCCGATCGACAGATATTCGAAACCGCCCAGAATCGGACCTCTAGCCGAAGTCACGGGGTATTCGAACTTCGGATAGCCAAAATACAAGGCTCCAAGTCTTCCAGGACGAAACCACCTCCACCCCGAATCTGCAAGCTCTCGATCGTGGACCTCGCCGGCTCTGAACGAGCTAAGCACACACAGAACACAGGAGATCGGTTGCGCGAGGCCAGCCACATCAACACGGGCTTGATGAGTTTAGGGAGATGCATGGAGATAGTTCGTCTAAATCAGCACAACAAAAGGAAGACGCTGGTCCCATACAAACACTCCAAACTCACTGAAATCTTCAAGAGCTTCTTTCTCGGAGAGGGTTCTGCGGTGATGTTGGTCTGCGTGAATCCGTTTGACACCGGATTCGATGAGAATTCGCATGTGATGAGGTTCGCTGCGGTGGCGAGATCGATTCAAACGACGGCGATGGCGACGTCCACGACTTCGTCGAAGTTCGTACCCGTGCAAGAAGGTAGCGATATCGATGAAGGTAAGTCCTTAGTCCGCGCTTTATGGAGTTGTTTCTGCACTGATGTTTTGTTTCGTCTTCTATCTTGACCTCGCTCACAATGCGGCCCTGCCAATCATTGCGTTCGATCATCACATCATTCGTCACCATATCTCCATCCCGCCGCCTGCACCCGTCGGCATCTTGGTTCGTTATGATTTTGCTTGTCAATATCTCGGCTTACATCACACCGCGACGCAGAGAGCGAAGACGAACCCCGAGACGCGATTGTGACTTACCTCTGGGACCAAGTGCGGGAACTACGAGCGCAGCTCCTCGAGGCCCAGCTTCAAAACGCTGTGATCGAAGCCGAAGTGCGGGAAGAGGTCGTTCAAGAGACCCAGGAGACGTTAGAGGAGATGAAGCGGGTATACGATGAGCGTCTAGCCATTGAGGTAGGTTTCCTCCTGGTATGTAAGAGGTTAAATCACGCTGAAGATGTATTTTCTCTTCCGGACCCTACATAGATCGAGGCGCTGGAGAAGAAGGCGGACGTCAAGATCGAAATGATGCGACAAAGTCAAGAGGACAGTGACTGATGGTGAATCCGACGAGCAAGGCCACCTCTTCAATCTAAGCGCTATTCGCTGACGAAGGACCTGAACTCGGCCAGCGATTCCAATCCGATCGCCCATCTCGTGTAGTCGTGTTACGCACGAGGGACTTCAGCTCTGTCTATCGACGAAGTCAAAACTAGTACACACCCAAATTTACTGTCACTTAGGCACGTGATCAGACATCTCGATTCGCCAACCATGTCGGAGAGCAATCGGGACCGTCAATATCGGACGAGTCCCGCTATCACCTGATCACGTCGCATGCGAGTCGACAGCCTGTCTTGGCTTCGATCGAACACAGCGTCGTCGCACCAAAAACGGCTCGAGGTGTGTCTGATCAAGGCGTATCTATCGCAAATCATACAGATATTGCGTAATTTGATAGCTCTCGTTGTACAATCTTTTCGTGTATACAACTCGTTTCGCGAATCCATGCCGAAATTCAACTTATGCGGGGCCGACGACTTGGAAGATGACTTTGCGTAACAGGGTAGACAGCGCTTGTGGTTCGTGCTGCGACAGGAAGACACAGTTGAGAAACAGTTGTTAGGGTACTTCAATGAACCCCGAGGTCGTTCTTACCTTGTACGCATCCATGATCATGGCCATCGCTGCGGCTCCCATAATACTTTCCCCAAAAGGTACGATAGGTACCCAGGCTCGTCGACGTGCGGTGGCCCAACCAGATTCAAGAGCTCGTGGAAGAACGTATGCCGCTTTTGTACAACCGGAACTCATGAGTTGATCATGGCTACGCAGGCAAGGTCGTCACAGGCTTACCCAGTTCCGCCCGTCGTTTCGGCTCTTCGACGAACAAGCTCAAACATGTCGAGAACCCGATGAGCCAGAAGACCTCTTTGCGTCGCAGGAGGATCCTGAGCCAGACCGGGATCTTGCCAAAGAACCCTTCCAGAGTCTGCGTACGGGCGCACAGTAGGCCTGCGTGTGGACGATGCGTCAGCGTGGAATTTGCCGTGAATGCGAGGTGAATCTGGCTCACCCTGATAGATAAGGACAAAGGCTGAGAGGAATGAACTGCTCCTGAACGTTCCGAGTGTAGCTTTTCCAAGCAGGCTCAGTGGGTCCTTCATAAAGTGTTTTCGGCGGAGGATCAACATCGGGATGAAGTGTAAAGCCGAGTAGACCGGGAGAGCGAAGCGCTATGTCCAACAAATTGACGTTTCAGCTCGATAATGCCAGGTCTAACACAGCTGAAGCTCGCAGAACTTACAAAGACCTCGAAGTACCTCTCGAACAGGACATATCGACAAGAGTCTAGCCAAGGGTGAATGGCGGCGCAAGGTACCCCATCGGGAACGATACCCTTAGACCCGGCCTCGATCAGTTCTCGTAGTCGCGAAGCGTTCGCCGAAGTGATGTACTATTATCGGTTGCAAGCCTTCGATCAGGAAAGGAGGCTGCTAGGCTATTTGTTATCCTGACTCGCTGACCTTGTGGCTGAGAGCGCTTTTGGCAGCCTCGATGTCGATAGCGCCCTTCCGGGCGATACCTCTGTTAACCCTGATTGCGCTCTTCTGCACACGAGAGGCCGATTGAATCCTGTTTGACCTCGAAAATCAACCACTATCCCGGATTGTCACGAAGAATCGGGAGGCTTACCAGGAATTGTATTCTGGTGGAATTGTCGACGGGCTCAAGAGGAAGGCAAACATGATCTGCCCACACGATAGCCCGAAAACGATTATCGAGCCGAAAGGGACCTTGTAGCCTGTCCTAGCCGAGACCTGATTGTAGCTCGCTTGAAGACCGCGAACGAACATCCTGGATATCACACCTGCCAATCTCAGACATCGAAGTCCCGACAGATACCCGAGCAAGCATGTGTGCCAAAGGGAGACTCACTGTTGCGAGACTCCGATCCTTCTCCCCTTGTCTTCCCATAACAACCCCAAACTCCCTACAGCCCCCGCAATGGCTGCTTGCCACCTCCTCTCACCCGTATCTTCTTCGCCCATGAAATACCCGTTCTCCTCGTCGGATGCCGAGAGACGAGTTGGTGCTTCGTACGTCAAGGGGGACTTGTCGCCGTTCATTATTCGAAGGAGACGTTTACGGAGATAAGAGAGTGGGGGTGCTAGCCGGAGGAGGTGGAGAGTGAGAGTGTTAAGAAAGGTAAAAGTGCCTGTTTTCGTACGAGCGAGAACAGCATTCAGCTTGATTTCATCAGCATTCAGGGTCAATATTCAAGCTCACCAATCATAGCACCAAAGCGGAATGGCTCTTTCCCCAAGATAGCATGGCGAAGGAGCGCCCACTTTAGTCGTCTGGAGGCTTGATCCAGGTTAGCACAACGGTGGAACCGCATTTTTATATCGTGCGTACGCACCTCCTCCGGAAAGTTCTCATGAGCAGCAACAATAAGTTGATGCCCGCTCTGACCGTATAAGCCAATACGAACGATCCTATACTCTCGCACATAGCACAGACGATTAGCCCACCCTAGCAGATTTTCAGACAAGCTCACAACGACTCACGCAGACCTCTCCTGGCAGCCAACACCAAAGCCCTCTCGGCATCGTTTGGCATCTTTCTCGTCTCCCTTTCGTCCCTCCATAACATGCTCTTGATCTCTTGCCCAAACCTCTCGCGTTCCATGTCATCTTGAGCGATGGTGAGTAGCGTGTCTAGTGAGGCCAGGGAGATCGTCCTCCTTATCTGAGCCGCACTACAGTAACAGCGATAGACCGCCGATAGATAGTTTATCAGCTCGACTTCGCTGACTTCGAGCAGAAAACTGGCAATAAAGACTACAACTCACGTTTCGCTAATGTTAGGTGTACCTGGATCGCTTCTCCCCGCTTCCCAACCTCTCGACTTCCGGCCATCTCCCCTCTTCGTATCTTCCACCTCGAGCATCGTCGTAAACCTCAACTTCCTGCTTGCCGAAGCCCTCGTCGTATCCCTATCGCTTCCCGTGTCGTTGCCGACATTGTTAGTCTGGCGGGTGGGTGTAAGGATCGAAGGTAACGGGTTCGTGTTGGCGACGGGTGATGTCGGCGCGCTCCGTGCTCGACCGTCAGAGTCTGGCATTCTTGGTCAGCGTATGGTCATTCCACTTTTGAATGCGATACGGGATGAACAGGAAGGATATCGCAGGTTTGAAGGGGGTTGTACCGTTGAGCCAAGCTGTCGTGGTAGCTACAACTTGGGATAATGATGATGACGATGAGATGAGATGTTCGGCCTTTGCGCGACTTCGGGTCTCCAATAACCGGAAGGGAACCCCACAATCAGCTGCCGGTTAGCAACTCACTCCAGGGTCGTCGACAACCTCGATTTCTCATCCAGTCTTGTCAATATTAATATATACTCTTGTATTGTATAGTGCATAAGAAGGATATCCGGCAACCCGGACGATGCTCAGATGAATAAATAAGAAATACAACAAACGTCTTGTGCCATCGGTAAGGTGAGACCCCCGGGCGAGCGTTTCGAATAGGCGCACCACAGGCGGCCATGGAAGGTGATGGCGGTGACGAGATGGTGGAATATACAGGATTTGCGAGCTTTTCTTTTCTTTACCTTTTGATGGGCTTGACCTTGTCTTCGTTTCCGAACTGTCCTGGACTGCTCAGGACGATGCACCCCGACTGTGCATGCTCTGGCCGGGAGGAGCTGTCGAGGGAGGAGGCTGAGCTTGACCTTGACCTTGACCTTGCGATGGTTGACCGGAAGGGTGATGAGGAGTCATGTTACCCTATCCTCCAGATGGAAGAGGTGGGTAGCCGGGTCCCATCGAGAGATAACCATTGAATTGGGGTTGTTGGTATGTAGGCGCGACCCCGTAGGCGACCCCACTAGCTGCGGCGGCAGCGGCTGCTCCGACTCGCAGACCTTCGACTTCACGTCGCAGTCCATCGATCTCCCTGGCCATGTCCGAGTTGTGACGCTTGAGCGTCTGGATGTGGTCGACAGCTAAGAAACGACGCGTGTTGAGCGTGAGCTTGCTGTTCTGACGCTGACTTACAAGCAACCGGAACAGAGCACGTACCTTTGCTCAAAATCTCCCACTTGCTCGACTTCATGCCCCTATCCTGCGGTAACTGATCCCTCAACTCATCAAACAAGTCTCTCATCTCCTTCCTCCTCTTCCTCTCCGCCAACTTGTGCGAAACCCTCAACTCAGGTGACCTCGAGAACGATGCACCCCCGAGGGCCTCCTTGGTATCAGGCGGGAGTGCGTTGAATGCCGGGTTGTGAGCGAGCCCGCTGACCGATCCTGAACGCTCCTGAACAGGGGTCGAGTGTTGCGAAGAGTAGTGACCCATGTGATCGCCTCCCATTCCGCTGACATTTGGATCCAAGTATTGACTCGAGACTGACATGCCAGGGTTGCCTGGAGCCATAGAGTTCGGTCCCCGAGGATCATGCATCGAATCAGGCGGAGGCGCATTCATGTAACCACTCATGTGACCTGTCAAGTGGCAGATAGGCATCGTCAGTATCGATTCGAGGCGAGCGGAATCGGAAACCGAGGGAGCCGGATTAGGATGAGCGGGGGTGGAGCGACATACCGTAGGGCGGAGTAGCATAAGGGCCCTTGTCAGACATGAGCGAATAACTCGTGGTAGAACTTCCGTACCCGCCTGCAGAGCTGGCCAATGACCTGTTCGAGTACATGCTCGCGGTCGAATCCCTTCGATCGGGGGCTTGAGCCCACCATCCATTGGCTGGGATCGCGCTGCCTGGCATTCCCCCTGGCTGGGTAGGACCACCTTCACCGCCCGTACCGATAGGTGGAGATCCGGTAGGCGCGATACTGAGGTGAGACATCCTCGAGTCGTAAGTGGATCCTCGTCGCTTGGCGGGCGGCTCCAACCGGTCGAGCGAGGTGGATGACGAAGAAGGGTGATTGCCAAACGGATTCGAAAAGACCGGAGGAGCGGGGATTTGGAACGTGTTGTTATGGCTCGTCGAGCTGGCCGGGTTGTTCGAGACCGAAGACGAATTGTGAGGTGGTAGGTGATGATAAGGTCCACCGCCCACCGACATGGCAGGCGAAGGCATCCCACCCTGTACACCCCCCTCAAGACCCTGATCCATGTATCCAGCTGCTCGATCGTGACTCTCCTTTCGCTTTCTGAATGACGCCGATCCAGGTCCAGGCGGTCCACCTGGCTGACTGACGCCTGTCCCCGAGACCGTCCTCGTCACGGACGAAGCGCTCGAATTCGGCACAGCCGGTCCAGCCCCGAGTCCCAAGGGCGAAGGATGCGTCGGAGCGTTCTGACCGTGGTACGGCCCACCGACCCTGATGGGTTCGAGCGGGACTCCCGGCTGTCCTGCATTAGGACTGATGAAGGCAGAGGTCGCCAACGAATGACGTCGAGCCGAGAAATCAAACTCGGGCGTCTTGCCCAATCCATCCCTTGCCTCCTCTGCTTCCGCCTGACGTTGAGGGTCCGATCCAGTCGTCTTGTTGCCTTCCCCTAACTCTCCTGATCCCTCCGTCTCTGGCGGTGCCTCCCGCTTGACCGAAGTAGGCGTAGGCGTCTCTTCCCGCTGTCCACTCATCGGCGATCCTGATCGACGATACTGCTGTTGTTGTGTCTGCTGTTGTTGGGACGACTGTTGTCGATCCGGGCTGATCGATTCCGTCATCCTAATCTCGCTTACGCTGTTCCTCTGGAACAATCTAGGACGTTGCGCGACGAAAGGAGAAGTTTTCGCGTGAGGGTAATAGAGTGAACGAGGTGTCAAGGACGGATACGGCCGTGTCGACGTCGATGAAGTTGACTGGAAGGAAGATGGAAGATGCTGAGATGTAGGTGGTGCTAGTGTTGGTAATGGTTGTTGCCGATGTAATGTCGGTTGCAGCTGTTGGTAACGAGCTCGAGGCGAGGTCTTGGATGACGATGGGACGGATTGGGATGAGAAAGTTGCGGCCGAAAATGCCGGTGAGGGTCCCGTTGAAGGCGGAGCGATCAAAGGGTTCGACCCAGAATGTCTCTCGGGCGATTCGGGTTCGAGTTTCGGTCGCGTCAATCCTTCTGCCGGATGAGCAAGTCCTTTCTGATACGAATATGAATGCGGCTGATGCTGAACGTCAACAACCGGTTGTGACTGTACTTGTGGTACTGGTTGGCGTTTCCGTAATGTCTGACTCGATGAAGCGTTACACAAAATCGTCGGCGGGCTCGATCCTATCCGCAGTTCCGTCCTCGTAAACAAGCTCTTCGGCGAGTTCTTGCTAGGACTACTAGTGACGCTGACCGGGGTGGACTTGTTGCCGCTTTTGGTGCTGTTGCTCTGGCTGTTCCCGAGACTACCGGTATAGACCTCTGGTCTGACGATCCGTCTGGTAACGAGTGGAGGAGATGGCGGTCTGGTGGACGGTCTGCTCTGGTAGTGAAGCTGATGCGTGCTAGGACCTGACGGAAGCTGTGCCGGTGGTGAAGCTCTGACTGGGGGGAACTGATACCTCAGAGGGTTCTCAAAACTGGAAAACGGCGGTAACCTGGCACTCGCTCTGTCGTCCTGTATGTGTACGTGTTGTCCCGTAGGTTTCCCTCTCAGATCGATCTCGATCGCGTCGTCGTCCTCAACCTCGTCTTGTTCTTCTTCCTGCGTCGGAGGGTGGACGAGGAGTAAAGGGAGGTGTGGTTTCGAGAACTTGTGGTGGGTTTGCGGATGATTATAAGCGACGATCGAATTCTCCGAACGAGGTCGGTGAATACTACTTTCGAGAACGGCGATGATGATCGAAGTTGTACGATCGTTAACGACGGTGTTGGTGATAGTCAAAGACAGGATGATCGCGTAGGAAAGAAAAAAACAAGACAAAAAGAACCACAGATCAGAGACCTTCGTCCTCGTCACGTCAGCATCATTAGCGATAGCAAGCCCGGTCTCACCTGAGTCTGGTATGATCCGTTTCTGTTCTAGGAGGAAGACCGCGTTCCATACCAAGATTTCGGCGTCGGCGTCGTAGAAAGAGCAAACGAGAAGAGACGATGTCGGTGATGCGGCAAGATGGCAAACGAGCGGTGCGATTGTTCGTCGAGAGCGAATTGTCAGACCATCGAAGATTATAGGCAAAAAATCAGGTCAAGGTTGGAATTGTCCGGGTTTAGGAAGATCAGCTACCCGTATGATTGGTATGGTAGGAGGTTGTGGGGTTGGCAATTGCGGTCGAAGTCGAGGTGTGAAGATCGCTGCGTGGATGTGGTGTGTGCGGGAGGAGGAGACAAAGACGACTCACGACTGTCTATACACTCCCGGTCAAGACTCGTTTGGCTGAGAATCCCTCGGATACTGTACTCTATTGAATTACTTGCGATTGAGTTCGAAGCAAGGGGTGGTCGGTGGAGGTATAACGAGAAGGGGTGTTCGGGATGTGAAGGACAACGAGGGAAGAGGAAGAACGAGAGAAGAGCGTGGTTCGTCGGTGGGTGTGTGGTGGGTGGGTGGTGTGTGTGTGGGTGGTTGGTGCCTCTCGAGCAGCCGGGGGCAAGCGGGAAGGAGAGAGAGACAAACCTGCCAACGCGACAATTCTTCCGATCAACCCGCTGGCTGCGAATCTCGTTGTTCCGTACTCTTGCCTGGGTCTTCCTACGGGTGCAAGTGATCCCCGGAGTGAGGAAATGGACGCAGAAATCGCGGTCAGACGGAGGAGGCTGGCCTGGCTGGTCGGACAGGAGTGGGGGTAAAAAAGACCGCCCGCCTCTCTGTGACTGCGTGGCGACGACGAGCGAATCGCGAGAGATACACGAGCGATCGAGCGAGCGAGCGGTACCGATGCTGGATACGTAACGATAACCACACCTGGCAACCTCTTCCGATGACTGATACAATCGTGGCCGCCCTGCGAGGACCACATGTGGAAGGCGAATTCATTTCAGGGCCCGATCGTCAGTTCTAGCTAGCTAAAAGATAGATGGTTGCGGAAGCGAATTTGCAATGGTATAGCCCATCGGACCAGCCATCTCATAAAATCTGCCGGAATTCACCGAAATCCCCGACAATCTGGGGTGATCTCGAGTTCTATCCTGCTACTATGCCGTAAAACTATCTGCAACAATCTGTGCTAGCAAACATTCTAGCCCCTATCGAGCCGCTTTTTTGACGCACGTGGCGGAGAGCGGTCGACGGTCGACTGCAGACTGCCGAATTCTGCAGAATTCGGCACCGACCTGATCAACTCCAGATACTATGTTGTACTACTGAGATGATCGCTATGCCGAATTTGAATCGTTGAGCGGATCATCAACCATGTCTGAATACCATCACCATCACCATCCCCATCAGCAGCAGCAGCAGCCGCAACAGCAACAGCAACAGCAACATCATGTGCAACGGGATTGGAGTCAGCACGAGAGGGAGTACTACGCCTCTCTGTCTGATTTTAGGACGTTTCAGCAACCTCTCCCTCATCCGAATCATCACCACGGCCAGTACCCGTACCCTTCGCCAATCGGCGAAGGTCCTCGAGGTTACCTCGCAGGCCCTGCAGGCACCTTGGTGGCTCCAAGCACCCAAGGACACCCGCAGACTGCCGAATTCGGCGGAACTCGGGACATGAGTCCATTGGACTCTCCCGTCTTGACTTCGATCAACGCTTTACCTAGCCTGCCCGCCGCCCCTGCTATCCTTCCGGCCCAGGCTGCAACTCCTACCTCTGCTCCTGGCAACCCTCCTGCCAACCAGAACGTTCGCTGGTATGAGTGGATGGAGGATCTCCTTGCCGACCTCCTTGTTGCGGAGGTGAAGGTCACACGCAACAAGGTCACCATGGGCATGCCCGTATTCTCCAAGATTGCCAACCTGATCAATGAAGCGATGGACGCTCGAACCGACCCCACGCCCAATGGGAGATTGGATGGTATCAAGGTTAAGAACAAGACAGGAATCTTGACGGCAGAATTCTACAAGCCTCTCGAGCGGATGAGGAAGAGGTCGGGCTGGGGTTGGGATCACCAGCTGCATCGTCCCCTTGTTGATGACGAGGCGTTCGAAGACTACGTCAAGCACTGGGTGAGCTGAAGATCGCAGCCGAATTCTGCAGAATTCGGCAACACAAGCTGATCCCATTCAAACATCGTCACACAGGTCGGGACCCCAACCGTGTCTCAAATCAGACGTCTGCGAGACAATGGATGGCGGCTCTACCCCAAGTGGAAGATCATCCGTGAAGGTCATGGAGCTACGGGTGATTTTGCCTTCCGCGGTGGAGCTCCTCTCCCTTCCCAACCCGACCCTCCTGCCGCTGCCGCAGACGCCGAAGATTCGGCCAGCGAAGGTGAAGCGAACAGTCAGCCGCAGGGTACTCCCCAACGTCCCCACAGCAGCAGGAGCCGGGGCAGGGGTGGATCGTCTTCCGCTGGATCAATTGCTTCGATGAGCAATCGCCGACGCGATGAGGATCAGCCCGACTTTGCTTCCCTTGGCAAGACGTTTGTTGAACAGCTGGCATCAGTCACTCAGCAAGCAACTTCGCAGATCTTGACTCGTGGTTCCGCTTTGCTCAAGGAGGATATCGCAGCCATGGAAATCAGCGTGGTCGACGCTCGGAAACTTCGCCTCCGTCTCGCCAAAGACCGTACGCTGGCCGAGTCTTATGCCCATCAATCCGAAGAAGACCGCCGGGAGTTGCTACAAGCAGTCTTGGAAGATCTACAGGGCTGAGTTTTTGTGTTTGTAATTATCCACCGTGCTCCCGAATTCTGCCGAATTCGGTGTATCAATGAAACGTCTGTCAAATGAGAGCTAGGAGCTAGACACTTGCGAATGTGCTCACCTACGAATTCTGCCCAATTCGGCAGCCCTCTTGCACTCATTCCGGTTGGGTGGCAGGAATGACCTCCCATCGAGCGAAGTTGTCATCCGCAATCTTTTCTCGCAGTGCAACCATAGGATCACTGCGAGCATCTGGATCGTTCCTTTCCCTCCGGGCAACGGGTTCGTCTGGATCCAACCCTACCCCAGAGAGAAGATCCTGATCGTCTGGTACTGGCTCGCAGTCGTCTTTGTTGTCAGACATGAAGTTCTGCAGTGCGCAAAGTGCATAGATGACTTGCACTTGCTTAGCCGGGGCATAGTACGTTCCGGCTCGCAATGCCTTGAACCTCGCTTTCATGATACCCCAAACCTGTTCAATGGGCATGCGGAGACTGGAATGTTGGTGATTGTACACCTCCTCCCTAGTCGCTGGCTGTCGTCTGGATCGCTTCCATGCGGCAAGGTGGTATGCTGTCCCATTGTAGGGCGTGAGTACCTGGCATCGAAGAGTGAATCCTGCATCTCCGAGTAGATAATACCCTTGCGGAATTGGAATGTCTTCGTGGCGAAGACAATCGTACCAGATGCTGATATCCGGCTCAGGACCTTCCCAGCCAGCGTTCACGTAACAAAGCCGACGATCTAAATCGCATATACCGAGGACGTTCCATGAGAGACCACCTTTGCGATCTCGGAAATTACCCTCTCTATGGCTTGGAGGATGCGCAGTGATGAGGGTGCCATCGATAGCGCCGCAAGCCTGTTGAAATGCCCCGAGCTTCCTGCTCCGGGCGAATTTACGATGAGGCAATTGGTTTGGACGAGGAAAGCGCACCATCTCGCTGTAGAATGGGTCGGTGGCGAGGGCAGTCACCGTGACATCAACAGCTCTATTAATGAAATGATCAGCCGAATTCGGCCGAATTCGGTTACGACCCTCATCTCGGCTCACCTGAAAGATTGAGAACACATGATGCACATTCAGCCGAACTCGACCGAATTCGTACAAATTTACTCACTCACCTGGACACCGCTGCCAAGCTTCTGTTGAACTCTAAGCCTGTCTGCCGGTGACCTGTGCCATGCCTCAATGCATGCAGAGCGATGGCCAACGTTTCTTGCGAGCCCACGCGTTGTGTCGCCAACGACCTCCCAGCTGCTCCAAGTTTGCTCGCGAGCAGTCGCATGGCAGAAGGACTCATGCCAAACGCATTCATGCATCGTGCTCGGTTATTAAGAGCCTCCATCAATCTCATTTGTCCAGAGAACCTGGATGTGGAGTAGGCCAGCCGTGTTCGTGAAGGGTTTTGTTTCTGGTTTCGTTGCTGTCGATTGCACAGCAACACGAGGCTGATAAATTGGACAACAAAGTCCCTATCTCTACTCGAGTTATCTGACATGTTGCAGGGTGACCTTGTGCCGAAGTCTGCAAAATTCGGCTGAGCACAACAACGCATGTATCGACGACAACAACGATATGCTTGTCGTCAAATCGCAGATGGAAATCGAGATGACGTCAAGGACCTATTTGCCTCCGTATTTGCACCCGACGCGCGTTTGAGCGACCGTTTCATCCCTTGATCGTCGCTGCTTGACGACGCTGTTGCCATCAATATCACCAAAGGACCTCTTCAGTTCCAACGCAGAAAACGCAGAGACTTCGAGAAGAGGGTCCTTTGGATTGTTCCTGTTCATCAAACAACAACAACAGCCACGTCGACGCGTATGACTCCATCAAAACAAAGAAAAAAACACGTCGCGTCTGCTCAGCCAGTGAGGAAGGTATATACACACGATCAATTCACATCCCCCCTTCCCCCCCCCTCATCGTCCTTTTCTCTTTTCCTCTCTTCACTCTCAACTCTATCTCTCCGACTCTATCTCTCTTCCCAACTTTACTTAATCCTCGTCTTGATAACAACATGGCCCCTGAACGTCCCGCCAAATCCTCCTCCTCTAAACGCACCAACCCCGCCAACCCCGCCAATCGTACTTCTCGGAACGCCCTTGGGCGATTCGTGTCTCGTCCCGGAGCTGGAGCTCCCGCTGGCGCTCAGGAGGAGTGGGATAGGATGCAGAGGGGGGAAGGGGGTCGTCAGTCGACTCTTCCGAACCTGAGAGTGAGTACGATACGATCGTGATCCTTCTTCCTTTCACCGTCGGTTGTTCCCCTCCTGTCTTTCGTTCTTTGCCGAGTAAACGACTGACTCTCCCGAATTTTGCCGAATTCGGTAGTTTGCTCAGACCCAAGAGGAAGAAGAACGGGACGTCCAGAAGGCCATCGGCAAGTCTCTCAAGACGGCTAAGTTTGAAAAGATCCTTACCAAGGAGCGACTTGCAGCGGAAACTCGCCTCGCCCAAGAGCAAGCCGAACGGGACGCCGTCAACCAAGGAGCTCGCATCTCCCCCATCCCCGACGACAACCAAGGAGCTCGTATCTCTCCCATCCCCGATGACGACGACGTGATCGTCAAGACCGAGAAGATTGATGAGCCTGTAAGTTGGGGTGCTTGCTAGCTTCAAAGTCGACATGGAAGGCTTACCGAATTCTGCAAACTTCGGCAGATCCCTCCAAAGAACAAACGCAAGGACAAGGCCAAGGCGAAGCAGGCGGAGGTCATCGAGGTGAGTTATTCCTGTTAGAGAGTGGTCGGTTTGCGCTTACGAATTCTGCAAACTTCGTCAGCTTTCCTCGACCGAGGAGCCGGAGGCCAACGCCAAGGCGAAGGCCAAGGCCGAGAAGAAGAGGAGGAGGAAGGCCGAGAAGATGGCGCGGGAGGTGAAGAAGGAGGTGGAGGAGCTTGTCCCTGTGAGTTATCCATCTTTCGCTCCATTTGAGCTTGAACATGATACTAATTCCGTCCTATTCTCTGCGTTTAGAGCGACGACGACGTCAAGGCCCTCGTCCCCGACTTCCCGTCTAAAAACCTCGAGGATGCCTGGATCCTTGACGGGAAGAACCCTGTCAAGGTTTGTGTAAGTCTGTGCTCTCTCTTTTACACATCCTCATCGTTGTACTAACTTCATTCGCAAACGATAGATCTTTACGAAAGGTTACGACTGGGTAGGAGCTCTTGCGAAACTCGAAGAGGCTGCCCAGATGTCGAACGAAAAGGACAAGAACGCCATGGCCAAGAGTATCGGCTTGATGGGACCTCGTTCGTCCCCCGACATGACTGCGGCCCGACGAAATTTCTGGCTCGCCCGAGGGATCGACTTCGATAAGACCTTCAACGCTCAAACGGGCTACGACGTCGGCGTCTATACCGGAGAGGTGAGTTGGCGCTTACCGAATTTAGCCGAATTCGGCAGAGTCCTGCGTCTTTTGCACTGATCACTTACACCGGTACGATTGCTTCTCTCTTCAGGAACGAAGCATTCGAACCGCGAAGGAGGGGGGCAAAGCAGTTGTCGAGTTCGAACACATCATGTGCACCCCCTGCGCCAGGAAGAAGAAGGATGACCCGGAGCAGCGATGCTTCGCCACAAGGCCCTTCACCGCCTGCACCGCCTGCGCTGATCGCGGCAAGGCTTGCGACTTCAAGGAGATGCAGCGCGCCTTCGTCAACCAGCACGTCATCGGTGCTGCGAAGACCTTGCAAACTATCGGCAAGAAGATTCGCAAGAAGGTCAAGGGCAAGAAGGGGTTGACGATTGCTATCGACATGATGGCGGTGAGTTTTTCTCTGATTCAAACCAGTGATTCCGCGATCCGTGACTGACCGAATTCGGAAAAATTCGTACAGGCTGTCACCGACATTCTCAAGGCCTCCGACGTCGGTATCCCCGGTCTCCACGACTCGCTGAACCGTTACTTCGAGATTCAGCAAGCCAAGATCGACGCAACCTCCAAGAGCGGCAAATCGATGATCGGGCTGTTGAATGAGAGTCGAGGCGAGCAGGTTGCCCGAGAAGTCGAGCAGGGGATGAAGGCTCCCCGCCGCAAAGACGTCGAAACCCAGGCCGTCCTCGACGCGGCCTTCGACAACTTGCCCAGCACCCCTCAGAAGCGCAAGGCCATCGCTGCTCCCGACCAGCGAGCGACCGTCGAGGACTACGATGACGACATGGACATCGACGAGCCGGTCGCCTCGGGATCGGGATCGGGTAAGAAGAAGGCGATCAAGGCCGCGCCCCCCAAGGAAGAGACCTCCGACTCGGACTCGTCGGACTCTTCGTCTTCTTCGGAAGACGAGAGCTCCAGCGACTCCGACTAAGTTGCCTCTTGGTAGACCCCCGCTCAATGCATAGGGTCCCTTACTACCTGATTTCTCTCGCGAAGTCTCTGTTCAGGTAGGGGTTTTTATAGATCAAGACTTCGCCCGTTATTATACGGTAGATATGTGGTAGGGATTGTATATACGAGGCTGGTTTCTTTTTTTTATGCCATGCCATTCTACGAGCGATCGCCGAATTCGGGGAACTTCGGCTGGTGATTTTGTCAAAGAGTTCTGACTCACCCATTCACCGAATTCTGCAGAATTCGGCAAGACCTTTGCTATGGAGATGAAACACACAGCGTCTGAGATATCACGTGATGACGTGGCTGCTATTTGTATCCGCGCGGAGGCAAACAATACAAACAGATAGAACTCGCGATCACCCACGGCAAACTATCCGACCTCGCTAGCGCGCTATCTGCGCGCAGATACTCGTGAGAAAATAATTATAATCTAGATAGGACTCGCGACCGGGCCCTCACGAAGGTTTCGCTCTCTTTGGACCTGAGCCATATCAAGTCCTGCACAGACTCGCTTCGTCTCGCGTATCACGAAAAGCGGCAGATCTATGCGAGCTGTCCTCGATGAGTGGCTATCGATCCTCTAGATCGACGACCAAGCTGAGATACGACAAGAGGGAGATGATGTGACCATCCTGTACCCAGAAGAGGCTCTTCGGCGTGCAGTCCGTTTCTTTCCGCCAACCGAGACCGAGATTGTCTTGATCGGAGATTTTAATGGTGGAAGGGGGATCGGCGTGGACCGTGGGAAGAAGCTCGAACGCCGGACGTGCAATAAGGTTGTTGCCTTCATTCGCAATTCCATCTCGCCACCCCTGCTGTACCGAATGCCATAGCTGTATGAATCATGATCACACAGCTTGCAGATCATACACCGAGCAATACCGAACGAACAGCGGAAGATCGACAGCGGGAAAGAAACGGAAACCCGAACACCCAGCCACATTCGCTGTCAATCATAAAACTGTATCCGCAAAGCGCAAGTGCAAGCCACGAAATCCACGAGAGAGAAAAGCGGTTCGGTCAAACGCCCTCCCGTAGTACAGGCACCGTGGAAGTATCGGGAGTACGATCAATTTCGCGCAACTGGGTTTCTGCGCCTTGTGGTGGGTACTGTGGTTATGGTTACGGACGCTGACAAGGTTAGCATTCAGCAAGGTTGTCATCCACAAGGTTCCAATCCCTGTGCTACAGCATTATTGCCAGAAGAAACAGTCGGTCATTCCCCGCGCGACGGTTTACGGTTTGGCCATCTGGACACAGCCTTCGCCTCGCTTGGACCGAAATGACAAAAAGGGCGTCGACCGCGAACGGGCGGGTGTTCATGTACCTTACGGATAGACGTGAACCCGTCGCTTTCGGCTCCGCGTATACTGGCAAGGCACAACACGATCTCGATCCTAGGCTGTCATCGTTTCGATCGAGAGGGTATCTGATACGGATCATGGTGCATGGAAGACGGTTCTACTACAGGCGCACAGGCGATGTTCTACAGATGCTATGCTACAGAGTCGTCACAGAACGTTTCGATCGTGGTACAAGTGAATGTACATGCTCGCGGGCGAGACGGATCTTCCAGTCGTTATGTCATGCATCTGGCTGGGTCTCCAGAGTCCTGCGAGAGATTCATATCCCATGTCGTTCCCACCTCACAGCAGTACTACCTCTTTCTTAATCTCGCCGAACTCCTCGTCCGAGTCGAGCCACTCTCGGAAGCTTTCACATCGTCTACCACCGGTGCTGCGACCTGACTCCGGGTCCCTATCGTCGCAGCCCGTTTCTTCGGTCGAGGGGATTCCATCTCTTCCGCCTTTTGTTTCGAAGGCTGATGGCTGGTCATCCTCGAGCGCAGCGCACGTCCGTTCGTGGTTGTCGAGGTGGCAACTCCCGGTGTATCTGGAGTGACAGCCTCGTCACGGTTTGCAACGACAGCGGGTGGAGTATCGGTCTTGATCATCAGATGGTCCGCTTGTTTGCGTTTCGACGTCTTGCCGTTTTGTGGCTCTGCCGGAACCAAAGCCAATGGATCTTGTGATGGCGGGCAGGACGACAAAGGGGAGGAGCTTTCTCTTCGTTTCCTGTCCTGGTCGTCGGCGTCACCATCGCCGCACAAGCGTTCGTGCTCTTCCGGTTCGACATCCGGACCAGGCAATTCCACCTCGACATCCATCTGCCCGCTTGATGTTCGCCCAACATATTCAATTTGTTCGCCTGTTGCCTGAGCGGCCGAGCTGGTAACATTGCCCTGCGTATCGGGTATCGAATTGGGGAACTGGGATGCCCCTTGTTCACTGGCGACGATCGCTCCGGCAGCTTGTGACCTTGCCTGTGTGTCTGGAACAGAGGCTGGCATATCTGTACGGGGACGTTGAGCGTCCCTGTCGCTGTGTGCCACTGATGGAACAACAGGAGACACCGCTTCTCGAGCGGACCCCGACTGCGCACCATCCTCTTCGCAATCCATTTGTTGTGAATCGTACATATCCCGTGGGACCTGTACCGCATCTTCGTGGTCGTCGAATACTGAAGACTGCCCCGCCAACTGCCCCTGACTGCTATCCAACGAGAAAAAGTTGCGTCGGTTTTGAGCCAATCGACCGGGCGTCTGCAGGTTCAGCCCTCGCATCGGCTGACTGAAGTCATCAGTCGACTGCATGCTGCTTTCGAATCGATCGAGTCGAGGGGTATCGACCAGTCCAGCGGTCGAGTCGCGCGTCCATCGGTCGTCGTTGTCGTAGTTGCCTTGTGGCAGGCGAGCACCAGGCGGTAGGATCCATTCGTGACGCAGTGCGTCTGTGAGCGTCATCCTCTCGGCAGGGTCTCGTTCGAGAAGCCGGGAGATAAAGTCGATTCCTTTTTAGGAAGAGAACGGTTGCTTAGTTGACGCTGGAGAGGTCTCTAGGGATGTGTGTTACTGACCCGCTTCGCTTATACCGATATCGAAGAGAAGATCGGAATCGAACGCATGATCCAGTCTTTTTCGTATCCGGATGTGTACCGGTTCCTCTGGGTCCTCGTCGAAAGGCATGTTCTGGAAGGACGTCGCATGTCAGCCGCGGTCCTGTGGGTATCGATACATTCTAGCGCACATTCGTCAACATGCCATAGATGATGACACCAGTTGACCATGAATCCACCACAAATTCTGTATGAAAGGCGGCTTGTCGTGAGTTCCTGCAATCCGTTAGGAGTGAACCTGGTCACTGACCGTATCCTGGCTTTGCCGCCGACTGACAAACGATCTCTGGAGCCAGATACTGCGGTGTACCGACCAGTGATCGTAGAGCTGATGAATACACTAGCTATCAGCCAAGGTTCGTAAGAGCATGTCTGTGCTAACTCACCAGTCCCTTCCACAACTGTCGATCGAGCATATCCAAAGATTAGCCCTAGTTCAACCCGTAACGCGGGCCGACTCACCCATCTTGGCCAACCCGAAATCGGCGATTTTCGCTGTCGGAAGCCCATCGGTCAGGTGGATTGTATCGAGCAAGATGTTTTCCGGTTTCAGATCGCGATGTGCGACACCCATGGAATGCTACGTATGCGAGCTCGTAAGCATCACCGCCAAGCATGGCGACTTCGGATTGATGGGCTTACGATGTACTGCCAATCGTTACAAAAATCAATATCAGTTCCGGCCTTCGAGGTTCAAAGACGCAAATGCACTTACAGACATGCCCTGACAGATCTGTCTGGTCATCGAGATCGCCTCCGATTCCGCTAAAGAAGCCGGTCTTTCTTATCAGCGAATCTGCCACTTGACCTGACCTGACCTGACCTGAGTTGACTGCGCTTCATAACTCACGTAGACCCGGACCTGGGTTTCTCGCCTTCTTCAAGATGTAATCCAGCAAATCTCCGCCGCTGACATATTCCAGTACCTATTCGACCTCTGCGCAATTAGCACTTATAGCCACTGGAGCTGCAACTGGGCGGCAGTGTCCGTTACTTACCAGGTACAGATGCTGAGGATCCGTCACAACGGCAATAAACGAACAGATATTAGGCTGCGTTGTGTCGTAAGACCGTTCAGGATCAGCCACCCACTCCAGGCGTATTAGACTCTTCTACGGCCATGATCCAACTCACATGCTGTAAACTCTGCAAGATCGAGATCTCCCTCTCGAACAATTGGAGCGTCTTGGGGTTCTGTGCAAATTTGTGCTTGGTGATGCACTGCAACAAGTCGTCTCCTCGGTTCAGTACCGCATCCGACAGAGCACAGAGAGGCGAGATCAATTGGACCGACCTTGATGGCGACTATCCGACCGGTATCGATCTCTGCAGCCTTTTTCACCTCTGCAAACGCACCCGATCCTAGCCTGCGCGAAAGAGTAGGTCAGCTTCGCGCCCCTAATTTTCAAATCACGATCTTGACTCCACGAGCCAACTCACGTTTCCAGGAAGACAAACCTCTCAAAGATTTCTCCCACCCTGCCCTCGTCCCCGACTCCCTGTCGACCCACGCTCTTGTAGATCCACCTGACATCATGGTTCATCTGCGGGACCGGTCCCACGGACCCTAACGACACCTCGTCTCCGTGCCTGAGGACGTGTTTCTTGGTGATCCGTTGCGAGTTGACAAAGGTCCCGTTGGAAGAGCCTAGGTCTTGTATGATGACGATCGGTTCGTTCGAAGGTGGTTGATAAGGGTTGATGGCAAGGACGTTGTCGGGTCCTTTCCCGTCCGACCCTGATCCGCCCTGGTCCGTTCGCTCGACTCCGGTCCCTAGATCAATCTCACTGTCCCTCCCCAAATCCGCCGGATCGTCTAACCGATATATCACGCAATGCTTGTTCGAGATCCTCTTGGCTCCCAGTGCTAGATCGTTCCATTTCGGAGCCGGACCTCTTCCTATCCTCACCTTTCCATCGGCTCCTAGCGGTCGAGAGAGCTGGTTCTGTGACGAGTTCGGGTAGTGATACGAAAGGTCCGGAAGGGGTGCGTCCCAGTAGAGTTTCAGTTCTGGCACCGACGGTGAGAGGGGGGTGAAGATGGCCCCTGTCGAGCGTTCAAAATTCGATTTGACAGAATCAGCGTCTGCCCGTGCCTGTCTATCCACAAGAAGACTACGGCTGCTCACAGTACTTGGACTTCGGATTCACGAAAGTACTAGGAAGCTCCTGACTATCTTGTACGGGCGGACTGCACTGCGTCTGTGTAGGCTGCCAACTACCGCCCACCTGTCCTGCATAGTCTTGTTCTTGAGAGTCGGAAGGTCTTCCATATCCATGATCGTATTCTCCATCAACATTTCCAACTTCATTCCCGGTTCCATTTCCGTAACCACCCCCGTTTCCATTGACGATTCCGACGCCTCGCCCGTTGGGCGTCGTTTGGTGGAACGCAGGAGGGGCTCCTAAATCCAGATCTAGGTCCGAATTCTGTTTACGATATACCTGATCGTCTTCGCCCTCATCGTCGTCCTCTATCTTCTTTGAGTCGCGGTGCAAAGGCAGAGGAGCGAATGGATCTAGCTCGACTCGGTTTCCCGTCGAGCTACTGGGGACGGACATGGGGTTCGAGTTAGAGAGGGCCGAGGGTGGTGGGGAAGACCGATCGGGCAGGGAGGGGAACGGGCTGGACATTTCAAGTACTGGATTTTGCGGTCAAAGGTACCGTAAATTAACCTCTTCTTGATGCGATGGCGTTTCAGAAGTGCTTTCCAGATGATCGGATTGTCGATAAACGATAGGGTATGGTAAGATGGGATGGGATGATCAAGCAACTGCCGACCGGATGAGGCCCTTTCCGAACGAGCTCGACTGGCGGCCCTCTTCGTTCTATAAGAATCACCTCTGGATCCTTTTCCTGCCCGGCCCGCTGATCTACCAGCAGCCACTACTAGATATATGTGCGAGTCGGAGAATTTCGTCCAAGGTGACAGGACGGTGCACGAAGCACAGGCAAGAAGTCGGTCGACGATTATCGAGCGCGAGGACAGGACCAGCTTTCTGCCCGTTCGATCCGGGACTTTCGCTCTCCAGTGTACAGTGTGTTGCTGATCTCGATTCCCCCTTTAGGTCTATTGTGCTGACACCTGGAATGTGGTCTTGGAAGCTGGGAATGAGGATGACGGTGACGATCCATCGCAGATGATTTCCCTGCCTTTCCCCCTAAACTTGGCCCTTTCCCTCCGGATTGCCGGCATCCCAGCATGCATCCACGCGCTCCCGTTCCCGTCGAGACGCGTCAAGACGCGCTAAATGACGAGAGAGATGATTAGGTAAGCAGGATCAGCAAGGGCGGGGTCGATCGAGAAGGTCGCAATGACGATCGATCAATCTCACCTTCGACCTCTTGATCAATCGATGTCAGCACCAGCAAACCACAACCCGTACTTGGCCACCAGCCACCAAGCGATCGTAAATCAAATCGTCCGAGCCAATATCTGCAGTCATGTCTAGAGTGAGATATTCGCCTTGAACCCACGCGCTTTGCGTGAGAGATCACCGGCTGACGATCCCGTCTGCCCTTTTGCTAGCCCTCAAAGATGAGCGACGATCGACCGGCGTGTCAGGATGAAGGTGAAGATCACCTACACGTCTCTCACCACTTTTCTCATTTCATACTGAACAGTAATTCTGCTCTTGATACTTGCAGCATGCGCTATCCAGACCTGCCTCTCCCGCACGTCCTACAATGAACAGAAATGTCAATACGCCATCGACGCCCTCTATCGTTGTTGTGCATCTTTTTACGATAAAGCCAACGCTGGAAAATACGAGAACCTCGGAGGAATCCGTAGGGAAGGGGTCAAGAAGAGTACGGCTTGTCCGTTAGAATCGGTCGTGAGAAGGACTCTTAAGCGGAGTGACAACGAGGCTGGGGAGAACAACGAGATCAAGAAAGCTTAGGAGCGTTCGAGATAGATCGGAACCGGCATGGTGGAAACCAGATCCAGGTCGATGGATGATATCGTTACCAGCGCCTGGCTACAATTTCCCGACTGCCCCGACAAGTACGCCACGACTCGCCCTTCAAATGCTCTCCCTCTCGACCCCATAATCCTCCTTGGCACACCTCCAAAACTCTTCGCCGCCGTTCACCGCAAATCTCCCCGCATACTCCGCTTCAAGCGGGTGTAACCTCCCCTTGCCCTTGTCCGAGTTCCCACCGACGATCACTACCGAATGCAACGGCCCTCCGAAATCCTCTTCGGTGAGCTCGGACATTTCGGCCAGGGTACCAGAGAGGATGAGCTGTGTAGGGGTTCCTAGACGCGAGAGCGTCATGATGAGCGTTCGAGCAGGGTCTAGGAGGGTAGGATAGGTCGGGTAGTGAGGCATTGTGGGGTCGGGGGAGGATGAACGGGAAGTCGAACCAGAGGCGGGTTCGTCCGCAGTGGTAGAGGAGGAAGTGGGTTTGAGTTTCGATGGAGGGTGTCGTTCATTTTCGGTGTAGAGGATCTGTTCAATAGCGGTAGCCGGGTTCATGAAGCGAGGCGGTCCATATCGCATGATTCCCCTGCACGTAAAAGCAGAATAGATCAGCCTCGGGACATGGTCTGGTTTACTGTTCTTTGCGCCTACTTGATCATATCCTCCTCGGACTGCTCCCTAACCTTGATGTCCAGCAAGACACACGTATGCATCCCCAACTTCAGGTTCTCCTCCAACCGATCATACCAACTCCCGGGCCTCCACGAATCCGTGTAAAACGGCAAAGACAGAGTCTGTCCAAAGTTGTACAGCTGTAGACCTGTAGATCCGAGCGCGGTCATGATGGAGGCGTTGTGAATGACTTGACAAGCGATCCCCTTGGACTGCGCTCGAAGCAAGAGGTCGGTATGGGTCGTTGCGGCGGTTGGGTCGCCGACAACAAGGAAGGAGACATCCACTGTGTCGGCATTGGCGAGGATCGAATCGGCTTCAAGTTCGACGGTTTCACGGGTGGCCAAGATAACTTCTCGGCCATAAAATTCTTCCTGCGAAGCCGGGCGAAGAGTTCCGGGTCAGCATGAACGTCCACCTGGATCGTGAAAAAGCCGATGACCGGGACTGACGAGCTTTGCCTTGTCGATCATCAAGATACTGGTATAAGCCTCGAGATATACCCTCTCGCTTCTCTTGACCGCCTACAACCATCGCAATTGAAGTAAGACCCAGATTTCAGAGGGAGATCAGTATCTCTCTCCATGTCGACCTCGACTTCAGAGCTCACCTCCAACCCCTTGACGGTAATATCCTTCTCATCACTGAGACCTAGTCCGATCACGTAGAGCATTTTCGATTGGACAGTGACGATTACACTGATTTCGATTTCTGATATGTCCGAGTCTGCCTGTATATCCGCAGGAAGATAAGACTTCTGAGCTGCGAGTGAGAGTGCAGATAGCTGGACAGGTTGAAGGTAGAGCAACAATATGGTCGCACCCACTGATAAAATGGTGCTTCGGAAGCTAACGGAAGCAATTAAGCTGTAAAGCCGCTGCAGGTCGTAACCCAATCTGTTCTTGTTGGACAAAAATGACACCCTGGCGACCAGTCAAGCCAGTTCAATCTCTTCATGACAATGAGCGTGCAGTGCCATGCGATACATCTGAGAACGGTCGCTCGCTGGCCGCTCTCAAACTTGAGCAAAGTCGCTCGGGCGATTCGAGTCAAGTCGACGGGGGCCTTGCCTCGTAACTCATCTGGACAGATTCTAACTTCCAAGCGATCTGCCATTTCTCCTGAGGCTGGACGTGGGTCTTCGATTGACTTTTGATGTTGCTTCCAACCGATTCGCTGCGCCGAGTGTTTGTCCGGGCTTCAAGGCTGAAGCCGGATCTTGGAGGAACCTCTCAGAGAGTCCAGAGGATCCCTGAAGGCCGTATCCGATATGTGTCGATGCAGCTGTTACAGCCCCACTATTCCGAAAGCCCTGTCTATCCATCCCTGCAAGACTCCCTCCCAACTGCCAAAACCGACCACCTTGTTGTCCCACATCCATCTCCATGCGACACCTCCACTTAGACCGATGGTAGCGCCGACGAGCACTTGAGCGAGGGTATGATACCCTATCCGGACGCGGGACCACATGATGAGGCTGCCCCATACGAGGGTCAGAAGAGCCATCAGCCCGCCTGTCGGAGCGCTGACCGTCGACGCTCGCCGCATGCCCGATATAGTCGTCGATGGGCTGGAGAAAGGGGGGAGGGAAAGAATTATGTAGGCCATGTAGAATCCTATCGAGGTCGAATGCGTCGAAGGCATGCCATATGTCTTCTTGACCTTCTTCTTCGGCCGGCGAGAGGGATCTTTCGGGTCATCTTCTACAGTGACGTTGGGCCTGTCTTGTCGAATGATGTTCTTGCTCAACTTAGCTGCAGGCAATAAAATAGGAAAGGGTCGGTCACATGTTAGATAAGGTGAGATCCATATTTCAAGTGATGAAGGACCAACCGAAAGTGTTGAAGAGCACTGCGCCGGAGATGAAGTACCCTACATGTGCGGACCTAGTCTTGAGAAAGGTCAACGCTGTGATCCCCGTTACTACGATGTGTGTCTAGGTTGCCAGGATACACCGATAATCAAAAGGTACCACATGAGCCCTTGTCCGTTGGGCAGTAGCGAAAGGGTCGCGGTTACTGACCTGATCGAGCAGCCATAGGACAGCCCGTGAGATTCCTCTCGACATAGCGATTACATCCAGCGTGGGCCGCTCCTGCTTTCGATATCACTAAGACAGACGTTTGAGTGGTATGCTTTTTGAGAGAATGGTAAGGGTGTCGCTCTCGGTGTAAAGTGCTCTAGCAGCGATCCTCTCAGGGGTTACGTCATCTCGCAAGCTGATTTGGCGCCAGAAATCACGTGACACTTCACGCCTGCCTGTCCTCGACGTTTCACAATCCCACCAGTTTTGGATCATGACTTGTCATGCTTGTCGACACGAGACCAACTACAACGCTTTATCTGAGAGGTTCTCAAACAGCGATGTTATATCTTTCAGTTTTAGGAACTGAACAGATGCATGCGCCTTGACTAGGAGGGAGTTGGGTTACCGCTTTAGCGGGACTCCGGTAACCTTCCGGGACCTAAAACTCCTGCGACCATTGGTACAAGTGAAACAACACCAGATAGAGCTTTGCTCCACTTGCTTAGGGAGATTTGAATGTAGATCCAACACAACAATCTTGAGACAAACCAGGTAATGAATGGTCAGGATAATGGCATAGAGGGGGCTAATAACCTCTTTCGGCGTGTTACAAGACCGGGAGACCGATATGACGGTGAAGGACCCTGTATTCGAATTTCTGTAACGCTTCGCATGTGCGATACAGAGAGCCTGAGTCGGGTTCAGGTTATGTAGTAGTACTTTGGCAATCGTTCCGATCAGCTGTAAGATTGTTCGATCTCCTTCTGTCGATCCCGCAGCGGATCTCAAACACGTGAGCGTAGATAGACATACGATCTACTTCTGGACTGTATTTTCTTGATCTGACAAAACCCGTTATACCGAACAGCCGGCCAATACTTACAGTAAATGCCTGCATCCCCTACGCTTGGTCTCTCATTCCTCAAAAAAGGGCTTATTTGTCACGTCCGGTCGGGAAGACCTGATCTTGGGGAAGTGTGCCGCAATTTCTGGCCATAATCTCTATGCGGGCGGTGATGAAGACAATGTCGATGTGATCATTGTTGACCAGAGCTGTGGCCATCCCGTCATAAGTCGGTGTTCTTCAGGGGTGTCTTGAATAACAAGCCCGCAGCGTCCTGCCATCTTCGCTGAACACACTTGCAGGAGCGGAGAGACGAGCTCGAGCCGGCGAGAAAGGCGCTTAAAGGTATCTAAGAGGATCCTTGGGTTCACTGCAGTTGAAAGGAGATTAGACTCATCTGGATGGTATGGTCAGCTTGTTCCGTGCGTTCCAATATTCGCTATCAGGACTTTCGTATTCGGTAAGCGTGAAGTTTTTCTCCAAGAGGCATAGACTGTCTCAGACTTGAATTGCCTCACTGGACGAATTGATCAACCTTCAACCATCTGTACCGACCGCTCCGATATCCTCCCCCAGATCAACCCGAAGGCGGGACAATGTAAAAAATTGACAGTGGTGTCCCTTCGATAGAGAGTTCGTATCAACAAGCGGTGGAGGACAAGTGTTTCACCCTTTGCTGCCAATTCCTAGATAACCACGCCCGTTCACGAGACATCAACGGCATCAACGGGGCAGCTGCGGTTCTGTTTCGAACCGCTGGAAGAGATCGACAGTAATTCCTCCACATCATACCATTACTAAATTAGGCCCAAAAACAGACATACCACTTCGTAGACCCTGCGAGGTTGACGCAAGATCAGCGAAAAGGCGGCGCATGGTCGGTAGCGCTGGCATATCCAGGTGTATACCTGCATTTCTGCGGACTTGCCCTGGCTTGAGATCCATGTTCGGACTAGATCTTCCTGGAAATCTGAATGCTGCGCTGCACAGCAGGCCCATTGAAGTTTGAAGTTCGATGATGAGCAATCGACTCGCTGTTGAGTTGGTCAAAGGCAATCATGCGCCGATCTCACGCCTTGGCTGCTTTCGGTGCCGTCACGCGCAAGTCGCAGGTCGGGCCCTTTCCAGCGAGCAAGCAGCGAGGATGGCCCATAGCGGTAAAGAGCTGGGAGATGGATCAACCATCAAGATCACAAAGGCATCATACTCGGATCAAACTACTCTGAATCAATCAGAGCGGTCAGGACTAGTGATCTTTGAAGAGTCGTAGGCCTGTCATCCCCGCCGAAAAGGACACGCCATACGTCACGGTTTCCGAGATAGCTTCGGTTCCGACACACAAGGCAAATCGAAATAGGAAACTTCCAACATCAAGATTGCACCACCTTGCCTTGATCTTTGCAACTCAAGCAGCTGAGAAAGACTTCACACACAAGATAAAGAACCTCGGTCACCAAACGCCTGAAGATACGAGCCCATGTATGTCTGTCTCGTTAGGATATCGAGACGCCGGAAGATATACTCATAGTGCTGCATCTCGCAGGCCTCGAGGAGTATGTCTTCACCTCCCTCGACGAATCTAGACTCATCGGATCATGTACAACTAGAAATCGAGAAGAACGATAAGTTAGCGAGTTCAGAGGTCGGCACGGGAGTGCAGCAGAGCGACGAAGGACGCCGATCGGATGTCGGGATACAGGGGCAAGATGTTGATGGGGGGATCAGTTCTGGAGAAGCACAGACATCGGATAATACTGTGAATTCTACGGAAAGGTCAGCTGGAGATGCGAAGGAGGATGTCATCCAGGCAGCAGAAGTACCAACCACTGGGATACAGCGTGAGGATGGCTCAGCAGAGGCTTCGAGCCATGAAGATCAGAGGATGAGAAAAGCAGACTGGACAGATGCGGAAGGATCCGGTATACCTTCAGAGGACAAGTTCGCAGCCCCGAGGACAGATTCGTCAGAACCGACCGACTCATCTCAGCAGGGAGAACAGGTTACGAATGCAGCCGAGACGACGAGTCCCCTTGTATCAGCCACTACGGAAACTCCGGATACATCGGCCACCCCGACAAACGTTCCCACCGCCCAATCAGATATACCGACATCTTCCTTCGTTAGGGTGAACTCACCAGCCGCCGGCTCATCTAGCTCGATCTTCAGCTCGGCACCAAAGAAGTTTAGTACTGTCAACATCAATAAGAAGTTCTTGGGCAAGACGTCGGCTAGTCCGGTCGCCGGAGCTGCGCCACCTAATGTTCTAGGGGCCAAGCCTACAGGCGCTTTGGGTAGCCTCAGTGAGTACAGGATAAAGAAGACCAGTGCTGAAACAGGTGAACAGAGACTGATTTTCGTAATCTGCTTGGTAGTCCGGCCCTCGATCTCTCCGAACCCATCCTCGACCTCAACACCCAAGTTGACGAGTGCCAAATTGACATCGGTCATCAGCTCGAAACCCGGAACGGGGCTACTCTCAAGTGCACCGGCTGTCGGTTGGGCGAAACCCTCCCCTAGACCGTCACCAGGTTTGTCACCATCGAATGATCACTCCATGCTATCATCTCCCGCATCCGCCACCGAAATATTGCGGCCGACACCATCAGCATTGGGGTCGTTGAAGAGGGGTCAGCTAACAACGCCGTCGACAGGACTCGGGATGGGGATGGGGAGCAAGATGAAGAAAGAATGGGCACCTATTGCTTCTGGAGAGGGATTCAGGTCCGGGCTGGGTCGGGAGTTCCCGACCGCTGGCGAGGTCATCGAAGGTAAGAGGCCTAGACAGAATGGATTGACTTGACTATGGCGGCTCATCACATTGATGATTTCTCCTTCCCAGGTCAAAGGCAAGCCCAATCTCAAGCGCAGTCTATCGCTCAGGCTCGAGCTGCCCATAATGCTGCCCTTATCGAAGGCCTCGATTCGTTCCGGGGCGTCAATCGCGACCCGAAAATGCATTACTGGGACGAGGTAAGTTTTGCAGCCTGAGACCTTGCAATGCGTTTCTGAATTTCAACATTTCCTATTTTCGTCTGTACAGGATGATGACGAGAACGCTGTTGATGATGTCATAGACTTTGGTGACGGGAGAGCATACAACATTGCGGCGATCTCCAACCCAGCAGCACCGCCACCTGACACGAAAGAGCTCGAAAGGATCCAAGAGGGCCCCGTCAGCAAGGATGAACGGTTTGCAGAAGACTTTGATAGGAGTTGGCCGCCAAGAGGACCGCCGACGATGAACAATCAGGCCTCGAAAGCACTATATAATGATCGCTCCAATCGATTCGAAGAGCACGCCAGCAAGATCCAGAACCAGGCTGTACCGAGGCCGCAACAGATACTATCACGGCAGCCTCGCAGGAGTAGCTTCGATCAACCTGGACCTGCGGTCGAGCTCGACCAGAACCGAGCACAGGCTCTTCATCTTCGAGATGGGTCGCGCCCTCTCCCACCTCATCTGGCTGGTCGCGGGTCGGAAAGACCACCAGCGATGTCGTCGCGAGATGCAGAAAGGCCTTCCGCAAATATGGCAGGTAGTCTCAGATCTCTTCAGCACGACTTGCCACCTCATCTTCGAGACGGACCACCGCGACCGCCTCATACCCAGCCTGGCGTGGCTTCCCGACCTGAGCGACATTTCCCACCGCATCTTGATCATGGCTCCGAGTCCGAGCGCGCACCGCGCCCGGACCGATGGGCCACAAGAGAGAGGGAAAATGTATTGAACCCAGAAATTACCACACCGGATTCCGGCCGTCCCCGGATCCAACAGGTCCCATCAGCAGCAGCAGCTATGGGTAATGATCACGCAAATGTTGACGCACGATCTTCACCGGTACACTCTCCGAAGGCCATCACAAATCTTCCAAGCACGTCAGAGGTCGCACCCATCTCCACCACCGGAGGCGATGTAACGGTAGCGCAAAAGGATGAGATGCACGAGGCGGCTGAGCGCGCTAGATTGCGACGACAACAGGAAGAGTCGGAAAGGGAGGCCAGGGCGGAGAGAGCTCGTCAGAAGGCCAAGCAGTTGGAAGACAAGATGAAAGAATCAGAGGCTGCCAAAGCGGCAGTCGCACCAGCACCCATAACTACATCGCCCATCATTTCCAAAATACTGCCGCGCCCGATCGATGCAGCTTCACAGACAGCTGGAACGTCACAACCCCTACCGCCGGGTCTGCGCCCGGTTGACACTGCAAATGTGAACGCCCGACCTGGTCAGGTCAGCGTCGGAGATTTGCGTCGGGCTGAGTACTCAGACGTCTGGAGGAGAGGCGCTCAGCCTCAGCCCGTTTCGAACGGCCTCAGCGAAATTGCAAGAACGCCTGCGACGCAACGACTTTCTCCCACATTGCCCAAGCGTCCTTTCGACACTCAGAAGGATGCCAAGCCGGTTGACGCAGCGCGTAATATCCGTGAACGACCGCCCCATCCGATGATACCAAGCATTGCTCTCGACCAGTCATCCGGGGGAGCGCCAGTAACGGTCCAATTCGCCGACTTCGGGAAGGATGAAGGATCCCGTAGTCCCGTCCGATCCGTTTCCAGGGCTATGCCGTTCGGTGATGGGGAGGCGGAAGGATCTCGCTTCGGGAAGAGGCTGAATGATGCTGGAACTTGGCGCAAATCATCAACAACTCCAGCTCAAGCTCGCACTGGACCAGAGCCTGACCTCTCCTCGGTAGCTCGAGGGGGAGAAAGATCATCTGCCGTCTCCGCATACCAACCGGGGGTGTCGTCCGCATCAGACTTCACCATCCAAGCGGCAGAATCCCCGTCACAAGCGGTCGATGCAGGAACGACGATCGGGGAAAAGGTCAGGCGATCATCTCGGCCAGCTGAGTCGGAAAACAACTTCGACGAGATTATGGCTCGCATCAAATCCGCGATCGTGGCTGAAAATTCGGCAGCAACCCACGCTCGAGACGTGCCTTCCACTCAGGCTCCCGTTCCAGCGCGCGAAGAGCAACCGAGCGGTCCAGGCCATCCGGCTGATCCAACACCGGCGTCACCTGTCCGGACAACCAGGAGGATCATCTCTGAAGAGGCCAGGAAACCACCACTTCCCGTCCGATATATTCCCTTACCTCTACCTGGCGACTTTAGCACGACTACAGCACCTCTGCCTTCTGAACCGGCACCAGCATGGAAGACCTACGTGATCAGACTGCCAAAATCGCGTAAACCTCAACGACCGTTATCGCGAAAGCGGACGCGATCGGATTACATAGCTCCTGTACCTCTCGGATGGGCATTATCTTGGAGCCCGCCTTTTGAGCAGCTGAATCCTAACACGCTCTCGCGTGACGATTGGTTGCTTCCCCCAAATTATATACGAGGCAAAGCTGCTGCACCTGTTTCCTTGCCTCAGGGCGTATTCAAGCCATTCGTAGCACCGCCCGCTGCTCCTGTGAATTGGAACCGACAAGAATCCGAGGAAGCGGTCCCGGTGGTCAAGGAGTCTTCACAGACAGTCTCGCTAGAGGAGTCGAGGGCGCAAGAAAGCGTCGTGCGCAAAATAGTGGTCAATCTGCCTAGACGTTCCCACGGATCTGCGGTCGCGCGGTCTGCCAGTGCGGCATCAATCGCTTATCCCTACAAAGACGGTAAAGCACAGGAATACCTATCAATGGTTCCTGTCGAAGCTGTTCAAACCACGGAGGACCTGGATTCGCTATTAGCCTCACCTACCCCTTCGGAGATTCCTCTGCCTGCATCTAGCAGTCGGGACCGCAACGCAGCGAGGGCAACACCCAATCGTCGACTACCCGACGGAACCGGTGTCATCTTTGCACGCCCGCATGGTAGCTCGTTTTCCGAAGATGCCGAGGCCAAATCATCCATGCGTTTCATGGTGTCGAGCGAGCTTGAGATCGACAACTTGCTGGAGGAAGTGAACAACATGAGTATGGACGGCTTGACGGAAACCATTCCTGAGTCTTCCAACTCTACTATCAGGAAGCAGGAAGAACCGGTGAGCTGCACATCGTCAATGGCAATGATTATCAAAGGCTTATACCACTGCTGAAATATGTTATAGACATCCCATCGAGGTCAAAATATCGCTCGCAGCCAGGCAACTTCCCCGAATACCGCAGCTAGCGCTGCATGGGCCAAATCGATGACCTATCCTACGTCGCAAGCCAATCAAAACTTGTCCAATCGTGACCATATCAAGAACGTTTGGTCACAGGCAGGGAACGATAACCTACAGCAGCAGAGCGGCAATTCTCTCATAGGTATCGTCGATGACCTTCCCCCTTCGTTGTCGGTATCTATGCACGACTTGAAAGAAGAGAGCGACAAACAGGATCGACGTCAAACCCAATTGGATGCTGAAAGCCCTCGTTTCGCGACGGTGGGAGCGGTGAGATCAGAATCCTTCGATCGCATGCCGTACGGTCGCTTGCAACCGGCAGCTACGGGCGAGTCAGACTCTACGGATGCACACGTCTATGGCTCTGTCTCCCAGATGCCAAACGGAACGAGTTATGGATATCCCCTCACCAACGACACCCCTTCACCCAACCTACGCCATGCCGGACATCTCCGGTCATCCTTCTCGGGTCAACACTCGCTGTCGAATGGAGTGACCAGCACGCCCAGCGTGAGTGGTCTACCCGGTCAACATCGGGGCCAACATGGTGTATGGGTTCCCCTGAACCAAGCTGGCATGTCATCGAGTTCTGGTATGACGGCTGCGATGAACGGATATATGGGCATGCCGGTCTCTCCCGTTTATGGGTCCGCTGCGCCTCTGCAGAAAGGGAATGGTAAGTCGGACCAGAGACCTCGAGCCGACGTGCAGTCGCCATGGCTAACGCGATCTGTTTCAGGCCGATCATCTCACAATGGATACCCCGGCACTGCGCAAACAAGCGGAGGGATGTATTCGCACCCTACAGGTCCACTCGATTCGCCTTCCATGTCGTATATGCGTCCGGCTTTGCCCATCAACAACTCCTATCAGGCAGCGGGTCCACAGTCCGCCTATCCAGCATCGACCCAATCATATTCTATGCGAGATGGGTATACCAATTATGGCATGAACGGAAACGGGATGCGTCAAAGTGGGACAGGTCCGACCGGGCCTGGGCACTCCCGGTACGCTAGTATGGGATCAATGCGAAGCGGTGGACATGGTAGCAATAATTATGGGCAGTCCAACTATACTGACCAAGCACCGGCTCGAGGGTTAGGAATGAGCGGTGGATACAACGGGATGAACGGGATGTCGATGCCCGGATCGTCTCGGGCGTTGGGAGGCAGCCCCAACACCGGCAGATTGGGAAGCGGGGGCATCAGTGCAAGCGGGGCAGGGAAACGGCCATGGTAGATTCACAGGAGAAATTGAATACTTGTGCATGTATCGTCTTTATGCGCGTTTTCCGTACGCGATGATCGGAATATCATTTTACGCTCCTCCGAAAGGCGCCTGTCTTTCGAGATCGTCCTTCGATAGATCGAGAGCGATGTCGGGCGGCCGATCGATATCAAAGAAGACTACTGTCTCACTCCAGCAAAAGCTCGTCTTGTTGATCAGCAGATCAGGCAAGGGCCTAATGCAGCCAAGGACAACAAGGTGATCAACCAATTCCGGGCGTTCTAGGATCGTGCAAGGGTGGAGAAGAACTGACGGAGACTTTTATGGCTACCATCTGCTTTGCATCAATTCCTACATTGGGTCATTTCCTAGCCTGTTCAGAGGATGTTGCAGCTTGCCTGGTTACTCCAATTGCCCCTGAAGGTGAGCATCTCTACTTGATTGGATGGGTTGGATGCTGGTTCCGGCCCTATTATCGGCACCAAAGGGAGGATAGGATCAAAGGGTTCAAATCAGACGGTAGTGCCCATGTGAGAAGGTTCATTGTATGTCAATGGGAGGACAATTCTGTCTGAAATCAAACTTTGTTGAAGGCCAAGATATAGCAGAGTATGCGAAGGCCGAGTGTAAGAAGAAGGGGAATCGCGACCATCTCAAAGGCGACCATATGAAGAGCGATGACGAAAAGAGCGAGAAGCGCAACGACGAGGACGACAAGGACGAAAAGGACGAGTTGAGCCGAATCGAGACCCTGGAGTGATCCTAGTGCCTAGTGAGCTTATACAGCGGAAATCCCCAAGTCGACCTCTGACGTTGTCCGTGTCTCACAAGCCGTGATCTTGACTGCTGAATCTTCTCCTGTCGTCTCGTACGAAGATTTGGATCGAGGCCACATTTGGATCACTACGGCTCCTGTCTCGGGGCGAACTGGGTATCAGGATGACATATACAGCGGCAAGAAACGTGTTATTATACTTGTACAAGGTTCCTGCGGGCGACAAGCCGACGATCCGCTCTCCCTAAGGTTGTCCTGCCGTCGAAGTGTGGTACAGGCGGTAAGACGACTAGGCGAGGTCTAACGGATCCCGAACCACCCCAGCCCGGCTTCCCCATCGGCAGACGCTCGAGTCTGGGTTTGAACTGCGTCGACGGCCAGGTCTGACGGTACCGTGTCCTTAGTCCAGGTGTGCATTCGGCCTCGGTCGCGATGTTTGCGGGTTTGTGACATGTCGGCTGCTCCGCCGCCGATCAGCCCTCTAAAATTGGGACGAAAGAGACGTGCATGACACGGTTTCAAATGACAGGATCAGTCTTTCGCTCATAGCCTAAAGCGTAGTGGAATGACACAATGGACTTACCCGAGGACTATCCAGATCAAGAACCCCCAAGCGAGAGCAACAAAGAATCTCCTTCTCGCTCGTGCTCTTGCGACGGCGTCATTAGGTGGGGGTGTCCATCCTTCATAGTTGTACATGACCACATTGCCGGAGGGTCTGGAATGGATGAACGGTTGTGGGTGCACGTGAGAATGAGGTACCGATCCTGACGGGCCAGGATGAGAGATAGGTGTCTGTTGTGATGTCGAGGCTTGATCTGCGTTCGAGGGTGTGTTTGAGAAGATCAATAATGTCAGCGAGAAGTCATGTTACCAAGGTGGCGAAATGCTCAAAAGTTACTCACAGGAAGGAGGCGGTGCCTCTTGTGAGATTTGCTCTGGTCGCGCTTGCTTCGAATTTGACAGTTTGGCTGCCATGTTGGTATGTGATGACGAAATGACGATACTCGAGGTGTCTTTCTGGTATATGGACGAGTTGACGAATCGTTGTCGCAAGAAGATTGAAGATTGGTGTACTGTAACTTAGTACTGCAGTCAAAGGCTACCGAGGGGGTCAGGGCTGTGACATCATGTGATACGCGCGGACATGGAGATTTGCAGGAGATGTCCGCCTCAGCTTGCCTTGCCCATGTCACCACCAGGATCGAGTATACTTACCTATTGCTTCGAGGATATATCTAGACTTGCGACTCTCGACCAGCGCCAGAGTCCAATCTCCGTCAAGACATACACACACGACACAGAAACCAACACATTCTGAAGCTCACTTGACCTGTTTGATACCCCATTTCTCAGACGAAGCGTCCGAACACCCCCGTTTCGCTCACACGGCCGATCTCTTTTGACATGTCATCTTCAGGCGTCAAACGTGCTCGAGACCAGGTCGACCCCAGATCATCCGCCTCGTCTCACTATCGTAACGGATATGGGCAGGATCTGGAAGAAGGGGGCTTGCCTTACGGAGATCTTGCGGATACGGGGTCGGAACAGAACAAGAAACAGAAGAGTTGGAGGGATGAATACTTGAACGACTCGCCCGGGCGTAAATCGCATGGATCGAGATATGATCGGGATTGGGAGCGATCACATAGGTCGACAGACAGGGACCCGGGTAGGGATCGGGAGCCCAGGAGGGATTCGAGGAGTCGGTATGATCCCGGATCTTACAAGCCGGGGCATGACAGGCGGGACGACCGGGACAGGGGGAGATATGACCGGAGTGATAGACGGGACGACCGGTATGGAGGGGGTTCCGATCGCGATCGTGAACGAGATTCGTCCCGTCGACGAGAAGATGAAGGTTCGAGGTGCGTCAGGCCGATAGATCATACACGGTTGAAGATTTTTACCGTTGTCTTCGTAACAGCCGGCAGGATAAATCCGTAGATCCTCGTAACTCAGGTCCATCAGCCATTCCAGGCTACAACCGAACCGATTCATCAGCCTCGCTTGCCCAATCGAGCAACCCCGTCCCTGTCCCTCAAGACATTTCCAAACCCGCTCCACCACCACCCGAGGTCGCCGAACCTGAGCCGGAGCAGGAGGAACAGATCCCGGAGAAATCGCTCGAGGAACAGCTGGAAGAGAGGCGACGGAAAAGGAGGGAGATCTTGGAAAAGTTTTCTGGTGTTCAAAGTGGAGTAAGCTCGATCGGCACGGGGGTCAGCACAACGGGCAAGTCTCTTCCCAAGAAAGCTGCATGACGACATCTCAAGCGAAGCAGGCTGCTGATCATGCGATTCGAATTCGATCACCCACAGGAAACTTGTCCAACACAGGACTACAAACTTCGACCGCCCGTCTTGGTATCGGATCCGCTCGTCCGACTCCACCCCCTGTAGCAGATATTCAAGGCGACTTCGATTTGGCCAAGAGCGCTTCGGACCAACCCGGACAGACCAACGCTGGTGATGTCCTTCCAGCCGAGACCACCGCCAAGCAGGTCGATGGCGAGGAGCAAATCTCTGCAGCAGATTACAACCCGGACGAGGATCGTAAGGTTGACGGTGAGAGGGAGCAAGCCTTATTGAAGGCTCATAACAAGCAGAAAGAGGTTACCAGTGGTGTGGGAGAGCCGGGCCCGGATATTGTCAGGGTGAAAGATGAGGAGAGCGAGTATGAAGAGGTCGAGGTGGATGCTGAGGAAGATGAGGACTTTGACATGTTCGCGTTGGACGAACCTCCCAAAAAGAAGGTCATCCGAAGGAAGAAGCAGGTAGGCGTCTTCGATAGCGCGGTCTTTAAGATGACAATGGCTGACTTCTCACTTGCGTCTCCATTGGCAGAAAGAAACCAAGGTCCCTGTCAACCCTGTTCCGGCCGCTATCGCTTCAATGGACAACTATGACGATGCCGAGGGTTACTACCGCATCACCCCCGGTGAGATCATGGATAATGGCATGTACAAGATTACTGTCAATCTAGGGAAGGGAATGTTCGCGCAGGTGATCAGGGCTACGGTGTTGAAAACGACGGGAGAAGGCGCAGGCGAGAAAGAGGGTCAGGAGGTTGCTATCAAGGTGATCCGAAGCCAGGAGTCGATGTAAGTCTTTTCCTGAGGAAGCTCGAAAAATCCGGAAGCTGATTGGCATTTGACAAAGGTATGTGGCTGGTAAAAAGGAAGCCCAGATCTTACAAAAGTTAGGTGCCGCCGATCCGGATGACAAAAAGCATATCGTGAGGTTGCTCCGTACCTTTGAACACCGTGGTCACTTGTGTCTGGTGTTTGAGAACTTGAGGTCAGTATTCATCTCCACTACATTTCGATGCAGTTCTTGGCTAAACTGAATACTTGCTTCTCTCGGCGCTGATACTGCGCAGCATGAACCTGCGGGATGTTGTCAAGCGATTTGGCAAGGACGTCGGATTGAACCTTAGAGCAGTGAGGGCGTACGCCCATCAAATGTTCCTTGCCTTGTCGCTGACGAAAAAGTGCAACATCATCCACGGCGATCTGAAACCAGATAATATCCTCGTAAGACGCTGCGCCTGCCCATCATACCATTTCGGGATTTGTTATCGTGCGGATCTTCAACTGACGGTCTTGGTAACTGACAGGTTACCGAGAATAAGGCCATGTTGAAGGTGTGCGATTTGGGATCTGCTTGTGATATCAGCGAGGCCGATATTACGCCCTATCTCGTCTCTCGTTTCTACCGTGCCCCAGAGATTAGTGAGTATCGCTCTGCTCAGATTGTTTCGACTCCTTGCTTACGCTGTTCATTCGTCAGTCCTCGGCCTAAAGTACGACGAAAGCATCGACATGTGGTCCATCGGATGTACGCTCTACGAGCTCTATACCGGCAAGATCCTCTTTCCCGGTCGATCGAACAATCAGATGTTGCATCTCATGATGGACCTCAAGGGCAAGATCAACCACAAGATGATCAAGAAGGCTCAGTTTGGTGAGATGCACTTTGACGAGTCGATGAACTTTATCAGCGTCGAAAAGGACAAGATTACGGGTCAGGTAAGCATTGTCTATGCGTGCTATCGGCTGACAGACCGGATAAAGCTGACTCGCGCCACTTCATCGCCTTGCAGGACGTCATCAAAACCCTGGTCATCAACAAGGCCGCTCGCGAACTCAAGTCCCGGTTGATCCCTTCGTCCAATGTTCTACTCAAGATGAAGGAAGAGGACGCCAAGCTGTTGACCAACTTTGTCGACTTGCTCGAAAAGGCTTTGATGCTAGATCCGGCCAAGAGGATGAGCGCGCGGGATGCGCTATTGCATCTGTTCCTTACGAGTCCCTGATGGAGTGAGAACCGATGTATCGGCATACGTCCCTATGAACGGCTAGAATACGCAAGCTGTTGTTTGTCATGCGTTTCGCAATGAGTATGCGGACGGAAGAGATGAAACGCGTCACCCCCTCCTCTGTCATGAAAGAGACGCGTTGCCTGCGGATGCAAATTGTGAGATGATCGCTTACGGCGGAGGGAAACGCGTTCAGCAGCAGTCGAGCGAGATTTTACAATCCGAAAATGAACAGCAGTTGCCTGCTCAGCCAGAACTTCAAGGTTGGGTCGATAGACGTCGAGCGAGTCGAGACCCCGTAGTCACCAGCGAACGGCTCAGGACCTGCACAACATTCCGACAATAACATAGATCTATAGACGCAGGGAAGGAGAGGGATTCAGTCCTACTATACCCTGTTTTCGCAACGCTGGTCCGCCTCATCCGGGATCATACTTAGGATGACCTCGGTCCAGACTTTACCATCCATCCATTCAACCAAGCTCCATCATACCACCTCATCTCCCGTCATCAAACCCTCTCCGTACGCTTTCAAGACTGAGGTCGCGAGCAAGAAGATGAACGGACATAGGAACGGCGAAGAGGGATCGAAAACCGGAGCTCCTGCATCATCATCAGAACAGGTCAAAAAGCATTGGGAAGAGTTTGGTGCGATGATCCAGGGGCTGCTGGAGACGCCCATCGAGTTTCAGAGATATGAGGAGAAGGAAGACGTTCCTCCCGAGTTGAAGTACAAGGCTCTAAACTCGGTGGCTACCAAGGAGAACGGGGATGGTATCGCAACACTGGCAAAAGTACGTCTAACGTCAACCGACTTCGCGACTATATCCTACTGTCCAGTCTCATAGTGCATCTGCTAATGAGTTGTAATTTGATTGTAGTCGTCTTTCTCATACGGAGACACCCCTGTCAGCCGGACCGGTACCCCCTTTTCAACGGCATCTACCGCTACAGACGCCGACAACACGGTCCCGAACGACCATGACCTCCATCCTCGAACGATTGACGCCAGATGGCCTCACCAAGGCAACTACGGCCGCGCTTCAGGGCTGCACAATCTGGGAAACACTTGTTTCGCCAACTCGGTGTTGCAGGTCATGATGCATACACCTCCACTCTTGAGGATGTTGGACGAGTTGAACGAGCATGATGGTAGCCACCGTATGTCCAGCGGCCAAGGCGTTTTGTTGGGGAAACATCAGAGCTTACACTTTGTGTCTTTGCTTTGACAGGACGGAATGGGAAGATTTGTCTGACCTGCGAGTTGAAAAGTGCCAAGCGGGGAGTGTGGGGTTCGGGCAAGAAGACCTATAATCCTATGATCATCACCACGAACGTCAAAAGTGAGCCGATATCCCGGCCACCTATACGATTGCGTCATCTGACAACCCATAATATTACGTTTTTCAGGCATCTGCCCGACTATGAGGCGGGGGAGACAAGAGGATTCGCATGAATTCTTCCGATATAGCGTTGATTCGCTACAGAACGAGACTCTCCGCGAGCTCGGAGCTACGTGAGTCGATCTGAAGTCTGTTTACGCATCATCTCCGTTATCGCGCTCAAGCTGATTCACTTGGTTCCTGAATAATCACAGAAAAGCCCCTCACTCTGTGCGGGAAACGAGTTGGGTGCACAAAATTTGGGGAGGTCGACTACGGTCGCGCGTACACTGCACGTCGTGCAACGCCAACAGCGATACCTTTGATACCTTCCTCGATCTGAGTCTGGATATCGGTAAACAAACGGCGTCAGTACAGGATGCGTTGAAGGGGTTCGCTCGAGAAGATAGGTTGGAGGGCAAGAACAAGTATAAGTGTGAAAAGTGAGTTGTGGCGGACAGTATCTCCCGAAGAGCATAAGCTGACGGTACGACACTCTCCTTTCTACAGATGCAATAAGCAGGTCAACGCTATCAAACAGATGAAGGTCGTCAAAGCGCCCCCTGTGCTATCACTACACTTGAAGCGATTCTCGCCCTGGGGCAAGAAGCTTACTCAGCTGATCGCCTTCGAAGAACGACTCGAGCTCAAGAACCCCGTATACGAGGGCCCGCCTATCGAGTACGAGCTCTACGGCGTTACTCTGCATTACGGATCTGGTCCCAACAACGGACATTACATCTCCATCGTGCGCAATGCCAAAAAGGAATGGTGCAGGATGGACGACTCGGATGTGACCGTCCAGCCAAGATTGTCTCTGGATGACAAGCGGAACACATACCAGTTGCATTATATCCGAAAATCCGGCGATCGGCTCGCCGAGACGATCAATCAAGCGGCAAAGTCCAGGTCCAGCCCAAGTCCTGCCAAGCAAGGGCGACCGGACCTCGGTCGCTCGTATGGGGCTTCGGAGAATGGCTCTGCGTGCGATGAGCCCGGTACCTCGCAATCCCATGCAAAGCGAGCACAGCTGGAACAGATGCAGGCCATGAAGGATAAGCAGCAGGCTGAAGGTCGAGGGATTAAGAGGCAAAGAGACGAAGCGCAGGATCAGGGAGTCCCGCTCGATACCCCGTCGGCCCAGATGAAGAAGGCTCGAGTTGGCAATGGCAACCCGAAGTTTGCACCCGTTCGCAGCGAGGGTTTCTACAATGGCAATAGCGGGAAAGTCCGAGCGGCATCGCCAGAGGACCGGGACGCAACCGAGGACGAGGGCGAGTGGGGAGATGAGCAGAATGCAGATGAGAATGAAGCTCCGGGCCACGGAAGTTGGGAAGGCGGCTTTGACCCTAACGCGCAGATCAGCAGGGTTTCCAGGCCCCTGCAGGGCAGGTCGAGTCAGACTCCGCCGACCTTTGGCTCTAAAGAGCACAAGCGAGGGAAGAAGGAAAAACGTCGACAGCGCAACGGAGCCTCCTCGGTCGCATCACCTTACTTTGCGAGTCAGAACAACCACGGAGGACCTGCTCCCAATAGAAGGCGGGGTCACAAGGCGATGAGGGGCAAGGACAACTGAAAAGGGTAGAGAGCAGACACTTTTATGTCATGGCCTAGAAGGCGATTTGTATCCATAGCGTGACCTTTTACGAGTAACGAGCGATGTTCGCTAGTATGATATCTGCATTGCATGTCAGCTGCACAGGCTAGGTCGAGCTAGGTTCCACTAAGCTTACCTTGATTTAGGCTCCGAGGACCTCCACTTCGCGTCATCCTTCGTTCGAGGTCGATCGCACTGCTATCTCTAGTCAGGTCTCTAAGCTATGCCAGCTATAACAGCTGCCCTCAGCCGTTGAGAGAGGCCTACGACGTGTGACTGTAGACCTGCTACCTGACCGTGACCCGACAAGTCCCCTACGGTAAAAGTCTTACCATGCAACGAAGAACAGCGGGAAGACGGTCTCATGTCCTAGACGAAGCTGCATTCATCTCGACACCTCCTCCTCAACTACGTCGGCGAACGAATACGGACAATGCCACAAGTCCGGTTCCTCTTACGCCATATACAGGCAATACATATCAGGGTTACTCTTCATCAGCGGGTGCACAACAGAGCTACTTTGACCTCAACGAGCGGACGAGATCTATAGATGGAATCGTGGTCAAGGGGGATTATGTCCGTCAACTGCAGCGAGTTGGGAAGCAGTTGATGGACGGCTTCGAAGACGCATCCCGTGTAGATCGATCTTTAGCAGCTATACAACGGTATGTGAATATTCAACTTGCAGAGCATGAGGTGTTTCAGCTAATCACACTCATCTCGTTTTAGGGATGCTGAGCTACGCTCATTAGGTATGACGCACCCGATGTAATGCTGCTGCTGCATGCTGATACCCAAACCTCTTCTCACCGGACCATCTAGTGGTCAAGTCGACGTGAGTCATATCATTTCTTCGTCGAGATATCAATCGCTGAACGCTCCGTCCGTTGCACAGTGCCGTGAACCTGATTGCACTGCTGTCAATCGTAATCTTTGACTTTCTCCTCCTCCCGAGCCTGCGGCACAACCACGCATCGGCTTTCGCTGCAGCTCGAACAAAACGAGTTCGACTTGCCTTCGACATCTTGTGGAAATACCCCGTCTTTGGATTCTGCTTCTGGGTTAACGTAAGCCTCCTCCCTGGAGGGAACACCCAGGAAGTCGCTGACTGGTTGCGTTCTTCCGTAGACTTTCTGGTCCAGGGCGATTTCAAAGCGGGCTCTTAGCATGCAGCCTTCATCATCAAGAGGAAGTAGCGGAGCTCTACCGGAAACAGACTCTCTGGAGTAAGTCTGCGCTCAAAGCCGGGATAAGGTCATGGAAGCTAATACACTTTCGTTATGGCAGCTTGTCCGACCGGGTAATCGCTCTGTTACCGCGATTCCTGATCATCGGCACACATACGACCGTCGGACTGATCTTGTCCCAGGTACCATTTATTGGAGCACCTATTTCATTGATGATCACTTGTCTCGTAGATGCGTACTACTGCTTCGAGTAAGTTTTCGAAATAAATCATTCATCTCGGCTTCAGCTGAACCTGGAACTTCCACAGACCAAGCTTCAAGACTCGAGGATACTCGCTGTATGCGATCGGCAGATACTTCGTGGATGGCAGGATCGCGTATTTCATAGGGTTTGGTATGTCTACTAAAGATGATCGGCTAAATGGCTAAGCTGATAGAAGATATATATCGGCTCACAGGCGTCGTCCCTGCTCTGATGTGCGCTTTTGTGCCGTTCTTGGCCAGCGTTGTCATATTTGCGATTATCTATCCTATCGTAAGTATGAGGTTTAGGTGCAAACTGCGGAGAATCCAGCTAATGGCAAGTTTAACTGCTCGTCATCAGTGCGTGATCCAAGCACTCCAAGCACGTTCTCGCTTCGTAGATATAGCGGCTTCAGTTGAAGATGGCCTCGACTCGCCCAGTATCGAAGCTTCCACACCTACCAGAGCGAGACGACCCAACGCCCGAAGTGTCTACAAGCGGTTCTTGCAGGCTTTCTTCTCTGTCGTTATGTTGTCGATCAAGATCGGCGGAGTCGCAGGTCAGAGCTATTCCGAGGAGCTGACCCTCAAGCCTCTTCCCAATGGCAAGATGTCCCTTCTCTTCGATTTCCGAATTGAAGCGCCGTCTGGTATGTTCCCTTCTGGATTGCCGTTATCTCGTAATTCAGCTAATTTCACGTCAATGCAGCCAGTGAACACTTCCGACTTACACCTCCCAGTCTCCTTCTGCCTCTTCAACACAACAACGTCTCGGAGATGCACCTGAGTCTCGTCACTGGACGCTGGAAAGCGGATCAATGGGGTCAACCCCAGCATTCGGAAGTCGCTGGTACTGGAGCCGAGCTGAGGGCTTGGTTTCGAGACGAAGAGTGAGGCGTCTTCCTCTCGTCTTCCACCAAGATTCGGTCTGATGGCCGCCTGTATTCGATATTCGATAGACCCGAAGACCATTGGAAAACGATGACCAATTCACTTGCTGGATTGTTCTGTTCTTCTCTGGGTCAAATCGATGCCTCTATCACCGCGTCACCTGAAGACATCTTCCCTGATTCGAACATTGAAGGTGATTTCGGTACCCTCCTTTTTGATCGGTGGCCCAAGCTGAATATCAACCTCTCCTGCAGGCCTTTCATTTCGTCATGCGCAACTACCAGCAGAGAATCTTTGCACCGAGAACTTGACCCCCTTTCTCAAGCTCTTGCCTTGTAAAGGCCTCTCCGGCCTGTCCGCTTTGATGAAGCCATACGTCCTACTGGCCCACGAATGGCATGCTATGGGAGTGGACTATGTCGATCACGCGGGAATGACCACATTGGGCTTGCGATGGGAAGCTGTGGTCGATCTCACAAAAGGCAAGGTGGAAGATGCCAAAAACTTAGGTAAGCCATGTACCGAATAGTAATCTAAGCCTCAAAAGCTTACCTCGCGCCATCTTCCTGCAGACTTTTCGGTCTCTTCCATCTTTGACCGTGTGCTACCAAGTGCATGTCCGGCTGCCGACTCGTCCCGCATTGTGGTCTCGCCGAGCTCGGGGACCAAGGTAATCATCCTGGACGATGCAGGGGCTGTCCATCCTGATGGAGGCCTTAACTGGACGCTTGATCGATCTTTCAGTGGTAAGGATATCAAGCTGCGTACTTTGGGCCAAGTTCGTAAGTCGGGTAGACGTTGGCCTTCCTGTGGAATGAATCGCTGACCTCGACCTTGATCAGGTCCTGTTCCTGCTGAGGCAATTGCAGTGTCTCGCACGCTTGTGGGCTCTACACACTCCAATTCGGGCTTCTCTACCAACATCAGAAACAATCTCGACTCGGTCCGTCAGGTCGTCTACACTGAAGAACTGCCTTGGTGGATTCGTCTGTGGATAAGCGAGATCGACGTCAAGGTTCCAGGTCATTCCAGAGGTGAGCCCGTACGGGTACGCTGGAGCTGATTACCAACGGCTCACAAGTTTCGACTTAGATGAGGTACTCAGAGCCATGACCCTTCATCCTTCAATCCCGCGAACTCGCCCTACGGTACTTCAGCTCCAGCTCGACATTCCTCCAGAGAGCCAGGTCGAAATACGCATCCCATTCTCCAAGGAATACATCAGGTACACAGAACACTTGCCTGATGCTAGCCGTGGGTGGGAGCTGCCTCCGGCGATCATCTTTTTGGCCGACCAAGCCTACTCGATTGGTATGGACACCGATCTCGCCGGCTCGAGTGGCGGTAGTCGACGGAGGCGCCTTCGACTATATACCTCGAAATTGCTCGTCGACCTGCCAACGCCGGATTTCAGCATGCCATATAACGTCATCATCATGACATCCACCCTGATAGCCCTATTCTTCGGGAGTATCGTCAACCTCGGAGTCCGAAGATGGGGTATCGTTGCTATAGAACAACAGTCGAAGGTCCAGACGAATCAGTAGATGCGAACTCGCCTCGAGATCATATTCAAGGATGTTGTATCGTTTAGCCCTATGCATAGAATGCATTAGGGGCCCATTCCGCTCGTGTCCGTTCGGTCTCGCTCATGACAAGTGCAACGGGTTGGGACAATTGGTGAGCAGTTTCGACATACCCGCGACTAATTGTAGCAAATCCTGTACCTTTCCAAACATCTTTCAAGGAGTCATGTCAGATGAGCCACAACGGTAGATAGCTAAAGGTATGAGGATACGTGGTACCAGTGTATAAGTGGCCTTGCTGGCCTTGTTGCTGGACCTGATGGTGAAGTTCAGAGTCAAGGTGAATTCTGGCATCCAGGCGAATCCCCCGGTCGGAGCGATCTCGTTCCAGACTACTACGCAATAACCACGAGGATTAGTAAACAGAGTAATTATCCGGTGGGGCCCATATTTTAGGATCAGGAAGATCCATCGCTTTGTTTCGGCTCAATTCTCTTGTACCAGACTTCAAAGAACATCCGAGATGGATACTATCAAGGTCGATCGTACAAGAAGACCACTCTAGTACAAGATATGAGCCGCTAGAACATACACTGCTAATGGATATCGTAAATACAAACTCTAATATGATACCACGACGATGAAATTACTCTAGACTGCTTCGTGAACAACCTCCGCGCCGGCCTGAACAACCATGATGGACGCGGAAGTTGATACGGCCAATGCCGTTGCGATATCGCCTACGGTCTTGCGGATCTCGGCACCAACGTCGGGAAGCTGTCCTTGAGCGGATAGCAATTTGGCCATCTCTCTGTTCAGCGTCAAGGCCGGGGTGTTCTCGACACGCCCACGACCGGCAATGACGAGTAGAGGTCTCCACGAAGCGCGACCGTTCTGTTCAATTGCATAGTTGGCCTTTTCGATGATGGTCTGGAGAGGCTGTGTAGTCGAGATGGTGGTAAAGGTTATGCGAGAAAGGGCGTCGCGTGTACTCGAGGGCAATTCTGCGACCTCGTCATCCGCGGTATATCGTGACCATAGCTCTTGATCGGCGACAGAAGACTGCATGGCGTCGGCCCGGCTCGATGTGGCCTGAGTAGAAGCAATGATCAGACACCCGTCATCACACAGAGATATAGACGGGGACTAAACTCACCCTTATCGTCAACTGATTAGCATCAAGGGCTGTCTGATGGGCGCGGACGCTTTCCTCCATCGAGACCGAGGACTCGGTACGTTTCCTTTCGGCAGGAGCAGGCGAAGTGATCGAAGCCGTCGGGTTGTTGTCAACGCGGATGACCGTAGCAGACACGTTGGCTTGGTGGCACAATTGAATGCACAGCCCCAGGGCCAGACGGTCGTCGGGTCCGCCCAGGAACGGCAACAACAGGTGTTGACCTCCATTTCCGTTTGCGACATTGTTGACCGCTGCAAATCCCCGATCAACGACGACGGCGACGTTCTTGCGGCTTTCCGAAAAGACACGGCGGAGGAAGTAGGTATAGAGTCCCGATTTTTCGCTACTGAAGATCTGATCAAAGGTGTTCGTGCGGGGAGTGTTAGGACGGCTGCCCGAAGGCCCAACCGAGGAGTGCATATCCTTCCGTTCATCCAGGACAGCAGCGGTCGCACCCGATTCGGGCACCGTCCACGGGATGACGAGCAACTGGGATCCAGCCTCATCCGCTCGACGGGTAACAATCTCGGCGAAAGAATCCTGTTCCACGACGTCTAGTCCGGTGTCCACGTTGATTCCCCTCAAAGCGGAGAAAGACCGATAGAGCTGGAGCAGGTCATCCGTACGCGCGTGCGAGTCCGACTCGATCGACTGCATAACACTCTGCGTCCTTCCCGTGAGCTCCATCAGCCGGTGAGCATTCCATTGTTGACGAGCCGTCTGTCTGAGCGGCGCAACAGGGGTATGGTCGTCCGAGGTATCGTTGTCTGAGGCACTATCGACCTCGTGGATCTTGCTCTTCTCATCGATCGTACTCAGCGGAGCCGATCCCAGGCGAGGACTCGCCGAGTTTGTAGAACCGCTGGTGGCAAACAGTTGGGTGAAGAACATGGCCGTCGACAAGTGTTCCATGCGGGACAAGACCATCATGAACCTCGAAGTCGTATCCCTCCTTCCGCCGAGTCCTTCAGATCCGGATGGCCCGCCGAGGTTTCCAGCGTTTCGTTTCTCCGTGAGAGGGTCGATGGCCTTGGTACGATATTTCGCCGGGTAGACCCAGAGCGTCAAGGGGGTGGTAATGACGGTCAAGACGACGGCCATGACGACGAACATTGAGAAGACGGTCGTGTCCAAGATCCCGGCAGCGAGACCGACGTTGAGCACTATCAATCACCCTCATAGTTAGCTTCTGGACCCTGTATGCGGCACGTCCATCGCCACTCACCAATAAGCTCTACCAACCCCTTGCAACTCATCAACATCCCGATGGCCAGCGACTCCCTCCTATTGAACTTTAACATCCACGCCGCGCCTGCACATCCGAAGAATTTCCCGGAAAACGCGACTACGATGATGGCGATGGTGTATCCCCACGCTTTCCCGTCGTTCAGTAGCCCCAAGTCGGTCTTGAGCCCGGAGAGGACGAAGTACTGTTTTACGGTAACGCGGACGACAGGTTTTTAACCGTCAGTGCTCGTAGTTGCAGTGTCGATAGGGATCGTCAGTACGAGGGCTTACGATAGGCAAGAAGATCAGACCAATCAAGTCCTCCAGCTTGTCGGTGACCTTGGTGGCGAAGCCGTGATCGTGAGGCATGATGATCCTGTAATTTCAAGTCGTGCATGACGAATCAGTCTCGATGTGGGTATGAAGCGTGTCAGAAGCGATAGTACTGACCCGACGAGGAAACCTCCGAAGATTGGGTGAACACCGATGATATCGCTACAAGGTTGAGTATGCGTCGTCAGCGTCCACTTCGAGCGCAGATCTGTACCAATTTCGCAGAGCACTCACGTCATGAAAGCCGAGATGAATACCAGGGTTAACATGACCAGCATCACAAACGGCGTCGGTCCATGCTCGCCCTCAAAACTTCCCGTCCTGTTACACAACCACCTGAACCCGATTCTCATCGGCCACAAGACGACGATCGTCCACCCGACCGCACAGAGCAAGATGTATACAGCAGAGACTCCGCTATCAGCATTGACCAGGGCGATGGTGAGAGCTAGGAGGATCCAGCCGACGACGTCGTTGCCTACACCGGCGGAGAGGACGATCTGGCCGACCTTGGTCTCGAGAAGTTTGGTCTCGGTGAGAATCCGACAGAGGACGGGAAAGGCGGTGATGGAGGCTGCAAAGAGACGAGAGACATGGCACAAGGGATTTCAGCTGAACAAGCAATATGAGATGGTGAAGACGAATCGACTCACCGGCCACCCCGACGAACAACAAGAAATGTCCAAACGACACGTTCTCTCCATCGATAAATTCCCTATAGACCCCTACTGCGATCCCGACCCCAGCTCCGAAGGGCAAGATCAACCCTGCAGCAGAGACAAAGACCGCGGCTTTCCAATCCCTCCGAACGACCCCTACGTCGACTTCCATCCCGACGAGGAAGAGGAAGAGGACCAAGCCGATAGTTGCGATGAGGTTGAGGTAGGAGAGAGAGGCAGGAGGGAAGATGTTGGCTGTGAAACCCGGGATCCGACCTAGAGCCGTGGGGCCGAGGAGGATGCCCCCGATGACTTCGGCAATGACCCTCGGTTGACGGATATACTTGAAGATCGAGGAGAGCCCTTGCGTGAAACAGATGATGATCACGAGCTGTACGATGAACAGCGTGATCGGTTGAGAGCTGTTGAACTCGATAGGATCCCTCCCGCTAAATACGCCCGCTTGGCCAGCATTGTTGATGGCGGTAGAGTTGACTTCGGCTCGACGGACGAGGTTGACGAGTTCTGATTGGAGTTGAGGTGGGACGTCCATCTTGGGCCAAGATCGTTGAGTGAACGAGGGGAGGTAGTGAGATATGGAGTTCATGGATGCGAGTGAGATGCGGGGGGATTATATATGTTGTCCGGTTGGTGAGCGGTGCCCCTCTCTCTCTCCCTTTGAGCCGTAGTGCGTAGTTGCCGGGATAAGATCCGAGTGGCGACGATTGTTTGATGGTTCTTGCCCCTTTCACTCTCTGACTGCGCTCGAGTCGGGGAGGTTCTAGGTGGGTTTCAAGTGTGCGACTCCTCCGTGTTCACACGTTGAAATCACCTTCAAGAGGTCACGCTACACGTTGTTCGAGGTGTCACGGGACCGAGGGCCGAGCAGTAGCAGCAGGTAAGCAGGAGCAAGAGACGAGACGATATCCACCCGGGGGGACGTGTCTAATTGCTTTGCCCCCTTTCTCTTCTTTGCCGTTTCAACCGGTGATCAACGGATTGGATTCTGTGTTGCAGCGCTCTCCGCCGTCAAATGCGCGACGTCGGAGTTGATAGGATTCTGGTAGAGGTCGCTGATGGATCCCGACGCTCTGAAACTTCCAAGCTTCTAGAACCTCGGTGGGTACGTGTCTCTCTCGATTGATCTTGATCTTGATCCAAAGGATGTTTTGAAGCGGGAGAGCGGAGGGGCAAGAAGGTTTAGTGTACTTCCGAATGATAACAGCCAAGGTATGCCCGAGGGCTGTGTCGAGGTGGAGGTGGGACAGGGATCGCAGATCACAAGTCCTGATCTAGTTCTATGTCGCGATGCCTTGCTATGTGCGTTGTGATGGTGCTACTGTAGATCCTAGCAGATAACAATAACGTCAACGTCTCGAGCTCCTGATGATCATTTTCCCGCTCCTGCTCTCCCAAATCCGTCGATCGTTCCAGGTAGCAGGCAGAAAGGCCAACGGCCCCCTTGCTTCGTATATCTGCTTCCGGGAACTGCGCGTTAGAAGGATCACGTCACTCATACACGTGGTCTGGGTTTGATCATCAGGCATTCTGGGCTTGGCGCGGTTTCAAGTTCCAGATGATCCGGGTTTCATCTCACTCGTTAGTTCAGCTACACAAATCTCAGCCAAACTGATGAGCTAAATGCGCTAGTTCCCCTTCGTCTTTACCTTCCCATCTTGATAGCTCGATTTTTGGTCACCTCCGCTACTTCATCTATCCTGTCATAGCGTCCGGCATCGCTCGAGACCTCTCCGGAGGAGCGATTGCGGACCTTCCAGGTGTGGGCATCTGAGCGGGATTGTTCGAAGAACGCTCGTGCTTGTTGATAGTGACGGTGTTTAGGACGATGTTGCCGATGATGAAGGTGTTCAGAGCTTTGGAGACTGGAAGAGAATCTGAAATGTGGTACCGCTGATATGGGCTTTCCCAAGACTGCTCTAAGGTTGGCGGCGTGGCTGCTGGTACTTATGATGGAGAGACTACCATACCGTAGGGGAAAGGGCCCCCCATTTGTCACATTGGCGAGCCGGTTCATTGAGAGACTGGAAAAAGGATCAAGATCAGAATAGAGATTGACCTCAAACAAGCCGAACAAGTCGCTAGTAACGAGGCTGCTCAAGGCCAATTCATGTCGGATGCTGTTGGTGGTAGACACGACGACCCCTTTTGCAACCTGCATACGTAGAGAGAAGGGTGAAAGCCTAGCAAAGAGCCAGGTGATGTGCCGTTAGGCAAGGCGAAAAAAAAACCAAACGTTTCGAAGGGGGCTCCAGACAGAATGACGATTCTTCAGGTAAGGCAGGCGGCATAAAATCGACCACCAGGTTCCAATCTTCTTGTTGAAACGAAAGGCCCAAGGTCGTCGATGACTTGTGAGGGGAGAAGCGCTCACGTCTGAGGAGTTTGATAGCTCGTTGTTGTACTGCTTGGCAACTTCGTATAGTTATGATCATCCTGATCGATAGAGTGCCCGGGTGAGGTTCACATTCCAACCAAGCGCTTCAATTGGTCCAATGGAAATGGACACTTCCATGCGATACACGAACAGCTTCATTGCCTGGTAAATGTTTCTTTCAATCTCACACAATCGCGCCTCTATCCTAGTCTACTTTCCCTTCTTGCCCTTCTTCTTGTTCTTCTTCCCCGTCCCCGTCGACTTTGTCTGTCCCTGGGCTTGTCCGGTCATACCGACCTCCGAAGGATCGACCGGGGTCGAAGCGCCAGCCGGGGTATCCGCCTCGTCCTCGTCCTCGTTACCATTCTCATTCTCGTCCTTTACCAAATCTGCCCCTCCCTCAGCCTCCAGGTCTTGGAGGACATCAACAATCTCCGTCTTCTCCGACTTGGATCCCGTCTCCGCGGGAGTTGCTTGTTGAGGTTCCTGAGCGGGAACAACCTGGTCAGGGGATTCAACCTTGTCCTCACCTCCCGACGAGATGGGAACTGTCTCCTCCGTGACATCCTCTACTACGATATGCTTGGTAGCTTCAGTCTCGTCCTCCGCATCACCCGAGGCAGACGCGGGCTGAGGAACAGGTTCGGCTGCGATCGTCTCGGCAGCGGTTGGCGGTTCGACCGGAGCGTCAACTTCTGAAGGCTTGACCGTTTGCTCCCCCTCATCCTGTGCGTACGACTCCGCTTGCTTAGTCTCGTGTCCCGCAGAATCCAGCTCAACAGTGTTTTGCCTCTCCATCCACTCCTTTGCCTTGGTCTTGAGATCATCTTCGTCTCCCTTACTCTCGCTGGCACTAGCCTTACCAGTCTGAGACGTCGAGGCTACAGGGGATCCCGCCGCCTCATTAGTTCCAGTCATGCTTTTTGGGTCATCGGTGATCTTGATCGGCTCGGTGGATGTAAAAGTCGACTCCACCTCCGGCTCGGCCTGTTCTTTTTCTAGCGCGGCGGGTTGGACGACCTCTTCCTTCTCCTTCTCTTGCACGACCTCAGTTGGAGCGACGACTTCTGCCTCCGTACTCGATGTGGGGAAGGTCGACGTAGTACCGCTGACAGGCGGACTAGGCGAATTGGGGAACTTGAAACGTCTATCAAGTTTTCCGTTGGCTTCCGGTCGAGGACTCTTGGTTCTCGGTGGTGAAGCCGCTTGCTGTTCCACCTCTGCTATTTGGTTGGGAACAGCTGTAGTGGCAGCGGACCTCTTTGGCTCCCCTGTGATTTCCTTCCGAGTTTCAGGAGGAGTCACGCCCATCTGCCGACTACCCGATCCTGATGGAGCTTCCAACGTAGGACTCGTCGGGGCCATGCTCATCCTCGCGATAGTCTCGGGCGAAGGCGCTCTTCGATTCCCAAGCTGCTCAGCGGCTTCGGTCATCGAGTTACGTCGGCTGTTGTTTGAAGGTCGACGGACAAACTGTTGAGCGTTGTTTGATTGGGCTGGGGCTGAGCCGAGGCCGTAGTTGGACACTGGGACTAGCCTGTAGGGTTGATATCGCGGTCAGAAAGGTCATCGATTGGGGTGATGCAAATTCTAGAGCGACTGACTTTCTCTCGCCGTGACAAGCAAGGACCCATTGAGGCAAGACGATCGGCAACGACATCTGTGTCGCCTTCTGGAACTCGGGACTCGGAGCCCTGCACATCCAGTAAAATTAAACCCGCATCAGTCCTCTTTTCGCCTTGGATCCTCGAGTCCGGCCTCAGGCGATGTAGGACCAAACTCACATGGACCCCTCTCCATAAACAGTCCCAGCAGGTCCAGCATTCGTACAGACGAAATGCGTCGTATCGATCTGAATCTTGTCCGTCCACTTGGCCCTCATCTGTTCCAAAGCCTGTTTGGCATGAGAGAGGGCAGTGGGGTCTTCGACGTTTCCGAAGCAGACCGAAATTCCGGACGTGTCGCTATATCGCAGTGAGATGACGAGCAGATTAGATGTGCAATAGGTAGAGGTTTGGGTAGAGCGAGGGTAGTGATGTGGACTGACTTCATGGTGTGAGTGCGGACACGGATGATGTTAGAGGGGTAGGTCCCCGCAGTCGTCTTACTACAGCAACAGGTATGCGCACATTAGTTGAAGACATCGTGGTAGTACAGAATAGTACGTCGAACTTACAGTACGAGCTGGAAAGTATACTCCTCGTTCGATTGCAACGAGCTCAACTTGGTGCTCGTGTTTCCCCTCGGATTCGGGATCGTCGCCAACCTCTCCCCATTCTTAAAGATCTCCAAGCTCCTCACATCCGCTTTAGCCAAGACTAGAGCGGGCCATTCCAGCGTCACGCTCGTCTGCGTCACATGCCTCAGTTTCAGCTCGGGCGCGGCGGGGGAGTCGAGACCGTATTCCTGGAGGATGGAGTCTTGGAGAGACCAGAAATCCTTGAGCTGGGCGTTTTCGGCGGCGAGGTTACGGTTGACGGAGATGTTGACGATCGAACCGGAGGTCACACCGGGAGGAAGGAGGAGGGAGGGGAATTCGATCAGGTGGGCTCGGTCCCCGATCAAGATCTGTAGAAAGAGCAAAGGAGGGAGGTGTAAGGGTGGGCTCGAAGTCTTTGCGCTCGTGTTTTTGGGCTTACAGCCATCCCGGCATCTGTCAGAGAGAGACTACATAAGTTCTAACTTCTGTCAAGCTATTAAAGCAGGCTGTACTCACCTAGTTTACCGACGGTAAAGGTAACTATCGGATCGTTAGAGAGACAAAGAATTCGATGAGCTGCTCTTCACTTGTGCTCCGCTTTGCCCGGATCGTCTCACATCGCTCCATGATGTCTGATACTCTCTATCTGTCTCGAGCCCTGTGATTTTGGAACTCTGAGGTTGGTAACATGACGAGCAAAGTGGTATAGAATAGGCAGAGTAGATGTGAGGATGTCCTGTTGTAAGGCATCTATCTGCCCGTCGTGACGAAGCAGCAGGCAGCAGCCAACCTCGGCCTAGGCTAGCGCGCTGGAGGAGGAGGAGGACAGGGTTACCCTTATCAACCTCTTCTTAGACGCCCATCTAACAGCTTGTATAGCTATGCATCGAACGGATCACAGCCAAACAGTACCACACTCGCTGGATTAACATATAGCACTAGTATTCTTATCGTCTTTCAGAAACTCGAAACGACGTCCCGGTGCTATCAGCATCAGCTCCTGACCGGCGAAGGCTTGTCGGAATGTCGGGCTACGGGAATGAACGACGAAAGGTGTTGGTCCTAGGAGCAAAGAAGTCAGTCCTCGTCAAACTTCCACCTGCGTTATGTGATATCTTACGAGGATGGATTTCGTCAGGTCAGGCAAGACGTCGTCTTTGAAGGCCGTCTTTGAAGGGATGACCCCGAAAGATACCATCTGGCTCGAGACGACACAACAGATCGTCAAGACCGACTTTGAGTGAGTGCAACTGGCCTTAGCCCGAACGGTAATCTCGATATCTCGCCAGTTCCGGCAACGGGTGACTGAAACTGTTTCAAATCGTTACTCCGTCCAGCTCCATCTTACCGCTGGAGTTATGGGACACGCCGGGATCGTTTGACCTGGACAGTATCACTTGGGAAGAGTTTTCGACCGTGGTATACATGCTCGACGTATCAGTAAGTTCCGTGTCTCCCCCACTGCAGGTACTAAGCTCCTCAGTATGCGGATCACATTACTGATGCTCGGTGTCCTCGTTATACGACTTTCAGCAAGACACGCATCACCCAATCTCGAAGATTGTCCCCACCTTCATCCTCGCCTACGCCCAAAACCCATCCATCAACTTCGAAGTCTTCATCCACAAAGCCGATCATTGGGACGCCGATTGGCAGGACGAAGACTTCCGTGAGATCACGGGCAGGGTGATGGACGAAATCGCAGATTTCTCCGACTGGGCCTCTTTGGCGGATACGCACCCCAACGTCCGGTTCCCTAGCTCGAACTATAATCACAACTATGCGGACGACCACAATGGTAATCCTAACAACATTGGGGATTCTAGTTTCAATGTGGATGCGGACGCTTGGTTGGAGACGTTGACGACGGAGAAGATCAGGTTCTGGTTAACAAGCATTCACAACTATACGATCTACGAGGCTTGGAGTAAAGTGATACAGAGGTTGATGGAGGATATCTATGGGACGATCGAAGGGCTCTTGAATACGTTTGGTCAGGTGAGAGCATCTACCCGCTAATCCCTGCTGCAGTCGAAACGCAGGCTGAGCCCGACCTTTGGTGTGCGCAGCAATCATCGATGCATAAATCGTTCCTCTTTGATATCAACGCCAAACTTTACGTCGCCATGGATATCAATTCGGTAGAATCCTCGACATTCCAGCTATGCAGCGATTATCTAGGGAGAATGATGGTCTTTCAGTCGTTGTTCGAGTAAGTTCTCACAGCCTTGCATGTTGCGTTCATGCTCTGGCTCGTTTAGGATATCGGCTGACAGCATCTTCGCCGCCCGACCCCTTGTACAGCAACGTGCCCGAAGCTCGGAAACAAGCCCGGTCAGACAAGGCAAAGCGGGAAGGCAAGCGTGATCCGACGCAAGATGAAGACGACGACGAAGATCCGGAAGAACGAGAATGGCCGGCAAACGTCGCTCGGCTGGGAGAGAATACGAGTATCTGCTACTGGCAGTTCACAAAGTCAGTTCTGTTGCCATGTTCGACCTTGACCGACAGCTGGCTGATTGGATGTGGGTGTGGACATCGTAGACGCCTGGCTCTGATGAGCGTGGTCAGCTCTGACGTGCTCAATCAGCAGCAGGGCATGATCGAATTCAACGTCGCTTTATTGCGCAAAGCCATCTTACAGATCCTCGAAGCGATCGGGCAATAGCCGCGCGCCGAGCTTCACTTGTTGCGTTTCCTCGTGGTTCATCTTATAATCGAATACGTTAAGAGTCACAGGTCGGATCGCATAACTAAGCAGGTCTGACGATAGTGTAACGTCCCCGCGTGTGTACCTTGTCATGATCATTAGACCTTTCATCGCTTGTGGCAGCCGCCTTGACAGACGATCGAGCCGCAGCTATAAGGTTTAGACCAGTTCTCAGCGATCTCGGGAGAAGACGATCGGTCGGAAGCCGCGTCCGCTACATCGGACATGGCGCCCTCTTCCACCTTTGCTTCAGACTCGGCAACACCGGCCTCCGTCTTGACCCTTTTCGACCCTTTCTCCTCCTGCTTGACTCCTGCTCGCCTCTTACTCTTGCTCCCAATCTTTCTCGATGGAGCCTGGTTGACGACAACGGGCCGGACGTACAGACTGAAGGCGGCCCCGGAATAAACATCATCTACCATGCCCATGTAGACGTGAAAACACCTCGTCGATGAACCCTTATTGACTTCGTCGGGCGCGTGGTTACCGTAGTGTTTCTTGACCATGTTGCCGGTGTAACTGGCTCTTTTCAGGTCTTCCAAGAAGACGCAGCCGTGTTCGAAGTCCTTGCAATAGGTGTACGACTCTTTCCAGGCAATCCGGCGGGCTTGTTCGTTTGCGTAGAGGAGATTATCGTACAGGGCATGTAAGCGGTGTATCCCGTGGTCGTCAACGCTAAATACTCCCCACTGTAAGGGTGGAAGCGGTACAGCTAGTTCTGTGGGTTTAGCTGCGGAAATGGCAAAAGAACGATCCGTGTATCAGCGGGGAGTGCTGACGATCGTCCAAGTCAGCCCATGGGCAACTCGCGACTCACCTGCTGCGCCCTTTTCGGCCGAGTGCCTTACTTGCACATTATGAGGATGTTGGGGAGAGGCAGCCCAGTACCCAGTCTTATCTTCTTCCTCTTGGAAATGGGTCAGGTGCGTGGGCGCGGGATCATCTCGCGAAATGATGTCGGGATTGAGCATATGCCTGATCGCTAGGACGGCTTCGTCGTGACTCTTCCACGAGCTGATGATATCGTCTCTACCAGTATCAAAAACATGGTAGAGTTTTGGCATGTTGCGTATCACGAGAGCCTTCTGACGGGAACGAAATGAGTTCGGTTCAGTGCAATGACCGTACCGACCGAGACTGATTCGACTTATACTTACAGGGTTGAGCGGACTATGAGCTGAGTTTGCCCTGGCAAGGCAAAGGGAGGCAAAGTCGATGTCGAGGCTGATATGCTGCAGCTGCTATGGATTACCACAATGATATAGCCGTTGTCTGCAAGCATAGGGATCGCTAAGGATCATGATGCGAGGTCGGGCTGATTCATCACGTGACCGAAGATTAGCGGTACATGTACCCTGCTGTATATCGCCGGCGCTGTGATGCGATTTGGCACTGCATGTCTAGCTTATCTAGTCCAGGCAAGATCAGCATATTCTGACGCTTTCTGCGATATCCACATCTTTTGGATAATCCGTTTCATCGTGATAGCGACATAGCGGCACCATAGCACATTCCTCTGTTTCGATTGCTTGACGATATGCTATAATACCAGTCTTCCTTGTTCTTTCCTGTCCTCCTTAGGTCTCGTGTTTCATACAGTAGTATAGTCGGCATCAACCTCAAGCGAATGCGGAGTGACCCGTGATCGCTTTACCGAGAATCAGGGCGTGAATGTCCTGACGTCCGCACCAAGATCAGCCCATGAACGCGCACAGATCGTGGACAAACCTGCTCACATGTGTTCCCTCGTACGTATTGACGACCTGCAGGTTCGCAGCATGACGTCCAATATGGTACCTGCAAAGAAAGGCCAGGTAAGCATTCGAGTGCCGTCGTCTGCTCCGATGTTACAGCCCTGACTTACTCGTCACTGCAAGCGTTCCCTCCAAGAACGTCCAATAACCGCCTGGAATGCTCGAGCGCCTTGCCACAGTTGTTCCTCTTCATCATACTGACCATCTCCGGATTCCATGTTCCAGCGTCCTTCAGCCGTCCGAGCTGCAATGCACCTAATACGCCGAGAGTGGCTTCCGTTGTGGCATTTGCTAATTTCGCTTGCACCAGCTGGAAACTTGCGAGAGGGCGCTTGAATTGTTGCCTATCGCATGCGGCTCAACCGCCAGATTAGACCAAACTTGGCGCACCAGCTGTGGGCTTTGTCGACTCACCTCTCCAACCCGTACTCCCTGGCCCTAGCGATACAGTCCTCTAGACTTCCCATGACACCCCAACTGATCCCGTACCTCGCACTGTTCAGACAAGAGAACGGGCCCTTCAACCCATGTACACCAGGAAGCATGTTCTCTTTGGGGATCTTGACGCTGTCCATAAAGATGGATCCTGTGAGGGATGCTCGAAGGGCGAGCTTGTTCTTGATCGCCGGGGTCTCAAGGCCGGGAGTGCCCTGATTCAAAGATGGGCGATGTCAATACTCCAGCGCATTAGAGAGAAGAGGTGCAAGGGGGAGAGGCTGAACTAACGGTCTCTACCAAAAACCCGCGGATCTTGCCATCCCAAGCGCATTTCGCCCAGACCAGACAAAGATCCGCTACAGGCGCATTCGAGATCCAAGTCTTTGACCCGTTGAGGACGTAGCCACCTGTAGCTGGGTCTTCTTTGGCGGTGGTCTCCATGGACGAAGGGTCTGAGCCGTGGTTGGGCTCGGTCAAGCCCTGTATCACACATTCCAGACGTCCAACATCGAAACGAAAGCAACCCAGACCATTAAAGTGAAGACTTGGAATCAGTAGACGTTGCAAAACGTAGGTTGCCGGACTGGACAGGACTGACGAAACACCCAACCATCTCCCCCTTGGCCAACTTGGGCAAGAACCGTTCTTTCTGCTCCTCGGTCCCAAACTGAAAATCGAACGTGGATTCGTCCCTGTCAGCTACCTTTGCTTATACTGAACCGGTGGATCAAGCAGAGGTTGAAGGCTTGCCTCGTTGATAGGATGCATGACCAAGCTCGATTGCACGCTCATCGCGGACCTATACCCCGAGTCCACCCTGTCCGTCCCATCAGAATTACAACAATTTCATCAGCATCTTCATCAATTCTACTGAACCTCGTTTGAATGAATGTCTTCAGGCTTACCGTTCCACCTCTCTAGCGATCAGCCCGTAAGCGACACTTGAAACCCCGGCACATCCGTGTCCCTTGATCGTACATCCCAACAATCCGAGGGAACCCATCTCGGCGAGTATATTCTTGTCGAAATCTGCAAAAATCGCAATATTGATCACGTCAGACCGATTGCAGGAGACATGGGCAAGAGGGAGTAAAAGGGCATCAGGGCTTACTTTCGTGTCTGTACCCATCGATCACTCGGGGGATCAGGTTTTCTTGACAATAATCTCTCGCCGTATCCCTATCGCACAAGATCCGAGAAATCTCAATCAACATCGTACGTAGAAAGATAGTCAAAGTGCTATCATGACAGAAGTAGCGGGGTTGCAGCTCACCGGATAGCCACTTCTTCTTCGGTCAAGAGGGATGTAGAGTCCAGCGGGTCCTGCGAGTTAAGGGAGATGTCGTTCAGCGCATATGGCAGAACATCAAGACAGGAGATATTCACCCACCTCCCAGTCGAACTTTGAAAAAGCTACCATGAAGATCGTCATCCAGATTAGTTGACAAGGACGGTCATTGCAGACGGTTCTGAACGACGGCTTACAGCTTGCATACCGGACAGCCGCTGGGGTGCACTTCAAGCTGGATACGTTTCGCTTGATCGTGGTGGTAATTGTGGACCTCATAGCGATCGTATGTCTTATGATACTGTGCAGCTGGTGGATACTGGATAGTGATCGTTGTAACCAAGCCGATGTCGAACACCTGGTCGATTCGAATTATCTGACGAACCTCGATCGAGACACCCCCGCCCCTTGCTTTCGCTGCTCGCTGCTCGGCAATGTCGGTTACACGAAACCATCGATGCCGGCATCTTGTGGGGTGTGCCCCGTCGGCGTTGACCGAAAAGCATCCGAAGAGATACAGGAGGGAGGTCGTTTCATGTCGTGCAAGTCGTGGCTTGGACTGCCTGAGAGAGCCGTTCGAGATGACTGGGATCCAACGTGTTCGACTTATGGCTGAAGAACTGTGATATCTCATCCCCATATTGTAGCCGAAGGATGCTTGGCAAAGCCAATGTAGCGTACAATACTTGAGCGTATATCTGGTCGCAGCGATGGCAGTGGCACCGTCAGTGAGCTTGCTGAAGCTGTTTGGTTAGCGGCGATCTATTTAGGACAAACGAAAACAAGCAACATTCAGCTCAACAGCTTGCGGCAGCAGCATTCTCAAGAAAGAAGAAGAAGAACGTATCGACATATCGCTTGCAGGCGCCGCGCAATGGTCAGACATGGTTGCGAAGGAACGCTTAGAGAAAAAAGTTCGAGATTTGTGCCCAGTCCGATATCGCAATATCGATCCTGTCCGGTTCTAAGTGCTGCCCTGCTCTCTTCAGTGCCCATATTGCCCCTCAAAGGCATCCCGTAAGATGTTCTGAAAAGGATATCGCTACTTCCGGAAACGGCAGGAGACGAAACGCGCCCTACAGTACCTACTGACTGTACTCTGAATCCAAGCAAACCGGGGTAAGCGATCATCGCACCGATGTGCCTGCCAGAATGATCCAGACTCGTGCAGTCTGCTTACACACTTATGTAATGCGTCCAAGCGGAAACCTTGGCATATGAGCTATTCTCGTGACAGCGCACGTGGCACTATAACAGAAGAACGGGTTGACCCAAGTGACCGCGAGGCATACCCCAACAGGACAACTCAGATCGCCTTGGCCTGGGAACACGACTGCCGGATGTGATGGTGACAGACCCGCTGATTTTTGTCCTCAATAGAAGTCATCTGGCAGACTGTGACCTGTCCAGGCGATAACGGAAATGACAAAGGCAGCGAAGGTGAGTGCATCTGCATCGGAGAATTTGGCCGCATGCACGAAGACGATATGGATGGACGGAATGGAAAAAGATGATTCTTGTCGAGTCCGAGAAACGATACATTGGTCTGCACATGTCTATCCATGTGGTGAGTCACGGACTGTCCTGCTATGCTGCCTCGTCATTCTATGGTGACAATGCCGTGTGCAGATTTAAATATTGGAAGGCGCATTGATACTGTTCCTCAAGAGCCAATTGAATTGGGTTGTACATTTTCCCTCTTTGTGGAGGGAATGTATGACTCCCGATGACTGGAACGAAGAAGCATGGCCCAAGTGGTCATGAGCAATCCAGAATGGCGGCGTCGGGTGAACCTCTGAGCCTTCCTATCATGCGTTTTGCAACATCGAGACGCCGGCCGGTTCTCAAACGCTGAGCACGATCAGTGAGTCGGAATTCGATACGATGGACGGCGGTTCTGCCGGCGCCTATGTATCGTCTTCCGGTCTGACCTCCAAGACCGTGGTTCCCGATCAGCGTCATATCTGCAATTACCACTGTATTCACAATGTCGCGCAGACATGCTGCGTCATCACCCGCTTTGGCGATTTTGAGCAGATTTACGTTTCGGCACAACGAGCGAGAGCATTCAGCCATCTCGCCGGCGTCAGCAGAGAAGTTCTAGTCGATGAGATTGTGCCGGGGTCTTGGATCCGCATCGCTCGCCAAAGCGCAGCGAGGGCAATCCAGGTGATATCCTTCGGATATATTACAATCTGATTTGCGAATATGCATGTACATAGCGAAGTAGCAAATCCCTACCCCTACTCGGCAAACTCGCCGACATTCGCTCCGCCACTGCCCATCCCACGTTTGACCCGCTTGACGGCCTCTCGATGACGCTTCTTCCATTCCCTCGTCAGCTCGACCTTGGAATCTTTCCAAGCCTGGGTCATTTGTTCGCTGCAAAAGAGGCATGTCAGCATCTGAACGTAGCGATGACAGGCATATTGATCTACTGACTCGGTTTCTGTCCGGACGAACGGCTTGACCTCGATCGTCTCCCCCTGCAAGGTCTGTACGCTGCCTAACCATTTCTTGCCCAACTCTTGTGGCCCCATCGCCTCTCCTGGTGGAGCCAACGCCTTGGCGGTATCAAAGAAGAAGAACGGCTTGCCAGCTTCCGGTGCAAACAGGTCAGCCTTGCCAGCAGATGAGATCACGGGCGCGGGGATGAAGACGGGCGCAACGGGCTCGGCTGCGGCGGGACGAGCGACAGGAGCCTCATCTTCCAGATCGGAGTCGAGCTCGAGATCCAGTCCGGCAAGCAAAGAGAAGCCGGCTGATTCAGTTGAGAGCAAGCAGAGGTCGTCAGAACCGAGTAAGGACAGCAGAGCGAAAGACGATCTAACTCACCTTCATCCGCTTTAGGCGCGAACATGTCCTTCAATGTCTGTTGCCTCGTTACCTCTTTCGTCTCGGTCTTCATCTCCACGTCCCCCTCTTCCTCGTCAGACGAGTCGTCGCTACTGCTCTCCTCCGAACTAGAATCCTCTTCCGAACTCGATTCGGAACTCGAGCCCGAACCCGAACTCGATTCGGAACTCGAGCCCGATGCCGAGCTCGAGCTTGAAGACGCGCTCTCCATCTCGGCATCCGTCGCACCTCCTCGCAACCGCATCGCCGGTGCCCAATCGGACTCTTCACCCGAGCTCTCGTCTTGCAGTACAACGGCCTTGGCTTTGCTGGAAGATGCATCGGTGCGAGGTTCGTCCAGGTCGAAACCCAATGCGCTAAGAACGGACAGTCCGGCCTTCTTCTCCATCTTGACAACATCCTTGAGCGAGGCGCCCTTACCAGCTTGCAGAACGGGCGCTTCCTTCTCGGAACGGGTCCCAAATAGGCCAGACGAGGAGGAAGAGCTCGACTCGGCATCGGATTCTGCGTCCGTAAAGTCGTTTGAAATATCCGAAGGCAATGCCTGTCCCTTCTTCTGTCGTTTCGACGATGATGCTGCTGGAAGAGCCGCATTGCCAAACAAGGGTGATACAGACGATTCCTTATTCGTCATGCTCTTGGGGAGTCCTCCGAAGAGATCGTCATCCTCCAAGCCCGCCAGTTCTTCTTCCTCATCCTCATCCTCCCCATCATCGACGCTCTCCCGAGCTGTCCGCTTGACTCCTCGCGTTAGGCCAGGACCCGGAACAGCAATGTCCACCTTGACAGCACCCCCGACAGGTTCGTCGAACAATCCCCCGTTCATCCCACCCATTGATCCAACGGTCCCCCACAATCCGTCCTCATCTTCCAGCCCACCCACGTCCATCTCTTCTAGCCTGAGCACTTCCTCCTTCTTGTTACCACCAGATTTCTGCACTTTGCCTTTGGCGTTCGCGCCCTTCCCGGAGACGGTGGGGACGATATCCAGATATTCGGCCGGCCAGATCGATTCCTGAGCCAGGTTATGGAGTACCGTCTGGACACGTCGTTGCCGAGATGGAACGGTCTCCACAGGCTCTTGCGCTGACATCTCCTCGTGCTCATGCTCTTGGCCCGAAGACGACGCTGCAGATTCATCACCCTGTGCGAGCTTGAAGAACCATCTCCCCTCTACCTCATCATCCACCTCTTCCTCCTGCCAAATCCACATCCCATCCGCCTCCTTCCCTCCCATCTCCTGGTCCTGACTCTGGCCGTCTCCATCCTCATACATCCGGTACTGCCTGTCCCAGCCGGTAGGGTCCAACCAAACCCGTTTCGCACGTACGGGCGGTTTAGTCCTGCTCTTGCGCTGCTTCTTTCGTTTCAGCGGAGTGACATTAGATGATGACGTCGGACCGGGTTTCGACGAGTTGAATAATGACGGTGTCGACGAGGCAGATGGGAGAGGATGAGTCGGGCGGGTATAGATGGGTCGGAGGATCGTATGTTCTTCCCCTGGGACGGCGTGCCAGTACTGTAAGACATCCGAAGCGATTCGTCTTAGCAATCTCAAGTGTGTCCACGCAGATACAACTCGATATCGTCGACTGTTGACATCAACTCACCTTCCTTACTCCAGCCTTGACGATCTCCTCGCTAACAACCCTCATATCCCCATCCATCCTCCCACCCTCAGCATCAGCTATCCGTCTCTTCCTGTCTCTTCGCTTTTTCAATTTAGCTGCTCGAGCTTGTTTGAGGAGCGTTGCGGCAGGTGGGGGTGGAGGGTTTTGTTCGTTAGAAAGACTGTGAAGATGTTGAATGAGGGAGACAAAGTGTGGTGAGATTGTATGTCACATGTATCCCGACACGTGGCAAGTCACAAGAAGAAAGACAGCAGATAATATTGGTCAGCATACTTTTCTGTCTAGCAGAAATGAACATTGCCAGCTAGAATAAGCTTACCGGACCAAGTAATCAGGTTTGGCCAACGAGACCTTGAGCTTGATCCCCCTCCATACGCTCGACGAGGTCATGCTTATGCCTGTGCAGTGCGTCGATTGGTGCAGAGAAGACGAAAGATATGGAGAGAGCAAGCAAGATCACGAACAACAGGAGACAATCGTTGTGACATAATCAGTCTTCAAGCGAACCCAAATCCTTGGTAGGTCGTACCGTGATATGCGGAAATATGACGCAATGACTCACACCGACTCAAACCCTTCTCCCCCTTTTCCCCGAAATCCATCCCCAAGAACCCGTAATCCCGCTCCTGTCCTAAACCATCTAAACCTGGTCGATAGAATTCCGTCGGGGTTCCGAACCTCGAGAAGAACTTGAGAATCTCTGCCGGTGGGAGAGTGGGAGGTGGGGGCAGGGGGGAGAGGTGAAGTCGGTACTGCGCAGTTGACGCTGGATTGGGTGTTGACATGCTGGTAGATCCAAGAACCTCTTGTCGAGCTGTCGCTCCTTTGCTACTGTCGTTGAGGTGTGTCGACAAGCAGTTGTTTGCAACAGAGCGACAGATCGTGCAGCTCGCACTGTACTTGGTTCGACCTCGTCGACTTTCGAAATCTCTCCCCTTGAGGCGACGCGCATCCAGAGGGATCAAGCAGGTGGAGGTCCTGAAATTTGGATGGACGATCAGCTGCAATCAGCAGCAATACGATCTGGGCTGCAGGGCTGCGTCAGAGTTCTGCATTTTTGTGACACCATGACACCACAGTCACCAATCAGAATCTCCATATTCGCTTATGTCGCAGCTAGCACTATAGATCCAAATCCTTCCACTTGACAGACTGGAGGAAAGGTATACATACAGGTTGGAAAGGATGTCAATATTCGTTGTGCGCTCGACACGACGGATCGCTGTCACCAACCGGGCGTCGATATCATTTCGACGACCTCAAGATCTCGCCCTCCGGCTCTGTAGAACCTTGAATGAATGCTGCTTCGAGCCATCGCCATAAACATCACCTCTGACACCTCGCATTCAGGTGTGGACATTCCCGACTGGTGATCGCTCACGTGACCCAACCTCGGCGATGGGCGATGGCGCTGAGCGACCGGGATTACCCGATTGGGAAACCAGCTCTGCACGACCCCCGGATGATCGGATGCAAATTAGTGTCTACCCTGCGAGGTGGATCGGATCCGAGAGGGGCAAGTGCTCTCAAGCTCGTGCCAGTCAACAACATCGACCTCGACCACCACCTCTCGCATCGATCGACATCCGTCGACAGAGACTGCATCATCATTACTCTATTGCAAGATCCGTAGATAGGTCATCTCACACTTCGACTGTACCATACACAAAGACACGGCATACCGGACCTCGTTGCCGCTTCGTCAGGAAAGGACGGGACCGGAACGCGATCTGAATCATCATCACATCATCACAATCGCATCGCCGCGAAGGAGTTACGATACGGTATTCTACCCCTGGACACTAACCCACACATACAACCCTGAACACACACTGCACGCCATCTCCTACTACGCCAATCTGTTTCTACTCCACGCAAGCCTGCACATCACGATCAACGTTCAACCCAACTCCTCCACACTCCACTTCACTCCAACTCATTCCCCGCCTCGCCTTCATCGACAAGCGACTCATTTCTCTGCGCCTGCACTCCGTGTGTCTGATGCACAGGATTGAAGAGCATCAAGATCAGCCGAGGTCGTCGTAGGAAACGAGTAGATAGCGGACGGGGACGACATTCGAACACGTACTTCCTGAGCGTACCACGTAACATTTCACTGCACGACAACGACTTGATAACGAAGGCAGGCCTAGGAATAGACATAGATCCGGATCTTGCTTCGAAACTCGATTTCCAGAACGAAAAGCATCATCCTCATCCGCATCGGGACAGCTGAGGTTCAGTCATGGCTTACTCGGAGTACGATTATGATCGTCCGAGCGGGGTGAATGTACCCGGAGGTAGTGTGAACATGAATGGAGGATTCGGCGGTATCGGCTCGGGTCTCTCATCAGGATCAGGCGTGGGCGGGGGAAGTGGCGGAACGTTATATTCCCCACCTCCCGGCCAAGCTCAAGCTCATTCTCATCAGGCTTACCCGGGTTCGAATAATTACGGATTCAACGGTCCTTCCGGACCAGGGTCGGGATTGGGTTCGATAGGCCGTACGAACGGGTATGCCGTCAACCTGAACCTCAAGCCGGATTCAGGATCAGGATCGGGAATTCTAGCTGGGCATACGAATACGAACCCCGGCTCGAATAACCCGGAAGAAAGGTTCTCTTCCCTCAGTTCGCTAGGGTCAAGGAGTTCTGGAACGGGATCGTCGGTCTTCGATCCGGGTAGATACGCCAGGTCTCATTCGGATGGGTCGATTTCGATTTCGAATGCGAATCAGACATCGGGATTCGGTGTTGTGCAGGGACAGCACCCGAGGTCGAGGATGGTGTTCGCTTCTCAGACGTTTGTCCCGCCTGGGTCCGCTGGGACAGGGTTTGGGTCAGGGTCAGGCTTCGTAGGGACACAACAGCAAGGTCAACAACAACAGCAGCAGCAGCAGCAGCAGCAGCAGCAACAGGTTCATCCCATGTACTCTCAACAGGGTTCGTCGGGTTTCTATCAACAGTCTCAAGAGACCCAGCAACCGCCTCCGCTGCTATCACCCTCATTGCAAGCCCAGCTATACCCTCAGCAAACTTCTACAAATCTGCAGCAGCAGCAACGATACCACAACGGGAACGCTCAAGCACTTGGGCTAGGCGGAGTCGACGAGCAATCTCGATCTCAACCCCCGGGAATACTGGGCGGAACGGATGAACGCTCGAGAGGAAGACAGATGAGTCAGATGGAGAAGGCCATATTCGGATCAGCAGGCGCGTCGGTCTCGGCTCCCGCGCCTGGCGACGTCGGGCGTCCGAGCAGGATGAGGGGGAGACCGGACACGGTGGTTGATCGGTTGTTGAGGCGAGAAGAAGACGAAGACGGTCGAGATGACGAGGACGATCGTGATCAGGAGGAAGAGCGTGAGCATGGAGCTCGGGATCATGCTCGAGGTCGAGGGCAGGCGGATAGGCCGGATACGCAACCAGAACCCGAGCGACCGGGATCTGACCAGAAAGATTCGACGCCGAATGAAGCCGGGACAACGAATGGCCGGAACTCTAGTCGGACGAGAACGAGGACCCGGACGAGGAGCAAGAGTAAGCGAAGAGGAGGGAGAAGCCGGAGTGACAGTAGGAATCCGTCTTCCCGGCTCGGACAGAGTAGGGGCACTAGTCGGGCTAGAGGAGCAGAAGGTGGAAATGGACCAGCGGGTGATAGCGACAAGGAGGACGCTTATGGGGACAGAGACGGGCTTGGGATGGGAAGGAGCGGTAAGAGAGAGGGAATGGGCAAGAAGCCGGTCGAGAGGGAGGAAATCAGTACGATCTTCATGGTCGGCTTTCCGGACGATATCAGCGTGGGTCATCGGACGTCAGTCGAAGCTGCTTCACTAACGGAAGCTGACAAGGAAACCGTTGTACTCAATCGTCACAGGAACGCGAGTTTAGCAACATTTTCACCTTCGCCCACGGGTTCGAAGCCGCTTCCCTGAAATTCCCCAACGCACCCTCGGTTCTTCCGCCCAAGGAGGCTACGACGCCGACCTTGAGTTTGCCATTGGCGGTGCAGCAGCAGCTTGGTATTTACACTGGCGATCCGGGTAGACCGGGAGAGAATGCGAGTCCGAGCAAGAGGGATGGAGACGATGCGAAGGATGACGACGAATCGATGATTGGTGGGACCGGGGGCGACCCTGTTCGTGCGCTCTCTGCAGCCGCGGCAGCGGCTCTCGGTCTTGGATTGGGCCAGAACTCGACAGCTTCGTCCTCGACGACGTCTCTTGTCGGCATGCTAAACTCTGTCAATCGGGGACCGCCTCGTCGACAAGTGATAGGTTTTGCCAGGTTTCGTACGAGGGCAGACGCCTTGGTCGCGCGGGACACGCTTCAAGGTAGAAAGATTGACGTCTTTTCCAGCGCCACCCTCAAAGTCGAGATGGCGAAAAAGAACCTCCACTCACGGAGAGGTTTCGGATCGGGTCCGCTCAGCTTGTCTGGCGTGCCGGAGAGTGAGGTCATGGACGTCTTGATGAGGAGCGGCAAGTTACCTGGTCTGCTCGCCGGTATGGGAATGGGCGGATTTGTCCTCAGTCGAGAACGATCGCACGGCAGTCAAGGCCAAGGTCGACAGGCCGAGAGTGTTCACGACCTCCGGAGCGGTGCGAGCACCCCGAGCGGAAGGAGGATGAGCATGTCGGACAGCTTTGCCACCTTGACGACGGGAGGGCCCAACGCGCAGCCCAATGTCTCCGGGATGGTGCAGCAGACTAGTGCACAGCCTATGCCCAGTCTCGGACAGGCTACCCAAGAAACGACCGATTTTGCGCCTCGATCGAGCTTTTCTGGAGGGATGGACCAGAGCGCTCCGGTCTTTTCCCCCAGGTACGCCAGCATGGAGTTGGAACAGACGCCGATGAACAACAAGACACAAAAACATCGCCGCAACGATTCGCTGAGGAGCGTCTTTAGTGCCGATTGGTCGAACCCATTGAAGCTATCGCAAGTACCAGAACATCCGTTCCCCTCGTCCGCGTTTGGCGAGAGACGATCTGACGAGCAGCTGTCAGCTCAGCTCGGCTCGTCTTTGACCGGCTCGGCTGCATCGGGGGCTGCGCTCAGTGGAAGCAGCCCAGCCTCGGGAGTCCAGTCTGACCGTCAGGCTAGCATGTTGTCTTCCAGCGACCCTACCTCACCAGGCCCCGGATTCACCTCGCAAATGGCATTTTCTGCCCCCACAGATTCCAAGGCGCTTCTCGCCCTGGCTGAAGACGAGGATGAGGATTGGAACGTCGGTGGCGTAGGGATGGAAGCGCTCGGTTCCTTCGACGGCGAGTCGAGAAACAACAGCCCCGCGCCGCACCGCAACGATAAATCCGTCACCAGCCCGACGACCGGATTTGAGGAGCTCAATCACACTACTCCTGGAGCTACTCGCCGTGAGGACCAATCATTCGTGCCTCGCTCTCTGACTGGCCTCAATGGTCGAAGATCGATTCCTGGCATGATCGGTCCGAGATCCCTCTCCGACTTTGGTGGGGTGGCCAGTCTCAACATTGCCGACCAGAACCCGCCGATCAACACGCTCTATGTTGGTAACTTGCCTTCGCACCTCGCGGTTACGCAATCCGCCAACTACCTCGAAGAGTGCCTTCGCAACCTTTTCACACGCGCGTCTGGGTTCAAGAGGATGAGCTTTAGGCAAAAGGTCAATGGACCGATGTGTTTCGTCGAGGTGAGTTGAAGTCAGAGAGGGGTTTCGTCCTCGAATCATGCTGATTGACTTCGTATCGCTCGCCTACAGTTTGAAAGCGTAGACTTTGCAACACTCGCCATCAAGGACCTCTATGGCAATACCTTGGTAGGTTTAAAAGGCTATGAATTATGGTCGGTCTATCTCTGATCGGTGCGTTTGCGCTTTCACAGGGCGGCTTGGTGAAGGGCGGTCTTCGCCTGTCCTACTCAAAGAATAGTCTCGGACAACGGGGCAACGGCCAGCCCGCTCAGCCGACTCGCATCAACACGAGCCACAGCATGACCGCGTCTGATGCCACTTCTCCGGGCTCTTACGCTGCGAGCGGTCTGAGCCCATCGTCGTCTCTGAACGGTATTCCTTACATCGCCAACTATGTCCCTGGACGCAACGACAGCAACGACTCTGGCATGGCGAGCAGTTTCAAGTCAGAGACGCCCCTCTCCCCGCTCGCCGTTCCGTTCAACGGTTCGGCCTTGCCGCACGAAGCGATGGTAATCGCAACGTCTCCTCGGCTGCAAAGATTCCCTTCCTCTGGCAGTGAGGGGCGGCAGACGAGGGACGGATCATTGGCTCCCATCTCTCCTCGAGCGGCCTTCTCGGCACCCTGGCCGATGACGAGCATTAATCCTCAGGGTCCTCAATACGCACCAGGACCGGGCGGATTCGATATGGCCTTCTCCAGAAGCTCATAAGTGACACGTATCGGTGCCACTGACCTACACACGTTTCATCAAGAGAAAACATCGACCGGCAAATACGGAGTCAACGCCGGCCGACGAACGTCCTTCATCACACGGCCTATACATCTGTTTCGATCCTTTCTATCTTGGGTACATTCGGCAACTGCGCCTTTTTCAGCAAACCACATAGATGCATACGACTTGATCATCGGCAATGGCGCTTTCCAAAGCTTTTTTTTCCAACAATATCACAAAACACGAACAACAACAATATATCCATATGCAAGAACGTATCATCACTACGCCAAGTCCCGTGGGCTCTCAGGTTTTCCCATCTCCCTCCTGGTTCTTCTCTAGGCATGTTTTAGTAGAGACTCCTTTCCGTCGATTGCAAGGCATCCATTTGCTATCTGTCCCCCTCCCTTCGCGCATAGAATACAATGCACAGGCTATGATTGCCTCATCCTTTCTGTATATTTCGAAAGCTATAAAGGCTATATCCAAATTTGAAGAAGCATCATTCAAGGCCGATTGCTCTGGACCGGGACACCCTTCGAATCGGCGCGTTCAATAGTTGTAGGATGTGGGCGTCGTTTTGGCGTCGCTAATCTTCCTGGATCCGGCGGCGCAACACAACTTGTTGAGTTCCCGCAAGTTATTTGAGCAGCTCGATTGCGGCCGTGATTTGACCTAAGCCGACTTGAAAGTGACTGAAGAGTCAGGCTGGATGACCTCCTTCCATCTTTCCCCTGGCCGATAAATAACACGTCATTGAGGAATTCTATGGTCATTCGTATCTCGGTCGTCGCGTAGATTTTATTGATAAAGACCGCTCGTGCCCATACCCGCGTATAAGAGAAAAGATTGATCAATTCCATCAAATTCCTTTCGACGTCGACGTCTTCCTGTTTCCTGCTCAGAGAGGAACGTGCAGGTAAGCCTCGCCGTATGCTGCTCGCTTCGATCTGTTCTTTGAGCGCTGATCTGACCCGTATCTCTATTCACCGCAGCTCAAAGGTCACAATGCTCGCTACAAAGATCGTCTTTTGTGAGTCATCATCAGATCAGACCGCATCCCCACATCCCTTTTGGCCGCACCCGCTGACCTCAAGTTCGTGCTTCCTTTATGTCAGGACGAATCCCCTTCGCGAGCGGGTTAAGGTCCTGGTATTATAACCCTCCTTGCAAGTGCCGGCTCGCAAGAATCGACACTTCGACAAGCATCGCTCTCTAAACGAGGCCAAAGCTAACGCTTTGATACGATGTCCGACCAGAAATGCGTCTCCTCCTCGTCCGTCCCTCCGATCTCGAGATCTTTGTGCGGCTCAGTGTCGTCTCGGCTGATCGGGTGAGGCTAGGGATGGCCCAGAGAACCCAGGTTAGATACCGGGCGAGGGCAAATTCGACGAGGATGGTCTTCCGATGAACGGGTCCCCGCGGTCTCTTGGGACGGCGGGGATTCGAGCAACAATCGAGACTTGGTATGGGCATGAGGGTCGCCCTTCCTTCTGAAACCATGGTCTGGCCTCTCCGCGGAGCAAGGTTCAGTCACCAGCGTCGTCCTCACTCTTCGGAACTGGACGACCCAGGGGGAAAGGCTTGAGTGCAATTTTCAACGTGACGTTCCCACTACCCCCTTCATTCCGTGAAGGGGTCGGCTCGCCAACGCTTCGTTCGTTCGGGACGGTTCGCTCCTTCGGTCTTTTGTCTTCGGATGGGAGGGCGGGGGAGTGAACGGTGGGAATAACTCGATCAGGACTACTCTTGGACTGCACCGTTCTTCTCTCCCGCTTTTTATGGCTCTCTGTAGCCTAGATATCCCTTCCCATCACGCTACGTGTCTGTTTGCTCTATATTGTATCGTTATGATCATGAATGTGAATTGTTACAGTTACACATTTGCCCGAAGCCCTTGCCATGTCCGTCGTCTTTCAGCAAGCGAGCGTCTTCAGCATACTCTCTACATCTTTAAGACGACTCAGGCCGATACGGCTGCCTGCTGCTGTTGCTGTAACGACGCTTGCATCTTCATGATCTGTATCGAAGACCGCCATAGACGTGGACGTCAGCTTGGCCATTGTCGAATTGACACAACGATACAGTGGAAACGCATTTTTAGGGGTTCAACCTCACCTCTGATCGCTTCTTCTCCGCATTCTCGCCAATCTCCTTGAGTTGTCCTTCGATCCGGTCACTATCAACCGAACACCAAGACATGCTAGTCAGCTCAGATCCCATCCGGACTTGAACCATCCCATCCTCAGGTCAAATCTTGGGGTTCTTTCGTGATACTGACATTTCCTTCTTGATAAACTCTAAACGCTTCTCCACTGTCGTCTTGGCCTCTTCTGGGTCTTGAGGCATGAGACCGGGACCGATGAGTTTGTAGACCGTGTTGTGTGGTTTCAGTACTTTGAGCTCCTGTGTGTTACAGCCGGTAATATGCCAGGGCAAGAGGGAGACGGGAGATGATTCTGGATCAGCTCGAATATCGATGAGTTATCAAGGTGATTAAGACACCAGACTTACCTTGAGCACCGATTCTGACTCCGATTGTTGATAATCCAACTTCTGCCTAGCTGCTATCGTGGCCTCCATCTCTATGAATCCGCATTATGCAAGGAAGATCTTAAGTTCAATACCGACTTCGGTCATTCGAAAAGTCGTGAACGGACGTTGTTGCAATTTCTGAAACTCTTGCGTCGCAACCTGGTAAGCTTGAGGTGCGGCTGCCATTTCGCTGAGCAACTATCGAATGTTTTGCGAGGGAGTGGTAGGACCTGATCCGATTAATGATATGGCTCGGAGCTATAGGCAGACAGGAATGATCTGGTTGCCGGTAGCTGGTTGTTATGGAGTTGTAAGAGAGGATGTCGAGGACCTCCTCCCCGGGCTGCTGCTGCTGTGGAGGTCAAGCGCGGTCGGGCGATCGAGCAGCTCGCATCTTGCATCTCGCATGATATCGACAACAACAACCATTCCTCTCAATTTAGAGCTCGGACTATTTACATACCTGTCTCGACTCTGCAAGTCTACTATCAGTATCATTCGGGTTTCCCGAGCGTCCAGGATAATTAGCATGGACGACCTCGGCTCAGCAGCATGGGCGGACACCTCACCATCGGCATCACCAAAGCTAGGCAGTGACGACATTTGGGGATCAGCCAAGGTCTCTGGGTCGCGGATACCAGACTTGTCACCAGGAGGATTCGATGATACGGATTTCGGACAGCTTCGTTTAGACTCGGAAAAGGATAAGAAGTTGGAGGAGCAGGAGGGTGTGAATGAACCGGTCATGCCAGAGAAGGAGGATCCGGAGGAAGACGGGGATGGACAAAAAGGCGAGCAGGATGTCATTAAGACCGAACAGCAGAAGGGGTCAGGCAGCTTGGATGCAGATAAAGGCCAAATCATGGCCGATGCCTCGGCCCATTCCGCTGCCGAAGCCGTAGACGACGTTTTCGACGGTGAAGATGACTTCGACTTCGATACCCCAGCTGCACCAGCAGCAGGTTCAGACGAGTTTGGCGACTTTGACGACTTTGGGGAATTTGACGAAGGAGCCCCCGTCGACGCTGCTGTTTTTCATCACGGAGGCGAGCAGAGCGGGTTCGTTAGTGAGCCCCAAGAGATGGAGGATCAAGTATGGGAAGACCCCAATCGGCCTGCACCTCCCGTAAGTACAGCACCTCTTTACATCGCGCAGCTTGACAATCTTTCATAATCATCTCGTCTTGCTTTGTGGAACCGCAGAAATCGCTGCATCTGGACCCTAACGACATGCCCTCAAAGACCGAACTGCGAGAACATATCGATTCGCTCCTCTCGCCCATCTTCCCCCTTTTATCACCAAACCCACCTTTCGATAGACGGACGGTATTGACGGACGAACCTGTTCGTCAGGTGGAAGGTCTCGGACAGATCCTCTTTCAGGAAGAAAGGTCAGTTCTCGCTATAGGTCCTGCCTGGACCCTTGTATATTTCGCAAACTGCTGAAATGACTGAATTGTATACTCCTACAGCCGAGACCTATATGCGCAACTCATCACCCCGCCTATCCTCAAGCCGTTAGACTGGAAACGATCCCGCGTACGACGAGAACAGCTGATCAGCTTGGGTATCCCTGTTAACCTTGACGAGGTGCGTTCTTTGACCTGGATCATGGTCTTCCGAAAGCTAATAAGGCCGTTTGCAACAGGTGGACTCGCATCGACTCTCAGCCCTACCGCCACTCCGGATCGGCACTAATGCCGAAGCAGGACCTGGACCTGGTACATCTTCAACCCGGGATCGCAATGGGAGGGTTGGGAAGGTCAAGACGGAGAAGCATATCGGCCCTCGACCCGAGTTCAACCGGGATAGATGTGGAAAGCTATTGAGCTATCGAGAAGGTAGGTAAAACATCATGGATCTCGCAGGACCATTGTACTGACATTGCGCTCGCATGCCTACAGACCAACTCGGGTTGGTTCCACCTAAATACCTCTCGCGCATGCAAGAGGATCTCGTTCAAGCCTGTTCAGAGGCCGCCAGCGTGCTGGCCTGGCTCAAACAAATCAACGAGACTCGCGGCGAGGAGAATCGACGGAGGTGAGCCATAGTCGCAGCATCACAAGTTCCACAAGGCACATGAAATGATACTCAATCTATTTTTGCGCAGGAACGAGACAATAGCGGGTCTCATCGCTTCTGCGCAAAAGTACAAGGCGAGCGAGATGAATTCGTCAGGGGGTTTGTTCCGGAAAGGGAGCGTGAAGCGCAGTGGAAGTGGGAGTCAGACGCCGAAGAGAATGTCAAGCCCGGCTATGGGGCGATGAGCATGACATTTCTGATCAGATATCATGTCATCGGGACGGTAAAGCTGGTTTGGCCAAACGTTCAAAATGCCGCGGAAGCTTTCGTGCTACAAATTCGCGTTTCATGACGTGAATCGTGGACACCCATAGCCTCGATCGTCATCACAGCGGAGGGCCAGACCACTTCAAAGTGCTACAGCTGCAATCCAGTCTTGTAAATAATTCTATCAAGCACCGGAAAAAAATGTCGTTCATTTTACAAACGGTTGCGTTGTTTGGTATGGTTATCCAATACAACCTCGCACAGCCAGGCTGCGACCTCCCGGTCCGACGATGGGTGCGAGCGATCCACAGCTGGTCCATATAACAACTGATTTCTCCGGAACAAGCTACCTTGTGGTGTCAGCATTTTGAGATGCTGTCTACGGACAAGAGCAGGGGACTGTGTATAATTTCCATGTGATTGAGAAAGGCGATCGCGTATTGTGTAATGATTCGGCGTGATGAATAAGTTCAGTATCGGCGAGCTAGTCGTGGCGAAATCGGTCGAAAGGTTGATAGGTTACGAAACTCGGGCATCCAAGAGTGATATCAACGGAATAACAAGAGGAAACAATCGGGGTTGGCGTGCGGTTTGAGCGATATTTAGTGATCAAGTGTTTTGCGCCCATTGTAAATCGCTAAATAATCTGTCGCCAAGTACCCGATGTTTTATCACAATGTTCGCGAAGAAGCAACACAGGGCGGCCGGTTCCCTTTGTCCCTCCTCACGAGCGCCGAAAGGAATGAGAATCGAACATCGGAAAGGGATTGGTATCGGTATTTTCCCACCCGGCTAGTAATGGTGACGGAAGAAAATTAGGGTGGGAAAATTATGGAGTTGCATGATCATTCGCATTGTCTTGTTCATTCAGGTATCTACTCCCTTCCGATCAAGATCAGACTCATACATGTAGGTAGCGGTGAATGATACCGCCCTTGACTGACAGTACGGTCACGACTAAAAGTCGCTATTGTCTGTCCCCCAGATCTTCCTGAAGGCGGTCATTATTTGCAAAGCACGGTCTGAGAAACTGTCGTGAGCATCCTCCTTCCTGCTGCGAATCGACGAAGCAGTAGTGCCTTCTTTGCTCGCCAAGTATTGTGAGTACATCGTCGCAAAAGTGACCACAGGGTCAAACTCGACCCCCGCAGCTGCGTGAAGCTATTGACAACCATCGAATCAGCATCGCGTAAAGATTGTTGAAATGATTTGCAGGCTTACCGAATCACTTTCCTGCATCTGACTCCCTAAAGTATAGAGCGCCAGATCATCGTCAGACGGCTTGAGCCATTCCGGCATAGGCCTACCGACACAAAGGCGGCCCATCTTGTGCAATGTGATCTGTGGATATTCTAACCTAGCGTCGGGCCTCTTTGTGGTATAACCGTCAAGCCAGCCACTGATGATCCCATATCTTTGAGAACCCGGGTACCACGTCCATCTCATGACGTGATAGTCGTCTGGAGTTCCTGGTCTCTCTAGTTCAGAGTCACTCATCTTCACTTCAAAAATTTCGTGTCTCAGCGCGTCCCTCAGATGGTCATCCTCGACTTTACCTCTCGTTGTGGAATAGGTGAGTCTGGGATAGGTAGGTGCCGACATCAGATAAGGTTGGAAGATGCTTCTGCCGTAGATCTAATGGTTGGAGTAGCACACAGAGAAACGATTGCTGTAGTGATGGTCGGTGTGATTTAGCCGTACATATGTATATATGTAGGGAGGGGGAAAGAGTGGCGTTCTCAAAGGCAGATTCTACTTAACAAAGGAAACTGCAGCCTCACCTACTCCTCCGGGTGGTCATCATGACCACTGAGCTCGAAGTCTGCCCCAGTAAGTACGGCTGCAGTCCCTGCAACGATTGAATGAGGCCATTTTTTCAAGCGAAACCGACAAGTTTAGACGGGCTACCGGGCCTGTCTGAAAGAAGAGCGAGTCGCAGAGTCCGTTTGAGTAACAACGAGAATCCGATACTCAAGCTGAACTTCCTTTGTAAGGCGTCTTCAGCGCTAGGAAATCTTATGGCTTGGCCATAATGTCTCCTTGAAATGATTTTTGTTTTCGAGTTGCGATTCTTGCGACAATTCTGGAGTCGAAACTCGGCCAAAAACCTTGCAAAGTTTCGAGCGCCTTTCCTGAGAGGAGCGCCTGGGTAAAGCGATGCTCACACGGAGATGGGTGTGCGAAGATGAGTGGGCGCACCGAGAAGGGTATGGACATTGTCCGTCGCCTTATGCATATATGAGTGGTATTTTATCGTATTGAGTTTACATTGCGCTGTAGAGACCGATGGCACCGTTCCCACGAGGATTCGTTTATTGTGCAACCTCAAGCCTTGCGCCGGAGCACTTGCTAGATCCGATCACTTCCCGGCTCCCCATCCCTCGGCGATGAGCTCATCGACGCTCCGCGCATGCACTTCCGGGAACTTCTTGTTCAGCGTCCTCTCCATATCGACCTCGAACACCCCTCTCTCGAACATCAACCCGAACGAACTAAACATTCCCTGTAGAGCTTCTTTAGGGAAATACCCATAAGCCTCTTTATGACAAGGCAACTCGGTGATCTTCCCCTGTTCGAGCTTCTCTACCGGATCATAGGACACGGAGAACTTTTCACCCTTGACGTGTTCGAGCTTCTTGACGAGTTCGTTGAGAGTGATCCGTTGTCCAACGATGTTGCTCTCTTTTTCCCACTTGTCCTCCGACCCTAAAAGAGCGACGGCAAATTTGGCTACGTCGGCCGTATGCGTAAAGACAGCATGAACGTCTCCGCTCCCTGGGATCGCCGCGACATTGTTCTGCGTGTCTATACCAGGAAAGAGGTTCCGGTCGAATTCGGTCGGAATACGAGGTCCGACGAAGTAATCGGCAAAGTAACCGTTGTGCACGGCGGTCCATTCGAGCGAGGTGGACTCGAGGGCTTCGAGGACCTTGATCCGGTCTCCGATGAAGGGCGACCATTTGGCGACCCTATCCTCCCGGGAATAAAACGAGCGCTAGATCAGCCTTTTGTCGATTCACCAACGCTGCCACATTAGACAGAGCCTGTAGTTTCAGATGCACTATATACTCACTCGGGCTGACATTTGCATCCCCAAATGGCAGGGACGAAACGCCTGGTCACTCGACTCTTCTCCGCCGCATCGCTCAAGTTGATCTCGGTCTCGGGCCCATCGTCATTCATGACGACAGAGAGGACCGTATCGATTTTGTTCTCCTCCAACAGGGTCACTAGGGACGATGGGTCGGTATAGTCCGTAGGGAGAATACGGGCGCGGAGGATTTTCTCTTTTTCGGGGTCGGCCTGTAGGAATGTATACGCACTCAGCAGAGGATACTATTAGATTTTGTGCTAAACGTCGGAGACTCACCTTGCGACCGAGTACGAAGACTTGGAACCTTCCGCTGTCGACTAGAGCTTTCACGATCGTCCGACCCAGGTTGCCTGTCCCTCCGGCAACGGCGACGATAGATGAGGCCATGTTGTAGCGATGATGATGGTGATGCCACTCGAAACGCTTCGAAGAAGGCAGGGATCAACGATCGCTAGTAGAGTGTCGATTGCAATGTCGAGCGATGTACAGTGGAGGAGAAAGAAAGAAAGAGGGGAAGCAGAAGTGTGCAAACAAACGAAGACCGTCTGCTTTATAGTCCGGTCCAAGCCCCCTCTTTCGACCGGCAGAAAACGAGCTCGAGTCGAGAAAAGTAGTAGACGAGCGCAGGGTAGCTAGGTGAGATCAGGAAGGCCAACTCCTCGTTCGTGTCCGCTCGTCTGCAGGGTTCGCTGATCGAAATCCCGTCCGACCTGCTCTCGCTCGTAAGCGGAAACTGATGACGAATACTCATACGGTCCACGGCGATGGTTTCATGTCCGCGGTACAACCTCTATGTGAAAGACCCAACCGCTCGCGTTCATTTATTTTGTGTCCGTCCTTTCGAGTGCGATACCTGAATTCGAAAATGAAACGAGGAAATTCGAACGAGATATCGACTGGCGACTGGACGTGCCGGGCGGGATACGAGGGAGGAAACATGCAGCCGCTGCTGTAGGATCTGGGATGAGAGCACAAGCGAAGGATAACAGATGGTTTGGGGAAGGGTGTGATCGTCCGGAAACCGGACCGGCCGAAAGCGATAGTCCGAGATAGAGTTGTGGAAGTGAGAGATAGCGATATCTGTCGCTTTGTTTGGATAGGGGAAGCCCGTCTGATCGCGTCTGATGATAATCGCCAGAGGCCAGAGGCCGAACTCTGATCTCTGATACGAGACGAACATTATTGCAGAGCCTCGACTGGAGATGTCTAAGACATCCAGGCTGCGCTACGGGATGGAGTATGGTATATCACGGTCAACGAGCATGACGACGAGCTAACGAGAACGCATCGGTACATCGAGATCCCGAGGTCAGAAACGCAGGGATCAGAGATCAAACGGTCGAGCTCGGCGTCATCATCATTTCGAAGGCTGTGACATGAGATTCGAAATCGGAAGCAAAAACGTGGCTGCAAGAGGGATTTCGCCCAGCCAATGAGGCCCGAGTCTGGGGGAGACGCGCAGAAAGCTGGGGAAGGGGGGGCAAGGGGCGCAGGGGCAGCAGAGCCGAGAAGTTGCGTAGCTCCCCTCTATCCCCCGCCTCCCTCCCTCCTCCCTGATCCCTGCCTGTGCTGCTATCTCCTCTCGCAGGCAGGACCAATTCCCATATCACCCATGCACCCACCTCCATAGCCCTCGACGTACACGTTATACAACAGCGAACCATCATCATATCCTCTCAAACAAACCTCCTCTTCCTCTGGAAATCCCCTTCCCTCTCCTCGTCTGTCTTCTCCCGTTCTTCTGCACCGGTCTCGTCATCTGTTCATCGTCTTGGTGAGTCCTCCTTCTCTTCGCTTCTGGGGTCAATGGCAAGGCGGGTGGATTGCAGGGTTTTCGGGTCGGACGAGCAACGAAGAGCGAATGAGGTCGAGGAATGACCCTCGAGACCGAAACACACTCGATCGAAGACGAGGTCTAGAAGCTAGAAGTAAAGGTGTCCCTTCCAAAAGGCAATCGAACACATGAGACCGAGGTGTCTCGAACCGAAACGAACCTCTACGTCGGTTTCGGCGGCGAGTCAGAAGAAGCGGTGGATCGTGATCGATTTTCGTGTTTCGTCCGAACCCCTTCCTTTCCAACCTGCCAATCTGCCAGCCATGTCTCGTGTTCAACGTTCATGTCGAAACTAGATCCATCTGACTGACCTTGAAACTTGCTCTTCCCTGCCTCTCGTTATCTTTCATCGATACCCTCCTTTACTTCGACCTTACCTCGACCTCGACCTGGTTTGACACAACAACCCTGAATCCCTATCCGACTCCGACGTCGTTCGCTTATCTCGCCCGACCTACGACCTTCTGCGCTCTCTGCATTCCTTTGTGACTTGACTCGACCGCTCCAAAATACCCTCGGTCTGGATCTGAAACGCATTCTCGTCAACCCCTTTGATTGGGCCTTATCTCGACTTTTGGTATCGATCACGACACAACCAATCGGCGGACATATCATCAACGACACTCGACATTGTCTCTCCTTTACCGCTACTCTCACATCCTTCTGCTCCTGATCCTCCTTGATCCACCGGGACCTTCTTCAACCTGAAACACCGCCTTGCCTGGACTGGACCGGACTACATTCCTCACGCCCCACGTCTAAACCCCGCCTTATCTCTCTCTCCGACCGGACTTGGGACTTCGAACGCCTTCTTGGTCTCCAACTAAAACGTATATATACAACTTGGCAACTAACAACCAATTACCACGAAACCCCCAACGCCAACGATCAATAGACAACCTCTTTGTCAATACACATTCACACTCTCTCAGAGTCTCTCTTCGTCTCAATAAATTCAACGAGAAACTTTATCCAAATCAAGGTCAGTCTCCCGAGCTTTGTTCCGGTTGGCAATTCGCGCCGCGAGCCATTGTAACTAACAAACTCGCTGTTCTTCTTGTTTGCAGATGGGCGTTCCTACCAAGCGTGTCGATTTGTGGCAACCGTACATGAACCTGCCCCAGGGTGGCAAGGTCATGGCCGAGTGTGAGCCTCTTCCCCCGCCGTCCCGCAACCTCGTCGACGTCCTACGTGCAGCTTGCTGACGAGAGAGGCCTTGTTGATACAGACATCTGGATTGATGGTACCGGTGGAATGCGATGCAAGACCATGACCCTCCCCGGCAAGGTCTCGGATGTCAAGGAATTGAAGGAGTGGAACTTCGATGGATCTTCCACCAAGCAGGCTCCCGGTCACGATTCCGATGTCTTTTTGGTGAGCCTTACTCCTGCCTCTTATGTGACGCGGTACATGTGTCAGTGTGTTAACCGTACCCCGTCCCGTCTGTAGAGGCCCTGTGCCATCTTCCCGGATCCTTTCCGTGGAGGAGACAACATCTTGGTCCTCTGTGCCTGTTACTTCCCCGACGGTACCCCCGCCACCAACAACCACAGGCACTTGTGTGAGAAGAACATGAACTTGGCCAAGCAGGTAAGTCATCTATCTGCATTTGACGCCGGTACAGTACCTTCAACCGAAGCTGATTGACTCGCGTCGACCCCGACAGCACGAGCCCTGGTTCGGTCTCGAGCAAGAATACACCTTGTTCGACTCTGACGGTCAACCGTACGGTTGGCCCAAGGGTGGGTTCCCCGCCCCCCAGGGTCCTTACTACTGCGGAGTCGGAACCGGCAAGGTCTTTGCCCGTGATTTCATCGAGGCTCACTACGTAAGCGAGAGCGGCCTGTCCCTCTACGCTGTTTCGTGATTTCGAAAGCGGAAACACTCACACTTCACACCCTCACGTTCATTCTTATGACGCTTCCTTATCTTCCACCTTCCTCCGTGATCTGTGCCTCGCTCCACGTCACGTCGCGTTGGAAATCCACAGCGCGCTTGTCTCTACGCTGGGATCAAGATTTCGGGTATCAATGCCGAGGTCATGCCCGCTCAGTGGGAGTTCCAGGTCGGACCCTGCGAGGGTATCGAGATGGGTGACCACCTCTGGATGGCTAGGTTCCTCTTGTTGAGGATCGGTGAGGAGTGGGGTATCACCGTGAGTTGTTCGCGTTCGTGTGTGGGGGTGATTTGCGACATCCAGCTGACCATGTCGTCGACCGTTCATTCTCGCAGCCCTCGTTCCACCCCAAGCCCTTGACCGAGGGAGAGTGGAACGGTGCCGGTTGCCACACCAACTACTCTACCAACGAGACCAGGGCCGAGGGCGGTATCAAGGCCATCCACGAGTACATCGAGAAGCTCTCCAAGAGGCACTTGCAGCACATCGAGGTGTATGGCGAGGACAACGAGAAGCGTCTTACCGGAAAGCACGAGACCGCCAGCGCTACGACATTTACCGCCGGTGTTTCGGGTGAGTAGAGCGGAGCGAGGTCTAGCAACTGAGCGCGGTGAGCTGACCGTCTACGTATGTTGTTGTGCATCGTTACAGATCGTGGCGCTTCGATCCGAATTCCTCGATCGGTTGATATCGAGGGCAAGGGATACCTCGAAGATCGTCGTCCCGCTTCCAACATCGACCCTTACAGGGTCTGCTCGGTCATGGTCGAGACTACCCTTATTCTTTAAGCGGTGGACTCCCTCTCTTGGGTCACCTGACTGGTTCGAACTGGCGGTCGCTCGCATTTGAGTCGATCCGTTCGATCACGGTCTCTTGACCCTTCCGACCTCGATGCATCATCGTCTTTCCTTTCATTTCTCTCTCTCTACATCCTTGTGAATCTATCCAACCTCTTGTTTCATTAGTATCCATATATCACACAAACAAATCGATCGAATGACATGCCTTGAACGTCGTCCTTGTTTTGGTGCTTGTGTGGCTGTAGCTGGTTGGGTGGGGGTGGGTGCATCGGCGATCGCCTGAAATCGAGAAATCCGCGTCGCGGTCAGCGATCTTTGGCACGATCGATGTTAGCTGCTATAGTTGCATGCATCCTGTACACTCGTACGTAGCAAGTCAAGTACTTGATAGCTAAGATATCGTTCGAGATCCACTTCATTGGCGGGTGCTGCGCGCGCCTTCGATCAGCTTGACAGCCTTCGAAAATGCAGGCCAGCAAAGAGGAGCAGCCGCAACTCGTCGAATCGGGCATCGCAATCCGGTGCGACACTTTCGGAGAGGAGACCTCTTCCGCCCGGTCCCTGGTTGTGAAACGCAAGACTGCCAATCCGTTTGCCAAAAGGACGCCAGTGGTCGATAGAGGGACGATACCGGTGGAGAATGATCACTCTTCGGCTACGTTTACGAGATCGTCCATCTTGCCCGTTCAAAGGAGGAGGGTGCCTTTGCAAACAGGAAATAGTCCTTGCAGGACCGTCTTACCGAACGGTCATGGAGTATTGGACGCACCATTCCAGGAAAAACTTGTCGAGGCCGGGCCGAGCTCTGAAAGACGGACAGACAAGAAATGGAGGTTGCTCTGGAGGGGTGCTCTTGATGTCGGTCAAGAAGGTTATCGACTAGATGGTAAGCTGGATGTTCAACGTCCAGTTGTAGAGCGGGGATCAACATAATGTTGACGAGAGATGTCCCGGAAAACAGGGATAGCGTTCGTTGCTCAGCTGTCTTTCTCGTCGACCAATCCTATTCCCAACCATCTCATCACTTCTACGCCGGAACGACCTGCTCTAGCCCGCATGATCACTCCGGAAAATACCTCGTTATCAAAGGTGGAAAAGGACAAAATCAGAGCTTCTCCCTTTCGGGCTCCCGTCGGCAAAGATACGGATCTCTGTCTCAGTCTCGAGAGTATGCGAGGCAGAAAAGGGCTGAGACTACGAGGCATAGAAGAGCTGGATGACGATGAGATCGAGGATGGGCAGGTTGATGACGGGGTGAAGGTGTGAGTGGTCCGTCCCCGTGCTATGCGGAGCGGCTGACTGATCAGAGCTTCTGATTAAACAGCTTCATTAACCCTCAATCGGTCGCGCTACAAGCCTTGGTCACAAACTTGCTCTATCCCTCCGATGGCCATGGATTCAATCCCAAGGGGCGTACAAGATCGGCACTCATAATCGGACTCGGCGATGACGATGCAAGTGGGTCCAGCGCTTGTAGATCTATGTCGGGACTCAACATGCTCATCGATACTCTTTAGATGTTTCTGCAACCAAGACTACATTCTTGGTATACGGGCAGACCAAGATTGACGACGATGGTCTCGAAAATGGTTCGAGAGTGATGGAGCTGTTCGCGGCTAGACGGAAAATTCGCCCTGTACTGGGAAAAGAGGTCGTACGACCCGGAGACCCTTTGCCGCGAGGTATGTCAAAGGTCGATCAGTTTCGGAATCGCATTCGACTCCCTTTCTGACCAATTCGTCCGATGCGGTCCTTAGAAGCGGTCATCCTGCCAAACCAGAGCCGTCGTGACGCCTTTTCGAGACGCTCGACATCCCTCTTTTCGCAACGCGGTTTCAGTCGTGAACCATCCCAACCCAACATCTACGCGCCTCCTACACTAGGCTTGCAAAACGGCGATAGTTCGAGGTCGGGTGATAAGGACAAGAACAAGGTCAAAAAGACCACTCCGGGTCGAAGGGGCGAGAAGAGGAAGAAATCCGTCATCGATGAAACCACCCAGGCGGATGCGCGGAGCAAGAAGATGGGTCGGGTGTTGATGCCTAGTTTGAGTTTGCCGGAGATGGTACCTCCAAGGACATCGCAACATGTTCCTGGTTCCGACTTGCCACGGATCATCGATGATGTCTTTAGGGCGGATTCGAGATCGGCTTCGGTTTCCTCGTTCGGTGGAGAGGCAGGCGTCGAAGTGTTGCAAAACCCTTTTGAGCAGAAGAATAAAAGCGTGAGTGAGGATTATGAGGACGTTTCCTCGTTTCCTCTTGCTGATGTTTGAAATGATCCTGTTCAACGTGTCCAGACCATCAAGAAGCGTCTATGCCAGATTTTGGATGTTCGAGGGATTCCGAGATCAGATGTGCGGTTCAACGACATCTTTAGCATGGCAAATAAGGGTACGGCATTTGCTCTGGTAAGTGCTCGTCTGCTCCTTCTTTAGACGGCATGCAGTTGGTTCAAGACAATCTTGCCTCATGACCTGACAGAGGGAAGATATGAGTACAGTTTATATCCCCCACGCAAAGGTCGACCGGATGATCACAGGACACCTCGATATGTATATTCGGGACGATGTTGGGATTGGCGAAGATATCGACATCCCGAGCAGCGGTCTTACAAGATGATTATCATGTGACCATGATCGAGGCTTGATGGCCGATGTGAGGAGATCATGCACGTCCGACCCGAGAACAAGGTCCGGGTCCACTGTTTCGCTTCCGCGCATCGTTGAACGTCATGTCATGTTGTGCACCTTCGGCCTCTACCGACGTGATTGATCGTGCATGTACTAAACTACTGTACTACTGTATACGTGACCGACCATCTCAGTCAGCTTGTTGTAGGATAAATACACTTTCTGGAACATTGATATACAGGAGCAAGGTAGCCTTGTCAATCGATCATCGATATAGCCCGGCTGCTTGGACGCTCATATCGGGATGGACCATCCGCTTGCGTCCTCCGCAGCTGGCTCCGGGGACTCTGCAAGGGATGGCGTCGAACACGATGGAGAGCGGATTGCGACGCCTACGGATGGCGATGTGATGGGCTCTGGACCATGGGCACAACGTCATATGGCCGATCGACCCCCCTACGGCTTTCAGGCGAGTTCCGAGGTGGCGCCAGAACAAGACTATCAGACGCGATTGAGCCGTTTGCTAGATGACGATGATGATATCGGTCAGGAGCGTGAAGCAGGTCACGAATGGGCGAACTATGACCGCGAGTTGTCGGATAGACCTGTGCCTCTCAATGTTGAGGATGTTGGGTACTTTGATGAGTCGGGAATACATGATCCGTCCTCGTGGGCTCGAGACGATTATCATAGCATCCCCGTCACACCGGTTAGTATCAGTTGGCCGACCTCGAGCCAAACTGTATGACCCATTGACGACCTGTTCATTCTGTTTAGCGGCAAGAATCTTTACCTCGAGCTCCTGCCACCCTAGGGAGACCAGCCGAGACTTGGAATAGAAAGGACCTTGACGTGGAATCCCCCGCACGGTCGGCATATCGTCGGCCTTCCTATCTACGTGAGCCGTACTCGGAACAGCTCCCTCGCATCCGTACTGACATCGCAACGTGAGCCAGACCCTAGCATCTCTCGACTGCGGGCTCACGATAGAAAGGTCTCGACATCCACCACGGGTACCAACGCGAATCCGTTTGGCCTATCGCCGTCCAAGCTCGGTCACGATCGGGCACCATCTACAGCGAGTCGCCGTTCAGCTATCAGCAGGAAATCGTCATTGATGGGTCCGCTCGTTTCGAATGACAATTTCGAAAGAGCTGTCGATACGGAAGGAGATAGCGAGAGGCCGCCATCGATGTACGAGGGCAATAGCGTCACTAGCGGTATACCGATACAGGCGGAAGAGTATCGCAATCGGACAGCTTTCACCTTCCAGACCATGAGGACCGCTACCGATGTTCTGTGGCCTTCTACAAAAGATGGGCATAAGATGCCACCCGTCACTCAACCGGGCATCTTCGAGGCTTCTGGCACACCGCCCAAAAAGAAACGGTTCAGCCTCGCTAGCGCTGTAAGCGGTAGGAATGTGGAAGAACCAGTCGTCCCGCAAGTTGGGGAGCAAGACAAGGGCAAACCTGTCGTTCTCGATGTCAAGGGCGTGATTGCCGTCGGCACAGATACAGGCTGGGTCATCGTCTTCGACTTCGAACAGCAAGTAAAGTGCATTTGCGGGATGGCATCCATTGCACAAGAATCCGGGCCCGTCACTGCCCTGACGGTGAGCCCAGATGGCACGTTCGTGGCAGTAGGACACTTGAAAGGTAATGTCTACCTATACGATCTCGCAAATCCTGGTCGACCAGCGAGATCGGCGTTAGCCCTGCCTTTAGCTGCTCTCATGTCTGGCCGTAAGGAGGGACATCTTATTGGCACAAAGATTGTCGATATCGATTTCGTAGGCAAGCGACACACTGCGATCGTCACCTCGGATGAGACCGGACGTGCTTTCTGGTGGAGTTTGGGCAAAGTGATGGGAGTTGAGAGCAACGATGTGGTTCGCCTTCTAGGAGGCTTGCCAGATGCACCGGCCGAGAAGGTGTCGGCTTCCGGTAGCGGTGCATCCACACCGGACATTAACCCGAACGGCACATTTGGCGGGACCGCGAAGCCCAGAAGTAAAGGATCGACGATCTATGCAGGAAAGGTCTTACCCGTCGGCAAGGTTGAGCATCAGTCGGATACGTATCACTTGACTGCTTTTCTGACACCATCAAAGCTGGTCATCGTGGGTCTCAAACCGACCCCTCGAATATGGTTCAAGCGGTCAAGAGGTCTCGAGGGAGGGGAAAGGGCGAGACATGTCGGCTGCACTGCATGGCTTCCTGCAGGCTTCAGTTCACAGCGTGAAGAGGCAGCTTACAGTGACGGATCTGAGAACGTCGCAGAATCGCCGGATTCCGACCCTATCATTGCTTTCTCTTGGGGCAACAGCCTCCGTCTAGTGCGGGTGCGAAGTACCACGAACTCCGATCGCGAAGCGCGCACTCTGGCTTTTGACGACGTGCTCCACTGGAGAGAAGATCAGCCCATCCTCGCTCTGGATTGGCTGAATCCTGAGGTGAGTGTCTGTCGATACTAAGCCATCGAGTAATAATGACGAAACACGCTGCTATATCACAGCATTTGTTGATCGCGACCTCGATTCATCTCTCTCTGCTGGACGTCCGGAATGGACAGCGAGTCGAGCACAGCCAGTATTCGATGTTGAGTCGTCTCAGCTGGAACCCGGACTCACGTCGCGAGCGTGGCGTTTCTGGTCGTTTGCGTACACACAGAGGCAAAATCTTTATGCTTGTCAGTCGAGCTTTTCGAACTACCTGCTATCTGCGCTCGGTCTGCTCAAATCTTGACTTACGTAGGCTGAGACAGATCTCCGAGCTGGATCTGTCTTGCTGTGGGCGGATCGTATACTCGCTCTTTGCCATGCTGGTGATTTCCTGTCAGCAATACATCTTGCGGTGGCTTATTACAGTGGAACCGCCGGCGGGAATACCATCGGATTATCAGCTGATATATCAGCCAGGAAATCGGTCTTGAAAGCGAGAGCTCTCTCTCTTATGCGATCTTCGCTGGCGTACGCTTTCTCTCAGGACCGGCTCACCGACGGAACGTATGACAGTCCAGATGGGCGAGGTGTGGATCTCACGCCTTTATTCGAGGACCTCGCAGATACTTGCTTGAACAGCTGCTTACTGCTCGACGAGACTTCCTTCGCCTACGAAGAGGTCTACGAGGCGTATCTGCAGGCTGGTATACAAGGTATCTATCTGGCGAAGCTCGAGAAGACGTTGCTCGAAACACGTCTGCGCGACATCCCGCCTAATCTCATACAAGGCCTGATTCAGAGGCACAACGATGCGGGCGAATACAAAAAGGCTGAAGATGTCATATGGCACGTGGAACCCATGTCGCTGGACATCAATCAGGCGATAACTCTATGCGAAAGGAACAATTTGTGGGACGCGTATGCCTACGTCTTCAACCAATGCATGATGGACTACCTTACGCCTATCGCGAAATTTATCAGCCTCATGAGGCCGTCGAATGCACAGAGGGACCTCGTCAGCGCAGAGCACCTGCCTCAAGCGTATACATTATTTCGATATCTGGAGACTACATTGATCGGCTGTGAATTTCCCGATGGACGGCGATTACCGGAAGGTCAGGCAAACCGAGCCCGTGAAGCGATCTATACTTGCTTGCTGTCGCGAGGGAATATATTCCTGAAACAAAGCCAAGTCATGGTCGATTTGGAAGCTGGGGACTTCCCAGTCTTGCGTACAATACTGCACTATGATACCGAAGCGCTCCTCCACGTCCTTGACATCGGATTCGAAGATGGCTACCTGAATGATTCCGATGCCTTCACAACCCCAAGCCGGCAAGAAATCGTCGATGCTCTAATCAAGGTCATGACACCGGTTGAATATCCAGTCGGGGATATCACTTTCATGCACATCTTCTTGGCACGCAATTTGCCTAAGTATCCACAGTTCATCCGGCTTCCTTCTGACATCACCCGACAAATCCTTATCAGCCTGGCGCGCGATCCGGACATTGCTACCCGCGAAGACCGTCAATTGGCTGCAGAGCATCTTCTTTCTGTATATCTGCCGCCTCAGGTCGACGAACGGAGGATTGAATTCCAGCATGCCCAATTCTATCGCATCCTCAGGGCAGACTATGCTAAAACCAGAGAATGGCACGAGGTGATCCGATGCATAGTTGAAGATCCAGATCTCGAGAAGGAGGAAGTTTTCGAGGCTCTGCGAGAAGCTCTGACGAGGTCGAAATCCACATCTGTGGCAATCGGATTACCAGGTCGTCTGCCGCAAATGCTAGCGATCAGTGTGCCCTTGACGGCGCGTCTCCTAGACGACTTCGCGCCGACACTACATCGCGAGGCGTCGGCCTCTCTCCAGTCATCACCGGTCAAGCAATGTGCTTACCTTGGAGCATTACTTCAGCCCGAGATGCTTGATATGGATGAGGAAGGGTCACAACTACGACCCCGTGCCTCTGTCTCGACCCGTCTTGCTCAGTCGGACATCCAAGATTATGTACGTTTGCTTTGCCAGTTGGAGCCTCGACAGCTCTTACCCTGGATGCAGACCTATCGATCCCTGCTCGATATGAAGATGACAACCGCGACTTGCGAAGACCAGGAGGCAAAATCGGCGGTTGTGTGGGCGATGGATACCGCTGGCGATGCAGCTGGAGCGATCCGCAAGCTCAACGAGTACCTCACTGAGGAGGCGGCTCCTTTCTGCGCAGACCAAGAAGACGTTGCATTGCTTGGTACGGATCACCGCTTGAAGAGCATACGTGAGCTCGTGAGCGCCGGCATCCAGGTGTGCACACGCGCGGAGAGAGTCAACCAGGAAAGATCATCAACAGAAACGCTATGGTTTGACCTTTTGGCTAGACTCGTTCGTGTCGCTCAATCCGCCTTGCGGTCCTCGGGAGAGGAGTCAAGTGCGGTAAGACCGGAGATGATCGAACGGGAACATCAGGGACTGCTATTAGTTGGAACATTACGGCAATGCATCCAAGACACCCTAGCCGCCCTGATCTCCAGTTCGACGTCTTCGACGATCTCGTTCCCCCGACTGTTTAGGCGCTTGGTTCAAGCCTCAGGAACCGAAGACGATGCGGAGTCGGCCTCTGTCTACTCAGAATTCCGCCTCATCTTGGTCAGCATGCTGAGCACTTATCACGGCGAGGAAGACATGCTCGTTCTGGCTACTAAACTGGTTCAGGGAGAGGTCTTCGGCTGGATGAGAGAGTTGACCGCCAGTCGCACAGCAGGATGGCGTGTTGATAGCACAAACTGCACCCTCTGCAGTGTGCGATTCCGCTTGACGGAGCGCGACGATGAGAAAGCAGAAGACGAGGCAGCCTCGATTTGCATTCCACGGACGGGATTGCCTTATCATTGGGCATGTGCCAGGTAACCGATATGTCCGCCAGCCAGTCCGACCGCCAACGAGGCTGACAGGATGTCGTGAAGAGAGAGGAATATATGATCGAGGGGAGAAGAGCTCAGGACTGGTGGCGAAAGAGAAACCAATCTTCCTGATAAATGACACCGCGCGACGCCTTCTAAGTGCGTTCATACCATGATCCCGTGGTCCGAATTGGCGTTCTCTACTTGTTGAGATCCTTAGACGCAGAACTCAATCTCTATCATCGACGGTATATTCGCATGCTCGGGCAGAAAATTTCCGGCTCGCAATGTGATCACAGAGTATATAGACCGCGTTATCAGTTCGCGAATGATAGGAAACGATTAGCCGAGGCTACGAGTGGGGAAGCCTCCCGATCCTTGAGTCTTCTACTGCTTCAGTCGTAGTATCATCATCAGCCGGCCTATGTAGTTCCGAGGAAAACATGCCATGAAAGAACTCACGACTTCAGTTGACTCCATCAGGGAGTTGCGGAATCGATTGTTTCACACGTTCGCACAGGTCGTAGAAACACTGATTTTCAATCGGATGCATGTGAGATGGAAGCATTTGTTGCTGTCTCAAGTTGAAGCGAGCTTGGTCGATTAGGACAACGAGATCCTTGATCATGACCGTCCACTCCCTCGACACGATGCCCCTGCAAAGCTGATAGAGAACTGACACTAATCAGTATCTTCCGCTGCAAAGAGTGCCTTAAAAAGATACGCACTGGCAACAGTTGTTTCGCCCATGCGGCCTGCTTGTACGCTAACTGATCTAGCCGAGTATGGGATTGGCCATTGTTTGGGATATGAACAGCCCAAATCTGTGTTGACGAGAGTATGCCATTAAGTGCTACTCCGAGGGAGGGGAACTTGTCAACATCACATCACACTCACGTCATAAGAAACGAGATAGAGTAACGACTCCACGTCGTCTAGATATCGATGCTTTAACTGCAAAGCTTGTGTTTCCCAATCCGCCAAATCTGATGCCCAAGCAGACTGTTCACGAGCCTCGACGTCATCATTATCAGTAGTCCCAGCCCTTGATCGTTCGGCTATAGCTTCCTCGCAATCACGCCGGATTTTTTCGGCTTTCATGGACGAAATGGATTGGAACAATGGGTTGGCAGACCTTCCGTCATCGGCGCAGAGGGATAAAGCGAGTGCCGTGTTCCTCATCCAATCGAATGTTAAACGAGCCTGTTCTAAGATCCTTGCGTTTCCGAAGTCGACAAGAAAGCCAACGACATCGGGAACGGAGCGTCCATCCGATACCGTCGCCAACTGTTTCCACATGAGATTGCCAGGGTTGTTGTCGCGGTAATGGATCCCTTTGCTCGCCGAGAACCAGTCCGACTGGATGCCGCCCAGCAGTATCTGCGCGTACTGGCGCAGCCCAATTGAAGAATCTTTGGCCGCTGCGGGCAAGCGCTGTCCGAGCGGACAAGCGACGGCCAGCACTGAAAAGTGCAATCTCGTCTTCTCTGCGTGGTCCGGGTCTGGTGATAGGCTATGGAGAGTGTTCTCGTGCGTGATCCAGTCGGCAAAGCGGTCCTCGTCGACCAAACCCAGCGCACGGGGCAAATGTCGGAGAACATTGCTGTCGATATGATCCTCAACATGCAGACCGCCCAAATCTTCTCGCCCCGGGCGCTCATCACCGTGAAGACGTCGAAGGACGCGTTCTTCGTGGCGCTTGAGTTCCTTATACTGCCATGTAGCTTTCAGAACGACCCGATCCCCTTCCCTGACTTGGGCCGGGTGCGAGACAGGAAGGGGACCTCCCCGGCGATTGCGAGAGGCGGCAGGACGATCCAACTCCTCATCCGTGTCAGACGACAGATCCGCTTCTGTCGCTTTGCGCTTGCCTTTCTTATCCCTCGTAAGCGTACCTTCACCTTCGCGTTCAGGCACTCTGCTGGAGGATTCGCCATCCCTGTTCGGCTGAGCATCCACCTGCTTCGAGCTGTTTGGCTTGCACACCTCCTGACGATGAGCACTGTCCTCGTCTATAGACCCCTCCAATCCAGATATCGGCGTGGTCGCCCAGACGATGGTACGCGAACCAAACAGCCATGGTCGAACTTCCAACATTTTGAAAGAGGGGCTGATTCGTAGCTGCGAGGTCTGAAATTCTTGGTAACTCGATCCGGGAATTTGAGCTCGGATGGTCAAAGGAGATGTAGGCGTCCAGGCCTGGAAATGAGGGCTGTGAGGCTGAGTGATGAAGGCAATGATCTCTACGATCTGACGGGCATGTTTGGGGTTGTCGAGACGGTAAAGCCGGGACGAAGAGAAGCTCGCCGCGTCCGCTGTCCAGAGACGAAGGTAGATCCCGGAGATCGTCAGTCCGAATACACGGTTAATGGCAGGATGATTGCGAACGGTCAAGTCCTAAAGAGTGATTTCCCCTAGACCCGATTAGTCAATCCGGTGAAATCAAGCGGGAACCACCCAATCGCACGCACCATGTACTTGAGCAAACGCGGCACTTGGTTGTCCTGCTCTCTTAACGATCCAGATCTCATATCCATCGCATCTACGGTACGGACCTCGATTGGCGTACTGACCGGCTTCCAACTCAGAGCATCTCCAGCTTGTGCTCGGAAGACTTGCAAGGAAGTCATCACCGCTGTTGGCAGTGTAGTGACAAGGTCCGGGCAACAATCATTTCCGTCCCGAGACCAATCTCCTCCATGGCCATCTTCAAACTGTAGATCGGGGTTCCGCTTCAGTTTACGGTGGCCGGTGTAATGGAATTGTGATCCACCGTGCGAACCCCAAAGGATATCGGTAAGACGCCGGAAATTAGGCTCCAACCTCGAATAAGTGTGTTGGTGTTCCCCTAACTTCTTCCTGTTGGATGTAGTCCCGAGCGATGTATCAAGAGTCCACAGCAGAGCCTGTAGCTGCGCCACGGCCTTTTCGATGCGAGCTTCAGCTTGAGGCGTATGATCTGCCTGCAGAGTGAGGAAGCGAGGATCGAATTTGGCAGGACAGATCTCCCGGTACCTGGCTCCGATCTCGTCTGCCGTAAGAGAGTTTGCACGATAATTGAGCATGTGATTCGCTTTGGTAGGTGTCGTTCTGATAGCCCTCGGCTGTAAAGGTGGCATCATCGGTTCACCGGTCGGCATCGTCAAAACCTCGCCGGTCTGAGGCTCTGCCATGACAGACAATTGTTCGGACGATTGTTGGGGCTGAGACGCAAGAGCGATTGTGGGCCATCTCTGCTTGAGAAGAGGATAAGCGTCTGTGACCACGCTCATTTCCCTGATATCGTCCGATTTCTCATTTGCGTGCGGTACCTGAAATTCGAACGTCCATCGATAGACAGGGTCATCCTCGGTCGTCTGTCCGCTCGCGTGCGCGGCTTGATCTTCCGATCCTTCACTGCCATCCGATCTCAGTACCTTGCTACCTCCCGATTCCTCATTTCTACTCGGACCCGGTGCAGTTTCCTGTCCAGGTAAAATACCTATTTCCGCACCGGATCTCATCCCAACGGGGCCTGGGGCTATCGACGACAGTGTTGTTGATGCTGTGTAGCGTAGTTCCGTTCTTCTCGTTTCGAAGACCAAAGATATATCGTACGCTCTATACATACTTGCCATTCGAGATCAGCCCGGCTGCTTGAAAGATATGGAGACATTTCCCCTCACCTCGGAGGCTTGTCTTGATCTCGGGATGTGTCCACTAGAGGAGACAGGGAAGTGAAGGGTAGATCGGAAATCAGATATATTGCATATGCTGCTTGAATTGCAAGTGTTGTATGTGTAGGCTGTGTGGTTGATATGTAAATGTGTGTAGATGATCGATGATGAATATCATGGATTACATTGTTATTTATTATCCGGTATATAAATATAAATATAATCTGATCTGATCTGATCTGATCTGATCATTTCGATCATTCTCCTGAAGACCGAGGTTGCCAACAGCTGCCGTTGTTGTTTTTTGATAACAGAATGCTAGCTGCTAGCTGCTAGCGATGATGTTAGCGATGTTTTTTGTTGCCGGTGAATATACCATGACGTGTCTTAGGAGATTCTCGTCATGAAAGGAACACACTTACGTCACTTTCGACCGACCTTGTCAATTCACGTGACTTGCCGGCTTATCAACCCGATGTCATGTCTCGCATCAAAAGGGCAACATCGGGTTGGTCCGTTTCGAAATAGTAAAGTTGTATTATACTTGCACTTGTATATTGTATCTACATACAAGAACACACGATCGATTCAACATCACATCCTACAGTAGCATCTGTTCCGCGACCTGAACTTCTACTAACGAACAGCGCTCATAAACACCGCCCGCCATGTCCACGACTTTCAACCTTCCCGGACCCGACCTCGCCACAGACGTCGGCATGACCGACACTCAGACTCCCAACGCTAGCGACCTCCCTACCATCGTCATCGGCTGCATGGATCGGCTGGACGAGTATCAGAACCTGTTGACCAAGTTGTGGCAGGTCGAAGGCAAGGACAAGGTCAGGGGGGAGATGGTCGATCGGGTCGTCCAGGGCGGTGAGTCGCAATTCAGATTCCGGCAGGAGCTCGTTGTCGCCGAAACACGGTATTGATGTGAACTTTGCACGTAACGAATGGAACTCGCAGCTACTCAACTGCCTTCCCAGCTACACCAGATGCACATCCTCATCCCCGAATCCCAGAGCCTTCCTCTACTTCCCTACGTACCTTCATCAACGACGGTACATTTCCACCCGAACGCCTCGAGTGCGGGTTCATCGTCATCTTCTCCGTCGTTTGCTACTTCACTCGTGGACCAAGGATGGACACCGATCGCATCTGCATCCCTCTCTGCGGGTAACCCGGACGGCCATATCATCTCCTTTACCTCTCCCATTCAATCTCAACCCCCTACCACATCTTCAAGCACAAACACGGACGACACCTCCAATTCCGCTACTACGAACCCCGGCGGCACAGTCAAACTCCTCCGCAAGAAACGACCTACGACCAAAGCTCAGAAATCGTCCATCTGGGCCGCCTACTCCCCGATGCTAGAGGAGCCCGAGAAGCTGTTGACGGCCGAGGACAAGAAGCGGCCCGAGTGCGTGTTTCCCGATCCGGTGGACGGGGCGAAGAAGAGGAGGAAGAGGGCGTGAGTCTCGTTGTTTCTATATGGACCGCGATGATGGAACAGCAACAGTCGGCTGACACAGATACTTTCTATTCGTACGGTCGGACGTTCACAGCTGCAAAGACTGTACCTGCGGCCTCAAAGAACTCGAAGACTCTGAATATGACGCTCCGACTCCCGCATTCTACATCGAGGGGGACGACGACATCCCCCTGTCCATCAAGAACGCTACTGCCGGCGTCGAAAAGATCTGGCCCAAGGGGGAGAAACTGCAGACGGCGGTCAAGACGTCGAGCTGTGGGAGCTGTTACGCTGGGGACGCGTTCAGGTGTGGGAGTTGTCCGTACCTCGGGTTGCCGGCCTTTGAGCCGGGGCAGGAGGTGAAGATTCCATTGGAGATGAGCGATATTTAGATAGGAGGCTAGGGTAGAGCGGAAGAGGACAAGGACGCGTTTAAATGCGATTTGCATGATTGTATGTTGTAACGAATGAGTCGCGACGTGCATCTTGATATATGGATATAGAGCTCGAGACGACCGGGAACGACGACGGTCAGCGATCTTTACCGGTACCGATGATACCGGTACAGTCCAAGATTGGGCAAACTTTGTGTCGTCCTGGCGATACCAGTTGTCCCATCATGCGCTCGCACTTGCAGACCGAGAATGGCGTCGTAGCATCACTAGTTTTTTTTCCGCTACGTACGATGATACCGGAATTCGATATGGTCTTCTAGGGTAGTTTGGACTGAAACTCAAGTTCCTTCAACTTGGTCACAGTAGCGAGATCGGATTGCCCCGGTCGGGTAATCTGCCGCTTTGGACCCGTTCAGCATCTTGGCTGCTCGGTCAGGACTATTCGGCATGGGACATGCGGCATGATGCATGCTGGGATACATCGATTGAAATGTCGTATGGTATCGTGCTTCATTCAAATGATAATGTTTCTTGAATGATAATGCTTCTCTAACAAACGCGATTATCTACCTTTATATGATTTGTGCGATACCATACTTCACCAAGCTGTCCGCCTGTCTACAGGCCGGGCTTATAAGGCAAGCATGGACATACACCGGACGTCTTACGAGACTCTACAGACGTCATCCTCCAATCTTTGAGCGTTTTCTTCCTGCTTCTGAATCTCGTACGCTCGAGCGAAAACTGTGTATTGATCCTGTCTACTCAATGGGCAATTTGTCTCATTCGACTGCTTGATGATCAAGTCTCGACACAAGTTGACTCGATCGTTGTGGCTCCACAAGAGCGATCTGATTTCTGGCCAGACTAGATCCGGCAGCCTAGGTTGAGGCCACTCCCTACGGATCTTCATGACGTCGATGAACAGGCCTCGGATCGGGATCGATTTGAGGAGGCAGGAAGGCGACTGTCGGCGGAATTCGATTTTCCACTCAAAGCCTGTTCCGGTCACGTAGTATAACGTGGCCTCGACTCGAAAGTCGAGATCATCACCAATGTTTGTTGAATCCGTGAGGATCTGAACCCAATCCACGGATCCAGCATCGATGCATGATTTGGCTTCTGAGCTAGCAGTGGTCTCAGGTAGGTTTGACGTGGAAGGTATGTTGCTTGGGCCAGAGGTCATTCCATCATCAACGCTAGAGGCATCGTTGAAGATCATCTTGAATGTCTCTTATCGCGGCGTTATGTCTCGTCTTGCTTACCCGATGGACAGTTGCGTACGAGGCTGTCAAATCCTCATTGACCGCAGGGAACAGGTATTAGTACCCACCCAAGCATTGGACAAGGGTGATCCTTCCTTTGTCGCCCAACGTCCGTTGCATGATCAGGCTATCGGAGATCTCGCGTGCTTCGCTTTTATTTGGGTTCCAGTTCATGCGGAGCGCTTCCGGGTCTGCGGGTTTCTCTGCTGATCGAAGCTCATTCTATAGTCTAACCTACCGTTCGGATTTACATACAAGACTAAGACTAAAATAGCTGACAATAGAGCGCATCATTCGCTCCGTACCCTTAATGATCCGACGATTCGAGAAACCAGCGATATCATTCATTATTTTAGCAAATTCGGAGATCAGTAGTAGTATTTGCTCCCGTGGAAGTTGTTTCAGCGCGCTACCGCAGATACTACAGTACTTAGGCATCAATGCTGTAGGCAAATCCATGGTGCGTCTGCTCGATTGATTCTTGCGAAACTGGCTTCTGATTGGTCCGTTCCCCGCACAATAGTTAACGACCATTGTTACTTTATTACAAGTTGATACAGGGGTCGAGCGGACAACCCACAGCTGCGACAAGCGATCTATTTCGACTAGAGACCATTTCGCGATCTTCGGCAAGCTTGGCTCGATACGGACCGAGATCTTCACCACAGACTGACTACAAGTTGGGTGCTCTACAGTGCTGCGATCCGAATTCGCAGGAATCGATGGTGTCGCTTGAATCGCTTGAGCGCGATTGCAACCCGTCGATGGACGAATGAGCATTCGAAAGGGCTGCGGGATGTTGAGTTCGCTATCTAGGACGAATAATGGCATTTTCCAATGCATGTCAAAAGCGAGATCTAGATGCAGCGATAGTGGGGAGTTTCAAGCAGACGCTTTTCGTCCAGTGGTTGAAATAGGAAAAGGAGGAGGAGAAGCAACAGGAAAAGGAAGATTACTCTTGTTACGACTTTATTGACTTACAACAACATGTTCAGTAGAAAGAGTCAACCACTCCGGATATCTGGCTATGTCGACAAGATCTACAGGGCAATGAACACTTGATTACCGTTGCTACGAAAACAGTTTCGAAGTCTCGAATGTTGTTGTGCTCATTGGATTGAAAATGGGCTTGAAACGGGGATCAGCAGCGGGGGTTCGTCTGGCCGGCGACTTGTGCCCATCACTCATTGAGTCCTGTTCGAAGATCCATTGAATGAATCACATAAGGGTGTAAGGTTGTCCACTGGAAGCAACTGATCTGTCTCTCCTCCTTATGCCTGCAAACTGGAAGATTGGAGACCCGCGCCGTAGGCCTTTTCTGGAGACCTCGATCAAAAGCAGACGATTTTGCGTTGGGTGCCAAGAATTCAAAGACATGCAGGCCCCATGGCCATAGTCTCAAATGGATTGGTAAAAGCTATTCATTGACAATTTCATAACGCCAAAATGATTGCGATCACGAAACGGTACATTCCGACCCTTGAACTGCTGTGCTCTCTAGCCGTGCTGCGAACTCTTCTCGGACTTCCTCGACCTTCTTTAGCTTATGAAACATCCTATCAAACCTTGCGTATTCCTCCTCTGCGCTTGGAGAAGATTTGGCCTTATTCATCATGGTCATGAGAATGTTCCTGTCTAGCCCCGAGTTTTGCACGTTCTCCTCCCAAAGGCGCTCTCTCAGTGGGGCCCAAACTTGTTCCGTCAGTTCAACAGATTTCCATTCCTGCCGTATCTTGAAGAAGTCGACGAATAGACCGGGTAGATATATAGTCTTTTCACGGCGTTCAGCTGTAAATTCGTCATACCGCTGTAGCTTCACTGTCCATTGACAGCCCCGCCCCTTGATATAGTCCAAGTCCATTTCTAGTCCATAATCATCGTCAGCGCCAATCCAAGTAGCGAATCCGTATAGCTCTATGACGTCTGGGTTAGGATCTTGGTTCTCAATGTTGGACGAGTGAGCCGTGATTCCATCAGAAGCGGCCGTTGCATCAGGACCGCTGGAGAGAACGGTCGAGCCATCAGTTGGGCCCTGACTAACGAGACTGGGGGGATTGGTATTGTGAGAGCTCATTCTCGTTCGCCTGGAGTGGTCTGGGAGTGTTGCCCTTTTGAGTGGCAGATGCAAGGGGAAGTACGACGTCTCAGTCGATCTTGTAGGTGAATCTACGGTTCCCTGCCATTGTCATATATACATTACTTCCCAAGCAAGCGAAACCAACCTTTGTTCTCTAGCCGGAACGTCAGGGGGACCATCCAACGGCGAATCACCTGCTTCCCAGGCCTCCCGTGTCCCACCTGCCTAGACGTATTGCAATCGAAATGTACATGGCGCGCCAGTCGCCAGTCGACGCCACAATCCTTAACTCGGCCGAGCGGAAACGACAGAGTGAAACGCGTATCGCGACCTAATCAAGCCCGAAAATCGTCTGATCGCGTCTGATAGTCGTAAAGAACAGCTAATGGTACAAAGAAAAGAAAGAAGCACGACTGGCCTCTTCCCCGAGAAGTAAGACCTTTGTACATCATCGGCCAATCGCGCCAGCTCCCTTTTTCCTTCTAGAACGAAATAATATAGCGTATCGCGTAACGATGCAAGAGCGGTAGGGAAACTGTTGTGCCCTTTTTGGGGTGTCGAGAAGGAGTCGAAGAGATGAGGGAGATTATCGAGATAGGCGTGAAAGAACGGACGAGCAAGCAAAGAGTTTACTCGAAGGTCATCTTCTTGCCGGCGAAGGGGACGCTACCGCCGGTTCGGGGACCTCCTCGAGGAGCACCTCGACCACGGCCACCTCCCCGACCGCCTCGGTCGCCTCCTCGTCCACCACCGAAGCCGCCTCGGCCACCTCGGTCACCGCCGAATCCACCTGCATGATGGAAACACGGTATATCAGCAACTGGAATGATAGAGGAAAAGACATCTAACGCTCCAACTCACCTCGACCACCTCCTCGGCCACCGCCAAAGCCACCTCGTCCACCACCACCGGCGTTGTTGTTGTCTCGGGCAGGAGCGTAGTCCAATCGGATGCTCCTTCCAGCAACGTCCTGACCGGCGAGCGCCTCGAGAGCAGCCTTGGCCTGGTCAACGTCCTCAAACTCGACATATCCGAATCCCTTGGGGGCACCAGTCTCCCTGTCGGTGATCAGACGGACCGACTGAACCGAACCGTACTCGCCGAAAGTCTCGTAGATGGTGTTCTCGTCGGCCTGGAAGGACAAGTTTCCGACGAAAAGGGTCTTTGAAGGGTCGGAAGGCTTGTCGTTGAACTGCTTGGCACGCTCCTGCCTGGCACCCTCGGTAGGGGCCGGTCGGGCGGAGGCGAAGTTGACGTTGATCTCTCGTCCGTCGATCTCCTTTCCGTTCATGGCCTCGACGGCCTTGGTGGCGTCCTCGACGTTGGCAAACTCGACGTAACCGAATCCTCGCGACTTTTGGGTGGTTCGGTCGAACATGACTCGGGCCGACGAGATCTCACCGAACTGGTCGAACTCGGACTTGAGCCAATCGTTGTCAACGTTCCAAGAGAGCTTGCCAACGAAGACGTTGGCGGAAGCCTCCTGCTCGCCGTCGGCACCTCGGGCGATAGCACCAGTCTCAGTCTTGGTCTTCTTGGGGGCAACCTCCTCGTCGTCTTCAGCCTTTCGCTTTCCTGCAGGACAGGAAGAGATAGAATCAGCTACCGCATGTCGTATTGTAAATTGACCAAATACACGCAAAGACTCACCGTTGGTGACGGCAACAGCGGCCTCCATCTTCTCGGCCTCAGCCTCCTCCTCATCATCGTCATCACTAGACTCCTCCTCGGAGGACGAATCTTCGTCAGACTCGTCGTCAGACTGATAATACAACCAACGATCGCAGAGCCCGATCAGTCTTGCTGGACATGGTTCCCTTATAATGTAGAAAAGCAACACTCACGTCGGCCTCCTTGGTGGCAGCAGCCTTGACCTGCTCGGTCTTGCTCTCCTCCTCAGAAGAAGACTCCTCCTCGTCGGAAGATTCCTCGTCAGAAGACTCCTCCTATACAACAGAAGTCGGTTTCGGGTCAGACAGGCGGACTCATATAACCTTCTGGATGCAAACTGCTCTCACCTCGGCGGCAGCCTTGGCAGCGGGCTTAGCGGCGGCGGCGGGCTTGACCTCCTCCTCTTCCTCCTCGGAAGACTCCTCCTCCTCGCTGGACTCCTCGCTTGATGATGACTCAACAGGGGGAGGGGTGGGCTCCTTGGTCTTCTTGCTCTTCTTTTCCTTCTTATCAGAGGCCTTGCTCTCCTTTCCAGAGGCCTTGCCTCCCTTCTACAGGTTTCGAACGAAAATTTGCGCAAAGCGAACCAGATCGAGGGAATCGTGGGAAAGTGAACGAGACGGGAAATGTCGTTAGCAAACATGACCTTTGACTGTTCCTGCATCGTCAACTGAACTGACCTTTCCGTTACCGACGGGGTCCTCGGCGACTGAAGGCTTCTTCTCCTTCTTCTCCTTCTTGTCGACCTTAGGGGCGGCGACCTTCTCGACCTTCTTGTCAGACTTGGATGATGATTTGGCCATTTTTACGAATTGCTTTTTTGGTATGTGATTTTGAAGGGGTGGTGAAGAGGCGGGTTGTGTAGAGTTAGGCAGGGTGCAAGAAGTTTGCTATGTATAAGGGGCCTAGGCGTGTGGGGCTGAACCGGGCTGGGTTACCTCGCGACGCGAACTTTTCGATTCGATAGGTTGATCACGTGATCAAGGAAAATCTTATGAGCAAGCGGGGAGGGGAGGGGGTTCGGGGATCATCAGCATCCGCTACAGTTCGATCGCCCCATGCTCAGAGGGTGTGGCTTCGTTTGGTACCTGACATGTTGTACGGGTAACAGGATCACTCTACAACCTCTTCCTTGCGCCTGGCGTCTTCGAAGTCTGCATCGCCGTTGCGCTCGCCCAGCACAACCTAGCCCAACTCCACATCAAACCCAAGCTACACCATACGCTCGTTACCATCAATGGCAGAAACTCCCATTTTTCCCTCTTGTCCCGCGCTATCAACAGGGGGACGAGCGAGGTACCTAGCTGAAGCGCAGGAAAGGCCGAGAGGTAGATAGTCTCCAACCAGGTAATCGTTCTATTGGTCATGGTCGACAGTGGCCTGCGCTTTCAAAATAGTCAGTCGGTCTTTCCTGTTCGATAAATCGGACGCAACAGCATATCTCACGGTGTTACGCTTCGGCGAAGGTTGACGTAAACCAGGCCAAGCCAGATCAGGCTGTATCCCAACTTGACGGGCGTTTCTACGAATGCCAAGTAGCAATCATACAATATCATCAGTTTCGTCATGCTACACATCCCAATGTGTAGACTCACCGGCCGCATTGAACAGCAGAGGGAACAGGGAATAGATCCCAGCTACACTTGCTATCAACCAAGCTCTGAAATGGTTCCAATCCTCCGTAGCCAGCAAGCTATGCAGTCGCTCACGTCGTCTCAGATCCCGTCAGATCGTAGCCGATTTATTGATAGGGCAGCTCACCTGAGGGGTACGAGCACGAGCATGACGGCCTTTTCGTGTACATGCCACCCGAACATGAAAGAGGCGAAACCGCATTGCGCGATCGAGCGAAGGAACGTCTTGTACGTCGGTTTCTGCCATAGTTCCGTCAAGAGTGTCTGTAGTAGCCATGGCGTTATCAACAACTTGAAAGACTACCAGTCTGAAAGCGAGAAAGTCGTACCACTTGCGTCAGGCCTGTAAGGATGAAACACCCTACGGGCTTGATATCCGGCAAGATGGCAAAGTTCGTATCCCCTACCAGACCACGAGAGGTCGAGGCGATTCCAGTTGCCGATATCTTCAGGAAGGTAAGGCGAGTAGATACTGGTCGCGCGCGGCAAGATCCGTATCAGCCCGGCGAGTCAGTCAAGAGGTCTTTGCGAAATGGATCGCTTACGCTTGAGCAGCAGCCGGTCAAACAGGGCTATGGTAGCCCAGACACTACAAAACAACGCGTGCGCAACAGGGTTACCAGTGAGGTCTCCTCGCATATCGAGCTGTATCATTCGTACTTACTTGGGAGCCCAATAAGCGTGCATTAGACCTCTCGTAAACGGAAATAGCCTCTTTCCGAGCTGATCCAATTGACCGAGGTAGATGAAAGGTCCCAAAGCCAGTGCGAACGGAACGATCGTAGATACACCGATCGCCGTCAATCTAGGGATATTGAGAGTGGAGCCTGCAGGGTCACTTTGGTCAGGCACCAGCGAATCTGCGACTAGTACATGTACTTACTACCGGGAGGAAAACAGTATGTCCGCAACAGGTACACGAACCAGGCAGGAGCTAGATAAACATAAATGTGCCTGACAACCAACATCGTAGCCGTCAGCCTGCTTGTTGAGGGAACCACGGAATGACACCCACTCACTTGAACATCAAGAGTGTAGCGAAAGCTCCAGCGCATAAGACCGGCTTGCTTTCCTTGGCGCCGACGAGACTCCAGGCCATCAGGCCGAACAAGAAGGCGTTGTACTGAAAGTGTATAGAGTCAAGGATGAGGAATCCCGGATGCATGGCGATAGATAGTCCGATGATCCTATCGTATCTGCCAGATCCTGGTCCTTTAGCCAGTCTGTGAATTCATTCGATCGCTCGATCAATGGACTCAGACGAGTTTTCCAAGCTCCCCAAGTGAGACTCACCTCAAAACGCCGAATAGCAGTACCAGCTCGCTGATCAGGACCGTCATCCGCATATACAAGACAGTAGCCCAAGTTTCAACCGGTAGCCGCGATAGTTGCAATATCTCGTTCGCTGTGCCTTTTTCCAATATCAGTCTTGCCGGAAGTGCCAATAGGTACGAAAAGTATGCAAAGAAAGGGGGATAATCTAGAGCTATGGGAGGGAAGCGAATTAGCAAGTCCCCAAGGACGTGCTTGTTTTGACATGGATGGCACTTACTCCACTCCGAGGTAGTCTGTCGAGTCGACAGGAAACGAAGGTATGAGTCGAAGTCTATTGGAAAAGAAACCGACCCTGGCCTTACATCGAAATACCATCTTGACAGTGGCAGATTACTGGTAATCGCAAGCCAATTTCGGTGTACCTGCAGTGTAACTACCCTCTTGAGCGGATAATAAAGATTCAGTGTATTGCGCACAGCTTACCTCAAAGTCGGTACTTCTACTTCTAGACGCAGGGTAACAATCAATAACTACTTCCTATATCAGACAACTGTCGTAAGATTGCTCACTATGCAGGAAAGAGCAGAACCTTATTGATCACGACGGCCAAGAGGATATCCCGTTCACCTCTGCTAAGACCCAACATCTTTGAAGAGAGATATGCGATAGGTCTGCTATTCTCCCGCGCGGCCGTTGCTAGATTCGTAACCGTTTCCTAAACGATGTAGGTACGGACTATTGGAATGCAAGTAGCTAGTAGAAACGTTCAACAAGTGCAAGTTGCAAGTTGAGGTGTTCCGACGGCCAAAGCCGTGCCTCGTCATCGATCGCGCTTGCACGAAAACGTCAACAGATCCGAGCAGTTGAGAAATGGTGAATCGATGGACGACCGGCTGAACGGGGCTAGCATTCGACCCATTCTTATTGATACCCTGATACAATGTGTAGAGTCTACTTCTGTGAAGGCCGCTATGACGTGGCCGCATTACAGCTCTACTTCCTTCCTCCGAAGAAACCTCCGAACCAACCGGATCCCTTCGAAGGAGTCTCCGGTTGAGGCTGTTCGTCCTCTACACTGGTCTCGGGAGCGGGGGTACTTTCTCTACCTCTGCTGACTCCTGTACCAGGGATCAATCTGGCAGCAGCAGCGGGAAGAACCTTTTCGGCCACCTTTTCAACCGTTTCCACAGGGCCGCGGATCGACTCTGGCAATTTGTCCACGACAGCGCCGATGGCTCCCGTCGATGTCGAGCTGGAAGAGACTTCCCTGCCTGCAGCACGTTGCAGTTCGTCCATAGGAAGATCTACATAGTTGAATGCGAGGTCGAAGAAGATCGGCTTCTTATTGGTTGCAGCGAACCAAGCCCGCTTGATGCCCCTGTCAAGTACGTCGACCTGGTTCTCGGTCCTGGTGATGTCTCGGGATCGCAAGTGGTAGAATAGATCCCGATCATCTGATAATTCTCCTTCCATTTGTTTGATCTCGTGGATGTACTGCTGCGATCGAGTCACGATCTGAATGGCAGAGGGGTAGTTGGGCTCTGGCAATAGAACGTGAAGCTGCGCAAGCTTGAGCAGTCTATCAGACGACATTGATCAAATTAGTCGCGCTCGACCCATCTCTGACGAAGTCATGTGTGGTCTCACCTGATGTACGTGCCCCAATCGCTCAAAGCCTTGATCGACCGCTCCAAGGTGTCCCGCTCGATGACTAACCCAAGCTCTTGCATCTGGCCAACGCTCTGCAAGATCGTGTCCCAACACTTGATGACCGCCTGCAAGTTCCGACAAGCCTGTTCTCGCTTGATCCTAGGTAGACCCCTCTCCTTCGTGCCCAGAACCGACAAGGCTTTTCCGCCCCTTCCGACCGCATGCAAGTTGGAGATAGGTTTCTTATCTTTGGCTTTCTTGCCCTTGCCCCCCGCGGTGACAGCGGTAACAGTATCCACCACTTCCTCCACGCTCGGCTGCCACAGACCACGGATGAGGATCATATCTCGTCGGATCCTCCAGCTCAGCAAGAGGTAAATGATCCATTGGTGAACAAACTCGGTAGAGCCCGTCGAAGTGGAGATTCCAGCGCCTCGGCTAGGGCTGACTGAATCGGTCGAATCCATCGCCGCTTGACGACGAGAGATCGATTCAGCCTCGATCAGCCCCGCCAAGAGGCGATCATACTTCTTCATGATGCCTCCGCCTCGCACGTCGTTCCTGCCTGCCGGCAACCCGTTCCACTGGAACGCAGTCTCGGTCGAAGCCGCCTGTTCACCATTCTTGGTCTTTCTGGAAAAGCTCTTCTGGAGGCTCAAAATGTGTTGCTGGACCTTGATCATAGCCCTGACGATCTCGGGGCTCTTGATCTTGACCTCCTTGCCTTCCCAGGTGATCTTATTCAACGTTCTGGACGATTCGCCCTTGCCCGAACCAGGCTGGACGCTTTTGGCCTTTTCCTCAAGACCCGTTATCACCTGAACAAGACCGGGGTAGACTTCTTCCAGGTCATCGTCCTTGAACTCATCGGCGATCTCTTGTACTTCGTCGACTTCTGCGGAAGCAGCCCGGCGGGTCCTGCCCAGCTTGTAAGCCGAGAAGCGAATGACCGCTCCCAATCCCTCGATCTCAAGATCGGCCAAAGCTTGTTCATGCGAAGTTTGAGCACTCTCAGAGAGGGTCTGGAGCACCTTTCGCCTTGTGAGAAACAAGGGCAGTGCAGAGGAGTATTGCGCCCGAGCGAAAGCAGAGGTCGAGAGGATGTGCAGATGATAGGTGTGGATTTCGGCCAACGTCTTCTGGTCGACAAAGCCAGACGGAGTTTCGGAAGAAGTTTTTTGCTGCCCTGCCAACTGCTGAGCAAGATCCGCCAACTGTTGAGACCAGGACGAGGCTTTCCTTAGACGAGAGATCTGCTCCCTCTTGTGACGCGACGTGTTTTCAGATTGCTGCAACGAGAGAGCTTGATGCTCGTTGGCAGTAGCAAGACATCGCTCAGCCTCGAAGAGGTATAGTTGGGGGATGCTGTAAGCATACGGATCAGTTGTATGAGCGATTGGGTCCGACTCAGATAATCGTCTTCACTATGCGTACCGAACATCGCTGACGCTATCGTGGGACACTTGTGCCGGCTTCTTGTAGCCGCCTTTCGCTCCACCATGCGTCAGTCCGGTAGACTTCCTTAGGTTGTGGATCTTCGAAGTCAAGTGCTTCTTGTAGCGATCGTATTCCTTGTTTCGAAGGCCGAACGCATTGCGCTCGGAATTCAACAAATGTAGCACTAAGAGCATGTCTCCCTCGTCTCAGTTGCTTGCGCGACGATGCAGCGGTCAGGCTATACCACTTACCTGAGAATGACAAGTCCGACATCTGGAACTATGAGTGGAGAGGAGAGGTTATTTTCAGGTCTTTAGTGATCCACCAGAGTAACGTCTGGTTACCGTAGATTGGGTTGATCGATGATGTCGAGTCTGGGCCTCGTGAGGTCGGGTCATTAGCTGAACCACGGACATCTAGAATTGTCGTCATGTCCGTCCCATGTCCGGCCTATTGAGCCTGTGCTCATCACCTTCAGTGGCATGAGTATGACATCGGTGAATACGTGAATACAGAGCTGCTCATCTCCAAGCTCCTTATACACTTTGATCGGGCTTGTCTGTCTAAATAGCCTGGTATCTATTGGAAGTCGAAGGAGATCAAGAAAGAACGACCAGATTACTAGAGCAGCAACCTCTACCTAGCGAATCTCGATCAAGCTAGTCGTGGACGACATACTACAGGACCACCGAACAGGCCAATTAAGGACGACGAGGGCTACATTTGTGAAACTGCGCATCGGGAGGTGAATCGTACGAGGTGAACAGAGGACCCGCCGTACTTCACACTATGGCGTATTACAAGTCAGTCTCCGCGGAGAACCGAATCAACGGGTTTACTTGCTCACATCCTCTACCTCGCACTACCGTTCTTGATCTCTATGAACGGTCTATTTGCCTGATCGACTCACATGTCGGTACCAATCTGGATATGGCAATCTACAGTGGTGTGCAGCATCAACAGCACGCACAAGCGGCCCCGCAACAGCAGGCATACAAAGGTCCTACACCTCCGATCAGCCTTGACGAAGCTACCCCTCATGAACTGCAATTAACGGAATGTGAGCCACCTCACTGAGGAATGTGTAACACATGACAGATACTGACCTCGCTATTGCTACTTTGAAGCCCTCAAGACCTTTCTGAAGGTCGAGATGAACGCGTATGAGACGGACAAGGAGTCCAGAGTGAGGTAGTTACAGCTTCTTCACCATCGATAGTCGATTATCTCGTTTTTCTCGTACTGATCATCCGCAACTGATGTCTGAATATTTAGAGAGAGCGTGTTGGGATCGATTCAGACGATCGTGAAGGATTTCGTCAAGGAGGTGTACATGAGGCAGTAAGTGGCTTGGACCGTATCTGACCGTGGCGTCAAACCCAGTGCTGACGGCGGAGTATCGATCTACTCCTTCGTTCAGGGGAGTTTCGGAAGCACAAGCAGTAGATGCGGGAGGAAAGATTTATACATTCGGTTCTTATCGGTGCGTCTTTCCACATAAGCCGCAGGACGCCTCGCGGTGTGCAGAGTTTATGGACTAACCCTTCTTTCTTGTTCACCTGACAAAGTCTCGGTGTACACGGACCGAACTCGGATATTGATACACTTGTCGTGTGTCCGAAGCGAGTGACGGTAGACGACTTTTTCACGGTGTTTTATGAAAAGCTGCAGAAGGATATTTCGGCAACCGAGTTGACGGTACGTTTCGATCAGTTGTTTGCTATAATCGGCGGTCTCTAACGACTTCGTTTCGTCATCTCTCAAATGCGCAGCCGGTAAGAGAGGCTTTCGTGCCAATCATCAAGGCGGTCATCAAAGGAGTAGATATCGATTTCGCGTTCGCAACGGTGAACCGGGAAAAGGTATGCGAATGTCCAGCTTGTAGGATCAACAGCTCATGGGAAGCTTACTGTCCAACCACGCAGGTCCCGGTCGATCTCGATCTGACTGATGACCGAATATTGGTTGGGGCCGACGAGAGGAATGCGAGGAGTCTGAACGGTAGTCGGGTAACAGACTCAATGTTGAACCTGGTACCGGACGTAGAGACATTCCGAGATACTTTAAGAGCAATCAAAGTTTGGGCCAAGCGTCAGTTTTTAACACGTCGTCCACAATACGACCTAAGTCTTGCTAAATTGAGCCGTCGATTACAGAGCGAGCGATCTATTCAAACATCCTTGGGTTTCTGGGAGGTGTGCAATGGGCTTTATTGGTAGCCAGAACGTGTCAACTATACCCGCGAGCGGCCCCAGCGGCCCTGGTCCAACGGCTATTCGTCGTGTTCCGGCATTGGTACGTCAGATATCATAATCCGAGGGTAAGCATATAGTGCTAACAGGCGGATTTGCAGGCGTTGGCCGCAGCCGGTGATTCTCAAGAAGCTGGAAGGGAGAACAGGAGTTGCCGGAACTCTGAATCTGAAAGAATGGAATCCTGCAATTTACCCCACCGACAAGGCACATCTGATGCCCATCATCACCCCTGCTTATCCCGTCATGTGCGCCACTCATAACGTTTCGTCATCAACGATGAGCGTGATGCAGAGCGAGTTCGACCGAGGCGCCGAGATTTGTCGGAAGATCGAGGACGGGACGGCTGCTTGGAAAGATTTGTTTGCGCCATCCGAATTCTTCGACAAATACAAGTGGTACCTGGCCATCATTGCCTCTACAGGGACCGAGGAGGCTATGCATACGTGGTAAGCCGTACTTCAGTCTGGGTATTGGATAGCATAAGCTTATGAGTCATGCAACGGCGACAGGTCTGGTACGGTCGAGTCCAAATTGAGGACTCTCGTGGTCAACCTCGAGCAGAACACGCCGATCATCCAGGTTGCACATCCTTGGATCGAAGGCAAGTCGGCGGTGCATGTTTGCCAGGGAGAGTTCGAGATCCGACAAGCCGCGGCAGGGAACGGAGGCGAGATTCCGCGCCGGACCGAAAGCGAGGAAGGTGTTAGCAAGGTGTGGACGACGACTTTCTACATCGGTTTGGGTCTGGTTAAACCAAAGAAGTGTAGGTCATATAGACCTTTACTGCGTGACTTTACGGAGCTTCCGGGCTGACTCGTGCTGCATATCCCAACCTCAGCGGAAAACGGCGAGAAGCAACAGATGGACATCTCCTATCCAACGAGCGCATTCATTCGAGCTGTAAAGGCTTGGGACCAGTACGATGAACCAAGTATGGGCATTACCATCAAGCCCGTCAAGCAGTACGTCTTACCTGAGCGATCGACACGGATACGCAATCTGATCTGTGTTCATTTTGCCCTCTCCAGGAACCAATTGCCCACCGAGTTGCGAAGTCACAAAGCCGGTCAAGGGACAGCCGAGAAGGAAAACCGAAAACGAAAGGGCGGAAAGGTAAGCGCAGTATCCCATGCGTAATTTTGGGATATCGGCGCTAACTCAATGAAACGTTCGTTTGCGCAGCAAGGGACAAGTACGCCTGAAGGACGAGCTCAAGACGGGCAATTGAGACAGTTCAAGCGGATGAGGTGAGTTGAGATACGCCGTTGCTCTTGTTGAGAAAGGCAATCTAACGTCCAATTATCATCCGCCAGGTCCAACAATGAGCCCGGTTTCGGCTTGATGGGCGCGCCAGCTGTTTCGACGGCCACCAATGGCTCCAGCAGTCTGCCGCCATCTTCTATGGCCGGTTCGATAACACCAGAATCTGGTCTAGCTGGACAATCGGCAGACGTAAACGCAATGGCGACCGACTTGAGCCAGCAAGAGATGGCTTCGTTTGCATCTGCAGCTGCGGGTGTGACGGACCATTTGAACAACGAGGGCAAGCTTGTGTTGCCACATCAGCAGGATCCGAATCAGATCGGACTTCCCGTCGTCCAGTAAAGCACTTCACATCACCGCTCCAAGTCATTTCTGGATCGCCGGCCAATCTGAATCAGCATTTTCAAGCCATCAATTTTGGGAACCTTTGACGCCACCCCTCAGCATGTCAGGACAAATCAGTCTAGAGGTCACGGCCTCATCTCCACACTTTCCTCTACCGCCCTCCCGAATCAAATGATACTCTCCGGTAAAATCTTCTTTCAACGCCTAACGAAATGTCCCGAGCTAGCTACCAAAAAAAATTGATTCTGTTACCGAAGACCTTTCTAACCTATGTATCATCCAATATCTAGCCAGTTGTCGCATGGATGGCATCTATCTGCACGTGATGGTGTACAACTATGTCTACTGGGACATATCCTCGTCTTCTTCATCTGAGTCGCTGTCGAGATTGATCTCCGGGATAGCATCAACATCTTCACCGATCGGTTCTGCCATGGCCGCCGTTTCGGAAACCGTTTCAGCGTCGATGACCCGAGCGGGGAGATCTGCGGTGACTGAACTGAACGGCTCCGCCATCGCTGCGGCTGCGACGTCGGCGTCGTCTTTGACGCCGACCTGAGTCGGCTGGTGCGTGTTGGCAGTTTCTAGAACAGGCGGTACCACCACCGCGACGGACGACGCGTCGGTCGGAGGAACCGAGAGAGGTACAACCGTCTTGTTCTCCACAAGCGCAGTCTGGGTCGCAGCAGTAGCAACATGTGCGGACGATCCGAACACGCTGTTGGCCGTTGTCGATACGGTCGACCTGACCGCCTGAACAGGGAAATCCGTCGATCTTGTCACCGAGTTAGAATTGCCTATAGCCACGCGCTTGTATGATCTCGCGATCTCCTCATCTTCCTGACTGTCGTCGCCGTTGAAGACGCCGTTATTGATATCCTCAACCAGCTGCTCTGCTTCCTCGGCAGTTCGCAGCCCAATTTCCTTGCGCAGCGCTTCTTCTTCCTCGTCATCAACAGCGTAGAAGGCCAGAGTCGACACAGGCGGAAGAGGTCGAGAGAGTGGCGGAGCGGTGGGATGCAACACGAGAGGCAAGAGACTCGATCGGGCCATTGCCTACGCAGATGACACCGGTTGATTAGCATGTCTTGCTCTTTTGGTAGCATAAATTAGAACGGGACCCACCTCTTGCTTGACAATCGATCCAATCCATCCTTGCCTAACCCCACTTCCCTCGATCGTGATGGCATCCTCCAGACTATCCGCTACGGCTTCAGACAGCCTGATTGCCAACCCAAGGTCTTGCTGAGAAACGGCGGCAGCGGTCTTGCATTCGAGCGTGTGGGTGATGGACAGATGGATCCTGATCGAGAGAGCGAGCAGGTGAGGTGGGATCGACGGGTGATGGTGCATAATCTTGATCACTAGTAGAGAAGAGCCGAATAAGTTCCCACTCCTTGTCGCCATCCAAGCATATGAACCACAGCAAGACTCACATCGCAACGCGCTCAAGACGACCTCCCCCTCGAGTCTAGAAAGACCTTTCCCGCCTCTCCCCTCAATTCCTGCGACGACGACCTCTTCCCCTGCACCCCTAGCCCTCTTCTTGCCCTTCTTGCCCAACGCGTCTGCGTTCATGTTCGACTCTTTACCTTGCGAACTGGCCATCACCGGCGTCTTGGTATCCAGTACCAGAGAAGCTGAACCGAGCGCCTGTTTCATCAGTCTCGAATGGAAGCTGGAGGAAGACGGGTCTAGCTGAAGATTGGAAAGGAGGACGGTGTGGAATTTGAACAAGGCGATCCGGGTCGAGCTGTAACATGACGCGGCCATCAGATAATGGTAAACGGCTTATATCTTTGGGTTATCTCCCGCTTGTGAAGGGTGATCCGAGACTCACTGATCGGATTTCGGCAAGCTCTCGAGCAAAAAGACGCTCTTGTCCAGGATCAGCCCTACGTTCGGCAAGACGTGATCTCCCGCGCTGTGGTCCATCCCGTATGATGCGACGCATTGCGATGGCGTCAGCTTTGTCACCCGTACATGTCTTGATCAAAACGCCGTGCGAGGGACATGACAAGATGACCGATAGCGAACTCACGCGATGACGACCCCTCCGAGCAATTTCATCCCGCAACTCCACAATCTACGTTTCATCTGCATACCCAACGCTCTGGTCTCCAAATCCAGGGTACCTTCCAACTGTACGTCCATTCGAATCAAAACGTTATAAGGTCAGCTTAATGTCGTTGACCCTGACCGTGCGAAGTGCGGTCCGAAACTCGGAGGCTGGAGTGGAAACATTGGGAGATTCGACTTACCAGAGTATCCGATGTGATCGAGAGGCACTTCAACCCGAGTGCGATCAGGGAACCGAGGGGTAAGCCGACCGGCCGGGCCGTGTCGAACCTGTCCCGACAAAATGATCGGAAGTAAGGATTTTCTCATCAGTACCATGTCGTCTCTTTCTCCCCCCTCCCCAGAAATAAAAGACAGAGAAGAAGGCCGAAAGCGCCACTCACCTGAGCAAGCCCAAGATCCCTGCCACCCACCCGTCCAAACACCTCCCCAACGCCCTCACTCGCCCTCCCAGCTCTTTCGTCTGGTCGCCTACCGTGCCCGACATCGAGCTCTCTGCGCCGGATACACCGGGCAAGACGGGCTGAGAGGCTGTTACTGGTAACAACAACCCTCCCGCCGAGTTGGAGTTGGATTTCTGTCCGGCTTGGTTTTGGTTCCCCCGGGATGCCGCGGATCCCTGATGGTGGATATACAGCGCGTCAAAGAGGACAGAGAGGATCCCTTCGGACTCCCTGATCATCCCGCTGATATCTCCGCGAAATACGTTCCCCGCAGCGACCTTTCCTGACAAGGTGTGTAATCTGGCCAAGAGGTTCGACGTGGCTTCACGCAATCGCTTGTCGACTCCAGGCAAAGACGCTGGTGAAGGTGTAGGTGGAGAGAGGAGCAAAGAATGGAGCAGAGGAAGAAGGGTCGGGAGGAGGGGTCGATGCGGAGTGGGGTTTTGCGCGATCAGGTGTGGCAAGGCTGTGAGGCAGGCCAGAACGAGTCGGCCATCGGGTGCTGTATGGGCATCTTTGTCCTTATCCGAAGCGGGGTGGGGGTGAAGAGTCCTCTTGAGGGTAGAGACGATCGCTTGCGATGTCTTCAAGAGATTCGGGGTGGAGGTGGTCCGATGATATGTGGGAGAGAGGGAGGAGTGGGTGTGCAAAGTCGTCAAGAGGGGCAGGAGCTGAGAGAGGGAGTGAGGTGGGATGGTGTTGCTCTGTAAATCGGCGGGTTGTCCGTAATGTCTTGATGCTCAGTAGGGAGGTCGCGATGATTGAGGATTAGATCGGAGACTCACGTTGATGGCTCCGAGCAGGTTCAACAACCAAGTCTTTCCCCAACCTCCTCCCAAGACGTAACCCTCCAGATCCATCTCGATGACCACCCTAGCTACACCCCAGGCGTCCCGTCTCCTCGCCCATTCTTCCCTACCCGCAGTTGTATTCGCATTGGAAGCGGTCGAGCCAGCCACCGACTTGCCGTTCCCGGGGAGGACGGGCACGCAGACGAACGATCCGAGCTTGTTCAGAAACTTGTGGACCTCCGAGGTAGACGAGTTTGAGGGTCGGGTGAATGTCGACTGGGAGCGGAGTATAGGGAGTAGAGAGGGGTCTGATGGCAAAAGCGCCGTGAGGAGTGAGAGGTCTGGCATCGTGGGGTTGGTCGTCGATGTCGTTGTAGGTTGTTGCGATAATTCTGATAGATCCCAGATGATATCTTTCCTTTTGAAATAATTTCCCAAGAGCAAGTGTAGAAGTTGCTGAAACCTCGGAGATCGACAAGGCACAAGAGACGGACATGAGCTTGTTTTGATGAGAGACTAGACCGATTAGTAACTTTTACTAATGCAACGCGGGTCTCGATTAGTAATTGATAGTAATCGAGACTTTTCGATCTCATTTAGCATTAGTAGTCTGTCGTCGAGAGAGAGCGAAAGCGGACATCGAAGGCTCACACATAGCGGGGACTTGCTTGCAATACTACATCATCGAACACGCTCATCTGCTCGACGACATGTATCGCCGTCGTTTGTTGAGATACAGCAGACTCCAATCAAGGCGAATACATCATGTCGAATCCGGGACAGATGAATCGGCCGACAGGTCAACCGGCAGCACCACCTGGCCCACCAGTCGTCCAGCGACGCCGTCAAAACGCGACCGGAGGCCTGTTCAAGGTCAAGAAGAAGAACCCTTATGCTCAGGGAAGGGTGGCGAGTGGGAGTGGCACCAATGCTGAAGCTGGTGCAGGCCCTGGACAGGGGGCAAATGTTCGAGCGAACGGGAGTTCGCAAGGCTCTCAGGGGAACCTAGGTGGAGCGATCTCAACCTCCAACGCTGGAGAGGTTGCATCGACATCGGCTCGACCAACCAACCCTGCGTTGGGGAGCACGCCAGGACGATCGGTGACCCCTATTCCAGGTCGACTCGTACCCGGTCGACCTACGCCCGGTACTCCCTCCAACACTGCAGGTCGAGCTGGTTCATCACAAGGCTCACCTAGAACCTCTACCGCCTCCGCCTCGTCAGCAGCTCGACCCCCGCAACAACCGCCACAACCGACCTATACCGACTACCCTATCTACCTCCTCCCCCGAGTACCCTCTACAAACCCATCCGCCACAACCGACCCTCTCCTCCGAGCCCTCCCCTTCCCTACCTCACTCAACGTCATTCACATCCGACACCCGCCCTCCGCCCTCCTTCCTCTTCCCGACCTCTCCAACCCGGCCGGCCAACTCTACTTGAACCGCAAAGACCCTTCCGCACCCCCTCCTCCCGATCCTCGGATCTTGCAAGAACGGAACGAAGAACGAGAAAGGATCGCCCAGGTCAAGACCCCCGTCAGGCAGGCGGACGGGACCTGGAGGGTCCGGATGTGGGATTGGGCGAACAAGGGAGAAAAGAAGGACGAGAACGGGGAGACGGTCTGGAAGGAAGCCGCTGATCCGAGCATGATCGCTCCGGACTTGGTAGAGAAGGCTCCCGTCGACAAGTGGAAGAACAAGGGAAAAAAGGGGGGCAAGTTTGGGAAACGAGGTGGGCGTGGAGGTGGTGGAGGGAGCAGAGGAGGGAAATCTGGAGGAGCGGCGGGGGAAGGGAGGGTGAACGTCAAGATGAGGGAACAGGCTTTGATGTACCGGTTACATGATGGGAGGCACGACTTGCCTTCAGATACGGATACCGGAGATTCTGATAGCGACGAGGACAAGGAAAAGGACAAAGATAACAACGATCGACCGGAGGATGAGGAGACGGCCACGACCAAAGGCAAGAAGAACAAGAAAAAGGCTACCACTAACGCCGATGACGAGTCGCCGAAAAAGGAACGCAAGGTCAAGGGAAAGACGTACAAGAGGACGTTGGCCATCGCCAACGCGAGGAACAGGGAAAAGAACCCTTTCGTCCTCGAAGGTCATTTCGGGACCGAACCCATGTTGCCCGTCCCCCCTCCTGGTGCTGTAGCTGTTCCCGCTGCTGAGCCAGGGTCAAACGACCCGAATATGCCGGCCCAGCCGCCGGTCCCGGAAAGGCAGAAATTGAGGTACGTTTCGAATGCCATCTCCGACGTCAAGGATCGGTACGTGGCCTTGCTCTTCAACAAGAGTGATGTCGGGTTACGATGGGTCGGAAGGGAATATACGTTTGGCGTCAGGACGGAGGAAAAGAGGGACGAGAGGGAGGGCCAGGAAGGGGGTAGGAGCAGGTGGGGTCCTAGAGGGACTAGGAGGGGTCAAGCTGCAAGTGGAGCTGGAGCCGGCGCTGTCCGCAATCCTGCTGATGCAGCGGCGGCAGCGGCGGCTGTAGCTGCTGGTGGAAGCACCGAAGACGTGGATATGGAGCTCTATCGACCGGGATCGGCCATGTCGGACGTCAAGCCTCATCTTCAAGATACGGGGGACAACCCAGACGCTTTCCCCCGCATGTACCCGTCCACCTCGAACCGGGACATGCCGGACATCAAACCCAAGATCGAGGTCAAACCTGATCCTGACGCCTATGGCGGTCGACGTGGACGTGGAAGGGATACCAAACCGTTGTTGACGACGTTGGCGGACAAATTGGCCAAATTCGAACAGTCTGATTATAGTTATGCCAAGACGGGGAGTGGGAGGGATATCGATCATGACGCCGCCGAGGAGATCCAGCGGGGTAGACAGAGGGTTCGGAGGGGAGTTCAGAAGTGGGAGGACGATGAGTTCGAGACGAGAGGGAGGAGAGGGGCGACGGGTCGAGGGGTGAGTTCAAGTCGTGGGCCTTGGAGAATGACAAAGAAAAGCTCAGCCGGATGCTGTGAACAGGACGTCGAGCGTGGCGCAGGCGAAGATTGGGATGTCGAGTACACGGGTGAACAGGACGACGAAGAGGAAGTCCTCGTCAACGCCGAAGAAGAAGAATTTGCCCGTGAACGTGATGTAAGACGCCGCTGGCGAGATCACTTACCGCTCGTTTCTCGATATTAACGGCATCTGATTCGTTCTTCAGGCCCGGATTAAGGAGGAATATGACCTTGCCAACGCCAACGTCGGTCTGTTGCAACGTGACGAGGAAGAGGATTCGGACGATTCGGATGATCTGTTTGGAGAGCGGGCCGAGGCCAAGAAGAAGCTCAAGAAGCGGGAGAGGCGACTGAAGCGCAAATTGGCGGGTGAGAACAGCGACGAAAGCCTCAGCGAGAGTGAGGAGGAGAGCGAGAGCAGTAGCGATGAGAGCGATATCACGGCTGTAAGTTACGGCGTGATGATAACGTTCGACGCGGTGATGATCCGGTTGTTGATTTCATGTATGCTACCTAGCCTACCGAAGAGGAAGACGTGAAGCCCGACATCAACGCTCTCAACGCTGCCACCGCTTCTCCTACCAAAGACAAGGGCAAGCAGAGATCGATCTCGCCTGCGAGCAGAAAGGCCAGCTCTCCTTCCGCTCCTGTCAAGCGGGAAGCCAGTCCAGCCGGCAGCTCTGGACGCACGCTCTCGGTCGATCGTGGCGCTGGGCATGCACTTGCAGCCAGACGAGCCCTCAGCCCGGCGGGAAGTAGGGCATCCGTCGAACCCGGTTCCGGATCTCGAGGGAAGAAGAGAAAGGGTCCTCCTGCTCAGAACACTGCACCTCCCGAATCGGGCAGTGGAAGACCTTCGACGCCTCTCAGCAAAAAAGCGAGAGCCAATACCGAAGGCCCTTCACCTTCGTCTAGCGGGCATTCGACTCCCATTGGGATCGACTTTGCCATGCAACCCATCGATGCCCCTGTCGTCAGTGGCACTGGAGGCCCAGCATCGGCCGCTACGGGACATACCCCTACACCTGCCAAGAAACACAAAGCTCGAGGCAAGAAGTCCAAGACTGGAGCCGAGGGATCAAATACACCTGATACACCTAGAAGCCCGAGCGTCAACGCTGGCCGTTACGGAAGTCCTGCGCCTTCATCTTCCCGTCAAGGCAGTCCTGCTCCAAGCGCCGGCGGACGCACACAGAGCAGGGGGCCAAAGAAATCGACCCTGTCGCCGCAGGAGATCGAGGCGGAAATGTCCAGGCTGCGAGTCGCTACATACCCCGGTGCGCTCACTGCGAGAATGGTTCGTGACGTGCTCGTTACCGCCGGCCGTCCCCTCGACGGTAGACAGCTTTGGGAAGCTACTACCAGATTGGAGCCTGCCGACTTGACGAAGGAACAGAAGGTCGAGAATCAAGCTCGTCTGAAGAATATTTGCAAGTACTTCTGCCTCAAGACAGCGCCGGACAACTTGTACTCGTGGAACGAAAGCCAGCGGGCATGAAGTAGCGAAAAGTAACGGTGCCATTCCAGCAAGATTGAAGGCGACCCGAAATGTATCATGACGATCACATGTATGCGGATGACGCATGTACAAACTCAAAAGAAAGCATGACAGAAGAACCTCGCCACATTTATCATTTAAGCGACCTTGAGACGGGTCTTGGGCTTCTTGCCCTTTTGGCTCGGAGCGGTTTCAGCTTTCCTCTTGCCACCGCCGGTTGCTAGTTTCTTCTCCAGCTCCGATTTCTGTTCCATTAGGATGGTCTCGTCGACCGCTAGTACCCGCGCCTCCCCGGTTCGTACTACTCTAGCCATGTAACTATAAAGACCCTGAGAGTCCTTGTCATGCGAGGACAGAGCAGCGAGATCGTCCTGCAATATGGCACCACAACCATAGTTTCAGCAATCATTCATACTGAAAAGCATGAAAACACCTACGCTTAGCGATTGAAAATATTGCGTCCGTCTCAACTTGATGCTCTCCAACAACACCTCGATCACCTTGACCCCGGTAGCAGTCTGTTCGATCTTGGGTTTCGGAACCTTGTCTTTGTCTCGCGCCTTCTCCCATGCCTCATGATCGATCAGCAGTCTTGCAAAACCGATGACAGCCTCCGGGATCTCGTCGGGGGGATACGTCAAGACGAACGTGCTGAAACGGCGGTTCGTTGGGGAGCTTCAGCCAGATATACTGCAAGAGGACAAAAGCTAGCTTACTCTTCTTCCCCCGCTTCCAACCACCAATCCACCCGCTCGCCCAGCTCGGCCTTGTACTTTTCTTGCTCTTCTGCAGTCTTCGATCCGGCAGCCCACACCTGAACCGCAGCATCGAGTACGACCTCGCCTGTTATCTCTACTTCGTCGCCCTCGTTACCGTTAGGCCAGATCCGTAGTTCTTCAGGCAGCTTCGACAGTGTTTCTTCAGGCAGTGGGTAGACGTCGACGTGTCCATATTTTCGCAGCAGGTAAGAATTCGAAGGCGAACCGTATGTATTGAACTAAAGAAAAGGCTGCGCTTAGCACGGTGATGCCCGGGATGATTCACTGAACTCACGATCTGGTCGCCCTTGGCGATGGCTTTGGTGGTGACCATCTTCAAACAATCGTCCTCGTGAAACAACCTCGCCTATGAAAGCTTGTCGCTCAGTGCCAATCAGTCTAGCCAAAATCGAGCAGCTCGCAACCCACATTATCGCGCTCATAGGCTGCATTGAGCATATCCGCTACGGGCACCATGACTTCCTCTTCGGCGTCCTCGTCATCTTCTTCATCCTCTTCTTCCTCGGGCTCGTCCTCATTCTCGTCGTTCACCGTCTCAAGCGTCTGGTCTCCAAGGTCAAGCGTTTTCTCTCCCTCGTCCGTCTGCATGCTGACATCCCCGTCAGTCTGCATAGAGGTGTCTCCAGCTCCAGCTTCCTGTCGACCATTCTTCTTGCGTCCAGCTCGTGAGCTCGGAACGCTGAAAGACCGGGACAAAATCCGAGACCCTTGAATATGGAAGTGTTCCAGCGAAAATGGTTGTACGGAGAGGGAAGCGTTCCTCTTGAACACGTCGGGGTATTTCTGTTCACAAAATTCCATATAAGACGGATCATCGAGCGGGGTGCGTCTTGATCTCTCTCACCTGAAGTACGGGCTTGATCTTCTGGTTGTATGTATCTTCTGCAGACTGTCGGCCGATCTTGTCGACGATGTCCGTCCCTTTTAGTTCCTGAATCTGCTCGTCCGTCCAGAACATGGGCGTTTGGAACGTATTCGGCAGAGCCTCTATAGAGTCGCGCCCATTCATTAGCATCCTGTGAAGAGCGATTGTTATCACTCAAGCTAAACGTACTGATGTATCCGCTCCATCGGCTAGCCTCGCCCTGGGCTTCCTCCCACATCATCGAGAGCATCAGACTGGCCCATCCACCGTGCTCTTCCAGGACGTCCCAATCTTCTTCCGCGACGAGATTGCGCAGACCAGAGTTGCAAGCGGAAAGCAGGATCTTGTCTGGGATGGTAAACAAAGCAGTGTCTTCCTGTAATGCGTTTAGCATACAGCGTGATTAGCCTCGAGGTTAGCGGCGCAGAGAAAAGAGGATCGAGACTCGCCTCGAGGTCTTTGAGCGCGACAGCTCCCCAGCCCATACCGACATCGCTATAGTCCTTGATACCCATCGCCTCGGCATCATAGAGTCCCCCAGCCTGTTCTAGCCACTGTAAGATGCTCTCGGCCATGATCGTTGATTTGCGGCGGCCAAGTAAGGTATACGAATATCTGATCGCCGGCAAATGGAGGGTCCGTCGTAAGCGGTGCAGTCAATGCGCGATATATCGGCACACCCGCCTGTGGAGGAATGTTCCAGTGCTGGTCAAGAGCAAGGTCAGGCGATCTGTTGCCACACAGGATCGAGATGGAGAGTTGTCCGATGACCCTAAGCCTAGCCATATAGCCTAGCTCCAACTTTTGTGGGCGAGCTACTTTGTAAACAGATCACATCACAATTTGCATCCGCGAACGGGTCAATGCCATGCTCCTCCTGCTACTGACTGACCGACTGCTGCTGATGCTCGACGACCCCGTTCGATCATCATCATCATCATCACGACACCGACCATATTATAGTCTGCCGAGGGCGAGAAGAGACTGCAATTCCTCTTGTCCCTGCTTGACTCTTACCTCTTGCTCGAACGATCCCGCTCGCGACATGAGCTCGGAACCGCCAAGCGCGGATGCTAGGCAATCAGACAACTTGTGGAATGACATTCTCGTAGGAGCTCGAAGACACGGTGATAGGCTGCCCTCGAAGCATGTTTTGATTCTAGGTGAGTGAGACGTCTCTCTAATTCTGCTTCATCCATCCCATATTGAGACTTTTGTTCAAATAAACAGGCGAACCGGGACATGGCAAATCGACCTTGATCGAACACCTGTTCGACAGACGGACCTCCTCTCTGAACGCCTTTAGCTCCTCATCCACCTCGGCCTCGTCGAAGCTATACACGCCGATCCAAAGGATCAGCCAAGGTGTTGGTAGGATCAATCAGGGGCACTATGTCAGGAATACGGGGAGCATACGAGCTCGGAAGACGGACCAGAACCAGATTGATGGGACCATCAATAAGGACCAAGAACCTACCAGTACCTCAGCGGGACTACCAGCGTTGAACGAAGAGGTCTTGATGGACGATAGACTACAACCGACGGAGGGTATGGCAGTCGACTATGAATGGGTGGAAGTGAACGACGCGGATATAGGTGAGCAAACGATTCTTTCGTTGACGTTCTGTTCATGTCAAAAGCTTTTGCGGGTTAATACTGATTGATGATCTACTGGTGACCTCCCAGAAAACGTCCCGCCCATCTCATTCTATACGGCCCCATCATCCGATCTGAATGTCTTGAAATCATTACCAGCGGCATTACCAGCTGGCTCTCTTCCGGTGAGATCCTATGACCGGGTCATCGATACTCCTTTCGACCCGTACTGAACCTGATTCTATATGGACCGCATGAATAGCACACTGCCGCCGTAATCGTACTAGATTGGACAAAACCTCATACGATCGTATGTATTATCGCATCATTTTCTGGGAGTATTTGGCATTGACTTGAATTCGCAGGCAGAAGAATTGGCCCGGTGGTTAGCCTGGATAGATCAATGGTCTACAGCAACAGCTTCGAGAGCCGAGGAACTGGAAGGACATGACAAGCGTATGCGAAGTCACTCTTAAATTCATGCTTACTCGCTTTCTCATCAAAGAGCCTGTCTGGTGTCACTCTATCGTCCACAGTACAATCGCATCTACAGCACTATACCGAACCTCAAGCCCAGTCGGCAGCGGGACAGTCAGGGTCAGCTGACGGCGTGACTGCGGGGCCGACCTTTAGCCAGACGTATCAAAACTACTCGGATACCGTTTTACCGTTATCCGCAGGCGTCTTAACGCATAACAAGTAGGTCATGGCTTCGGCCGCACATATGGTACAGATCTTGAGCTTACCATGAAATGGAACAGGTGTGGAGTCCCTATCATTATCGTCTTGACCAAGACTGATCGGCTCGATTCTGTCGGGGATGAGCTCGTGTCCCGGGGAATAGTGAAGGGCAAAGGGTTGACTTCAGCACCAGGCAGAGGAGGTCAAAATACATATTCCACCTGGAATTGGGACGAGAGGGTAGATTGGGCCTTAGCGGCGATTAGAGTGGCAGGATTGATGTGTGAGTTCGCGCTGCAAGCAAAGTAAAGAAGCATACAAAACCTGAGACTATCTCTGGATAGACGGCGCGTCCGTGCTCTACACCACGACGGGGAAGCCGAAGACGTTCTCCACCTTGCGGCAACACATCTTGCACCGCTTGTATACAACACCGCCAGCGCTGCATCCACAGCCATCTTCACCTGTTGCTCAGTTCACGAACACTGCCAAATCAAACTCGCAGTTCCCTTTTCCCTTTCGTGCAAACCAGCTTGATCGAGATTCCATCATGATACCCGCCGGATGGGACTCGTGGGGCAAGATCGAGATCCTGAAAGAGGGATTCAGTTGCCAGCAAGTGAATGGGCTATGGGACACGGCACTAGGACGAGAGGCGCAGAGATATAACCAGAAGAATGGACGGAATGTCAGCGACGGATTGCTGCAGGACGAGGACGATGAGGGCATCCAGCAGATCTGGCAGGATGTGATCCCGGACCCTACCAACGATACACATGTCAGTATTGTTCTTCGGGATCTGCAGACCATGGTCGCCCCTAATACGCTTTCTTCCCACAGACAAACGGTAACGCTACCCAAAAGACCCGGAGCGCGAACGAGCAAGACTTTCTCACTCGTCAGCTCGAATCGCTGCTCAAGGACCCGCATCGAGACCCTCGTCGTGCGCTTCGGCAAGCGGCTCTTGCGCCTCAGACGCCGACGACGGGCCGGAACCCGAGCTTTTTGGGTGAAAGTCTCGGTCTCGGTCGAGCTACGCCTGGGATTGTCGGGCCGATGTCGAGTGATGGGCTCAGCATGCCCAACGTCGAATTGGCCTTTGCCGCCATGGAAGGTCGAGGTGGACCAGACGACAGCATGCAGACGCCTAGCATGCCGAGAAGGGTGAGTCCAGACGAGCGCCATTTCAAAAAAAAGATGCCTTTGACTGAGACCCATTAATTTCCACAGGAATCGCGGCAAGCGGTACAATCTACCACCTCCAAGCCTCTTGGTACAGACATTTCCGCCAACACGGCTTCAAACGAAGTGCTGAACAACTTCGTAAGTACCCCGGGCACTTTGGAGCTTTTTCTTGTGGTCAAACTGAAACCTTCGCCGCCTTTCTCATGCAGTTCCAGGGCTTGATCGCTGGACGACGTACGCCTGGCTCAACTCCGGGAAAGGACGCGGCATGAAGGGCGTGGCACAAGTTCAGAATGGCTGATGACCAATGCATGAATCCTTTCTCCCTTTATGGGCATATAACGACGATGTAACGACGCGCGCCAGGGACACCCGATCGAGAGCACATATATATACATGTTTACATTTTTGTTCTTGGGAAATCTAGATATGAGCAGTAGTTTCGATTGAATCTGATTTTTGGGTCTGGTTGGGAAGCCATGCTCGAAAATGCATTGTGTACGTTTCTCTCAGGTGAGGCAGAGCTCAACGAGTGTTATTGGAGGGAAGGCGAAGAGGTATGTTGGAAAAAAACAGCCTTATTATAAATGACAGGTGGATACTTGTTGTCCATCCACCGATTTTCGTTGAGGGGAAGGGAGACGGGCGCGACGGCTACCCTGATCAATACTGCCCGTAACCATAGTCATAGCCAGACTGCGGCGGGTATCCCTGATGCATCGGCATACCCGGGTAGTATCCCTGTCCAGCCATGGGCTGCATCATTTGGTTTTGATACGCGTACGGGTTGTCCACCGAATACGCCTGACCCTCTGGGATCATGTGAGGCTCGCTCGATTGCTCACTGCTGCCCAGCTTCCCAGGGTTCTTGAGGATGGCGACTTCGTGGCTAGAGGGCGCTCTGATTTGAATCTTGCCGCCGGGTCTAGGAGGTGCAAAGTAGCCAGGCGGGACGGGCTGAGAGGGGTAGCCGAGAGGAGAGTCTCGACCATAGGGAGGCGGGGTAAAGGTGCTGAACGAGTCTCCGCGCGAGAGGTGGGGGTGCTGTTCGCCCGGGTACCCTCCTCGGAAAAAAGGTCCTGCGCCGGGATGCTGATTCCCAAAGTAAGGTTGAGGGGGGAAAGGTCCGTTCGAGTAGTTGCCTGGAGGTGCGGGTGAATTGGAAGCCACAAAGACGACGGGTTGGCCCGTGGCGATCTCGAAGAACGAGCCATTCTCCGCCATGGCGATGCCCGGCGGTACGAATGACGGCGGAGGTGGCATCCCATAAGGCATCCCGTTGTGCGGAAGATACGACGATGATGCGGGCGCGGAGGACATGCTACCGTTCTCACTAACGGGAACGGCGACAGAGTCTACTCGTCTCGATCCGATCTCGAGGCGTTTCAGCTCTTCGTCCAGCTGACGTTCCTTTTGCGCGATTGTGGCCTGTTGAGACTTGAGGTATTCGATCTCGGCCTGGAGATTCAGGTTGGCGACCGTCTCCGAGTCCTCGCCGTGATCGGCCGAAAGAGCTGCGACCGGGACGGCTGCGTTGTCGATGGCAGCGATAGGAAGCTTGACCACAACGGCACTGTTGTCGAGGGCGGAGTGAGCGTGCGCGGTAACGGGCGCGGAGTCGCCCGTAAAGCCAGACGAGGTGGAGGCCAGCGGCACATTAATGCTAGAATCGGATCGAGGAAGCTTGACGGTGATGTTTCCGTCGTCAACCTGATCAATCAGGATGAGCATTGTTCGTCAGCATCAATTTTCTCCTGCGTCTGCGCCGGAATGATTACTTACCGGCAGGACGTCCTCGTGACCCCCGCCATTGACCTGAACGCCGCCTTGCACCTGCTGCATGTCTTGTCCGAACACGACCTGTCCCATCTGATGACCCGCATACGCCTGTCCATATCCCCATCCTACCGCTCCGCCTCGTCCACGTCCGCGTCCCCTGCCTGCGAACCCGACTCCAGGTGCAGCGGCGGCGGCACCTCCACGCAAGGCCTGCTGGATCCGACGCTTCTCCCTGGCCTCTGATCGTCTCTTTTCGGCCTGTTCCATCTTTTCAAATGCGTCATGTCCCCATGAGGAGGAGGAAGCGTCGGCTCGAGGTGCCGCGGCAGCAGGGGTCGAATCAGCAGCGGATTCCAGCGCAGTCTCGCCTGAGGACGGTACTGCCGGCTGGTTTTCGACCTTCTCCCCGACTGCGTTGCCGGCCCCGAACCCAAACCCGCCTCTCCCTCTTCCCGCACCTCCACGTCCGGCGGCGAACCCTCGCCCTCTTCCCCTTCCACCGCGCTCCCCACCTGCACCTCTCCACCACCCGCTCATCCCCCTCAAACCTGCAAACTCGCCGTCCTCGCCAAATTTGCCTTTCGAGTAATGTCGCTCGTCGTGCGTCCAGAAGGATCCTACGCGGGGGGTAAAGGATGGGTCGGCAGTGAGACGGGAGAGGTAGAGTTGTCGATTCGAGGGGGCTTTCGAGATGGGTTGAGAGTTGTTGTTGGCGTCGTCGTGGTTGTGGTCGTCTTCAATGTCCACCTTTCGAGGTTCTCCTTCTGCATGCTGCTCGTCCTGCTCTTCCGGCTTGTCCCGCGACTCAGCATCTGCTGGGGCCTCCTTCGTACCAGCCTGATCGGTCTCGACCTTGTCGTCACCGTCCCCATCAGCCCCGGTTCCAGCAGCCCCGGCTCCTTCCCGGACTTTCCTCCTCCGCTCCTTATTCTTCGCCCGTCTCTTTTCACGCCGTTCAGCCTCCTTTTCTTCTTTCGTCTTCTTCCCTGGACCCGTCCCTGCCGTCTGAGAAGCTGAAGCGGAAGCTACCGGTGCCGTCGCAGACGAGTTGGCAGGTTTACTCGTTGTAGTAGAGGCAGCAGTAGGAGCAGAAGTCGAGGCCGATTTCTTTGATCCAGAGGCAGGAGGTTTCGATCGAGGTTGAGCACGAGATTGAGGTGGAGGCTGCGGACGAGGTTGAGAAGGTCCAGCGTCCGGCTTCGCAGTCCCCGTAAATTCTTCAAAAGTGACCTCTTCTGCAGGTTCCTCTTCCTTTCCTTTCCCATCGCTCTCGTTCTCGCTATCATCGTCCGATCGTCGTCTAGCCCTCCGCCCGGCCTTCACCTTCTTCTTCTTCTGCTGTTTCTTCGGCTTTCCCGCTGCATCTAGAGGTTCGTCACCGTTGGCTTTCCCGTTGGCGACTTGAGATTCGGCCTCGACCTCAACCTCGTCTTCAGAAGGCTGAGATTCCGAGTCCGAGTCGGAAGGCAGAGAAGCCGCCGAACTCGAAGCGGAAGAGTGGTGGGAGGTCTGTCGTCTGGGTTGACGTCTCGGTGCGGGCATTATTGCGAGTCGGACTTCAGGAAATTGCGGGTGATGAGAGACGATGAGACTGTGTGAGATGATGATTCAAGAGAAGGAGGGAGAGAGAGAGAGAGGTTGGATCTTGGATACCTTCCGAGGACGATGATGCACAGGGTCAAGGTCAAGGTGATGATATGATGATGATGATTCAGTGAGCCAACCGAGGCAAAACCGAGAAATCGCGCGAAAGACGACGACGCGATTCATCCATCCATTCACCCCTACAACACACCTGCACCTGCACCGTTGGCCAGAAACACACCCAGACATACAGCGACATCGCCAGCACAGCATCACCGATCCACGGTAGTACTACAATCATCATCAGTCCCTCAACCTTGTATCGACCGCCATCCCGATCATCACCGCATCACCGTTGTCCCCTCCCCACCTCCCTTTTGCACATCTCGACTCTCGTCGCTTTCTCACGCGTCCAAGAGCTCCTGTGTGTGTGCTTTGGTTGTTATTGATTACGTAATCACGTGATCGCTTTCCCCGAGGTTTCAGGTTCCGAGAGCCCACCACCTCGAATCATCAACAAATATGTCCATGGCCGGCCCATGTTGGTCGCATTCGAGAGTGAATACATGCACAACATCTGTCCAGATTTCCAACTCTGATCACTTGCAAACCGCGGACACAGGATGTCATCATGACTTCCCTTCCCCGATCACCCACGACCGACTTGGCCGACTCTACGGCGACGACGACGATCAGCATCGCAGACCCGGACCCGGACTCGGAGCTGACCGAATCGATCCATACCGAACCCTTGGATCAACTCGGGAACAAGCTCAGGTCATGGAGACGGACCAGACAGAGGCTGCGGGGACGGGTGTCGGTAGCTTCTACAGGGACGAATGGTGGGGACAATCAGAACGATAGCAAGGAAGCGGGAGAGGTAAATGACGATAGACATCGTAATCAAGCAGTAGAGCAGGAACCGGAAGATGGTCCTCGCCGATTCGATCCCCCTGGTACGGCTACGGCAGGCAGTAGATTGGACGACGATACACGGTGCAAGTGTTGTCTCCGTCACATCCTCCGATCCTCCTCTTCCGTGGGTACCGGACCATTAAAGACCGTTAGAGGAGGAATCCGAATAGCCGGGGTTGATGAGGATGAGGGTGATCAGGGTGGTGGTCAATGCGAGACGATGAGGGAGATCAAGGCGTTGGATTCGGATCTGATCTTGAGCGCTGGTGAGTCTTGATCGGTTGGAGGCAGATGGATCTTATGGACTGGTTATGGGTTGAGGCTGATGTATCATCCTGATCAATCTGTATCTAATCTTGTGCGATCAACATGATTTCAACTCATTGCGAATGTCTATGTTTGTTCTGCGAATCCTACGCCCTTCCCGTTACCGCCTTCAACTTCACCTGCAAACAACCTCATGCGCCCTTCACACCCGATCAATCGCGATCAAACTCACGGCAGAAATCGGCTTGACCCTCCTAACCCGCCTCAACACCCTCCAAGCGTCCTACGACCCTCTACTCATCTCCCACTCCACCTTGCAAACGACCTACGCGGACCTAGTAAGATCTTCACACCGTCAAGCCGAGATCTGGGAGCAGGAGAGGGAACGGTTAGAAAGGGATCTCGAGGCGGGGAGGGACAGGGAGGAACGCTTAGCGAGCGAAGTCAAGGGGTTGGAGGGGAGGTTGAAGAGGATCACCTCTACCGGGACTGGGACCGGAACGGGACAATCCCGGAATGACGAAAGTGAAGAATCGAGGGGAAAGGAAGAGATGATCAAGGATCTCGTCAGCCGGAACGCGGTCTTGCAACATCAACTGGATCGCGCGCGGCATCGGATACCACAGTCGCAGTCGCTGTCAGGTTCACCAGCGATCGGGTCGACCTCCCCGGACAAGATTGGCGGTAATGACAATGGGTTGTCGGGGGACGAGATAGAACGGAGGAAACGAGCCCGTCGGATCTCGTTAGGGTACAGGTCTGGCTCTTACTCTGGCCCATACTCGGCGGGATCTACGCCTGGTATCGGCCCACCGTCAAATCAAGGGTTCGGAAGGGGGACGAGGCATTTCTCGGAGAATGCTGTTTTGACCCTCGGTTCAAGCTCAAGGGTACGGATAGGAGAAGAGGGAGAGGATCTTGGACGTGCTGATGGACAGGACCAGAATCATGAGCGGGATGAACATGAACGTGACCATCCCGGAACAGGCTCGACAAATGGGGAGGGGATAAACGATAACGAGAGACGAGTCAAGCTACGTCCGCTCAGTTTGAGCTTGTCAGTGTCTTCCCGGTACACCCATGCTGGACCTTCCGGATCCACCGGAGTGGATTTTGGTGGAAACGATCAGATGGGACATGGGAGGAAGATCTCGATGACCCCTTCGGCGAGGTCGACCATCTCTGGCAGGTCACCGGGGTTAACAGGGAGGGAGAGTTGGGTTTCGTCCTCGACGGGGGGAGTGGTTGGACTGGGAATGGGCGCAGTCGCAGGTGTCGGAGGCGGATGGGACTTGGATTCCATAGTCAGGGAGGCCGATGGGACGCCCGTCTGGCCTCAACCTGCCAGAAACTCGGCTTCTCAGGTGGGTTATGTTGCGGGACCGTCACAGACGGACCGTGCAGCGTCAGCCTCTGGCTGGAAGTCCGGGTCCGGGTCTGGCTCAGAGACGACTAGCCCGAGGACGACGATGAGGGCCGGATGTGGGTCGGTGGGGTATAGCTTGAATGGGATAAAGCGGAGCATGAGCGTGGACCGGTCGAAAGGAGGGATGAGGAGGGTGTCGGTGAGTGATCATGCGTACACCTGAAAGGGATTGCGGGCATATGGAGATTGACGGAGAGAGACATTTTGAGAATCTAGGGCAATCAGACGGTAGAAAGTATCGCCGAGACAACGGGCCAGGACGAGACTCACGAGCGCTCCGCTTCGAACGCCACATCAGAAATGGCTTCTGAGCACGGCTCGACGACGCGTCAGCGGAAACGCATGTCGAGGTATTTCCACACGCCAGCCTATCGGCCGCCTACATCTCCCTTGATCAACGAAGAGTTCTCGTTCGCGGCTTCTTCCGAACCGGATAGCATGGTCGAAGGGGATCGGACTTCGGATTCAGAACGACCGCCTGCACGCATGATGGACTCCAAATCGACCCAGACTGAGCCACAACTCCAAACCGAAGTCAATCGCGAAGATACGCCCCGCATGAAGAGCGATGCGCAAGTCAAGTTGACCTTGGCTGGACTTGGCATCGAGGAAGACACGCCGAATTCGTCGTCTCGGACAACGCCACAACTCATGGATCCGTACTCGCCTGCGAGTCTTTACAATCCTAGCCACCAGTATGCTCGCGACGTCGTCGAAAGCCGAACCGGCGCCTTGTTGTTGCTGGTCGAGCACGTCTCCAAGATTCTCATGCGGCTGAGACAAGCCGACGTGCCGAATCTGACTAGGCGTTTGAAAAAGCATCACCTCGTTGGTGGAGATGTCGGCCATCTGAGTCGAGGCGAGATGAAGGCGCTCACCAACGAGATTGGCGAGATGCGGACGCACTTCCGCAACGTCATGGAGGACGAGAGACGCCTAGGAGGAGGAAAGAACCCGTTGCAAGACAGTATGATCACGAAGAGAGACTTTCAGCTGCTACTTAAATTATTCAAGGAGATCTTTGGCGAATTGATCGAGCTACGCGGGATTGTCAACGACGTCACTGTCAATCCGGCAGCGGCCGTCGAGCTTAGAAAGAGGCAAGAAGCTATACAGGCAGAAGAGGAAGAAGCAAGGGGTAGGGGCAAGGCGATCAAGGGAGGCAGCGGATTAGGGTGGATCGCAGCGCCCATCACCAAGCTTTTCGCCGCACCGTCTTCGGACCCTCCTGCGCGGCGTCCGTCAGATAAAGCCTTGTTGCAACCACCTGCCATACGATCGTCAGCCAAACTCATGCCCTCGACGTCAGCAACCACGACGCAGGTCAGCGTCGAGTTTGCGAGTACGGGTCAGATTCGACGGGCTACCGCTGGTTTGCCTTCGGCCAACGCGGACCATATGGACGAGCTACCGGTATCCCCTGCCGATACCTTGACTAGAATACCTGGTCTCACTCGGCAGAGCTCAAACCAGCCGAGCGTTTCCCGAACACCGGCTATACCCCTCGGTGACGGCTCTAGTCGAGGTCCACCTATGGGCAATAATCGACAAAGCTTGTATGGCATTTTCGCTGGAGGTACAACAAGCGGTCCTCAGGGAGTACCTGCAAGAATGAACCAGACAGTCAGCGGACGACACATATCCGGGCGCCATCGCCGTCAGCTCTCGACCGTAGTCGATGCTGTCATCGATGACGACGGGCCAGATCGAGGTCTGGACGAATACCAACCGCCTCTCCTTGAACGAACACTACGGCCGAGAGGGTTGTCTGACTCGTCAATCCGGACCACATTTCAACATCACGGCATCGAGATTCCCGCTGGCCGGGAAGACATTCAGCCATCCGCATCGCAATACGGGTCGTACTGGCCGGCGACATCGGTCGTCAAGACGCTCGGAAGGAGGATTCAGGCATTGACAGGCGCAGCCCACCCACTTCCGCCATCACCAATGTCTACGTCGGTGGCTGACGAGAGCTCGTCAGCGTCTCAAGATTCGACCGCAGTTCCCTCGCCAGATGTTACAACAAACGCGATGTTGCAGGTCAGACCCAACGAGCCCCGAACGATCATGAAAAAGCGGAGCGCGAATCAACTAGGGCTGGTCTCTCCGGCTTCTCTCACAGACGGAGGCGGTTTCCTGAGCATGCTCTCATCCAGCTCTACCAATGAACCTGCGGCCATCTCTTCCAAACACTCTTCACCCGGTATTCATCGTTCCGAATCGCGTACCCGCACACGTCGGGTTCAAGCTCAATCTTGAATTTGGCAACTCTAATGACTGTCGCATAGTTGTGTTTACAATCGGTTGCCTATTGTACTATCTTTGTATTTCGTAAGTCCAATATAATACATCATCGAGTCTCGGTCCTCTTTCGGACTTGATCGTTGCCAGTGGTGCATCACCGTTCTCCAAAAGTTCTGCCATAATAGCGTGCCAATATCCGCACGCTTGTCCCATAATGGCCCTCGTGTGGGATTCTAGGCGGCCTGGATCCACATAGGCTGTATTGGTGTACAAAGCTATATCAGATCGGCCGGTTTGAGTTGGCATTCGAGGAGGACGAGCAGTATCTCTCGATTGTTCACAATAGAGTACTGGTTGAAATAAATGATGACGGACTGAACGAGTCGACGATTCTAGTGGATGTGCTCATATCTATCTCAACGTGCATTGCGATCTACAAGGCATCATAGGCGGGCGGTGAAGGCGGAGTGTGGAGCTGAACCCTTTAATTATGGTAACAGCTTGTCGATCAACAATCCCTTCGCCCCCTCCGCTGTAGACACATCTCTTTTCTTTCGTGGCCTGTGCGAGCGTTTCGGATCGGCTCGTCGGCAGTTGTCGTATCGAACAGGTTCATATGTCTTATCATCCATGTCCACCCCCACGTGCTCATTCGCAGTATCAGGGATAGCTTTGATCGCACAAGAGGCGGTCATGAAAACGGCGTCTTTCTTCCTAGCTCGGGTGTTATGTGTGGCTCGGTCGGCCTGCAAATCTCGGTGCGCACAGTAATCTGTATCCTCGTTGGAGCGCTTGTCGTTAATAGTAATCCAGCTCATTCTGCTCCTGATCATCATCGTCATCGTCATCGCTCCACTCAATATCGGGATTGGCGCCCCCGTGGGCATGCGCGAGCATGTCGTTGACTGCTTCATTAAAGTCACGAGCCGCATCTTCATCGTCATGCCCTGCCTTCATCGGTGTATCTTCTGCAACCTGACCGGCGTTGTCAAGATGGAGGTTCTTGGGCAGATACCGATCCATTCCGTCTTCGTTCCATTGCCTCTGCCTCGCCTCCTGTTCAGGGATCGAGCAGACATAGTCGTCGAGCTCTCCTGGATCGAACAGCGCATCATCACTCAGATCATCCAGATTGTCCGTGACAATGTCTCCTAACAGAATTTGCGCTCCTAGTACCGAGGTCGGCAGGAGGAATAAGGGTAGATTTTTGGCTGGGAAGCCGGCTAGGAGCATATCCCTGAGACGCGCATCCTTGCTCTTCTGCTTGGAGGCGTTGCCCACCTGAAGGTTCGATTCGTGCTGAGAGACAGCCACATTCCCGGCATGAGCCCGTTGCCATTTTCGGAGGTAGGCGAGGACGAGCCGAAATTGTTGCGCCGGTCCCTTGTAGTCTTCCGGCTTGGTTCTCCGTTTGCGCGCGTACACTGCTCGGTTCTTCAACGAAAGCGATCTCTTTGATTTGTCCTCTGGATCCGTAGACGGCCCAGCTTCAGACTCGAGACGCCGACCGAGAGCCGCAATGGGTGAGCACGGCGTCGCGGTTCGATTCTCTTCCGCCTTGTTCGAGGGCATACATGCTTGCGCATCGCCTGACAGAACGACCGTCTTGCGCCGACCGTACGCCTCGACCCTAAGACGATCACGCCGTTTCTTGTCCCGTTCCCTGCGCAACTCTTTCGATCGGGCGAGACTCGCAGCCTTTTGCTCCTCCGTGCGATGCGACAGACGAGACCGCTTGGCCACAGGTCGTTCACCATCAAGGACGCTCGAATCCGATGCCGGCCGTTTGCCGGCCGTGTTCGAAGACCCGGGAACCGAAGTTCCAACATCGTTGTTGACAGCGGAAGGGCTTGCGGGACTCTGTAATCTGTCTACATCCGTGTCGCCCGCACTGCTACCAGCAGCCGACGTGCCCTTTGGATCTTCTCCAACCGCTTCTTCCTCGGCTGCCCCATTCTTCTTCTTTCCACGAACCGATGGCTTCGGCAACTCTCTACCGGGAAGCAACACCTTCCAAAGCTCTTCCCCGTCCAACCTCCCTTCACCGACCGCTGTCTGCAGATGAGCTTTCCCTTGGATCTTTTGCCAAGCCAAGAGATCCCTCCAATGTCGGACGACCGATGGAAGGAAGGCCGCGAACATGTGTCGCCTTGGCGGAGCTCTTCTGACCATGTGCCTCCAGACGGGGATCTTTTCCACCGGATGTCCGATGTCTCCAAGGTACTGTCCGAGATCAAAGACGACACTGAGGATCTCGAGGTATCGCTCTCGTACGGTATACGCCGATGCCTTGGGTAAAAAGGCCGCCAGTTCATCGAACAGACACCCGTTTTGGTGAGTGTAGACCCCGGTGACCCCTTCCATCGCTGCGAGGACGATGGCACATGCCGACATTCCCGGATTTCGAGCATAGTTGACCGAGAGGGTAGCGAGCATCTCGGCGATATCGGTCGACATCCTCCTGATGCCCAACAAGACCGGATGCGCCAAGTGTAAAAAGTGTAGCGTCTCGTCGGGATAAGGTTGTTCTTTGTTGTGGACCCTGGACTCTTCGGGCTGCTCGATGATCGCTTTGATGTGACGCAAGACCATCTCGATGTAACTCGTCGGCTGATTGCCGGCATCGTAATCGAGCTTGAGCTGCTTCCTACAGAACATCATGTGATGTTGTAATCTATCGGGATTCATTCCTGTGACTTCCTATAAATATCCGAGATGGAGAAATGTCATCAGCTATCAAAGCCTCAAAGACAGCTACTGTTAGCCGACATGCGATATCGACAGACTTACAGCAAGTTCGAGATGATTGACGACCCTCTTTTGGTCCGCAGCGTGGACCGCCACGCAAGCCGCAAGGATATAGTAATCCTTCACCGTTCGATTTCTCTTTGCCAGGCTCTTTATAATCTCTTTCCCCGAAAAGTCTGCTCTGTCGGCGGTGTTCTGGGTCAGGCCGAGCTTGACCATCGCCAGGTGCACGACCCAATCCTTCATGGCTTGCTGATAGACGGAACGATGGCAAGGAGAAGAAAACATCGTCAGCATTTCGAAGCTTGTGATTCGGTATTCATTAGGCTTCCGGACTGCGTATAACCCACATTCTGTTCCATAGTATAGAGCTGTGCCCGTAACTCTTCTTGACCTGGTACGGCCTGCCCTCTCGAAGTCCTGACGATCCTCGCCCCGCCGATAGTATTGTCCTTCATCATGCCAGAATACTTCTCCCGGGCGTCCATCCCACCCAACATCTCGTCCCTCTCGTCAAAGAATGAGGCGGCGAGGTGGGATTCGTAACCGCATTTCTGGCAGACAAAGAGGGTGTTGTCGCCGGGTACGAGGCGGGTCCCGGCAGGACAAGAGGGGCATGTTGGAGTTTCCATGGTTTCTATCAAGGGCTTCCTAGTAGCTTACGAAGCGGTGCAGATCCGCCTTCCTGTCTGTACTGTATACCTCGGAAATCAAGGTCGAGGTCGAGGTCGACGTTACCTGTTGCCAAGAGACACCGAGCTCTCGGGCTGAGACTTCGGCGCGTAAGCACCTCGACTTGCAAAGAGTTTGCCGATGCTGTAGGAGTAAGGAAGTGTTTTGTATGATATGAAACGAATGAAGGGCGGAGAACCGTTTTGTTCAGTTTGGGCGTCGGCAAACGGGTTCCAAGGTAAGGTGGGTGATTGCCACGGATTCCTGGAAGCTTGTTCTACGCACACATGTAGCGAATCGCTTTGACGGCGTCCGGTTGTCGGGCTTGTAAAATGGTAGCTAGTAGAGATAGTGGGTAGGTAGTAGCTAATAGCCAGTAGCCAGTAGCCAGTAGCTAGTCAGCCAGTCAGAAGTAAAGCTGAATCGATCCTTCAGTTTCGCAAGATCAAGCTGAGACTTGACCTCTCTGTGAGCTGAGACTCGTCGTGAACCCTCGAGGAGAATGCTCAGCGCCGAGCTAAATGACAAACACAACGGGAAGTGTGTTAAGGGTTAGTGGCCTAGTGGTGACATGCACTGAATCCTCGCAATTCGACATCGGATCAGATTCGTCGCCTCCATCCTGATCACGACATAAGACTGGAGGATTCTCCTCGAGATTAAGCTCTGATCCCCGGTCGATAACCAAATCCGCACACGCCAGACGGAATGACTGAAGACTCGCGGAGCATCGTAAGCACTTCACCTGCTGTTGGGCTGGTTCGCCTTTGACCTTGCATAACCGGGCTGACCACATCTTCTTGCCTTTTCATCTTGTGCGGATCGAAAACACTCTATCCTATGGATTCTGGAAATAGGCTCGGGTTTACCCTCATGTGAACGAAAAGCTGGGTCGATCGTGGTGGGACTACGGTAAGCTCCGATCGCTTGAACCCTGGAAATGCAGTGCCAGCGGGTTAGCACAGGACGGCAGGCTGATAGCTCGTCCGGTATTCTTGCTCGTCTGTAGACAACTTGTCGGTACAATGGGGTACCCAGGATCACTACGAGATCGTCCGTAAAGTCGGTCGGGGTAAATACTCTGAAGTACGTCTCCCCTACTCCCCCTGGTATCACTTCAGTCGGAATGCCGAACCACAGCCGCTAAACCACGGACTTTCTCTGCCACGTACTTCGATTGTGTCAACATCAGGTTTTCGAATCCATCCACCTCCCGTCCTCGTCCAAATGCATCGTCAAGGTGCTCAAACCCGTCAAGAAGAAGAAGATCAAGAGGGAGATCAAGATCTTGCAAAACTTGGCCGGCGGGCCGAATGTCATCGCGCTCTTGGACGTCGTTAGGGATCCTCAGGTGGGTCTGCGGTTGCCTCGTCCGGATCTTGGAGCCCTTGTGCTTACGCGTGTCTCTTTCGACGGTTCCGCTATGTGCATCAGAGCAAGACCCCCTCAATCGTTTCGGAATACGTCAACGTGAGCCAAGCTGCGGAATACGATCGTGACCTACTTTCATGATAGCTGATATTGTGTCCTTATATTTGACGTGACGACCCTAGAACACCGACTTCAAGACCTTATACCCCAAATTTTCCGACTATGACGTCCGATTCTACATCCTCGAGCTGCTGAAAGTCAGTCTTGCCCGCTCCGTAATAACCCTATTTGCGCTCTACTGACGCACAAAGACCCCCTCCGATCCGTTTGTGCACTCCCAGGCGCTCGACTTCTGCCATTCCAAGGGAATTATGCACCGAGACGTCAAGCCTCACAACGTCATGATCGACCACGAGAAGAAACAACTCCGACTGATCGATTGGGGCTTGGCCGAGTTCTATCACGCGGGCACGGAATACAACGTCCGAGTCGCTTCGAGGTACTTCAAGGGACCAGAGTTGCTGGTCGATTTCCAGGAGTATGATTATAGTCTGGATATGTGGAGTTTGGGGTGCATGTACGCTAGTATGGTGAGTCGGACCTATTGGTCGATCGGGAGAGGGCCCATTAACCGGCTGCTGAACAATTGTGGCTTCGCTTTCCCGTTCCCGCGAACAGATCTTCCGAAAAGAACCGTGAGTGCACGACTAGCGGTGCTTCGATATCCTGTTATGAAAGCTCACTTTGCTTTTTACATCATCCGATATGCGGTTCAATGGACGTGTTTAGTTTCTTCCACGGTCATGACAACTATGATCAGCTCGTCAAGATCGCCAAGGTCTTGGGAACCGACGAATTGTTTGCCTAGTAAGTGCCGACGTCCTCGTGTCCGTCGAACCGAGACTGGGGCTTGCAAACTGATGACTCGGCGCCTGCTCGCAGCTTGGAAAAGTATGACATCGACTTGGACCCCCAGTACGACGAGCTGTTAGGCCGATACGCTCGAAAGCCGTGGTCGAGGTTCATCACGAGCGGTACGTTCCACCCTTTTGCCTAGACTGGCAGATCATGATTACTCGGAATGCAGACTCACACTGGCTTCTATTCTCCCGCTCGTAGAAAACCAACGATACATCTCCAACGAGGCGATCGACTTCCTGGACAAGCTATTGCGATACGACCACCAAGAGAGGTTGACTGCCAAAGAAGCGCAATCGCACGCCTACTTCAGTGAGTCGGAGAGGGGTCGACTCGGTCGTTCATGCTTCAGCAAAGTCGAGATAGTCCACTGACACAGACCCGATGAACCTATCCCTGCAGCACCCGTCTACGAGTCAGGGCAAGGGATGCGACTTCAGGGCACGGGACAGTAGTCAATAATAGAAAGATCAGAACTCGGAGAAGCTCGGTGTACGATTGTTAGAGGTGTCTCGTGGTGTTTCTTTGTTTCACGATCCGGTTCGAGAGAGATACATGATATGTTCGACAACACTTGTTTGCCAATATCACATCAGTCGAGGTCTGAGTGGCCGTGCCGAGGATAGTATGTACCAGCGCTGCTTTCGAAGGACCAAACAACGTGATGATCCCTCGACCTCCTTCCGCAACCCCCGTGAATCGTCCTAATTGGACGTCAGGCTGTATCACAATGAATCACAAGCAATGCATGCGTCGGAGCTGCTTCAGTCAATAACTTCCTGCATCCCGGCCGATTTCCATGTTTCGAAACGCAGACGGATCTGCAAGCATGTACGGATAGTTCTCTTGTGTTTCAAGTGAAGCGTCATCAAGTTTTACAATCAAGACAAAAGCAAGAAAGAAGCCACAGGTCAGTACCGCCCCTACTGCATGCTTGCCGTCCCCTTTCTCGCCTTTCCGCGTGCTCGCCTTTCCCCTTTCTTGCCTTTCCTCTGTTCGTACGACCGCTGTTGGTACGGTTCTTACGCTGATGGTGCACAATCTGCCCCGTTCTGCATGCGTTCTGTCACCTTCCGGCATCATCTTTCAATCTGAATTTGACGGCTTACGGGCGTAACTGATCGCTTCACCGCCCGATTCGTCTTAGTCTAGTTTACAATGATTCGTCCTTTTGATTCCCCTCCGAGGCCGGAGCCGTGGCCCGTCTGCCGATTCCCCTAAGCACTCCTGTGCCAATTTCTCTGCCAACTCCTCTGCCAACTCCTCTGTCGATTCATCCAACCATTCCTCTGCCTGTCTCTTGGATCCCTTTGCCGTCTTGCATCATTTTTCCGGTAGTCGCTGGGTGAGATCACTCTAGGTCCGCTCTCGAGACCGATGGTTGAAGACACTGCGAAGCGTTTCTATCGCACTGCTGCTTCTCTTCAATCGAAGAGGAGGCCGATTTTGAGATCCTCGGCAATGGGCCCGGTAGTGAGAGGCAGCAGCGCAAGGAACCTGACCTTGAGATCTTCACTGCCGGACTCAAGATTGGGAGTTAACATCATTTGAACACACTGTATCCAGGAAACCACCTGGCCTGATGGAGACGAGACGTTGGAGGACAGGCCGTCAGGGATGCCGTCACGAAAGGAACACAACAAGAAGGGGTGGTGACGTGATACTTGAGGCGGAGCTTGGTTCTTACAGTAATATGTAAATATGGCGAGGAGTGATCAGACCATTGAGTCGCATGAGTCGCATGCTTCAAGATCATGTGTCCCAGGGCAATGTTCACTCGGTAAAATACAAACAGTTCACTGGCTCAATTGTTATCTCAACAGCTGGCTCGATTGTCAACTCCACGAGATAGTCAACCTCTTAGGTCGAAGGGGAACAAGGCTAAACGAATTGGATGCCGTGCATCCTATCTGTCGACCAGCGCGACCAGACGCTGTACCCCTTGAACAGATCACCTATATCATATATTTCATGTGTTTGATGTGTCCTTGAAGCCATTAGATCGTCCATATGAAATCGACGTGATGTGGTGCGAGATCATGCGAGATCAAGTTGGCAAGTGAGCAAGTGAAACGGTCTTGACATTCATATCGGCGTTCGGGTTTCAGTGACAACCGGGCGCGAATGTTAAAAAAGGTGTCAGCCTGCCTGACTCTCGACGCTCTCCCGCTTCGCCGAAGTCTGACCGGGGAGAGAGGTTACCCCGACAAACGTTTCGTCATGTGGTCACTCGTCCAGGGTGGTTGGTTGTCAAAGAAGTATATAATTCTCGACAGATCTCGACCTGGATCAGCGGGAGATCTGGTCGTGCTTGTTACACCTATCAGCTATCCAGTGAATAATCATCGAAACATGGTGCACCGTTACACTTTTCCGCGCAAACCGGTAGCCAACCCCAAAGCCATCGTCCAAGGCGAGAAGTACCGGTTGACGGTCTTGACCGAAGGTGTCCTCCGTTACGAATGGGCAGAGGACGGCCAGTTCGAAGACAGGGCCTCGACCTTTGCGCTCTTCCGTGACCTTCCCGTTCCCGATCTCAAGGTCACGGAGACGGACGACTATGTCGAGATCACCACCGATCTCATGTCGGTGTATTACAAGTACGTTTGCGCTCAGACGGAAGGAGGCCGGCCTCAAAAGATGACTGAACAAGCGTTACATTTGTTCTCGAACTCGACCGTACAGTAAAAAGGAATTCTCAGCCGCAGGATTCATGGTCACTTGCAAGCAGTTTGGGTGGGGTGAAGGGAAATGGTATTACGGTGCAGGCTTGGACGAATACAACCTCCGCGGTACAGGTAAGTCAGATGCAGACGATCAAGGCTTACCTACCAACTCATTGTTAACGCCTGGCCCTATTCAACCCAACCGCGCGATCTATAGCGAGAACTCTAGACAACATCGACGGTCGATGCGAATTAGGACCGGGTGTGATCTCGCATAACGGATGGGCGGCGCTGGACGACTCGAATTCCCTCTTGTTCGATGAGAACGGTTGGATCGCCGAGAGGAAGAAACCCGTGGCTGGGACCAAGAGGGAAGATGTCTATCTGTTCGCTTATGGACATAGGTTCAAAGAGGCTCTGAAAGCGTTCCATGCAATCAGCGGGAAAGAACCTCTTTTGCCGCGGTAAGCACTCGCTGGCGCATCGGTACCATGACGATCGTCTTGAACATTTTCTAAATACAGATATGCCTTCGGCAATTGGTGGAGCCGATACCACAAGGTCAGTCAAGCCGGTTCATAATCTCCTCGATCGACTCGAGAAAGGACACCGTATGCTGACCAGTGGCTTCTCTAAATCAGTACTCGGCTCAGGAATACATTGACCTGATGGACCGATTCAAGGCGGAAAAGATCCCCCTCTCGGTTGGAGTCATCGACATGGACTGGCACTTGGTGGAAGAGGTTGACAAAAAGGACGGTCACGGTTGGACAGGCGAGTCGCGCTGAGCTCCTACATCACTCTTCCATCATTTTCGATTGATCGATTGACCGTTTCGGCCGGTTCACAGGTTATACCTGGAGCAAGACTCTCTTCCCGGATCCTAGAGACTTCCTGAAACAATTACACGACCGGGACCTCAAAGCGACTCTCAACCTCCATCCCGCCGACGGGGTCAGGCACTTTGAAGATGCTTACCCCGACATGTGCAAGGCGCTCGGGAGGGATCCCGAGGGGAAAGAGCCGATCCCGTTCGAGCCGGAGAACAGGAAGTTTATGGATGCGTATTTCGATATCCTTCATCGAAGGTTGGAGGACGAAGGGGTCGATTTTTGGGTATGTGGCTAGGAAGAGCTGGTATGACAATCGGAGTCTTAGGCTCACCGGTCTTATCAATCATCTCTGCAGTGGATTGATTGGCAGCAGCGTCTCGGTCTGGCGGAACCGCTCTGGATCCTTAACCACTACCATTACCTCGACTCTGCCTTGAACGGGAAACGGCCGATCAGTTTCTCCCGATACGCCGGACCTGGCAGTCATCGTTACCCGGTCGGTTTCAGCGGAGATACCGTCATCTCATGGGAGTCTTTAGATTTCCAGCCGGAATTCTCGGCGACTGGTGAGACTACATCCAGACGCAGAGACTCGCGTAGCGCGAACGCTAACGAAACGATGTCCACCCCCTTTACAGCGTCCAACATCGGGTTCGGTCTGTGGTCACACGACATTGGCGGCCACTTCTTCGGATCAAAGAATGACGAGCTTTACACGCGTTGGGTCCAGCTCGGCGTCTGGTCGCCCATCTTGAGATTGCACTCAAGCTTGAACCCATTCTTGACCAAGGAACCCTGGGTGTTCGGGGATGAAGCGCGTCGATTGGCTACCAAGGCGTTGAGGTTCCGTCATCGACTCATCCCTTATTTGTATAGCATGAACAAGTTGGCCAACGCGGAAGGCGAGGCCTTGGTCCAGCCGATCTACTGGTCTTACCCTGCCGAGAACCCATGGGAAATGAAAGCCGATCCTCGAGATATGGGTAGACGCGCATACGGATACATGTACAAGAATCAATTCACCTTCGGAACCGAGTTGATGGTCGCGCCGATCACCTCGCCCAGAAACCCCAGGACCCTGTTGGGCCACGTCAAGGCCTGGCTCCCCCCAGGTACTTGGGTCGATTTCGACACCGGGTTGGTCTACGACGGAGATCGCGAGACCACTCTCCATCGTAGCCTGGACGACTATCCAGTCTTTGCTCGACCCGGGTCCATCTTGCCTCTCGACTCGGCTGAAGACCCCGAGAATGGAGGAGTCACTCCGAAACACATCGAGGTTGTGCTGGTCGTTGGAAAGAGCGGACGTTTCGAGATGTACGAAGACGATGGCCAGGGGGAGACGGGCAAGGAGACGTACACTTCGATCATCGAGTACGACTACGAGACCGGTCTGGTGAAAATCACCGATGCCCAATCGTCTCTCCGCGAGTCTTGGAGCGTACGCTTGCTCGGTTACTGGGATGCGGAAGCGATCAAGTCGGACAACGTCAAGGTCACCAAGGCGGCCAACGGTCTAGTCGTGCAACTGGACTCGACCAAGCTCGAACTTCAGCTACCTGCTAGGACTGAGCTAGGAGTACTCGACCCCAAACCGTTGATCTATACCATCATCGACAAGTCTCAACTCGAGTTCGAGGTCAAGCGGAGGGTCTGGGTGACCGTACAGGACGAAAAGTTGCCCTTCAACGTCAAGATCAGCAGGATTATGGGCGAAGACCCCGACCCAGAAAAGTCCCTGGGCGCCGCAATCGTCGAGCTCTTGACGGCGGACCAGCGCTTGAGTCGTGCTTAAAGGCAAATGGAAGAGTGGCAAGGCAAAAAGCCATGATGGACAATTTTTAGCTTGGAGAGAAGCAAAACCGACGCGAGGGTCAGCCACCCTCGATACATCGTCGCTGTTGATCAAACTGTAGAATATAAGCGCCAGGTTCTACCCGAATGTAGGCAACATGCCCTGTAACACGACCTGATCTCCATCCGCTGCTTCGTCGAAGCGATCGCACTACGGCAATACTGTTGCGCTAACCATAGACACCCTGTTTTGTTTTGGCCCTCGTTTGTACGTGAGACCTGGTGCGGATCAAAGCTGGACTTCAACGGACAGGACCTATCGAAGGCCGTTGCAGGGACAAGGATAGTGAACAGCCGTGAATCCATATAGGACAGCGGTTGTCGAATTCCGTGTCCATTCGTGCCACCATGCAGCTATCATTTGGTCAACCGATGATGCCATCCATGTACGGGCGATCCCAACCGCCACAACCTCGACCTCGCGCGGACCCGCGCTAGATGGAACGCCTCTTTCCCTGCCCTTTTCGACTTTCACATCTCTCCCGTTCCGCAGTTCTCAGCCGTAACCCGCTGGAAGTAGAAAAAAAGCTCCGAGCCGGAAGAATCTCCCTCGGATCAATCCCCCCATTCTCCCTTGCCCCCGTCCCACTTCCCCTTCCCTTCGAGAGTCGATCGATACCACGCTAACCAAATAGAAACCCGTCCAACATTTTGCCTGCTCGTGCTCGTACACAGCCAGCCGGTGTGCTACGAGCTCCTTACTAGCCCTCACATGTGAACGACCACACTCCGGCGACCATGGTAAACCATCCGGTCCTCAACACCCACGATGCTCGGGCGATCAAGTGCGCATGGGAGAAAGTTCGGGTAGCGTGGTAACCTAGTACTCGAGTAGCGTGCTTTACTGTATGTATATCGGGTGTCATGTGAGGCTTTTCTGAATGATGGTGATTAGATTGCGTTTCTTCCGAGGAAAAAGAAAGAAGAGCAGGAAGCATGGGGGTTTAGGTCATGGGTCACCTAGTGCTCATCACCCATCGTGGCTTTCAACGTCTTCATCTCGTCCTCGACTTTCCTCGACTCTAATCAGAGTGGTTTGTCTGCAAATCCTCTGGCTGCTCGTCGTTCCGGAGACCGATACCTGCAGTCTCTACCTCTCACGCAAGTCTTCGCAGCTGGAACAGGACGGGTCGCTCTGTAGAATTTCGGGAACGATATTGGTAGTTGGATACGAGAAAGTCTGGTTAGACCCACACACCCGAGTATATCAGCAACGCGACAGAGCATCCAGGGCAAAGAATTAGGAGACAGGAGACAGGAATAAGAGGCTGCTTCGGTCATCATACAATTACGAACCTTTTCACGAACAAGTTTCACAGCCGACATCAATCTCGATCGAGGATCGCCGAGGGACGAGCGTGGAAGCGTGCGAGAGGGGCAGGGTCTCCCCGTGTTTCAGAGAAACGACGTAAAACGCGATCAGATCAATCTTCTTTTTTGTTCGGCACGGCAAGGCGGACGAGGGACATCCCATCATTCTCAATTCGAAACGCCAAGTGGAATTCTGACTATCCATCAATCACAGAATCCAATCACACCATTCGCACTCGGTCGCTTGGTCGGCTGTGCGGTTTAGGGTTACCTACCCTTTCGACGGGACGAGGGTGGTATCCTTTCGTTATAGCCGCCGGTATCCCAGAGGCATTTAAAGAGCTCGAACAGGACCTTTCTCTTCCCCAATCGAGTCGGGTCGGGTCGGGTTGAAGGATACACGAATACCTTCAAAGGAGCGAACGAATCGAATCAACGTTGTCTACCGATCAGACGAACAGACATCAGACAAACGCGGATCAGAGAATCGAAATAGAAGGAACCGGGATCATCGTAAGCGATACGTAAAGGAGGGGGACGACGACCGTGCCAGCACGTTCATCAGCGATCAGATCATCAGGAGGATAGTTTCCGAAAGAGGAAAGGAAAGGAAAGGCGAGGCGGAAAGGACGAAAGGAGGGGGATCTTCCGTCGACAACAACGACGCAACGAGGCAGTGCAGTCACTCGAAGCACCCCAGATCTACCTGTTCAGGTCATCGTCGACGACGTTCGTTGGTCGACACCTACTTACTACTTGGTCGTTCCCCCCGAAATCGTAAACCGATATAAAGATCGGGCGACCCAGAAATTTCGGGGTTGTTCCATTGGGGAAGAGGGGTTACGTCAATCGCCCCGTGCGTCATCAATCGATCAACATCAAACCCCCCCTCATCAACATATTTGCGACACGACTCGCTTGGAAAACAAACAAATACTCCCCCCTCCCTTACATTATTCCTCGACCTCGACGCGATCTCTTGAGCAAAAATGTTTGCCATCCCTTTTCATTCCGACACGACCGTCCTCAACACGAGACCTCCTACTCACGACGCAAGCTCAGTAGCAGCTGGAGGTGAAGGTTCCATCCGTTCTGATCGAGCTGGATCGATCGCGAGCAGCCAGACGGGTAGTACAGGAGCTTATAGCTACACCGCAAGGGCGTTGCAAGAGCAACAACAGTTGATGGCGAACCGGATCATGATGGGAGGGAGCAGCTGGGACTCGGCAGAGGACGTCATTGTCAGTCTCAAGTTTCTGCAACCCTTCGTCAAGGCGGGGGAGGCGGACGCCGTGCTGGTTGCGAATTCGATCCCGAACTCGAGAGCCGGATCTGGAGGGGATTTCGCGTTCACTCATCCGAACCCATTTGCTGGAGGAGGCTCGGATGAGCCGCCCAAGACGGCAAGTTCGCATGCCACCTCGGTCGCCTCGTCGAAACGTTCGACGGGGTCGACCTCGTTGACGGCGATGGAGTCCGAGGTGTACGGGATCTTGAAGATGTACGTGGAGAACAAGCTGAAGAAGAAACGAGGGGGCAAGGAAAAGCGGATGATCGAAGTTGGCAAAAAGATCGAGGTGCTGGAAGACGAGGTGAGCCTAGCCGAGGTGACTGCAGGGACGATGACGAGTTGCGAGATGCTGAAATGAGCACGTCTACGTATCGTGCTAGTTTCCGGATTGCGCGACGTACATCAAGTTGTTCAAGCGCGTTCGAGAGAGTCACGATCTTCCTCCTCGAGAAACGCCTCAGTCTCTCGAACCCGAGACGTCGCAGCAGAACGACGCTGGGCAATCCGGTCTCCATCGCGATCACCACGCCTCGTCCGCCTCGTTTATCGACCCGTTCGATTCACTCCCTCGTACAGCTCCCCGATACACGCACCACCACACCGCATCCACCTCTTCCTCCCTCTCCCGTCAAGTTTCCCCGGCTGCCTCGGTCTCGCTCGGCGCAGCAGCTCGACCTCCGACGAGAAAGTTGTCCAAGCGGGGCAAAGGTCAGGGACACGAGAGCAAGCCTTCGACGAGCTCGTACTCAAGCCAGTCGAGCTTTTCACCGTCCATCACGGCGGACGATATTTTCGTCAATTTCGGGTTGAACAAGGTTGACCCCGGCTCGACGTCCATGGTAAACTCCGTGAATACCAATCACAAGGCGGGAAAGAGGCCGAGCATGAGCTTGTTCACAACGTTTGGGAACACGCAAAAGAAGAGATCAGAGACGGTCGACGCGGAGATCAGTTGGCCCTTGCCTAGCCCGACCACCGCGGGGAAAATGACGAGCGAACAAGAACAGGCCGAGGTCGTCAAGGCAAAGATCGCCGAGGCGTTCTTGGAGGGTGTCCCGGGCAGGGAGAGGAAGGTTTCGGCGCTCGGCGATGCGCCGTGGGCCGCTTCGCGGTCGATGCCGGTACGACCGCCCAGACCGGGCTTGCCTGCGACATCGGCTGGGGGACATAGGTCAGAGCCGGGTAGGACTAGCAGCAGACAGGTCTCGGGCACGATCAAAATGGAACACAAGGACGATATCGATGTCAGAGGAAACACCATGGCAAAGGCTACCGTTGAACCCAATAGCCGACCGTCAAGCGGGTCCAGCTCGAACCGGGTGCTGCGGTCGGTAGCGAGCGCTTCCGCCATCCGGATTGATCAGCCAGCCGTGGTCAGCGATACGTTCGAGGCCGACATATTTGGATCTTCGCCCGAGAAACAAGAATCGATGTTCGAAAGGAGGAGGGATTCACAACGCTCGGATACGAAGTCGATCAGGACTACGAGCAAGAATCTGGCGACATCGACTGCTCCACCTCCGATGGCCCCGCTTCCCGCCTTGCCCGATGTCAGCGAGATGGACGCCATCGATAGGACTCCCCTCCCTCGTTCCAGATCCAACTCGACCTCGTCCACGCAGAGCCTGGCAAAACGTCAGGCCGTCTTCATGTCTGATGAACCCGACTATGTACACACCGAAAACGAAGTCGAAGAACTCGTCGCATCCGAATCTTCCAGCGTCTCGGACAACTCGAGCGGTTCAGGACGAAGAGGCAGGTCAGCCGAGGAGATTATGTCGGCTTTACAAGCGAGGACGTCGGCTATCGCTTTGCCTGGTACCCCAGCCAAGGATCCGCTCAGACCTGCACCTCCCTCTCAGAAGCATTCGTCCTGGAGTAGAGCTTCTGCTGGCCGCCTTTGCGATCTTCCCGAAGAGGGCGAAGAGGCCGAAGATGGTTCACCTCGAAGTCAAGCGAGAGCTTATAACTTGGAGGACAGTATGACCTCGCCCGCATTGTCGACCCATGGCAACCGATATTCGACCGACTCTTATGATCTCAAGATCACCACCCCCGAAGGCGACATCAGCTTTCAAACGGAATATCGACGCGACTTTGACGCCGAGCTCGGAAGCGGTCTCGCGCAGAGTCATCTGGAACAAGAACTATTCTTCCGAGCACCAGCCGCCAAAAGGGACAGCGCCGCGATCCGGTCGAATTGGAAGTGAAGAGGACATGCATGCATGCGCAAAGAACGAATGCATATGTTGTACATTAAAACCAACAACGAAACGGCTTGCTATAATGACGAATGAAGATGCCATGGCTGTACCGACTGTGCATGAAAGATCAGGAATTGTGCGAGGGGGGAAACATGCTGGTCATCGAGGATACATGAGGTTTCGTGTTTGTAGCTACATGGTAATGCTCGTCGACAATGCTCGAAAATCGGGTCTTGGGTAAATTATAGTGATTTAGCGAATTGGAGCAAGATTATCTATGATTGTCCATTGTTGCCGGTAATTGAAGTCAGTCCCTTGATACTGAAGAACCTGACGCTACGACGCCTCTTGGGCGGATTGGGTTTTGCGCTATCAGAATCTCTACTCGGCTCTAGGCGACGAGCTGTTGTGTCCGGCTTGGGTACAGACGAGGTGTCTGTACCGTAATCTGACGAAGTATTCGATCGAGAGCGACGTGCATCCGATGTCTGACCGACCGGAGCTCCGAAATCGTTCACGACCACCTCGTCGATGGGAAGTCCAGGTACAACACCGCTTGGCGAGCCGGGTACCGATTCCAATCCACGGGGTTCGGCAGATGGAGTCGAATAGACGGAAGAGGTCAGCGGGTCGGTCTCAACCGAATTCCTCCGGCTGTCATACCCGCCATACTCGCTGTTCGGGTTCGAGCTGGTTCCCTTCCCCTTGGAAGCAAGCTTGACGAATGACATGGACCTCTTTATTAACGAAGGTTGTTGTGGGGGATTCGATGGACGAATGTTGGAAAAGCCAGCACCTGAAGCGTATACCCCGTGGTGATGATGCCTGGACTCAAAGTATCCTTCAGCAGGGCTCTCGTGATCGTTAGGGGTCATATCGTCATGGGGGCTGTGATCCGGCAACCTCGGCACGGACGGGCTGCTCGGCAGAGAGTGCGCTCTCTCCGACGGTTTGGGTCGACCAAAAAGGGAGCTCAGCCGGGTAAGCGATTGTTTGCGTGGCAAGACCTGACGATTGCTTTGTGATGGTATGAAAGCTCCCTGAGTAGGAAGACCTTGAGACTGCGAGCGAACGTGTCGCTGTGCTCCGGCGTCCTCACGAGAAGGATAGGTCCCGGACGGTTCTCTGCTGATCGTGTTGTTCGGCACCGCAGTAGCCGTGGTGGCCACAGGGCTCGATGGGACCGTTATTGGTGCGGTCGATACTACCGGGGATGACAAACTGGTTCCGCTAATCAACATGGGAGTCGATGCCCAAGGATCTTGTTGACCGTCGTGAGAAGACAACGAAAGACCCCGCTTGATACTACCTGCCAGAGAAGACCTCTTGCCAGACACCGTCGTATACGACGAGATCCGGTTGTCTTCCTTTTGGCTACTGGTCGACACCGTCCGGGCGTGCCCGAACCCTTTCACGTCGACGTAGCTTCGCCGACGCTTCAATACAGACGCCCCCCGCATCGACAATCGGTTGCGCATGGGCCCAGAATTCGCGCTCGGTGAGGGCATAGTCTTTGGTTGATCGCTGCTCATCCTTGCCAAGCTGATCTCTTCGCTGAAGATGAGGTAGTCGTCGATGACCGCACGCTGCCAGGAGGAAACCTTGGCCAAAAAGAAATCTGGTGACGTAGCGCCGATTGCCACGGGTTGGCGCCGGAGCGGAGTGGCCGGGGTCACGGGAGATGCCGGAAAGGGGATTTCCTGTCGATCGGCCGGAGATGTTTCACGATCCATGGATCGGTTGATTGGCGTTGACGGCGAGGCTTCTACAGAATCGAACAAGGCTATGGAGTTTCTCTTGAGTGGTGTCGCTAGCATCTCGACGGGTGTCACCACGGAACCGCGGCGTTTCTTGTCTGTGCGCAGAAGGATGCTGCAAGGCAGATCGAAAGGCAACACCCCCGCCTCGTTGCGTGCCGCGCACAGCGCTGTCGCCCATACATCCTTTTCCTGTTGACAAGTAGTGGCAAGCTCGAATTGATGATCGAGAAAAACCAGCCTGATTGAATAAGGCAAGAATCCTAGTGATCAAGCGGGTCAGAGTCGCGTCACGTGCATAATAGCTGCAACAGAGGATCTCACCTTCGTCGACGTCTATCAACTCGAACATTTCCAGGGGCAAGTAATGCTTTATCTCGTAGCTGGTTTTTTTTACCTTGACCAGAAGCATAAAGCCGTTGTAGACAAACGCGCCTTGGTACTTGATGTCTATGGGTGGATGCATGGGAGCCAAGGTCGGATGGTGATATAGTACTTCCAGCGCTCCCGCTAGCAAGCAAGGGCCCAGTCCTGCCAAAAGCGATTTGTTGACGACCTGACACAAAGGTGACAATATTAGCTCAGCAGTCGACGAAATGAAAGGGTCCACAAATCAACCTACAGGGTGATATTCTAGACGCTTTGCAATGTTCTTGGTCCTGGATACCATGATACTGCGCCGATTGGCCTCGTCTGCCCTGGCTGCGGCCATCTTCGCCACGGCTAAGGCCCTAGAAGGATCGACACCTACATCATAGCTCCTCGTGAAATCGATCTTGTCTTCGAGCGTTGGCGAAGGAGTTCCCCCGCTAGCGTTGAGCGAGTGCAGTACAAGAGGATAGCGACAGATCCGCTGGACTGGCAAGATGAGCAGATCTCGAAGGTAGAGTCGAGAGGGCATCGAGCTGATTGTCGCGGGAGGGACCGTAGTCGCGACGAAACTGGGCTCTTCCTTTAGCATGCTATAAAGCGTCTTGTGGGCCCTCGTGGCTGCAACGATACGGCACCGTTTCTCGAAAGCGTGCCATTCGGGTCGATGATGCACAGCGCGTATAATATCCATTGCAGCAGCGGTGCCTGCGCAATATTGGTTGTAGATTTCGAGTCCAGAAGCCTGCAGGATCCGCACGTATCAGATCAGCTACACAGAAATTGGATTCTGGCGTTCGGATCTTGTGCTTACATCCTCAATAAAGACGGCAGACACTTTGCGTATCATCCGCTCCGTCCGCGCGGGCTCATCCACTGGCGTAGGTAGGTCCGCTTCTGTGCCCAAGTGTTCTTCCTTCAGCACCTCCACCATGCGGGCCGAAAACTGCTCGTGGAAGTAGAGCATGTCACCGAGATTCCGTGAGATGAGCTTGTGATCAGACTCGGTGATGCAGGAGAGCGCAGCCAGCTGCGGAAGAAAGATCTCGACCAGGTCGCGCAGGTGGCTGGTATAGGCGACTTCGGTCTCGACCAGTTCGACTAGCTGATACTTTCTCCGATCAGAACGGGCGACACGGATGGCCAACCTGTCCTGTAGAGCCTTTGTCAGGCCGTTCATGTCCTCTGCCGGGTCGTTCGAATTGGCGATGATAGGCTCCTGCTTGTCGTTGCCGTCCTTGGCATTCTTGGTACTCCTCGAAAGCGAAGTTGAAGCGGACGAGAGCATGACCTCGGCTGTACCTGCACCCGACGATGTCCCGGTGAGGGAAGGGATCTGATCATGATCCTCATCGTAGCTAGTCCCGACAGCGTGCTCTTTAGACCCACTTTCCGGCGGGGCGACCGGGTATTCCTCTTTGGAATGCGTGACGGATGATCCAGACGGTCGCTCTGCCCGGAGCGTAAAGGTCGATAGGCCCTCTTCATCCAGGCCGAGAATGCTCGTTCCCGCTATAGGTCTGCTGCTGAAAAAGTCGACTCCTGACCGACTCGCGTGAGACTTGTTGCTGAGCGCAGGTGACACTAGAGGTCGACCCTGGCCCATGACTCCGCCTGGTATGGCATGCAGGGTAAAGTTCACGTCGGATGCCGGTACATAGATGAAAGGCTGCTTCGTCGGCTTTTCCGTCTTTTTATGATCAGGGGTGTACCATGTAAGATCGGTCTTCCCCGGCCGATCCTTGATTTCCAGACTGGACGTCCTTCTGGGCGGCATGATACGTTTTGATGGAGGTTCTCCTTCAACCCAGGCCCGCTGTCGACCGTCCACAGGCGAACGTTGGAAGAATTCGGACTGCCTAGCAGGATCCACTGCAGGCATAGCGCCCGGAGGTAATTGACCTTGTTTCAATTCATTCCCCAGTGTCCCAAAGACGAAATCGTGCGGACCGGCGCTCATCGTCGCCCTTCGTTTCCTATACGAAGTCGACGATGATGACGCCAACGGCTCCATCTGGGTCCCTTCGACAAACGTCTTCCTGCCCCACGTATGTGCCAGAGGATTCTCGCCCACCGCATTGCTTGGATTATTGTCAGTAGGCAAGACATGCAAAGACGGGGACCTCCGTTTGTACCTCGATGTCGCCATCGGATGTCCCTGTCCCTGTCCATGTCCTCGTTCCGAGATGGAATACCCTGCAACCCCTGCACTGGTGGAAACCCGGCGTCGACCTTTAGTCCTGCTTCCTCCCGTATCCACCGATCGTGCGATCGGGCTAGCTTTCCACCGTGTCGGCGTGTCCATATCCAGCTCGTCCTCGTCAGTCGTCAAGGAGCTCGTCCGACCCGAAATGACGGGATAAGAAGAAAAAACGGGTTGATCAGGGATGATGAGCGGGGAAATGACAGGCCGTGTCCGTCCGGTCGTGCTAGACCCGGTAGGCGTCGCAGCGGAATTCGATCGATTGGGCCTGCCCTGAACGTGGATCGGATTTTGGTCTGGACCGTCAGCGTATTGGTGAACAGGGCGCGTAGGCGTCGAAACTCCACTCTTTGGATCGGAATCAGAACCATTCGTAGCACCCGTCGTCGAGTTGTACCCTCCCGAGCCCGAATTTGAATTTGACCCGGAACCAGATCCAGAAGCTACAGGGAAAGCAGGCAGACCAAGCGTAAACTGATTATCCGCATGATGCGCCCACCCAGTCCCAGCCCGTCTGCGTTCGAGCTCTTCCATCTCGGATCCAGACCCTCCTGTATCCGCAGTTGCATCTCTGCTCAACCGTCTGAGGCCATAATGCGCTTGTGCCGGTTTCGGTGAGATATCCGATCCCAACAATCGGGTGGTCGACTTGTTCAGCATTGTGCCTAGCCCGAAGATAGGGGAAACCGAACTCGTAGTCGTGATCACATTCGACCCTGTTCCGTCTCGTCCTCCATGTCCAGGCTGATCTATGGACCCGCCCGTATGTCCATCTCCCGAAGAAGAGGAGACGCTCAATCTCCGGAGTTGATAGTGAGATCCAGATGTTGACGCCGAGGCAGAGCCCAAGATCGCTTTCGACCTGGACGGACTTGTAGGGCTGAAACTCATTCCTAGGACAGCAGGACCGGCTAGACTAGCTCGTCGAGATGTCGATGTTGTGAAAGAGACGGGTGGAGAGATGGATAACCCCAACCCTGATGCCGATCCCGATCCTGATGCTATTGGAGAGGCTCCTTCCATCGATGATTGGGATGCATGTTGTTGCCTCGACCCTCGCCTGGCCAACCCCGTACCGGACCCGGAGACCAAAGTCGATTTCGATTCCTGTCCGCGCCCGTGTCCGGGGGAGATGACGCCCAACGCATGATCGACGGACGATCTCCTCGGACTCGTCTTCGAGCCATCTCCCCTGTCCTGAACAGCTGCACTGCCGTTCCCGCCTGAGCTTCGCATTGCACCCTCACTGATGCTAACGTTCATCCCATCGGTCTTGGTTGCAGTCTCAGCATCGACGTCGATTTTTGGAGAACCGAGATTCGAATGGAGGTGAAACATGTATTCCCTGTAGAGCTGGTAAGACGGATGTTCGAAATCCTGGTCGTACGATGACAGACGTTGCATGGTCCAGCTACTGTCTCCGTCCTAGTTGCTCAAGATTGGAGATTGTCGGATGTGTATGCGGAAAGAGATGACGGTGGCGGTGATGCAGGTGAGGATTATGTGATGTTATTTTTGACTTGCTCGTTCTGGGTGTCCGGTGAATCTTGTCTGCTTGTGCTGAATGAATGGAAAGTCCGAGTACGGTTGTGCTCACGTCTTCTGGCGGATGGTGATGGTTTCGAGAGATTCGGAATGAAAGGACAGCGAAAGGAAAGGTGACGAGATCCGTAATCCTACGTGCGGACAGTTCGATGTGATCCGATACGAGATGCTCGCTGTGTTGCTCGAGAACAGCGTCCGATCCGGATCAAACTGCAACGTCCTCCTACGTCCAGAAGGAGACCAATAACAGATACGGCCTGCAAGCTCCCAATTCTGAGCTCTTCTCTGTCTCTCTTCTCTTCTCCTCGAAAGTCGCTTGCTGGTGGTAGTGTCGCCGATCACCCCGGTATGGACGACCGACAACTAGATCGACATTGTTTTTCCGAACCCGCCGATGACGAGTTGAGCCGAGGTGGGATAGGTTGTATAGGGTTGTCGTCCCGTCGACGCGATGATAAGAATGGTCAGGAAGGGGTATCGCTGTTGTGTAAGACCAGACTCGTGATATCGAACCGAGATCCAGATTATTATCGCTGTGATGTGGCCTGAGGTGTGAGTGAAACCTGTCCGGACTTGGGATCGTAGCTACCGTTTGGCTCGGGAATGCTGCTAGCTGCTAGCTGCTAGCTGCTAGTCTCTCTCCCAAAGAGGGGCGTCGCCCCCCGGAATGATCATCCCTCGCCACCACCAACATGGGATGATGTAATAGCTTCCGTAATTACGAGAGGTCATCCCCCTCCTCCGCCTCGCCCTGGAGCGCCAGGTTTTGATTCCGGTCTCGTACCCTCGGCATCTTGGCCCGTCCCTCCTCGTGGCTGTGTGCGGGCAATTGTTTTCGATACCGAGCGTCGGTTCATCGAGATCGAGAGCAGAGTTTCAGCTCAGCGCCGACACCAAAGGCAGAGAGCAGAGAGAGGCAACGAGGTCGAGTAAATCATGGGCGATCGTACGATCCTCCCCAAAACCCCAAACCCGTCCCTCCAAATCCCACGCAGTATTCATCTCACATGCTGTCGCCCGGGATAACCTCCACCCGTTAATTACTGCGAAGCTCAACCCTCGGAAGTAAAATGGAAGCATATTCATACCGATCTGCGCTTGATCGCGCAGTTCACATCGTGCATGTATGCATGTCAATCGACTTTTCAGAGCATTGACAGGCTGAACGGGTCACGATATCAAAATGTTCTTACGAAACGATGTGGCCTAACCAGCCTCTACCTGGATCAGGAACCATGAGATGCACCGCTCGCCAATCCTTCTGAAAGCAGTGAGACTTGCGAAATGAAGCGAGGTCATGACCACCTCGACACTCATGCCCATATCTTGACCATATCTCCGTGAACCAAAGTATCGTATCGCATGACACATTCGCAACATAGCCTCCTCTGGCCGGAGACTGCGCCCATATACTACCGCTACAGCCCTACTTCTTCCTCCTCCTCGCCTCGTTCGGGTTCTTCCTGCCATACCCGACCGTCGGTAACCCTTCTCCCCCCGTTCGACGGCCTTTACCTGACGAGCCCGTCGTCAAGATCTCCGGTAGCCACTGAATGTAACAAACGATTCAGTATGGAGCATCAGCAAGAAATCGAGTAAAAAGAGAGCAAAGAAACCGCTATGACGAGGTAGAAGACGCGCTACTCACATCCGGATCGTTCCAACTCCCCAAGCCCGCCCCCTTGCCCTCCATCTGCGCCTTGACGGCCCTCTCGAGCTCCTTGTCCTCTTTCCACCTCCGCCCTTCCTCCCTCTTCACGCCCCTTTGGAACTCTTTCTGATCTTCCCGTAAGATCAATGTATTACCGTTGGACGCCGATTTCGAGGACCCCATTTTCGGGGAAGGGATCGAGTAGACGGTCCCACGCGTACGGTATTGGAAGTTTTGTTTCAAGTGCACTTCGACCCGAGGGTTAGGTTCAGAGGGTGTAGGGGCGTGGGTGGTTATGCTTGCTCGGATCAGAGTTGGGCCACCACATGAAGGGCAAAACTTTTTCGAAGGATCCTTACAGAGCCTGCGTGGTCAAAGTAGGAGAGAATCTGTCAGCATTTGCAGGCTACGCCACATGAAAAGCCCGAAAACGGGCTCCCGCTCCAACTCACTTGAAACAAGCGTGACATCTCAACACCCAGCTCTTGACGCTCTTGATCCGTTTCCCACCTTCCCCTACTAGCCCGAGCCCCATCTGAACGAGAACGTTCTGCACAGCGTAGTCTCCGGTGAAACAAGCCACTCCGACCTGGGCCTGAGGTTTCCTGGGCGCCCGCTTCTTCTTCTTCTTCACCTCGGGCAAGGTCCCCGTCGTCCCCTCGGTCACTGCCGAACCCGATCCGGCCGACCGACCTGCCTCGGTGCGTGTGGTAGGTAATAACCCTAGATCCTCGGCCTTGTGCTTGGTAACGTTCTCCGGGGTGATCCATTCTCCTGCCCCGCCCTCGTCCCATCCATCCTCACCGGCGTCCTCGTCGTCATCCTCGGCATATACCTGCTGGAACTGCTGCTTCCTAGCTTCCTCCTCCTGCATCTCCCGACGAAGCTCTTCGATACGTTTCTCCCGTTCCGTCTGTACAGGAGGTGCGGAACCATCTCCCGACCGTATGGCAGGGGTGATGTTCATCTCGGCCAGATGAGCTTCGACGGCTTTCCTGTCCGCCTCGTCGTCTCCCTCTTGACGCTCAGAGGTTCCGGTCGGCAGAGCCGGGAAGGCGTCCTCCTCCTCCTCCTCGTCTGCGTCTTCATCATCCTCATTGCCCACCTGCTCCGACTGCTCGACCACGACTGGCTTCTTGACCGCACCCCAAGGACTCGCTTTGGGGGCCGTCGATGGGCCAGCAGCAATCGTAGAAGTCGACGAACCGGCCGGCTGCGACTCTTCGGTACTATCTTTTGATTGTTCCGGGTTTAACGTAGTTGGCATAGACGGACGCGAAGGTGACGAGGTTGATGCGGGTGAGGACTTCTTTTCGGCGTCCATGGCGTACGTCAAGGCGAGCACGGCCAAATCCGGTTTCGACAGGACTGCATAGTCTCCGGTCTTTTGTGCGAATGCAATGACTGAAGATCCATTTCGTGACCACGTCAGCCACAATTGTCCTAAAGAGTGTTACTACCCCCCACAACACGGCGCAACCCACCTTTGCTCAAGCTGATGGCATCAGGCGCCTTGACCTCGATCTCGACACCCTCGATGAGACCCGCCTGAATCCTGTCCCAGTACTGTCGGGCTTTCTCATCCCTCAACTCGGCGATGACTTGCGGAGGGGCGACGAAACGTTCCGCCATCCCCCTGAGCGGGGTGAGAGAGAGAATAGGACCAGCATCGAGGACGAGGGTGTGTACGGGCGTAGAGGGAGGTTTGCGAGGTGTATTGCTGGGCTTGGCGGTTGATACCGCCGGGACTGGTGTTGAAGATGGTTCCGACATTATGAACAGCACAACATTGAGCGGTATGTATATAGCTGAAGTAAAGACTCGAGAAAGTGCCTTCTCAGGTATGGCAACATCGTCGTTTTGGCTACGCTCATCGTCTGATCGCCTTTCGCCGCGGTGACCGATTTACTCGCACAACTTTTGAGCGGACATCGACAGATATTCGATGGTCCGCCGCCGAGACGTTGACGGGCGACGCGTATCTTTGCGCTCTCAACCTGATGGGTATCGTAAGGTGCCATGTATTCCTACCGGATTAGGGTAGCATTCATGATCCACGATTCATCAGGCATCGGGACGGACAGCAAGACCAGACTGAGTCCCATTCGAATCGGTTGGTCTGCCTGGATCCTTGCGCTTTCACGTCGAGGCGACGACATCCGATAACATGAAGCGGGACATCGCAATCGTCACGCCTCAGTAGCAAAAGGGCGCCATGCTCAGTCATCGCATTCTACGCCAAAAGTCTAGTCCAAAGAGAGAAACATGGGAGTCGAGGCGCATCGTGTTTCCAAATCTGCTGCACCATCGAGCGCATGCGGCTCTCGAGGGCGAGGCGCGCACACGGCAATCGTGAAACGATCAGCGGTTCGGTGGGAAGCAGGCTAAAGTCTGTCGATACCCGAGCCGCGCGTCCGGGGTGGTAATCGATCAACCTGTGTTTCGAAATGTTCATTCCAGGTTCGACACCAGGCGACCACGCCACTGCACGCAGGAGAGTCATAAAGGCGTGAGACTACTGCTCACGGACAGCCTCCTCTATCGAGGCTGGGATCGAGTCATGTGAGTGCTGAAGTAACTAGGAGCTAGCAGCTAGCAGGGTTCTGTGCTCTATTCGAGACTTGATGTGAAGTCGACACACGGTACACGGTGAGCGATCTCGGGCATCGCTGGTGGATCCCAGTGGGTCAAGAGATGAAACCGTGGGATTGTGAGATTGCCCCCGACGATCGTCGTGCTCGGTGCGGGCGTGATTCCAGGCGGGCGTGATTCCAGTGGTCACTGGAATCGAAACGTGCCTCGTTGGAGCGGGTCATTCGCAGCCTCTTGCGTCATCGTTGGAATGAGGACAGGAACGAATCTCGTGGGGTCTCTTTCTTCTCCACATCGGCTGCATTCCGATGTGCAGAATTCGTGCTCGAAATCGGGCAAAGGTGAAGGAGGCACGATGCTTGCCCCGCCCCGAGGATTCCAGCGCAAGGGAAGCGTGGATCCAGCCATGGAGATCGACAGGTCATACCAGCTCGACATTTGCATGGTTGGCTTGTAGCTCGTAGCTTATAGCTCGTAGTGTTCGCTCGAAGAAGAACCGAGAGCATCGGAATAAATCGCTTCGCTTTCGCCTCCCTTCCGTCCGTCTCCAAACCCTCCTTGTCCTATCTATACGCTGCTACGCTGCTGCACGGTTCCACCACTTCTTATATAGATATAGACTTTACACTCGAGAATTCTTTACCCAGCGCCGAACGTACTCAGCTCGTCTTTTCGACTGTCTGAACACAACTCACTTGTCACAATTCCCGAACTCCCGAGGCCCGCCGAACGCCCCGAATCCCCTGGACGGTAACCAATACGACCGTTACCGCACCTATAATTCAAAGGTCCACCGGTACGAGTGGCGATCCGTCATCATGGCCTCGGCAGTCTTCTTTGCCTCTCACGACTCCGAGACCATTCTCCCTGGCTCTGCTCGAATCCGAGGCTCTACCTCGAGGCCCAACAGGAATCTACGTAGATGCAACACGGTGGCCAAGGCCGAATCGTCAAACTGCCAAAACAATAAGGACAACCCTGAGGATTCAGACGGGCTCGACGATGTCGACCTGAACGCCGAACAGGACAAAGGACTTCATCTCGTCGAGGACGCTTCCGGTAGCAGTCCCCGTCGACTTGATGCGTCTTCGCGGCCCATACGGAATACCAAGGTGAGTCTGAGCTCGTAGTTGGCATCCCGCTATACGAGACGCAGGAGCTTATTCCATTATGGTAATTTGACCGGTAGTCTCGGGTCAGGGGTGAATCATCTCAAAAGCGTAAAGAGCAGAGTACGTCATGAGCCTCAAGCGCAATCATGACCGAACTTGAACTCTCGGGGACTCGGACTGACACGACACACGTCTTCGCTCTACCATGCCCGTCTCGTTGGACAACCGCGCAGACCGAGTTGCTCAGCGTGCTTTTCGGCAACGGCAAAAGGTCTACTTTGTGGATCTCGAAGCAGAGGTCGTTGAAAAGTCGAGCCAGATCCAAGCCATCACCAAGCATAACCAGTCTTTGATGGAGATGATGGAGAGGTTGCAGAGGGAGAATATCGCTGTCAGTTGTTCTATCCCGGAACACTTATTCTGAGTAGATGAATATCCCGTGTTGAATCTCTGCAAACTCTACTTCTCGATGTCTACAGCTGAAAGCGGCAAAGGCTCCTGGTTTGACCGGCATTTCCCCTCTTGGCAATCTCGCTTTGGGAAATGTCGATAACTCCACTGCATCGGATCAACCTGATGTAAAGGCTTCCGATGCACAACGAGTCCCCAGTGGCTCCTGCCAGCATGATCCTGGAGCCGGGGAAGAGGTTCTCGTTTCCATCAACGATCTCGCTTCCGTGAGCAATGAAGCTCAGAAGAAGAGCAAAATTCAAAACAAGGCTAAGAAGAAGACGCAGATCAAGTCGGCTACTACTCGTCGGCGCTCTGCCGATACTGGCCCTTTTGCCACTGCAATCGCTCCCCTCTCGTCTCGCTTGCCCAGTACGGTCTCACCGCACTCGCGCTCCATCAGACCAGAACATCACGAGCAGATGGAGAATTCGGGTCCTGCCTACCCTTCGGGATATCAGCGAAGGCAGTCCAGTAATGCCAGTCACGGAAGCGTCTCTCAGACGTCCGTACTCGCAGCTGCAGATTTTCCGAAAGCTATCTCGTCATCTGGGATCACCTCGCCAGTTTCCGCGCAGTCGAGGCCTGTCGAACAACTCACCGAGACTATCAACAATCCATCTTGGGTCACGAGTGAGTGAGAAACACAACCTCCCACTCGCTCTTCGTCAATACCAACAGGATCGAAAATGACTGATTCTAGCGGTCCCGCCAACGTCGTTACCTTTGCGCTGTCTCTCGATGGCACTATAGCCAACTCGCATCAGCTGCATCCACAGAGCTTGGACCAGGCCATGTTCTCAGATGGCTCGCATCAGGCTGGCCTCCCCCATTCCCCTTTCACGGCTGGACTCTATGACCAGCATCAGCATGACCCGCGTCAACAGCATCAGAACCAGCACCGCCCGATTGATCCGGCACGCAAGTACTCGGAAGCTCTGCTACGATACCATGCCGAGGCGCCTATCAGCTCGTCAGCACACGGACGACGCGCAACAGTCGGCGACCCGAGCTCAATGACATATCCTCAGTCACCAGTCGAATTTGACCGAGTGAACCATTGCAGAGCTGGGCATTCTCTCGACGACGCTCAGGCTTTCGCTAGACCCGAGCAGATCGGGTGGATGAACACCTGGCGATGGCTCGGAACCAGTTATATGAACGCCTTTGGGATGCCTCTCGAACAGAACATGAATGAAATGAACACTCAACAAGCTCCCGCTTCGTTACAACAACCGGTTCCATCGCCCACTCCGGTCATGTTCATGCAACCCCCTCAAGCTGGAAACACAAATCCGCTAGAGCGGTCACAACAGCCACCCAATCAGGCTGAGTATCAGGCCAAGTTGTTTGCAGGCGCAGCTCAGGGTCTGAAGAGCGATGCCCACGGGGGTATCATGCCGTTCACCCAGAACTTGACACCTATCGATGGTGTCGGTCCGCTTGGTGAGTCGAGAGTTGCTCACCTTTGTTTGACCATATTACTCACACTGCGATGTACCTTCTTGTCGATAGACAATCCCTTTCGACCCGACTTTGATCCTAACCAGTCTGGTCAGCTTTGGCGCGATCAGGGTGATCTCCAAGGTGGAGACAGCCAGATGTACGGGGTCGACGGCAATAGTCCCAGCGGATTGTTCGATACGCCTTCGGAAGCTCCCTTCGTCGGCCTATAGGGAACTCACATCCCGTACCGTAGGCAAAGGGCTCCCTGAGGAATAGAATCTCAGGAATACGACCAAAACAAACCGATGACGACATAGAAAGCAACGGCTTCCCAACGACACCTCCACCTCGATTTTACCGCCTGAGGTATCTCGATGATGACACGAATGTTTCCGCTCCTACACTATGCTATATACACTACGTTCCACTAACGTTGTATGCCCGTTAGCTATCGTGACGTCCTTTCTCTGCATACTCGTATACCTACAGATGTTGCCCGATCTTTGCTTCCGGGGCTTGCGTCGTCCTAGCTAACCTATATTTGGGCGGCGGCAGTTAGCTAGCTAGATGTTCAACTTCGCAACTCGACAAGTTGATGAACGGATTGCACCATTCTCATCTGGCAACTGGCTGATAGGAGTAGGATAGTCACAGCCAGGCATGAGGCCCAATCGTTCAGCCTCTGTCTCGACGATCGCATCTTTTGCGTCAGCGCTCAGCGGGGAATACGGGACTCCCCCCTTGACATCGTCCTCGGAGTCATACTTTTTACCTTCTACCGGATCACCTCAACTAGGCACTTCCGATGTGGAAGATGAGGACGAGGCATCTACTACAAGCGGACCATCTACGCCTAGAGCTAAACCGAATCTATTATTGGATTCCTCGGTGTCTCCACCACCGACATATGCGGGAAAGGCCAAGGCCAAAGGTTCGTTCTGGATCGCCAGTGACGATGACGCAGAAGATGAAGAGGTGTCGACCGGAACCGTGGCCGAGACTTGGACAGCTGGACCGGAGGATGAGCAATTCTTGGAGCGCCTATCGGCCAGCTCGAGAGGAACGCTACACGGTAGCCCTGTCATGGGCATTGACGACCCTTTGCTGGAGCTAGGCATAAGCCTGGACGATGTTGCCAGTGAGGACGGAACCCTTCCTTCCGATGACGATGGAGACTTGCAAGATGAAGAATGGAACGAACTGGAGGAAGGCGAGCATATCCCTTTGACGAACGCTTCGATACGCATGGACGAGGAGTCGGCACCTCTGGGAGGACGGAAACGAAAGCGACGGAAATGGAGAGAAGCGGAACAGGAATTCGCTCGAGGAGGACACAAGGAGCTGTGGCAGGTGGGAATCTATACTCGACGTTCTTGCCTGATTATTTTACTGACATTTTATCCTGTTTATCAGCTCGTGCCACCTCAACTCCTGTCATATCCGCTGGCCTTTCTCCCCTTGATCCCGCTGCTTCCGGCTTCTTTCCTGCCAGGCGGAGCTGCCGTCTTTATCCCGGTCATCGCTATTATCACCGGTTTGTCAGCTTGCGCACATGTCGTCACTGTCTACCTTTCCAGGTGAGAAAAAGCGGTTGAGCTTCAGCATCGATCCTCCAACTTACCGAACTTGCTCCGCCCTGCTAGATATCTGAAAGTAACAAATTTCGAAGACATCCTGCACAGGTCCGCTGGCAAACATGGTCTGTGGGCGGGACGGGCTCTGCAGGTAGTCGGTATCCTTTGTACATGCATAGGTTGGCTCAGAAGTGAGCAGTTTTCGGATTTCGATGTGTGATCCATCTCGTACTTACGGCTCCCGCTCTTGATATCAGCGATACACCCCATCTGGCTCACCTTTATTCGACCTCTATCTTCATCCAATTTCTTGGCGTCAAGATGGTTCGTCCTCATCATATCTTCGTTCTTCGTCAGTATAGATTCATCGCCTCCGGCATGGCCCCTCTTTCTGAGCGCATATCCTTCCCAATTTACAGATGCTACCTCTGCCGTCCCGTGCCAAGCCCCATACCGGAATCTCAATACTTCCAGATCTCTTAATTCTTCTCCTGCCCATGGTCGTATTTACCGTCATCGGTCGAACGGTCGAAATTTCGGCTCTGGAACAGTCATCGCCGTATGTACCGGAACAGCCACCCGCGCGGTACGGACCCTTCGGCATGGAGAGCCTAAGTTCCGGGACAGCTCTTGGTGAGTGCTGGATGGTCTCGAGGCTGCATACCAAGCTAAACCGATCACATGATATAGTTACCATCATCCTGTTCAACACTCCCCATGTCCAAACGCTACCTATTCACGGCAGTCTTGTGAGGACCTCTAGGACGTGGTTCCCCTTACCTTGTCTGATCGCGGCAGGCACGCTGCTAGTCATGGTCTTGCCGTATTCGCTTGTGCCGTACTACCTCTTCAACCTGCACGAGGAAGGCGTCGGTCTCTCGCGCGCTGGGATCTTTGCCATCATGCAACGGCCCGAGGTGGATGGAGCGCTCAACTTTGCGAGGCTGTGCATGATCGCTTTAACGTTGACGACAGCAAACCAATGGGTCGCCCAGGCCAGAGCTGTCGGGCTACGAGCCCTCGGTGTGGAGCGCGAAGGCAGGGCCAAAGCGCAGAGGTGGCTCGGGTTCGCAGCATGGATTATCATCCTCGCATTTGCCTGTATCGGCGGGTGGGTAGCCGATCAACTCGAAATTATCGGCGGCATCTGCATTCTCGCCATCGGGTGGTTGGTGCCAGCCATCCTATTTGTGAAGAACTTCTACATCTCGAGTCCCCTCGCCATCGTCTTTCCCTCGAGCAGCCTAGGCGCACAAGCGAGCGTAGCAACGAGAAATATCGACGAGAGGTCCTCCTCGGTGGACATACTCTTGGCAAGAAAGGAACGGGAGCTGCAGAAGAGAAGGACGGGAAGGAGGTTATGGCAGGACCTGATCGTGTTTATTGGGATCCTCCCCATTGGTTTGTTCACGATCGTTTGGTTGGTGTTACTGTTCTTAGGGGTAAATATATAATGAGGTCGCGCATCTAATAGATATGACATGGAAGCCGATACAGGACTACAATGCTTTTAGGCGCGATTTTTTCTTTTCGTCGGCGATCTTTTTGGTCATGATCTCTGCCGGGTGGTTCATTCAGCGTCTCGATGCCCGGATACTCGACGCTGCCGATTTTACTAACCTGATCGTTTGACACCCGCCTCTAGCCCGATCGCTGCGAAGACTACCCCGATACCGCTCCACTGGCCGAGCGCCAGCGAGTGACCGAATACAAACACGCTCAACAACATGGTGAACAGTTTCCTAGTGACCGTGACCATGACCAGCGTGAGACTGCCAAAGTGCGAGATGGTCTCGAAGATGAATAGTTGACCGAGTCCTCCTAGCAGCGCATATTGAGCCAACGGCCAGAATGCCGAGGGGTGTGTCGAAAGAAAGTGCAAACACTGGAACATGACCGGTTCCGAAGGTGTGTTCTGCATGTGAGGGGGCACTCCGGTTAAACTCAACAGCTCGGGTAGATTGACCGTCCGAGCAATGGTATGGATGGCAAGCGAAGGCCAGGCAGGTGGAACCAGCAAGACGGGCAGAGAGAGACAGAGTGTCAAGAAGGACATGGTGAACATGAGCTGTTTGCCGGTGAAACGGGGGTAGAGGGCGAAGAGCTCGTCCTGGGTCGACGCTGTCAGCCCGTCCAGAATGAGACTATGAAGTAATGATGATATCAGTACAAGAAACAATCGAGTGAAGGAAAACGAGGCCCACTTGAAGCCGAGAAGCGCTAATCCGAAGGAGCTGTTCGAACTTCCTTTGCCCTTGCTCCTGCTGCTTTTGCCGAAGAACATGAACATTGAGATCCCGATGCTGACGAGCAGGACCACGACGTATTTGTACGGCTTGAATTTGCGTCGGTAGAGGACGACATTGAGCAGAAGGACTGGGATAAGCTTGCAGGACTGCGAACAGTCAGCCAGAATGACCTAAGTCAGCCGCAAAGAAGGGTTCCGTGGCTTGTTCAGGACTCACCTTGGCGAGGACCATGGTCGGATAGCTGATATACCTCAAGCTCATGAACCCGATGGGTGCCGCCAGACTCTGGCAGATCCCGACCCTGAGTAGCAAGACCGGCAATCTGCGGGTCCAGCTCGTCTCCGCCAGTTGCTTTCTCGCAAGGGGTGTTGATGTCTTCTCTTCGCTAGAGCCATTGCAAACAGATCCGTTCGCACCCGTGATCACAGCTTCTTGCTCCCATCCAACCAACGTCTTGAATCCTCCTTTTCCTCCTTTACGGCTCCTCTCGACTATCAAGTAAACCAGCGCACATGTGCAAGACGCAAAGGCCTGACATGTTGTGATAAATGCCGATGAGGGGAACCGATCTTGCGAGGTATGAAGACCGGGGTGCGAGGGGTCGCTCGGCGAATGAGGAGGATACCGGGGGAACGGCGAAGCCACTGTCAATCAAGAATCAGCTCCGTGTGTACATCGAGCACTCAAAAGCGCACTCACGTCGCTCTTGAGCTATGCCCCAGAGTAGATACGAAGCATAGATCCCGGCAACGCAGAAGAACAGTCTGTTTCAAGTTAGCTGTTAGGTCATTACAAGCGGTGACAACTCCGTCTAGCTCATGAAAGTGCTCACCTCAGTATAGACATGACGTCTTGCTTGCATCCGAGCGATCAACAACGATCCGACAGGAGATGGGCGGAAAGAGGAGGTGCACAACGCCCAAGGTCAACTCGAAGTGATTGATGGATGGGATGGCATCTGATAAATGTGTCTGAAAGGGGGACCTATCTCGAGCTTGAAAGGGATCAGCGACGCGCATTCATCCAAAGATGACCGAAAGTCGCAAATCATCAACAGACAACCAACACCTCGGAACAATACCATCCACCCCCTTCAGACAGCGCCAGGTCAAACGTCAGGAAATGATCAAACAACTGTATGTATAACATCATTAAGGGGGATTTGCAAGGTCTTTACTGATCCGAGGGAAGATCGTCCATCATGCACTCGAGCGAGACGAGGCCCAAGACCGGTCCGTACAGCAGAAGGAGGACAAACTAGAGCAAGCGGGCGGTACGAGAGCGGGATGAAAGGGGATGAGACGAGGACACTGTGTCATCCGTCATCTAAGCTAGGGAAGGAGGGAAAGACCGAGACAAGTATCTAGGGGAATATATAATTGTTCGTGATCCTGAGGTCCAAGGGGGGTGAGAGTCGTCGTGAAGCTTTACATGCTTGTTGTAGCCATGTAGATGCGTGGGGGAGAAGAATGCCGAGGGTATGAACAAGGGAAGAGCCGAGAACCGAGCCGATGCGATGCGGTCTAACCGAACCAGCGGCTTAGAGCGCAAACCAAACGGCGACGAGCCCAGCGACCATCGACAAGCCCAAAGGCAAGCCGACGGTAGCAGAAGCAGCGTTGGTGTTCGAGCTCGCCTCGGCCTTGGTACCGGTGACAGCGGCCCCACCGGCGCTGGTCGTGGTGTTGGCAGCGGCCTGCTTGATGCCCGAAGCGGGCAAGGTGGCAGCAGTGGCGATGGGCTGGTCACCGATCTGACCGGATCCGACCATGACGTATTGACCGTGAGATGGGACGCCGTCCAGGACCAAGAACAACATGGCCGGCCCGGGGGTGAAGAGGGCGGCGTTGGGAGGCATCTGAGTGACGTAGAGGGTCGTGGTACCGGCCTCCTGGTCGATCTCGTACGAGGTGATGAGCTCGAGGAATCGCTGACCGAACTGGATGGCGTGGGTGGAGAAACCTCCTCGGATGACGTTGACCTTGGCGGACTTGACGGTGGCCTCGTCGGTAGTGTTCAAGGTCATGCTCCAGTAGTCACCGCCGTAGCTCAAGGTCTCGGGGAAACCTTGGTTACCGGGCCTGGCCTCGTTGTACCAGCTGGGGTACCACCTCTCGACAGAGTAGCTGGTGGCCCACTGCTTGGTAGAGACATCGGCGTTGGGGTTGGATCCCGAGATCAACAGACTTCCATCCTTGAGCAAGACGACGGTCGAGTGGTACAACCTCTCCTGGGTCGAAGCGGCCAAGTTCCAGTTCCACTTGCTACCGGCGGCAGCGTTGGGGTTGTAGAGACCGGGCTGGTAGATGGGCTCGCTGGCGTAAGACATACCGAGACCCCAACCCTCGTCTCCGTATCCGGCGGTACCCATGTGAGCACCGTTACCCATCCAGAGCTGACCGTCGGGCAGGTAGACGAATTGACCCATGGTTCGGCCGGTGGGCAAGAAGTCATCATCCTCGTACTTGGGGTTGGCATCGTCGGGCGAGATCCTGACACAAGAGTCATCGGCGGTGACGGCGGTGATGTTGGTCTTGACACCACCGTCCGAACCCCAGTCGGAGGGGTTGCTTCCTCCGCAGAAGAGCAAGGTGGCCGTGTAATTGTTGGCAGGGGTCAAGGGCAACATAGTCGAGGCGGCCGAGGCGGGGTAGACTCGGACGGCGTAGGGCATCCAAGGGAGGTTGGTAGTCTCCTGGGTGTGCCAGTCGTACAGGATGGTGCTGAAGTTGGCCTGCATGAAGAGCTTGCCTGAGACGCCGAGAACGGGAATGAGAGAGATGTCAGCAAGATTCGGCTTCTATGATCGATCCGACCGTCACCCACCTGAAGGCAACATCCAAGTCAAGGGGTACAGGTTGACGGGCAGGTTGTCGGCCAACCATTGCAAGTGAATGGCCTGACCGTCACCCTTGGGAGGGAAGAACTCGTACGTCGGGTTGTCCTGCAAGACGGTGTTGACGTAACCACCGTTGTTGTCTCCTCCGATGACGATCAAGCTTCCGTCCTCCAATCCCTCGGCGGTGGGATACCATCGGTTCCCGGTCATCTGCAGGTATCCACCGATGTTGGCGTCGATGTCCTTTCGAATAAAGGTTTGAGTACCTTGACGGTACTCGCACGAATCGTCGGCACAGGGTTCGAGCACTCGGATGGCAGCACCTCCATCGGTGTCTGAGTAGACACCCTCATCGGCAACGGCAGCACCGCCTATCGAAGCATGAAACGATCACGTCAGCCCGGATGTTGCACGAGAAATTACCCCAACCCGGACTCACCCGTCGTGATGGGCTGGTTTCCACCGAAGACGGCCCACGATCCGTTACCCAACGACATTCCTCCGGCACAGAAAGGGTTACTCTCGACGTCCATCGCTCGGACCTCGTTGGTGATCGTGTCGTACGATACGGCCCAAGCGGGGTGGGTCCGACCGGAATCCGAGGTGACGGTCAGGGGGTTGTTCTCGGTCTTGTCGATGATGTAGACCTTGTCACCGACACCACTGTGATGTGAGAGTGAAAGGATAGGACATCAGGGAAAGGTAGGAAACCAGGCAGAGTTGGAACAAAAGTCGAATTCTCTCGATCAGCCACCTCGATCTCGTCTGATCAAAACAAACCCCCAAGTGATCGTGGCATGAAAACTCACGGGTTGAACATCATCTGAGCTGACACACCACTGTTCCCAACGACCTGGAAGGTCTCGGGGGTGATGGCCTGTTGACGCTTTTGCTGTTGCGACCCTGATCCAGAGGCGGTCGGGACGGCCGAGGTGAACGGAATGAGAGCGCTGGTGAGCGCGACGAGGATGGTGGGGAGCGACATTGTTGTTGTCGAGGCGAGGTGGTAGAGTAGTAGGGTAGGGGTTCTCTGAGATGTAAGGGGGCGTGATGCGTCGAGCAGTAGTTGGTTGTTGATGTAGTCCAGTCGTTGATTGTTTGTGTGTAAGGTGTGGGGGTTGTAAGAGAGGCGGTCCTGATCGATTTCCTAGCGGAGGTCGATCGAGAACAAGGGAGGTAGTGTTTGTGCTTTGTGTGTGTGTTTTTGTTTGTGTTTATAAGAGGTAGAGGTGGGGGAAGACTCTCTACCGTGATGATGAATGGTATAAGAAGGAGGAGGAGGAGGATGTCGATGTGGTAGTAGTAGTAAAAGTAGAAGGGGTTGTTGATGGGATGGCGAGACAAAAGCTGTGACGAGCAGAGGAGAAGAAGCGAGTTGTCCCGTGCAACCGTGCTGTGTGGCCGGGGGTTGATGTTATTCTCGGAACGGGACGGCTTCGCGGCCAAAAACAACGAGAGAATCAAAGGAGATGCGTCGACGCAACTACAGCAGCAGTAGTATAGTATCAGAGCGATCTCGGGAGAGGTAGAGGTAGAGGTGGCTTGTATGGATGCCGATGTCGATTATGATGATGTACGATATCCTAGGCGAGTAGTAGTGGCGAACTTGGCGAGCGAATGATACGACGACGTGCGTGTGCTACGTGCTCTCGTTTGTTTGCGTTTGACGGGGGCGCTTTTCGTGTGAAAAACCGACGGAGGAAACACGGGCGTCGGTCGCGTTCGCAGTGTTGTTCTGGCTATTCTCGTTTCTTGTTATTATGAAGGTCGGTACGTTATACGTTGCTAGACCGGACCGTAGGGATGGAATGATTCGAGGGAGAAGAGCAAGGTTCGGCAAGGTCTCTCTTTTTGTACAACCATATCACACGATCGACTATAATCTCGCCGACTTGCTACTTGTGGGTTCTTGCTCTGATCGCCTTCACTGCCTCTCGTCCGGACAGTAAACGTCGGCACAGCCATGACCCCCCTACAGCGACCCACCCCCAGCCTCGAGATTGAGAGCGAGAGACGACGGTGGCGGTGAAATCGATCTAATTTCCCTCCCGCTGTTCCCGGTCCATTCCGCCATCATCATCATCATTAGCATCATTCCCACACTCGGTAAATCGCCTCCTCCACCCTTCCCAGCATTCCGAGCTACTCTGCCACTTTGGTCCATTCCCTTGGCTCTACACGTTGCGCTCTTACGTGTTCGCATCACTACTGTGCATCATGCATCAAGACTTGACCGACCTTGCGATTTTACCACTTCGCTATGCGCTGTGACGAGAAACGCGATTTCGATTCGATTCTATCCACGCGCGTCTCGATATTGAGCCCCGGATGTATTTATTTCTATTTCCCGAAGGCACACAGCACAGCCTCGCCTCCTGCTTCTCTGCCTGGCTGGGCTTCACCTCGGCATCCTGATGATGAACCGAGACCGAAGCTGTGCCACGCGTTCATCGGCAAAAGCCACCGGTACCTTCATCAGGCGGACGACACAGCACAGCCATCGTGTCCACCTCGGTCCAGAGCAAGCCATCTTTCTACCCGGCTCGTTCCCGTGCTTCTCGACGTGCCGCTCGATCCCAAGGGCGACGTACAGGGATCGAGAGCTCGCGTTTCACGTCATCCACCTTGTTTCGTCTTGGAAATCTGGACTTCACCGGCTTGGCCTCGCTTGGCTGAAGCCATCAAGAAGTCACAGGCCAAAGATCGGAAAGCGTACTGCTTACGAAGTTCATACCGACAAAGCGCTCAGCAGTCAGCAGAAGGTTGACTCGTCGATCGGCAGAATGGAATGCGAGACATGAGAACGGTCCAAATCAAAACGCTTGAGGCTCAATCGAAGCGTCGTTTCATTGGGCATGTGATCTCTCTGGGCAAGTCCTCCTGGCAAGCTCGTTCTGCACATCGCCGTCATCTCCACCTGCATACGCCCGCGAAACAGAGAAAGAAAGAAAAACTCCAACGAGGCAGGCAACCGACCCTGTCTCATCTGCGATCCTGCGCTCCCTTCTTGATCTCGCTATGACTGACGCCTCATCCTGGTTTTGTGTTGTATCACTCAATCGCCGCTCGACTCCTTCGGGATGTATTGACATAGAGTCTGAGGGCCTTGCGTTATATCTTTAGTGAATGCAGAACCACTGGCAATCTCCTAAGATTGGGTTCAACATGCCTCTTCGCAGTCTAGCCCAAGCGCTGGAACCCCAAGTCTCTGTGTAAAAGGCTGAAGAAAAGACTGTATTGTCCACACGGTCTGGTGTCACACTTCCGCCGATTGCCGTAAATTTTGAGGTTGCACGAGTCTTGGCTAGCGCACATGATACTTATCGGAACGGGACATATAGTAGGGCCATATATCACGTTGATGCGCTCATTTTAAGCACACTTACATTGCATCGATACTATGTCTTACTGTTCCTATGATAGATGAAGCACGGACAGCAGTTATCTATCTTTACAACGTCGAGGCTGCCGGCAAGACGAGGTATTCCCAGGTCGGCTGAATGCATCGATTCGCAAATGAATCTCCTATCAGACCAAGCTCGCCAGAAGGTGTACACATAGAGAGGTACATCGCAAGAATTTCTTATCGTTGCCTGTAATCACAAGAAACACTCCGACCTTGTCGATGGCTACGTCAGCAACAATGGCTACATGTATTGCTTTAAGATGGATTTTCGTCTCGGGATGCCCATCAGTTTTTGTAGACTGACTTGATTCCTCAGGGTATTTACTGCAGCCATCAAGATAACTCCACATCGGTGAACACCCAGGTACCTTTGCGGAAAGCTCAAGGCTCTTCCGCATGCTCGCCATTCATGCTGGTACAATTCGGGGTTGTCGCCGCCAAAGCGCATATGAATCAACGAACCTGGTCACGATGCAGCAGGCCCCGGACAGGCCTTGAAAGGCACGACGAACAGTATAGCCGCATTCAATTTGAACATACCGTCGACTCAGCAGAATACCATCAAGGCAGGATACTGGGAAAGTTTCTGATGCCAGGCGGATTGCGACTCCACCTGAGATCGCCTTCCCCATCCGGGGAGTCAATGTTGATGCTGAGTTGATCTCGTCTGTCGATCTTCTATAGAAAATACAGTACATCCATCGCTGGTCCTTGCCGGGTCTAGGCTCCATCGCAAGGCGATACGTGAAGAACATCTTATCTTGTATAACTACAGTCTCGCGATGGCCTCGTTCGGGTTGGATGTTCAAAATGAAGCGACCCCCTTTGACCTATAGATAAACAAGAACAAGACAAGATCTCTCATTCAGCATACTATCGTAGTTTGACACCGTGGCGGTCAAAAGGTTGACCTACTTGAAGAACTCGTTCCACTCTGAATCGCTCCAGCTACTCGATACTGACGACTCGAACAAGCCATTGAAGACCGCAGAAGGCTAGGACGCATAGTAGTCGAGGTCAGATGGATCGAACAGATGAAAGATAAAGGTTGATATGATGCTACTCACAGTAACGTGGATAGCATTCTGTCGACCGAGCTTGATGAAGTACTTGAGCTCATCCGTGACGCTCGTGCTGCCCATCAACACTATTCAGCTAGAAGGTCGACGTTTTGCCTTGTATAATAGGCTCACCCGGCATTCGGCGATGAAGGTTTGACAGCGAGAAGATCCCTGATCTCCCCGACGACCTTGCTAGCAGGACCCTTGACTGCGTTCTCCGCTTGGAGCACTTCTCCCGCGATTCCAGCCAATTCGTCTCGGACATTCTCCGGCGTCTTGTTCTTGACCGGGTTGTCGAACCAGCGTTCTTGCTCCTGCATCAGCTTGACGAAAAACGCCCACCATAATCGGCTTCGTTCATCCTGATCCTTGACAGCGGCAAAAGTCGATGATTTGCCAAAAGCTAGGACGGCCTCGGCGGTGAATGTACCGGCACCGTGCCATGGCTGAGGGTAAGGTCGGATGAGGAGTGTCAGGGATTTGGAGATGGGGGTGGAACTATCCAGGAGGGCGGGGACGAGTTTCTCGTTGATAGCCAGTGTGATTTTCTTGCTGAAGGGGCAGAGGATATCCAGCCATCTGACGAGACACAAGATCTCCTATCTTCAGCTACGGCAGTAATCAAAACCAGAAGGCAGGACTGTGCACGTACAGTTCGAGGGTGTTGGGACCGTGTCCAATCTTGGTAAAGGCCAATGCGGGTTGGAGAGCCATCGTAGGAGGTCTGTCTGGTGCGGAAGTCGAGCGTTGATGAAGCACAGGTGGCTGATGTATACGATGTGTGAGCTACAGGCTATAGGCAATGTTTATAGCTTATAGAATTATAGATCACCTTTTGGATTACCAAGCCGTCTGAAAGTATCGAAAGATCCGAAAGACGTGATGAGGTGATGAGGTGTACAAAAGGATGGCGTCATCTTTCGAGCGGAAACAAATTCTCCGCTTTGCGAGGGTCTTTCCCGTCGACGTTTCAGAAACAGAACCCTTCGGTAGAACGTGTTCTACTAGCAATCGTTATGCATATTCTCACCATTGAAGGAGTTCAGCTCAGTGGAACAAGTATTACGCAAGCCGATCGTGGAAAGAACTGGCCAGGGGAGGATGGTCCGCCCTGAGTTTTATGATGCACATCGAGAACTGGTGCAATAGGTAACAATCGTCTCCAGCTCATTCACACAGTGTTCCACTGCCTTGATTCCCGTAGTCGCATTGGTTGATAAACGAGAGTCTGATGATCTCCTCATTCACTTCAACAACAATGCCCCGGTCTGTCAAACGATTTGTGTCCTGTTGTCAGGGTCGAGCACAGCCATCGCACGATCGCCCGTCAATACCGACCCTCTTTCCCTTGAGAACACCTCGCAGGGTTATTGAAATGTTCCCAGCATTCTTGAAATGATGTTATTAGTAATGCAGAACTTTTGGCAGAGGTCAAGGACATGTTGCTGTTCACAGGCTGGGGCTGGCGCAGGAGCTTGATCGTTACCTCAAATGGCAGACAACACTAGTAGAGTCGTACATGTAAAATGATTCAGCGTTGACTACATGCTGCCTCTTTAGCGGATCACCTTTGCCATCTCCTCCCCAAACTTGATTTCGGAGACCTTCTCCCAGATGGATTCGCCAGGGGAGACCCGGCCATTCCGATCTTGCTCTTGTAGAAAAGTCTAATAGGGTACTGCATGCCCTTGTTTCGTTTTTGTGATTCATGCGTTCGAGTCAAGACATGTGGTGCGCGTGACTGTCATCTTCTGAGGGAAGGAACAACCAATCCAATGGCATAGATGTGCTCGCGATTTGCAGTAATGTGTAGATCAACGCAAGCGTCCTTGACGAGTGAAAGGTGACGATAGCCATGAAAAACGCTTGGTGGGAAGTGAGATTGTGTCGTCCTTGCGAATTACAGGGCGATGCTATCATCGCGAAGCGAGAGAAAATCCTGACTGATCTCGGTAAACTCTTTCATCTAGCTTTTGACATCAGAATCATCTAACTTCTTAGCCTGCAAGTGACACACGGCAGCGAGTTCAGTCAGTGTCGTGGCTAGTCTTCGCTCTGCTTGTCTTGCTGTGCTCGTACATGTACAATGTCATGCAGCCGCTATCATCGCGCTCGCCTGCTTGCGAGCTCGAACCGCCAAGGGTATTCGAACTCTTATCGATATATAGACATCCCGAGCCATCTGGTTGTATCGATGTAGGGAGAGAGTTACCAGGCGAGCAGCGAAGATATTTCCCTGCTGGATAGAGGCTGGACAACGCGCTGCGAGATGGTAAGCGGCGACCGGTCACGGAGTGGTACGCGCTGCGACTTCAGTCTCCTTTCCCTGTGAATCACTGATAAATCTGAGATATCAAAGCAGCCATGTTATGACTCTGCGATAGATCGATCTTAGCATCGTAAAATCATCGCGCTTCCTCGAGACCGCTTCATCTGTGGAACGCCACCATCCTGGTTGCGAGCAAGTTCCTTTCGGACATGTCCGTCCGTGGGAGGGGAGCAGCAACCAGCGAGTCAGACAATTTCTCTAGACCTGGGGTATACCTTTTGTCGCAACCTTCACGGACTATATAAAATCTGTCCTCAGTCGAATATTTCCCACTTATTCATCTGATTCGCAATACCAGGTCTTCATTTGGTTTGATCTACAAAATGGACACACTTCAAGCAAGCCTGGAAGGCCAAACGCGGTCGTCTGCTCCCAACCCCAATCTCGATTCGGACAAGACTTCCTCCTCGCTGTCCAACTACGAACAGGCAGTCCAGGCCGCCGAGATTTCATCCCCATCTTCTCTACATATCGTCACTCCGCTCGTATATTCCGAGACACTCTCCGAGAAGACTGGTCACAACATCTTCCTCAAACTGGATGCACTTCAGCCTTCCGGGTCGTTCAAGATCAGGGGGATCGGGAGGGTCTGTAAAGTCGCCGTCGAGCGATATGGTTCTTCGGCACATTTGATATGTTCCAGTGGAGGGAACGCTGGATTGGCCGCTGCGACCGCTGCGAAGAGCTTGGGCGTGAGGTGCAGCGTGTACGTGCCAGAGACCTGCGAAGAGGCTGTCAAGGAGACTCTCAGGGGTCTCAAGGCCGAAGTGATCGTAGCCGGTCCTGTATGGGATACCTGTGATCAAGCGGCTCGGAAAGCTGTAGAAGCCGAGGATGGGGCCGTGTACATACACCCCTTTGAAGGAGACGACCTGGTTGATGGTCATTCCAGTATCGTCGAGGAGATCTACCAACAGGTAGCCGAGTCAAGTCAGGCTAGCAAAGATAAAGGATCAGCGGCGGTCCCAGACATGATTGTTTCCGCTGTTGGGGGAGGCGGATTCTTGGCGGGTATCCTGCGAGGCATCTCGAGAAGGCAGTCTCAATCTCTGTCATCAGGCGGGCCGGTCCACAGTCCAAAACTCGTCGGTGTACAGGACTTTGGGGCGGATGGATTCAGCCAGTCGATGAACGCTTATCATGACGATCCGATCGGGAACGCCGACGCACATATCATTCTCCCTGCCATCACTTCTCTCGCCACATCCATGGGAGCCAGGAAATGCTCGGCTCTTACGTTGAAGCTGGCGAGGAAATACGCTCGATACGGAACGCTTGACGATTCCTCGATTGCGACCTCCGGGTCTGGCTCTGGCTCGCAGATGGAGGCGGAATCCTCGACTCGGCATGGCAAGTACTTTGCCGGTGTGGTTGTCGAGGACGCCATCTCCGGATCCGCAACATGGCAGATCAACCGAGATCATCAGATCATGGTCGAGATCGCCTGCGGAGCGGCCCTGACGCCGGCTTATCAGCCCGAACGCTTACTGTCCAAGTTGGTGGGGTCCTTGCCAAGACCGGAGGGCAGGAAGAACATCGTGCTGATCGCTTGTGGGGGAAGTAAGATCGACCAGGTGATGCTCGAAAAGTATGAGAAGAGTTATGGCTTGCAAGAAGGGGCAGGAAGGATAGAGATTGATGGCCAGGCTATCTAGGCTGCCCATTTCGAGGTCGATGTATATGATAGAGGTATAGCATGCTTAGGGAGATAGATGAACGCATCCAGACTTTCGCATGGGAGTCATGCATACAACTATAATCCTCCTGTAGTTGGCACATCCAGGATGTAAATCGTGAAGCAGCTGTATTTTCCGATTCATCGCGTTTGCTGCGGATGGTCTCTGATCTTCTGATTCTAGCTGATCGGCGCGGGCCATGTCGGATCTTGCGCCGTCGGCCTTGGAGACTCGATCCATTCATTCATCCATCATCCAGGCATCGCATCGCATCGTTACAACCCTCTTCTTCGAGACAGACGGCTCGGGAGAACTTAGCTTGCTCTTGATACATCCACACTGGTATTGCATTCATCCCAAAGGTTCAACTCGGAATTTCAAGGCTCTCTCAAACGGTGCACTGGGGCGAGCTCCTAGCCGAATCCCGTCAACCTCTCTTGAAACGACTCTTCTACCCCTTTCTCCCGCTACTCCGCTGGCAAGAGAGCAGTCGATACTATGCTCAAAAGCATCAACAGATACATATACGGCCCGACGCCAGAGGAGAGGCTGAAAGAGTGGGATCGGAAGCTGCGGACGGAACAAAGGCAGCTGGACAAGGAGATCAGACAGGTCCGTTTACTGATGACGACGGGGCCGTGACACGAACACCATGAAGCTTATGTTCAGATTCCAAATACATGTATTACAGCTCGATCTAGCAACAACAAAGGCTAGACAATCCTTGAAGCAGCTTGCCAAGAAGAACGACGTCAAGTCGGCCCGGTTGCTCGCCAAAGAGGTCGTACGCACGAACAAGCAGAAGAACCGGTTGACGATGAGCAAGGCTCGGCTGGGGAGCATACAGATGCAGATGCAGCATCAGGCATGTGAGTGTTATTCGTCTGTACTGAGCATCGGTAACGGGGAAGTTGACAGGCGTGCGCACTCGAATAGCTATGGTCAAGGTGACAGGGGCTTTTCAAAAGTCGACAGAGATAATGAAAGTTAGCAACCAGTTGGTCCAGCTGCCACAGTTGAGCGCAACGATGAGGGAAATGCAGATGGAGATGATGAAGGTGAGCCTTGGTCGATCTCTGTCGGTGTACGACGTGAGACTGACCTGGAGCCACCCATACCAGTCCGGAATCATCGAAGAGATGATGGACGATACGATGGAAGCGCTAGACGACGACGAACTTGAGGAGGAGGCCGATGCAGAGGTAGAGAAGGTCTTGTTCGATCTAACGGATGGCAAGCTCGGTCAGGCAGGAGCTGTGGGAGCGGACCTACCTGTAAGTGCGGGCCAGGTACCACGCAATTCGATCGGGGTGCTGAGTACGACCCCAACAGGCCCAGAAAGAAGCCGAAGAGGATGTCAACACGGAAGCCGAGATGCAGCGTATGCAGAAAGAGCTGCATGACCTCCTCGCTGGTTGAGACGAGAGTGCAGGAGCAAACAAGTCATAAAGTAAAGGAGATAGAGTATGTTGTATAACACGATGTTCGAGTTGACCGGGACAAAACAGCCCACTTGTACCTATAGGTCCCTGTCCAGATATACCATGCCATTCAGTATGAGCCCTTTCTCACGCTCAGAGCTGACACCCTGTCGTTGTCAACAACCTAAAACTTCATCGGTCACTCCTAGACTGTCATTGTCAACCGCTTGGGGTAGCTTTGTAGGAGATCTTCCACGGTCACTGGGAATTGAGTTCCGTTGTTGATTCATCTAAGACGCATTGTCAACCTGTTCAGTACGGCAACAAGACAGTCGATCACCATCTCACATCTCCGGAAATCCAGTCTGATTACTACTATTGATATCATAGCTACCACTACGACAGCAAATCGCTCTATATCAGATTGGTACTGTTCATCCCCGCAATATATGCCTGCTATCCCTTATTGAAACCCCAATGTTTCCGTTGCCAGCATTCTCGTTTCCGTCGTCTCGAACCTCCTCCTCCTGCTCATCACCCACTTGGCCGGGCTCTTCCTCGGCTTCCCTGCCCGACGACTCGACCCCCGCCTTCTCAGCTTGACGCATCCATCTATAGATGGCCTTGAGATCCGCTTTCGCTACATCCTTGAGAGGCAGGAAGGGGTTTGTGATCTGGTTCTTGCAATAGAACCAGGGCTCGAATTGGGCCCAGTTAACCGCCAACCATTTCTCTTCTTCATCGGCTGGGACTACTGGTGCTTCCCCAAGCCTCAGACGCATATATATACCGTCTATGGTAAGGCAGCAAAGGTTCACGGAGGTCTTGTCTTCAATTGGCTCTTGTTTAGGTCAAATAGCTGGCGCGGATCTCCGGTGCTCAAAACTGCACATCAAGTAATTTACACAGCGGCCGGTAGTCCTATGGTAAGCCGCGTTTCGACATCAAAGCTTCTTCCTCGAGGTGCTCATCAGCAAGGGCTACTATATCATCCTTGAAAGCAAGACTATTAGACACCCGATCCCGAGCGTTGTCTCGCTGGCGAGAAGAAACAAGATTCATGTTCCGGTATCTAATAATCTACTACAGTCTTGACTGAAACGCCGGCATCTAATCGATCAATTCCAGAGGACGGTAGACCTGCAGATATAAACGATGCGTCAATTCAAACATTCTCGGTAATGGATTCAAGTTTCGCTTTCACTTACAGGATCCCACATCGAGCCCCGGATAAACTCCTCCAATCCCTCTCCAAGCTGACCGTTCACGACCTTCAGCACCGTCTCATCTCGCGTTCGTCCCTCCTTGCATGCCTGCCTGACAATGGCAGCGGCAACGTGGACCGAGACCTCCCTGACCTCGGCAAGATCGGGAAGCAAAGACGCGTTGGGATCGTGCAGGGCGGGTGCCAGGTTGGCGAGGGCCTGGATACCGGCCATAAACATGCCAGGCGAGATCGTTCTCGCTCGGGAGAGGATTGTTCCAAGACCGAGACCCGGGTAGATCTGAAGGCATCGGAAGGTAAGGTCAGCACCCTGGTCTCAGAGTGGATGACAAGGAACGAAGCTCACCAAGGCGTTGTTGTTTTGGGCGGGAATGTCTGTGTGACTCATATGTTATGAGCAGTCGATTCCGGAAGCCAGAATTGGACACCTCTTAGTGCCGACTCACAGGTCTTGCCGTTGTACTCGCAAGGAGGGAAAGGCGAACCGGTGGCCAACAAGGCACGACCTTCGGTCCAGGTGTTTGCATCGGCTGCGAACGTGAACACGATATAAGCGATGGCACTTGGCAAGCTTGTCACAGATCGACGCTCACAAGGATCACACTCGGCAAGCGCAGTCGGGTTGGACAACGGGAACTGAAAGGGAAACGACCGTGTAAGACGATCACAATGTCGCTGGCAGTTCATGACACTGCGCACTCACGATGATGGGCCTCTCGACGTGCTTCGCCATCTCCTTGACGATATCCTCAGTAAACGCTCGGGCATGGGTAGAAGTTCCGATCAAGATGGTAGGCTTGACATTGTGAATGACTGCAAGACGGGCAATAGCGTCTTTTCTTGAGCATATGCCCTGAGTAGAGCTGAGCGACTGGCATCAACTCACCATCCTGCAGGTAGTAACCCTTCTGGTCGGGGTTCTCAGTGTCCCAGCCGACACACTCCTCATCCGGTCGAGCGTAGGAGAGCTGGGCGTGTCGAAGCGAGTTGCCCATGGATTCGACCAAGAGACCGTTTCGGTCAATACACCTAGAATGATACGCAGTAGCCTCAGTCGCAGTTTCTTGAATCGCGAGATATCCAGCGGCGAACCACTCACCAGAATCGCTTGTTGGCCTCCTCCTTAGTGATACCCTCAAGAAGCATCATTCCATCACGGACTGCGTGAACCACTCCATCCAATCAGCGAACTAGCTCTGATGACAGTTGAGCAGTGAACCTGCGCTCAGACTCACTCTGATCGGCGATACCCATACCAGCGCTACCAGCACCGTAGACAACGATTCGCTGTTCGCTCAACTTGGACTTGGTAACACCGACGGCACTGCGGGTGAGAAGGGGCAGCAGTTAGTACGACCATCTACAACGATCTGAGAACAAGATGCGCTTACGAAAGTAGAGCGGCCAAGGCAACGGCACCGGTTCCTAAAATTCGAACGAGGCACAAATTTCAGCCAACTTGTCACTCATAGTCGCTTTGTACTCGCGACTCACCCTCGATATCATCGTTGAAACAGGGAATGACATCCTTGTATTTGTCCAACAATCGCTGAGCGTTCTGCAGACCAAAGTCCTCGAACTATCGGAAACAATCTTTCGACGTCAGTCCGTGGGTATGTCTTGGTGAGCATGTTCCGGAGGTACTACTAACGTGGATCAAGGCGTTGGGCTGGAATGAAAAGAGGCACGATCAGTTCGTCGCGTAATCTGAGTGGGAGATCGGCCGGACTTACGAAGAGCTCTCGGCAGTGCTGAATGAACTTGTCGACGAATTTGCTAAAAAGTGCGCGCAAAACCAAAAGTTCGTTAGCCCTGCCCGACACACCCGTTCCCGTGAATAGACATCGACATCGGACCCACTCGTAAAGCTTTCCCCTGACTCTACCCCGCTTCCATCCGAGGTACAACGGGTCCGAGAACTGGATATGGTTATCGGTACCCGGGTCGAGTACGACGGGGAGGATTCGGTTGGGCTGGATACCGGCTCCGAGAGTGTACAGGGCGGCCTTGGAGAGGGAGATGGTGATACCACCGACACCTTGGTCTGTACGGTTGTCGCGAGTGGGTTAGCGGAAAAGAAGACATAAAGTGAGGGACGAGGAGTCGCGGGACGTACCACCGATTCCGAGGACGGCTTCGCTATCGGTCACGACGATGAGATCGATCAGACTGGACGAATCCGCCCGCTCAGCGAGGGCCGTCAAATCGGCCTGTTTCTCCAACGATTCCACGTGGGCTTCCAACTGAGCCCTCATGCCGTCTTGGTTGGGGAAGCTCTGCGTGCGGCCGGAGGCGTAGTCAACATCAGCTGCCAGAATCAAATTGGATCGATGCGTATTCCTCTTTCCAGATTCGGGGTACTCACGATGAAACAACCCAAAGGCCGCCTGAACAGATAACTGTACCCCATGACCGCCTCGGCCGCACCGGGCGTGTAGAGGATTCCCAACAACTCTTTCAGGTGATCCTGCATCAGACGGTAAAAGAGGACCTGGTTCTGATCACGCATGGAAGCGAGAAAGGCGTGCTTGAGGATGACGGTGGGTTGTTTTTGGAGTTGGTGGTAGGCTCGAGCGACCCTGCGAGGCGTGCGAAGTAAAGAGGAGTGTGGAGCGATGGTGGAGATGAATCGGGTAAGGTAGTGAAGTCGATTTTTAGGTTGATCGATGTGGACGAGAAGATGAGGTGAGGTAGATGCGATGATAGTTTGAGAGATAGGGGGAAAACGTAATCTCGTTCATGTCAGCCCACCGAAACCCATTTCTCGGGCCTTTGCTTTATGGACTGACTGTTTGGTGAGGTCGTGAATCTCATAGGGGATCATCCCTTCCAACCCAAAGATCGCTCGTTCTTCCCTGGTGAACGCCGCGCCCTGAGAAGCGAGACGACCACGACCCCAAGGAGAGATGCCATGAGGAAAGTCCGAGCAAAGAGGTGAAGCAGACGTCGAGTAGATATACACAAGCAGAATGAGAAGAAACCAAGTGTCAGCATCGAGAACCAATCACTCGCACCGCCGCGCATCGTAACTGACCTTGTTCAACCTGGGCGTGTTCAACAACTCGGTCCCCCTGATGTTCGTCTTGATGGGGACCAAGTTCTTCGTCCGACTGCTCGCGATCAACCGGGAAGCTACGGCGGGCTCCTGTTCGTACAGCGGGCCTGCACGGGAGAGGACGGAGGTGTAGGGGGATTGAGAGGAGGGGGTCGTCGTAGGGGAATGCGGGGTGGGGGTCGTGTGTAGGCTGAGTGATTGAGGTGGTGGGTCGAGTCGGGCATGAGATGGATATCATGTCGGATCGGGTCAATGATACTGATCTCCTCCGTCCGATAGTGATCATGCAGGTGGTCGTGTGCATGCTCGGAGAGGGCAACTCGAAAAGTCCGACTCACCTACGGCCCACCAACGCCCTTGCGTTTCGGGAACGTTGAACGAACATCTCGCCAAGGTCCAGACCGTCGAACTTTTACTTCCTGAGCCTGAGTCTGATCGCCGAGGTCGATAACGATAGTGGTATTGACGTAGCAAATATGGTTGTCGACGAAGATAGTAGAAGAGTATAGAGGAAAGAGAGACGGGTGAGCCAGCCTCGAACGCTTGGGGGAACGAGAATCCTTTCGCGTGACCTACCTCGCTTGCGGCACTTGCACTACTACTGGAATGTGAGCGGCACCAGCAACAGCAACGTTATGATGATACGAGAGGAATGTGGCTCTTCGAAACAAGGGAAAGGAAACGTAGGCAAGACGCTCTAATCCACTATGAAAACCCTCCCGAGACGACCCAGCTACTACTGAGTGCGATCTGACCCGACATGCCCTCCTCCCTATCGATCGTTCATTTCTACGAGTGTTTTATCGATTTCTTGCTTTTCTCGACGAGGTCAGATTTCGAACTTCGGTCATCTTCGTGCAGCGAAATTCGAAATCGAAGGGGAGGAGGAGGGAGGGGAGAGAGCAGAGCCGGAAGCTTTTTTCGCAAGTGACCGGGACTCGCGGGCGGCACTGATGCGGAAGCCAAAGGGGTAACGAGAGGGTGACGGCATCACTGCCTGATGTACATCACGTGATTAATCATCATCCTCGGGGGACGGCCAACGCCGAAAGGCAAAGGGTACTCGAGCTTCCCCTTTGACGTCTCCTCCCTCTCGATACCTATGCGGTCAAAGTACGCACCTACAATCAACCAGGAGCAGACTCGTATCACATTCAATAGGACAGAGCTTGTTTGATTTCATTATCAAGCCCTCATGTTTCGGATCTCCATCCGAGCGGTCCCATCGAATCGTCTGTTCAAGGTCAGCCACGTTCACACAAGACGAGCTTCTCGCGGCCCTGGAGCCCTACAATCTGTCTGACAGATGTATCTTTTTTATCGTGCGATCTCGCAGGTTTCGACTGTCTCCCAGCATCTTGCACATAACCGCAATATGTTCAGCTCAAAACCCGTCATAAGCTCCAGATCAGATTCTGCCCTCTCCCTGATCCCCGCTTCATCGTGGGACGCCCACATGCACATCTTCTCCCCCGACGCGTTGCCGGCATCGAAACTCGCTTCCCTCCCTTACACTCCTCCTGAAGCGACCATTCCTCAAGCCATCGACGTCCTGGAGAAGATCGGGAAAGGGCTGAGGATGTGCGTGGTCCAGCCGAGCGTCTATGGGACCGATAACGAGGTCACTATCGGGGGTGTCGAGGCGCTGGGCAAGATGCCTCGAGCATCAGAGGATGAGGGCGATAGCCATGATACGGTCGGAGCTTGGAGAGGATGTGCGGTGGTCGAGCTCGATGTCAAGAACACTTCCGGAGAGATGTTGCAGACGTACCATGAACGTGGAGTGAGGGGTGTTCGGTGAGTCCTTCTCTGTGCCTCCTGTTACTTTCATTTATTCTGATGGTAAGTTTACCTCCTCCATTTCACTCTCTTATGGCTACCTAATCACATCGATACTTGCAGTATCAACCTGAAATCCCGAGGCTCTACGCCCTCCGCGCCTCTCCTTCGCCAGACCTTGCGGGAATACGCCGAGCTCGTGAAGCCTTATGGATGGGTCTTGCAGGTTTATCTGGGTATGGGGATGTTAGATCCTCTCGCAGAAGGGGGCTGGGACTGGGTGAAAGAGCTCGGGTGGGTTCTCGTCGTTGTTGATCGTGACAATGACGTCACTGTCGACTAATCGTCCGACTTCATTTATCTTCCTTCTCCTCGATAGGTTGCCCGTTGTGATCGACCACTTTGCCCACCCTTCCATTCCCACTCCCGTGCCCAACTCTGATTCTCTACACGAGATCCCAGGCTACTCTTCATTTCTCTCCCTCTACCGTCAGCCAGGATCGAACGTCTACGTGAAGATCTCTGGCCAGTACCGGATCGTCCCTCCCAATACCGACGGTACCAAGAACGACAACGACCCCGGAATGTCAGCCCTCAAGAACATGTTCTTCGAGCTCCTCCAGATCGACCCCACTCGATTGGTATGGGGCTCAGATTGGCCGCATACTCGGTTTGAAGGGATCGACACGGTCGGATGGGCTAGGACGGTTGTCAGGTGGTGTCAAGAGTATGCCGCGCGACCGCTGGGCGAAGCGGATGTACAGGCGGTAGACGAGGGAGAGGTGAAGAAGAGGGCGAAGAGGTTGGTAGAGATGGTCTTCAAGACGAACGCCGACGAGTTGTGGTTGGGAAGGGACAGGGTAAAACCCTCGTCTCGTGAACCAATTATCGAGGGCGAGGAGCGCCAACGATAGATTCCGCAGCTCATCCATTGTCAACGGGTGGACGAGGAGACTTCGGACAGGGTCAGCTAGCTCTTGTCTTGAGATATTCATTGAACGAATGAGGAGCATATGTCAAAGCGTCACAAGGTTACTGCTGAACTGCCGCGGGAAATATTGTCAGATCAAGGGAGGGCTAGAGGTAGATTCAAGCTTGGAAGCGTCTGCGAGACAAGCAGTTGGGTGGATAGACTGCAACGCGATAGGAAAGGTCCAACTTGTACATGGTTATCTCATTGTAAACGACGCCATACCCTACAGCCAGCCTACTCCACTAGAAAAATGCCCCAAACCCGCTCAGATCAACTAGGTCGTTCAGCACCGTCTCCCGGTTGGTCCCGATCGGTTCCGCCAGCTCGCGTTGACGGCTGATGGGCAGGTTGATGTACGTCGACAAGAGCTGTCCGTCCAGAATCGTCTTGGTCGGTTGACGTGGGACAAGCGGGTTGTAGACGTTGCTATGAGGGAGACATCACGTGGGAAGCGAGGTTTAGCCGGCATATCTCTCGTCCCCGTTTTCATGTTGGACTGACCGGTACGCCTTCGGATTCAGACCAGCAACATGCTGAACAGATCGGGTGAGTTGACCTTGCAGTAATTGCAAACGTTTGAATCGCGCGGCCTTGCTCGGGATCAATGTGCTTAGGCCACCGAATTCGTTGGCTGTAAATCGACAGTCTGGGCTCAGTGGTGCTCATAGACCTGTCCCACGACCTAGACTTACCGAGCGCGATTTGTGATTGAGTAGCCGACTTGTCCTCGTTTGGACGACGTCGAGCGACCGTCAACGTCTTGGTTATGACTGCTCCGCAGTGATATTCCGTTCGTCGCAAGAGACGGTCTCCTCCCTCGACACTTCCAGCCTCTGAAAGCGAGTGATCATCCATTTGGTCAGATTAGCTAGCAGCATTACACGTCTCTGAATAGTTACTCACGCTCGGGGTCCCACTCTAATACGCGCATGTTACCGCTTGTATCCGTCGCCACGAATGACGTCCTGCCTTCTGCACTCAAGAAATCCACTGACACTATCGAAGCGTCTTGGAAATCCCTCGCAATGATATCAAGTTTGTACGGTGATTCCTGCAACGGCAACGGTTCGTTGATATAAGTCGGTTTCTTCCAGGTCTGAGAGCCGCGCTTGCAGACTTACCTGGAAAACGCAAAACCATACGCTCTTGACCATGTCACCGATCAAGACCAGATTCTTCAATGTCTTGATGCTGGTCGCGTATACGTTGACATCCAGGAAGGCTACCGGTACGAGCCGCTCCTCGCGCTCGAACGCTTTGACAAAGGTCTGTGAAACATCTGACGTCAGTCAAGGGCATCCGTTGTCCTCATGTCACGCCTGAGAAACTCGCCTTTTGACCCTCGGCCGCGATCAGGTATGACCCCATCCCGGCAATAGCAGTCACCGGCTCCTTGGCCTCTTCCTCACAAATCAGACGCAGCCCCCAGTCCGCTCGATCCGGTCGATCATCTGCGGCAACGACTTGCACCACCTCGAACACGTAAGTCTATGCATACAATCTCACTAGGTCAGCGTACTCGCAGCTGACGAAAACGCCGCGGTGCCTCGACTGACCTTTCCACGGCCAGACATGTCTTCGCCTCGGTTGACACTGGTTCCGACAACCAAAAACTTGTCGTTCCGGGTGCGATCGCCGAGCAACATGCTTTCGACGCAAAGGACAATTTCATTTTCCTCGAATTCGTGCCTGTGTCACGGTTGAACAGTCAGAAGTCTTTCTGTAGATTACGCGATACGTGTCACTGTCTCACCCATCAACGACTGCCCATGTGTGAGGATCAAACAGTTCCAAGGTGGACCGCTCGATCGTCGGTGGAGTGAGGTTAGGAGCTGCGGAGCGTAGATAATCTTTAGCAAGCAGCTGCGAGTATGTCGCCCAGCAGAGACTCACCATCAGGGTCTTCTATAACGACACACTCATCACTGTACAGCTGATATGGGACGGTCAAAGCGGATGCGCCAATGTAGCAGCTCGACCTAACGTCGTGGACCAAGTGAGTGTAGCTTCTTTCCGCCTGAACTCTTTCGGTGGTCAAAGGTGGTCTTATGTCCAACGAGCTAGGCAGAATCAAGGCGTGAAGTCCCTAGATTGTTTTGCTCGCGTCAGCTAATAATTCCGCTTCACGATCGGCCGAGCTGAAGCTGTACTTACTTCGGCGTCCGCCACCAAGAAGGAGGCTCTTGAAGCGGGACCGCCGGGGGCTAAATCGCACAGATGCCGTACTGGCGCTCCATGGGGAAGTGTCTTGACTGAGGTTGTGGTGTCCGCCAGGATCCAAAAGGGCGAAGAACCCGTCACAAACACACCCGACAAGTCTGACATTGACAGAGGGATCAATCGTCGAGGCAATCGCCCGCGCGATACGACCTTAGTGAGCACCTTGCGGAAGCGAACGGCAAGCGACCTCCGGGACATGTCCGTGCCAAGGTTCTCGAGGGTAAATCGAGGGGTGGCTTCGTAGATCGCTAATTGATCGTTGTTGTGCATGACCTGATTGAAGGTTCGAGTCAACGTGCAATCCCCTTTCGAATCTCAGTCCGTTCACAACTCACCATGAGGTGGGGCTTTGTCCCATTGCGACCCAGAGTTGCAAACGCGATTCCCTGGACGAGGTCCTCCTCATCGGCTTCTTCGTTGTTGACACCCATAGCGTGCATCGGGGCGTCTTCCTTGTCAAGAGCATCGTCCAAAAGAGCCATCGACGCATCTAATATGCCATCAGACGCGAATACCAGACCGAGTTCTGGTAAAGTTCGGATCTACGGGACTCGAAATCAGTCAAGGCTATCGTCGGGTGACATCGTAGCAACCGACCTCTAGACGACCAGTCTTGGTAACGGCACATAGCCAATGGGAGCCTCTGTTGATCCCCACTGTAGCTTCCAGATCGTTTTCGATTGTCGTGCTTATAGACGGCTTTGCTTCCTGGAGCCTGGCGAGTTGCTCCGACGTAAGCTGCATGCGATTGCCCGACTTGGCGTTTGTCATCTGGCTTTTTGCAGATTTCGGCTCCGTCTGCTTCCCTGTGCTGGGATCAAACGTTCGGAATACGCCTGATTCGTCCGATATGACGCAGACAGCCAAAGCGTCTTCCAGCTACTGGCATAATGTCAGACGCTGTGTCGACTACCTTGGAAGATTGCAATGTCGCTCACCGGTTCTCCATCCGGAGGGCGATACAGCTGTTTCAGTTCCATGGTGGATGCTTCCCCGTGAAACACGGATACACGTCCGGCATTTGTTCTTACAGCCACATATGGCTCCAGAATGGAGGCTGAATTGAGTAAATCGCCGTCTTCAATTTCGCAGTGTGTCTGCTGTATCTCGCCGTCTGTCAGGCAAGGTTGGGCTTCAGCACATCTCAGATCCACCATTCATTTGGGCCAGCTGGAATCACCTTGGCTGACCAGGGTCATATTCTGAGGCGAAACTCGAATGAAACTCGTTCCACCGAACATCGGACCAGCCGCCACCGTCGTTCCCGGAAACTTCTTCACAAGTTCGAATCCGTTCTCCTCAGATTGTAAAGCCAGCAACTGATTTGGTGATCTGCCGTTAGCGCAGAACAGGTACATCAAGGATCGACGAAGCCTCGAAGTTGAAAGACTTGCCTCGGTAGAATCCGATTCTGCAGACAAGAACAGTCCACTCGTCTGGAATGCGGCACCGGTAGGTGCATACGGCCTGATACCCGGGCTTCGCACGCACCATAGACCGGCACATTCGATCGTGTCTGCTAGTTTGCGTCGTCGTTTAAGGCCAAGACCCGGCTGAGTCATGAAAAATAGCTGCGTCAGGAGCAGGTCTATTACACTCCTTTCACCTTCACATACCCTGCACAAGTCCACTCGTGAGATACTGTCTCCCCCGTGCAGCATGGCCAACTCGGGAATGACCTCGTTCACTTCACTGCGATCCATGCCGAGGCATGCATCGACCACATAGCCAAACCCAGGAAGCGTATGATCCCGTCGCAGCAGGGCGCGAGTCGCAGTCTCTTCGGGTCTTGCGCCATTGATATCCTGCTTGATTGTGGATTCGCCATAAAGATCTGGTTGTTGTCCAGGTAAGCTTGATGTTAGCTCATATCCCTTGCATTTCATCAATGGACCAGCTCACCCTCATCTAGGTCCATGTCAAGATCATTTTCTGACTTGCTGTCAAGCTGCTCTGCGGCCTCTACTTTGTATTGCTCTAGCTCGATCTGATAGAGCTCAGAGTCACCGACAACTGATGCCACAAAGACTCCCCGGCTGCCGATCTTGATGATGTCAGCCAACGATGTGATGTTACCGACATTGTGGCCCAGCAGCGACAGTTTGTGTACGGCTCGCCCTTCCAACTCGAGTCTGATTTGCATAGTGTTTCCACCACGTAAACTCAACAAGAGGTTCTTGTCGTCCATCCACACAGCTCCTGATCCGTCCAGCTCCACTCTTCGCTCTTCCTCGCTACGATCGGCTGGGAGAGCCGTGATCATGTCATACCATCCGTTGACGCTCGTAGCGACTCGTCGGCCGCTCTGGTCCACGTGGATGATCGCTGTCGAGGTCACGACGATGACACCACCTATCGAGGTTGCACAGGCAAGCATGTATTGGCAGTCCGATGGTAGTCCCGAGATACTGCTCAAAGAGGCATACGTCTTCGATAGGACGTCCAGCGTCCTAATCTCGAGGTGATAGGTATCCTTGTGACTTTGCAACCTCCCTGTCCAGGTCGGTTTCGGTTCGTAGAGGAAAGCGATAGTTGGGTTGTTGAATCCGGGCAGGAATAAAAAGTCCTTGACATTACAGAGAGATGTTGACATGTCCTCGAGTGGCAGCACGAAGCTTGGCATATATGGAACGTCTCTGAAAAAAACATTAGGAGGATGAGTCAGAGGTCTGATAGGAGAACCATCGAGGCTACACAGCGTGGCTCACTTTCCATAAGCAGCCTCGGCAGCTTCGGTATCCATGAGATCCTGTACGATCGGCAACATCGCAAGGGCATTCGAGGGCAAAGATAACGCTGCCAGCTTGTTGTTGGGATCCGTCCGTAACAACGGTCGATGGGCATCGACGTCGCCGTACATCACTTGAGGGCAACGTTCGTACGTGTGCAAGGAGACTGTGGCGACCTCTCCACGAGACCATTCGAGCAGGGCCAGCTATGACAGCTACTTTCAGCTTGACGGCCATCTGCGTGGACTTCAGCTTCAAAGCTCACCTTGGCGTCCCTGAAGCTGATCAAGAGCCTATCAAGTCCATCCTCTAGACTACTCATCGTCCGAATACCCGCTAATCCGGTCACCGAGCCATGTAGTGTGGTCTGGTAAACCAAGTGTAACTGCAGCCTGGTGCGGTTACCCTGAGCTTTCTATAGGTCCAGCCATTGAGAAATATGAGCATCCAGATTACCATTGTATTGGCCCGACTCTGCGTACCTCTGTCACTCCTGAAGTAGCCATATTTCTGAATCCCTCATCGTCCCCAATATCTGCGTCCATTTGCTGATCATCCTGTATCCGTTCATTCTGCCCACCCAGCTGTTCTCCTGAATCCTGTCCATTCTGCTCGCCCAGCAAAACCGGTTCCTCCCTAACCTCGAAAACTCTGAGCTCAGAGCCTCCAGCGACGATCAAATTCCCTGTGATCTTGATCCGGGGTCCATCGGGGTCGTCCGAGCTCGAAAGGCCGTACCGTCTCACCCAAGCCGGTTGAGGGTAAGGGTAGATGGTAGAAGGCGTAAAGTGCTCGAGGAACAAGCTATGTCGGATCCCCGTCTCCGGTATCAGAGGCTGGTGAATCGCCTGCATTACCAATCTATCAGTCAGAGCTATTGATGAGCTTTTAAACGTTGATGCGAGTTCCGAAACCTTTCTGAACGTTGCACTACTATAGAAAGTCTCGAATGCCGCGGTCACTTGAAGCTTCAAGCCGGACATTCGCAAGCGACTTCATAACGCATGACCCAAACATCAACACGATGCGTTTTTCAACATGGTCGCTCGAATATGATAGATCGGTGGATATAGACACAGCGTAGCAGATGAAACAGGAAACAAAATATCAATCGGAAAGACAAAATTTAAAACAGCAGTGGTGGGTGCTCGACCGAGACTTTGCAAAACGAGAAGAAGAACACGCTAGGTGTTTGATAATAGCTATAATAATGTCGGCGACCGGTTCGGACCCGCTTCCCGCTTTCCAACTCCCCTCGCTCTTCATTGCAAACGCTTTAGAGCATGCTAGCGACGATGGTTCCGACGACGGCCAAAACGGCACCCGAGACGAGACCCTGTCCGACGACGACCTTGTTCGCGGCGCCCATGACGGTCGCTCCGGTCGTGTTGCTCACCCCAGCCTGGGCCGAGATGGAGTCGGTAAAGTTGACTCCACAGGTCTGTCCGATCCCGCTCCAGAGGTCCTGTTGTCCTCCCAAGATGGGGGATGAACCGAGACCGAGCGCGTAGGGGACCTGGGATTCCCACGAGATGTAGGCGGCCATGATCGACTTGGTGCAAGTCGAGCAGAGGAGCTTGGAGGACATGTCGGCCTGGAGGAAGAGATAAGGAAGCGAGGTGGACCTGTAGGTGGTCGCGTTGGGGGTCATGTACGAGGTCTGGGCATCACCGGGAGCTCGGGCGGAGAGCTGGGGGAACATTCGTCGGGTGAGGTCCGAGATGGGGTTGTAAATGACCAAGTTCTGAGCGGCCTCGAGGACGGGGGCGAACAGGTCGGCACCGGTAGCGGCGAACGAATTGAGCTTGACAGCGTTGGTGGTGCTGTTCGCGACCGAGGTGGAGTTCTCGGCCTCGTTGGGTGCAGCGGAAGCAGCAGCGGCCTGGGAAGCGATCTCCAGGACACAGTACTTCTGGCTAGTACTGTCCTTGGTGCAGACGGCGGCACGGAAGGGGTTGACAATGTACAGATAGTCGTACATTTCCCTGATCCTCTCCGAGTAGGCAGCTTCGGTCGAGGTCAACTCGACGGAACAAGCCGAGTAGAATTGACCGAGGTAGCTCCTCAACTGGCTGTCGTCGCACTTGGTGGACGAAGCACAAAGCTGGGTCAAGGTGGAAGTGACGGTCGAGGTGGTGACATTCTCGAGGCTGAGTCCGGTCAAGGGGTTGAAGTTGCTGGTAATGTTGTACAGGGGCTCGACACATTGCTTGAACCCGGCGTGCTTGTCGAGACTGTCGAGGTATTTCGAGCATCCAGCGCTGAGTCCAGCGGGGATCATGGCCGACGTGGCAGTGCTGGCAGCACCGGCAGCGGACGAGGTGACGGAAGCCGAAGCCGAAGCGGAGGAGTCCTGCACAAGTTGGCAAAGACGATCATGTATTAGCTATTGTCGATGACCACACCCCTTGTTACTCGCACGACTCACCGAGGCCTGGGCGTAAGCCTGCGAACCACCGGCCAAGAGGCCGACGACGCTCAGAGAGATGGTCTGTCCAAACTTCATCCTTGTTTCTGTATTCCTTTGATTATGTAGTGGGTTGACGAGGTCGTTTAGATGTGAAAGGCGATATCGGGAAGACTAGTTCGATGGGTGCGATTTGTTGTTGTGTTGAGCTCTGATGACGCGGTCTGTTTTCGAGTCGATTTCAACGGATGACAAGCCGGTTGTAAGTGGTCTGAGTACAATCTTCGAAGTCCTAGTTGACGAGGTCACTCACCTATGATCAAAGGTGTATCGGGTAGTGTCGGTGAAGGAATCGAATCTCCTTGCTGTGAAACTGGAGAGCGCAGATCAAAAAAGGAGGGTGGTTTCGAGAAAGGACTGTTGTTTGTTGCTTGCTGAAGCCTGATAGAGCTACAGAGATTCCGATGAGATGTAAAGAAGAGAATGAGATGTCGTCGATATGGTCCGGGGGTCGAGTGTCGAAGGTGTGTTGAAAGATTGCAGGGGGCCAAGAGTCGAGATCAAAAGAGAGATCGAAAGGGGGAATCTCCATCAAAGCCAGACAACTGTTTGCAACAAAGGGGGGAGGGAGAGGAGGGGGAGGGCAAGCAGCGCGGGGGAAGGGGGAGGGAGAGGGACACAGCGGATCCTAATTCGAGGGTGACCCCGACAATTCCGCGTGGCGTCGTAGACTTTTCACTCAACCACCGACTCCCCGCTGCCCTCTGCACGTACCCTGCTCAACAGTGACATGCATGCGATACGGTAGTGCGTCCGACCCTGAACCGGTGTGACCCCTAAACTCTCCCGCTTCGAACCTAATACAAAGGCTCGCTCTGAGCTCGTCGTTTCATCCTATCAACTTGTGCTCCTAAACTTCTCTTCCTGCTGCCATCTCCGGCCGTCGGCCTTGATCCGACCCGAGTGCGAGTCTGACGCGGTTGAGAACGCACCAAGAACGGGTCGTTGTCGTCGTCGTCCTCCATGATCAAACCGAGTGCTCCAACGTATCCATGAGTGGTCTGGATCACCTCCTGGCTCTCGTCGGTTTCGTCGTGGTCCCGGTTGATCTTCCCGGCAGGGCGTTTAGGCGTGATATCGGGAGACATCGGTAACGCCCATTTCACACCACCTCTAGGTGGCGTGGTGATCTCAATCCCCCTTCCTTGTTCCTCTCCCTCGATCGGCCCCTGTAATTCAGAGTAAATATCCCAACCGAGCTTGTAAACCAGCCTCATCAATTTCCACAGTCCCGTCTTCAGCAGGATATAAGACCAGGTCTGTTCGCATATTAACATTGACGTTGACATTCCGTCAGCTGCCGTAGCATGTTGTCGCTCGAGGCGAGAACGGATCATGATCTTACAGTCATCCAGAACACCCAATAGAGCCCGTCGAAGATAGTAGACAGGCAGGCCCAAAAGACGCCAAGGAGGTTGCAGATAAAGGGATACCGGTTGAAGACGGTCGAGACGATCTGGATCGCAGGAATCGTTGAAAATGCCGGTGCAACCACTGATCGCGACGGAGTTCAGTATCTCAGATATAGCCCATCGGCCTTTGCTCTGTGACAAGACTCACCTTGTACCAGATTCGTAAATGTTCCCTTGAATCCCCACTGCATCCTCCCTTCTTTCCTCTGTTCTAGCTCCATCCTCTCGTCGGTAAATCCGGCTTTCAAATCTTCCCAAGCTCGACGACCGTCCTTGACCGCCTCGTCTTGTCCCTGCAGAGTCAACCTGATCTCTTGAGCGACCAGTCTGTTATGTTGGAGCTGGTCGACGGATTCTTCCTGATGATAGGCCGTAGGTAGCGGTTCAGACTTGTTATATACGACTGGGCGATATGTGCAGCTTACCTTGATTGTTACAGCGGTCGAGATAGTCTCCTTCAAAACAGGCTCGAGATCGTTCAATCTGTCGGCGATTATCTCCAGGGTCTGCAGGTATGCATCTTCGGTCAGCGTCCGCGATCACGCGTTGCCACCGCAGGATGAGGCTCACCTGACTGGTAGATTGTATGACCATACTCAGAGCGTCCCATCGTTCCTCCGCCAGGTCCTGACGCAAAGACAGGAAGTGATACTCAATACCCATTCCAACTCGGTCAAGCTGTCCGTACCTACCATCCTGGCAACATCGATATCATATGCCCGCAAACTCCGCTCCTCGAGCTTGGTGGCGTGATTGGCTAGTGCGAGTCCGTGAGCTCTCTCTTGTTCCTTCAAAGATGTCCCGTGCTATATTCAAAAATTGCTCAGCTTAAGCCTGACATTTCTGGTTGAACAGAGGCTGACTCACGGCACCCAAAGCATGGTGTAGCTCGATATTCAGTTCGTCCAAGCTCCTTTCTCCAGTCTCCCTGATCACGGCGCTCAGTCTACCTTGTAAATCGCTAAGGACCGCTTCCCATCGTGAATGCACATCGAACCAAAAGTCGTCTTTCAGCGCCAGGGCTTGCTTCACGCTTTCATCCAATCTTTCCAGTCCCGCATTCATGTTCGTTTCTTGACATGAAAGCTGGTCGTCTAGGCGGACCCCTGCGTTGTCAATGTTGCTGACCATATCTCGGAGAGTCTGCGACGAAGCCAGTCTTTCAGATGGGAAACCAATGCGCAATAAGCGACTGCTCACATACCTCGATCCTGTCCGACAACCGCGCTTCGACTGAACTCTCCGTATCCCTTCTCGCAAGCTCGTGCTGTTTGAGCATTTGTAGAAGCGCCAACTTTTCCATTGTAGAGTTGCGGTAAATTTCATTGGCGATATCTATCGGTGTCTCCTACTTCAGTAGCCGAAGGTTCTCAATCACCATTTAACTGAACGTACCTAAAGTTTGCTGCCCCTTCAGCGCATGGCATTGTTTGGCTAAGAGAGTGTTCGCAATTTGTCAGTGACAAGCTTGTATTGACGTCGCATCACTACGCTTACTCGCATCGGCGAGATAGCCATTGTAGCTGCTCCAATCCTGTGGACTCCGGTGTAAAGCTCTGAAGTAGCTCAACGTATCAGTACGGCTTGCTATTGATCATCATGACCTCGCTCACTCTAGACACCTCCCCCTCATCGCCCGTCCCTCTCCATCGTCTACCGGGAACCCTCGCCTTCCATATCGGTCATCCAACTCGTTGTAAGATGCTACCGTTTCGCCCCGCCTGGATGACCTAGTATAATGCGCTTCGGATGGTCCTGGATTGCTCGAGTAAGGCGACCAAGGTTCGCACTCTACGGGAGGACTTTGCAGAGCTGACTGGATAGAACAGAGCGTGAGAGCGATAGCGACTATGACACCCGGGAAGCAGAAACGTGATCAATGATACGGCTAAATACCGGAGAACTATTTCGTGTAAACTCACCTCCTGCTCTTTCCGCCTCATCCCAACCGCTTACTCCCGACTCTTTTCCTGCATCGGCCGAACAAGCGAGATGGATCCGCTGTCTGATCTGCTTGTGGCAGTCGTAATTTCCCGTATCCTCAGACTGTTCCATCAGATCTACACGGAGCAGAGCCGGATCAATGGATAGTTCGATCAGCTGGTATAGAGAGTGGTACGTACCACTTCTCCTCACTACCCCGAGATCGACTGCTAGTCAGCGTTCTACGGTCAGCATGGACTCTGGTTGACCCAAAGCGTCTCCATGTCTCTCTCCACTCACCCAGCTCAGTAATGGACGTGTCGTCTCTTTCACGATATCGCAAAGATCCTGCTTCTTCAGCACTCGTTCCATCAGTAGCATGCAGACCCTTATCCCTCCATCCCAATGCCTCTGCACCACCAAGTCCGTGGCTTGTCAAAAGCACACCGGTCGCTAAGAGATGAGCCGAACGCATTTTGTTGACTTTGTGAGCTGTGACCGGATCAACGATCCCCGGCTCTCCAGCGAGCTGTTTCTCGCCAGACGGGAAGGTGGGATGTATGTATATGCTTTGAGTCAGGCCATACACTGCCTGGAAACATAGGGAAGACGGCGTGACAGGAGGATAAAGCCCTTTCCTGTTGGCAGCAGGATGCCTGACCCTTTGATGCGACGGCCCATCAGCGAAAGGATGCTCCTGCCTCCACCTTTGCTCGAGTGATCGACGATCGACAACGCTGGTAAGCGCGGGCTCCAGCCAGAAGCGCGACGTCGTAATGCCAAACAGTATAGTGTGCAAAGAATCACAATGGACAACCTATCATACAGGTTGGAGCCTCTCCATTGCCATACTGCTCCATAATCACCCTACTTGGCCTGGTTTGCCGCCTCCCACCAACCCCTAGCCCGTTCTTCCGATGGAGGCGGTTTGAAGAACTTGCATGAGGACTTGAAGGCTGTACACGTCAAGCAAATACACGTAAGGCTGTCAGAATGCCGGTTCCGTTCGGGATATAGTGCAGAGAGGCCCACCTTCTAACGATCGTTTACGGATGATCGCTTCGACGCTTTGCTCGGTGTGCAACTGGTTTGCCTATTTAGATACAAGGATGGGTTGTTTTTATCAGTCTCGGTGTCGACCCTAGATCTGACATCAAGCATCGCACTCACTAGAACCTCCTCTTCGAATTGTCCCAAGGCTGGTGATGACCTAGTCACGCCCACAGCCTCGATATGTGCTTTCCTTTTCGAACTCAGGTTCTCATCGACGACTCCAGTGCAGTAGGTCAGAAGCTTTTGTCTTGCTTCGTAGCCGGCTACAAAACCAAATCTCTCAGCACAATGCTTAGATCGCTCGTGTGTGAGCATAAACTGACCGATCATCTCCTGCCATAAAGCTAGACACATCTCTTCCTGGCCGTCCGTTCTATCGCAGCGCCCATGATCAGTCATCGCTAGGATATTGGGGGAAGTCTAGCGTACTTGTACGTACGAGGCAACTCCTCTTGTCCTATTTGAGTCTCTCCTCGCTGCGTTTGCCCGGTTCAGCTTGGTCACGATGGTGTCATCGAGCTTTCGGTACTGCTTCATCAAGTCTATCCAGAAACAAAGGAGGCGTCTGGAGATCAGCTCCCTGAGTGACGGTGATCGACAGAGACGCCAAACATTTGCCCACCCTTGAACAGACTGAGATTGTAACATGTTGCTGGAGAAACCGAGACTTGACGAGGAGGCGAGAGAAACGTATCGGCGTATGCACTCGCGCTGCCGAAAGGAAGAGATCCTGGGGCGATCGATTGGGATGTTGAAGCGTGGTCGGTCATGTCACTCCGGTTCTAGTGATTACACTTCCAGCGGATCTTATAGCTCTATACGACAGTGAGAAGATTGTGATATCTGTTCATCTATCATCGAGAGCGAGAGATTCGCCATCGAGCAAGTTGTATGAATCGCTCGAAAGGCGATGGCCGATGGATGACGAACCGTCTCCTCGCGTGTTCACCCGGCTGATCACCTCTGCTTCCGACCTCGATTCAGACCGGGTCAAGCTCAACCCATCTACGGCAATTGGTAGAAAAGCATAAGATACTGTATACACTCTACACCGAATACATTGTCCGTCAACAGAACAGTCTCTATAGGTTGGTTATTCGATACAATGGTTGGGGAGTTTCAAGCGAAATGCTCGCTAATGGTCCGTGTTGTCTATTATAGAGTTCCTCAAAACGAGAAATGTCCATGAAGCCTTGTCGGGCTGTCTTCAGTCCTCCCCGCCGATACCGACTAAGAGCTGGCGACACTACGATCGGCGGCTTCTTGCATGCTCCTCAAGAAGGCAATGACATCGCTGTCGTTGTCGGTCGAGCTCTCGGGGTCGTCCAGCTCGGGTTCATCCGAAGCGTCGTTTTCATGTGCTGGTACGACGGCAGATTCCCTCTTTGCGAACGAGATCTTCTCTTCAAACTGATCCCAAGCGTCATGCATGTCCAGATGTAGGCCCTCGGCATAGGTGTGTCGATGGGCCATAGGGCTTCCGAAGACGAGGTCGTGTCCAAGGTGCATGAACCGGACGTCGACGAACGAGAAATAGATGTGCAGGGCGACGACCAGAAGGGGAAAGAGAAGGATGACGAGTGGCGACTTGTTGGCACGACGGCGAGCAGTATAGGCCGGCACGGCCTTTTTCTCCCGGCTAGGTAGGTTGTTGAACGAGAACACCCCGTTGGAGCTGGGCGGTGGGGAGAACAAAGACGAGGTGCTAGTCGGCAAGATTTGCGGAAGGCTGAACCCACTGTCCGGAGCTTGGCTTTTGATCTTTTCCAATTCGGCCACCGACTTGGCGTACTGCTTGGTCGGAGAGCTGGGTGCGGACGTCGACGTGGACAACGCCCAGTCCAGTGCGGTGTTGATGCTGGAAGGCAACGAGAACGAGCGCTTGGGCTTTTGAACCCTAGGCAAGCTCAACTCGTTGACGGTCTCTCCAGCCTCCTCCTCATCCGACATGCGCCGAGAGGTTTTACGTCGGAGCCGTTTCGAGGGCGAGAACGTGGCAAAGTTGAGAAGAGACGGTCGGCTAGGGAATGCAGGTCGACCGGAGGTCTCCTTGGGTAAGAAGGGGTTGTCGATCGAGTATGATTTTAGGATAGGGTAAGCGGTGGGAGCTTGAGGAGGGGCTGCGAGGGAAACAGCGCAAAGAGAAGTGAAGTCAGCCACGTGTGTTCGAACCCTCGTTTCAAATCGACCCGGACTGAACTCACTCAACGTTATGGCAGGTACAATGATCCTGCTGCTGACCCTCATATGCATCTTTGGAGTCGCCAACGACTCTTCCTCCCACGCCCCACTGATACTGCTCTTCCTACTACTACTCCTGCTGCCGCTAGGTCTCGGCAGAGCATCCCCGTTGACGAACGAAAAGTGTTTGCTGTCGAGTTCAGCCAGTTGAGACGTGCTACTGTCGGCCAGAGGAAAGGTAAAGGGCGGCATCGGTACGGGCGGCGGTGAAGGGAACCGGTTGACAGTGACGGCTGGTTCGGATAAGGAAAGGGGTAGAGTAGCTGGTCGACGAGTTGCAGTGGTGGTCATCGTAGTCGAGCCTTTTTATGTGCAAAAACGGTTCAACGAAAAGGGCGAGTACGTCGGTCTTCTGACGTCTGTGGCGGCGCAACAGTCGAAAATCAGCGAGGAAGTTACAAGGTGGTCGTGAGCCAAGCAACGCTGATCCGGAGCAAGATCTGCTTGCTCTTATGAGCTCGATGATAACCGATGCTCTTGTCGATGACTCCGTGACGTCGCAGAAGGTCCCGTCAACCGGGTTTTCCGGTGCGGACATCGAGCACAAGGGGGCTGTCACCGGGAACGCTAGCTGACTGTCCATATCCTCCATGATGTCTCCGTCGCCCACAGAACCCGACCCGACGTCCATCTTCCCAAATGAACCAGCCCGGAATTCATCATCCGATAACTCTCTTTTTTTCGAGCTGCAGGAATCGGTGATTGTAATCATTGCCTTGGTACCTTGGTCGAATCGAAAAAGCGAGGGAGGTGTGATTCGACCTCACAACACGCGTGACGGATAAAGACCGGGACGCAGTACGTCGCCGACCTGAGCTCGATCGATCACCAATGATCAAGGCCGACATCGACGACCGATCAAGGACCAGGGTAGAATCGAATGTAGGAGAGGATGATCGGAACTTGCTAAAGGGTCGTCCACTTACGTAGAGACGATCCGAAAGAGAGAATCCACAGCGAACCGGCGGTAGTTGCCTAGACGGATCCCTTTTGTTGTTAAAGTGGATGAAGGGTCAGCCTTGTTACCAGCCAAAACACCTTGCCCTCTCTTTATCAATAGCAAGACTCACTTTGAGCGAGGAAGCGTTCAATAGTCTATCGTCGAGTTATATACAAGAACTGACGTGGTCCCTCCCGTATCCTCCCGAACAAAGATGCGAGTCGCAAACTTTGCAAAAACAAGGTTCTTATCGGAAAGTAAGACCAGACCTTCAGCTGGATCAGCTGTGTTGTTGGCTGGCGGCGTCTGAAGCGGCTGATGATGACCCTCCTTTGGGTGGATTGATGATCTTCTACGAGCGACGTGAAACAGGGTGCAGGGCTCCAACCGAAAGGCAGGGAGAGATGACGAAATAGAAAAGGAGGGAGATTACCGAGTTTCGGTTGCGGTAACGAGGTGGATCGTTGTGCAGCCAAAGGAGGGCGAGTGATTACAGGGATTGATCGATCTCGGTTACTGATGAAACCCCAAGGACCTCCGTCGGGCTCTGCGTGGAACGTGTATGACGACTATGCGCAACGTATAGCCGGTCGATAGGTATCAGGAGTTCGAATGAGTGCGAGGATGTGGGAAATTGTCGACAGCGTCGGATGGTAATTATAACGACGACCAGTCTCGTGGCTCTGCCAGAGAGCCTGTTGAGAGCGGGACGGGTTGGCGGGTAGTGGAGACTATCGGTGGATAGTCGTAGATTTGGCTCCTGGCCGGGTGATTGTTAAACGGCGAAAGATTAATTTGTTTCCTGTATTCCCCCTCGATATCAAGATTGCACGGGTCGTTGTTTCCGGAGATATGGGAAGTGTTTGAATTGGCAAGGGTTGTGGTAGCGGGTAGCGGGTAGATCGGTCGAAAATCAATCTGTATTCCTATATGCTGTCGAGCACGTTGGACCACTACTACTGTATAGGGCAATACGATCTGCTACAATAGCCCCAACATGCAGTCTAACTAGTCCCTCGAATTGCCTGGCCCCTGTTCCTACGACCGACAACACAACGATGCAACGATCGACCTTCGACCTGGACGACCCTCTGTCCCATGTCCCAGGATCTCAGGTTCGATGAGCGGAATGGCGTCGTCGCCCTCTCCCGCCCTCCTGCGCCCTCGCCCTAGAACACAAAGAAAAAAAGGTCCTCGCGCTACAGTCATTTGTCTCGATCGGGAACGGCCCGCGGCGGCGCCAGAAGCAAAGCCGAGTGACGTCGAGACAGAAAGCTTCCAGAGCCACGCGGCTGATCACCGAAAGCCTGGGCCCGACCGCGGGCAGAAGCTCGGAAGCCTCTCAGGGGCTTTTCGTTCAAGCCGGTACACAGGGAGAGGAATCGAGATCTTGCGAAACGTCTCGGACGAACAAGGTTCATCACAACAACAGCAACCGATTCAACTATGGCATCAGCGAGAGAGCTGCGCAGTGTGATACCCACCTCCACGGGAAAGGGTGTCCCAATCGTAGGTACATGGATACAGGCGTTGAGAATAACAACAACAACATGAAGTAAACAAATCAAGCACACACGCACGAGCAGCAAGCAGAGCAAAATTAACAGATCCATTCGATCTATTCTACGCCTATCTCAAGAGAAGGGGGAAAAGCCTATCATCGATTCTGCAAAAACGCCTCGACGTCGTAGTGCCGAGACTGACTATAGGTCTCGGAACCTATCCTCGGATTCATAGATAGACATGTGATTGAGCACGAGTGGCATCCAGCTTGATATCGGTGTCTTATCGCTCACCCTGTCATGACTTCGTACGATCACAGACGTACCGACCTCGCCTGAGCCGGACCTCTGGAACTCGCTCGACTAGAGGGACGATTGGTCTTTTTCGGAGAAGCAGGTGGACCTCGCGAGGATTTGTTGTTGTTATTGATGACATTCAGTGGCAAGGTTGCCGCCGGAGCAATAGGTACGGTGGCGTCTTTTGTGCGTTGCTTTTGCGAGACCTCCTGCTGCACGACGTTCGGGGTGACATTCTTTTTCTCCTGCAAGGGGTTCCTCGCCGCCTTCCTCGGACTATGGGTGAAGATGGCATCGTCGTCGTCGGCATCATCAAACTTGAACGCAGAATCCCCTCGACCGTGTTGGTCCTGTTTGACGCCTAGTCTGTCGGATCGCGCCGATAGCAAGTTGTCGTCAGATAACATCGTCGCGCGCTCTCCCCTCGCTACCGGCGCCAGGATGAGAGGCTTGAGACCGGACCGAAGAGGAACGACACCGGAGATCTGGCCACTGTTGCGCTTGAACGTTGAAACGTTGTTTTGACCATGCACGCTCGATCGGACTGCTTTTTTGCCTCCGGACGAGATCGTCTCAGAGCTTATCGCCTGGGGTTCGCATGCGGTAGCCGGGCCCGCGGATGACTCCCTTGATCGAGTGGAGACCAGGATCAAGCTGCCTCTCGACGACTGTGTGGCCAAAGCTGGAGACGGCGAGTCTTGGATGGGATCGGGTATGCCCACAGAATCCATGGTCATGAATGTTTCAGTCGAGACCTTGCCCTCGGCTTCTCGGTTCTTGTGCGGAATCGGAAGCTGTAGCTTTGACGCCGACGTGCTTCCAGCAAAGGAATGAGGTCGATTGAACGAGTTGGACCGGGACAGAGAAGGTTCGCTCGTCGACGAGATGTACGCATCGGTGGCGAAGCTGTCGAACTGAGTCATGACCATTTCCATCTCTTCGAGTTGTTCGGGGTCATGTTCGAAGGACAGCTCAAAGCCGTCAACAGGAAGCCCGCGCTCGTCAAGGATATCCCGGTTCATGACCTCTGGTTGATGCGTATCGTGTCCGATTGAATGAGGTGCCTCTAGGCTCGCGATAGAACGGTTGGACACTTCATCGCGCTCAGCCACTGTCTCCAACGCGGTATACGGTACGGGTACCCGGTTGACGTGATTCACGGGTGCTGGCGGGGACGAAACCACGACCGAAGCGACGGGCTCAGTCGTTTGAGCTGCAATCGCCTTGGCCTTTCCGGCGGCTTTCGTCTCCTTGTCGGCAGCCTTGCGCATCTGGGTCGGAATTGGAGGAAGATCAAGACCGACCGCGAGCGAATCGAGACTCGGACGGGATTTCAAGATGCCCTTCAAGGGACTCTTTGTTTCACCGGAAGCTTTGCGTTTGATCACGTTCCGCTTGGCCTGCTTTGGGGTCTTGGCCGGGGTGTCGATCGAACGGCCATAGTGTTTGAGCGCCTGCTTGACGTCTTCTAGAAGGCCGGTCTTTGGCGTCATTTCAGGCAGACTTCGGTTACTCTTGTGACTCCCTCGCCGACGCAAGTTGGCTTTCTCATGCGGAGTCGAGTGTTGCAGTGGTGCTTCCAGGCCAAACTCGAAGGACGTCGTGCCAAGGTCGAGAGAAGTGGTAGTGGCGTGACCGGGCAGAGGAGGCGGGACAAAGTCTAGCGACGGCCGGAATGGAGGTAGATCCATTGATTGTCGTGTCGTCGAGTACGACTGTCTTCCAGCAGGCGAGGAGGATTGGGTCTGGTCGGCTACCGGGATGGACGGGTGTCTGCATCGACATGTGGAAAGGGCCGGTCAGCGGACCGCTAATAATATTCAAATCATGCTCAAACTCACGATTGCACGAATTCGCGTCCAACATATGGCGCGGTCGTAGGCTGTTGGTTTCTCTCTCCGGCGTTCAGGAAGTCTTTGGCAAGCTCGAGGGTTCGCCTTCGCAACCGGTTGGCTTCACCGGGTAACGAACTTTCCAGATCCAACGAGTCATCCCGTCTCTCGGCCACATCCAGTACAGCTCGTTGTTCCCTGCCCTCCTCGACAAGACCTGCCGCTTCCATGGATGGACGGGGTGACATGATCATATCTCCCTGACTGCCTCCAAAAAGGAAGACCGGCGTCTGGCTCATTCGGGTTCGGGTTGCAAGCTTCACCTCGGCGGCCTTGACAGACTTGGCGCCCGGGCTCGTAGCAGCACTGTATCTAAAGGCGGAGCGATCGTATTTCGTCGGAGTTTCAACTTGAATGGTTGGCCCACGCGCGGGTACGGCTACTCCAGGAGATAGGTCGCAATAGGCCGGTCCGGCCTTGAACGAAATTGGAGACATGTTGGTCCTCGCACCAGCTCTAGCATTGATCTTGGAGGCTTTCGGAGTGGCGTTGAGATCTTCCGCTTGCTCTCCGGGCGACATGACGGACAGTTGAGGGTGGGGAGCCATCATACTGATAATCCGGTCGAGTTTACCAGAAGATCGCCTGGCATGACCATTCTCTAGCCAGACATCGCTCGACAATCTATGCATCTGGATATCTTGCCTCGGGCCGCGTTCTAGATCTTTCTCCCTGTTTCTCTGGGCGGCACGGCCGTCATTGAGGGCGTTCTTCGGATCGCCGCTATTCTTGTAGCCAATCTTGGAAAGCCGGGGGAATGCCCGCGTCCACGCTTCGATGGACATCTTGCGTCGTGTACCGCTAGAATGTATCGTGCGGCTGGACATCTCGGCGATCCGGTCCAGGCCCGTCTTGGGCTCGTGCGAGACTGTGATCTTTTCTCGGCTGTCCTTGACCACATCTGTTTTGGGCAACAAGACGTCTTCGGTCAGGCGACTCAGGAGCAAACATCCGGCCAGAAGCATCGGAGCTGGCAACAAGAGCGAAACCAGGTAGAGGCAAACAGCAACACGCGAGGCTTCAAGCGTCAAAGGTAGCGCGAGAGCCTGTTTTACAGCGAACGACGTTGATTGTCAGCAGTGGCGCCCAATTTCTCGGGCGATCGAAGGGACATACCCAGCAGCACCAGAGAACCAGAACGCCAGCTGCACCGATTGTCTCAACCCTAGCTTCCGCCCTGCTCTTCTCTTCCATGATTGACGATTCGTTGGCGATATCGGCAGCCTGAATGAGCTCTTCAATCTCGTTGGCCCGAAAGCCGTTCGAAGTGTCACGTCCGCCAGGCTGACCGGGCAAGAGCAAAGGATCGGTCGAGTGCTTCCCGTTCGAGCCAAACACTGTGGTTGCTGGTGTCAGTATGGAGTTGTACGAGAAGGGTGAAACTCGGCCAGCGGCAGAAGGAAGCGGGCCGTCCTCCGTGGTCTTGATCGGCATGGTCACGTATTGAGGAACGGTCGATCCCGGTCGAGAGATGGTCGCACGAGAACTGCTTCGGTTCATCCGGGCAGCCTGAGTGAAATCGGTAGCATCGCTCGACGCTCGAGGTCGTCCGGTCTGGCTGACGGCAGGACAAGCAGGAAGAGGCATGGCAGGAGGTTCTCCGATCGGGGAAGGCGCTCGACTGCGCTTGCTCTCCATGCTCGGTCCGCGTCGCGGCTTGTCATCCTCGTCGCGAAGGTGCTCATGTTCACCCGATTGACCGGGGACATAGGGTGGATAGCTTCGGGGTTGTCCGTACTGATGGTCCTGACCGGCATCGCTAAATGACATGCTGACACTTCGAGGGAAGCTCATGTCACCCTCGTCGATGGCGGAATGATAAGTTTCCTCAGACAAGGTGCTCGACTTGCCACGGAGAGGTCGGATCCCGATGCCGTTGGCCAGCGAAGTAAAACTCATATCAAAGGGGCTCGACGATTTCAAGATCGATGGACCTTCGTTCAAGAATGATCGACCGCCCTCCGCTTCCTCGGATGTCCTCCCTCGATAAGGCAAAGGAAGCTTGGGTACAGGTTCGGAAATGTCGCCAAAGGAAAACGAGCTGAAACTGGTCGGCGTCTTGCTCGGCTCGGTGATCCAGGAAGACTTTCTCGCCCTCTCCGAGCTGTTCCTGCCCGCAGCCGATCCCGGTCGGTCGCTCATTCGGCTGCTACTCCTCGTCCGAGCCATCTCGGGAGTTCGAGGGGTTCGGATCCCATCAGATTCGTCGTCACCGAGAACGAAAGGCGAAGTCGGACGAGTGGACTCGCCGCGCTGGCGTTGACGCTGAGACTTCGCGTTCGCAGGAGAACCGACGGTGGTGTTGTACGAGAAGGATGAGAACGGCTCCGTGGCGTTGCTGTTATCGGCTGCTGGAAGAAACGCAATCAGTCTCCACAGCAACGTAGTCAAAAAATGTGCGACCCAAACTGACCTCGCTCAGTCAACCAACTGTTGTTAGACCGCATCTCCTCGATCTCCTCCTCGACCTGAACTCCATTGGCAGGACTTCTTTTCCTCTCCTTCCCATCCGCAGGCAACTCGATCCGGTTCTTCCCTAGTATCCGTCGGACGATCCCGCTCTTCTTCAGGATCACAGCGGTCAATACGACGAGACAGGCTCCCGAGATTGCAAGCGGGATGTAGAGGGAGACGAAGGCGCCTAGACAAGAGAATCCCACGCTGGTAGTGAGACTGGCACTGATGAGGAGTCGAGGAGATACCTTGGCGAGCGAGGCGATGGCGTATGGTGCAGCCAGGGTGACGGCCATGAACGGCAACGAGGTGATGGACACGGCGAGGGCGATATCGAGAGCCCTTAGCGATCCAGAGTCGAGAAGTGCAAGGTAAAGGACTCCGGAGACGACAGTGGTCAAACCCGCGACGATCATCCCGATGTACGGCTGTACCCAGCGACCCTGTCCACCCGAAGTCGCATGCTCTTCTTCCTGTTGAGGCTTCCGACTCGCCTTCCTCGGCTCGTGAGATCCTCGGAATATTGCTCGAAAGCCGGTCTCGCTCTCTTCACTCGGGCGGGGTGGCATCCCGAAGTCCTCTCTCCGGACCATCTTGGCCTTGTTGCCAAGGAGCAACGGGCGGAGGTTTAGAGACGATTTTGACGCTTTGTTAGGGCCATTCCGGTGACCAGAGGAGGACTTGTTGTGCTGGTTTCCACCGTTCGAACCGGGAAAGGAGGGTAAAGCGAGATTGGAGCTGAGGTACTTATTTCGCAGAGTCGGGATGCTGAGAACGGCGAGCACGAGGGCGAGTGGGACGACGGCAAGGAGCGTTGGGAGCGCGGTTGAGACCGCGAGCGGTAGTGTGAAGTTGTCGGCCATGATGACAGGTCAGATGTTGTCCGAATTGTTTTGGAAATTCGAATCTCGGAAGGACTGCGGTCCTAGCGTCTGCGAATGAAGGCCAGGGTACGCCGGTGTAGACTTTGAAAGAGCCTCGTGGAGAAGGAGGGTGAAGGTATGTAGCGACAGGGGAAGACGGAGGCTGGAAATAATGAGAATTTGCAAACAAGTGACGATGTAATCGAAAATGGGAAGTAGAGAGGTAGGTAAGTTGGATTGGTTGTTGTGTTATGACGAAAGCGACCCCTCCTCCCCTCCCCCTCGTCGCGCCCCCGATCAACAGCAGCATCTCTCCAACCTGAAACGCGGTAAACAAAATCACACACACGCGCGCGCGCGAGCACTTTAGTAGAAAGTCATTCAACCGGATTGATCGCAGATCGCGCAAGGGAAGCGAGAGGCGAGAGGGAGGGGAAGGGGGAGATCAATTAAATCTCATCAATTCGATCATTTCCCGTCAATTCTCATCAGTTCTCATCAAAGGTAAACAAACGGATCGATCCCGTTGGATCTTACGTACGTGCTTACGAAAGAAGAACATTCCAGCAGCGATGCGCTCAACCCCCAGAACTGACGCGCTTTTAGCCTTCGCTCGATCGCTCAGGCAGTGAGACTATTTGATTACTACCCTAGCTGAAACTTCATCGACTCCCACTTACAAGAGATACCATATCACCTGAAACCCATTCGGCCTCAGCTCAAGAATCAAACCCTCGCTACCCACTATTCGACCAAGACCACATTATGTCTGCATCAGGCCGTCCCGACGAACTGTGGCGAACGACCCCCATGGGGTCCGCTCGAATGGCAGCTCTGGGCGACCGCGTCCTTCGATACGCGAGGGAGGACAAGCAGAAGGCCTTGTCATACCTCGTCGGTCTCGCCAATGCCGAGACGACGAACAGTGGAGCGAACGCCAATGGGTCACGAGACCGGGAGCAGGACGATCGCGGCGATGTAGCGGACGGGCACATCCCTAGTCCCAAACAGATCGATAGATTGCTCGATCGATGTGAGCTCTTCAGAAGACTCGAAAGAGTCCCAGCTTCCTCTCCAGAACATATTCCCCGCCTGCCAATCGGCATGTTCTCTCCCGGCGAGATCAAGACAAAGGTCGAGTACGTTGCACGGCTGTGCATTCTGGACAACCACGGAAGGCTACCTGAACCGGTAGGGTTGATCGAAATGATGTGAGTAAAGTTCGGTATCACAACGCGTGGCCTTCGGTAGAAGGTAAATGCTGGCTGTTAAGCTGACTCTGGCGAGCTACATCATCTCAGGATGGATCGTAATGAAGAGGGAAGACCAGGTAGAAACTTCTTCATTGGGGACATGAACACCTATACGTGGAACTGCCTTTCATGGTGGCATTTCCCCCCTGGATATCTCGAAGGCAAGCACGAAACATCACACTCCAATGGCTCGTCCCCCTTCTGACACCCGACTTTGCGTCACCTGATGTATAGAGCTCGAACGACAACAGCCGAGACGCCACGACGAGCCTGGGTTCGAAGCCTTACCCAAGCTCACCATCGAGGAGGGAGGAGGAAAGAAGCTCATCAGCGTCCGCCGAGTCGCCGAGCGCGACTTTCAGCCAGACGCTACCACAAGGGTACCTGCAGCTTCATTCTTAGCTAAACCTCTCGACCAATCTCTGGGACCGCCAGTCGATCAGGGACTGCGTCAACGAAATGCTAGAGAGTGATGGGTATATGTGGGATCTGATTCCTGGCTTTTCCTCGAGGCTGCTGGAAAACAAAAACGTGGGAATACCCTTTCGGGGTGTTATCTCTGCGATCAGAAGGGCGGCGGGATTACTGGAACGTGCGGATTGAGAAAGAGCGCACGGATGCTCGATTTGTACATTTATGGTATACGGTACTGCGTCAAATCGCCGGGTCTTTGCAAGCTTGTGTCTGTTCATGCCTGCCATACGCATAAAGTACAAAAATTACGAGATAGCGAAAGACTAGTCCGTTACGACAAGTATTGACTTTTACAAGAGGACTTTCGTGTTTGATTCCCGCTCATATCGAGAGTTGCTTTTACGACCCATCGGATCCACCCCTGACGCCAAACTCGAAAGCGTCCCCGCGATCCAGGTACAAGACCTTTTCTCCCAATCCTGCCGACTCGACCTCTTTCTCAAAGTCCGATCGGGGGGACTGCGACAAGCAATACACAAATGTTAGCTGGGCGTCTACGCAAAGAGCGAGGTTGACAGATGAGATAATTCCCAGACTTACGGCAAAGACGTCATAGTCGTCGAAATGAACCGGAATGGTCAGTTTGGGAGATATGAGCCGGACGAGCTGGATGCCCTGTTTCCCATCCATGGTCTAGATCCCTCAGTGGTATGGACGGGCAATCAGCACCGCATTACAGCGTTTCCTGACGTGCGGTATCATAGATAGTAAAGACCCGCGGCTTACCACCATGAGTAAAGGAGCCTTGGCTCCGGGGATCGACGTCCCCCCCAGATGAATGAGGAGGAGATCTACGTCTGGATATCTGGCTGGAATTTCCTGTCAAGTTGAATCGACTTTCAAATCAGTCTTCTGCGTTGACACTGTCGTGTCCGGCTGTATTCACCTTCAAGTCATCCACTGCGCCGCCGGGGCAAAATTCAAACAAACACAGGTCGGACTTTCAGCTCTCACCTCCAAGCGATCCGCGCGAATGACCATGGTACTTACCCATCAAGGTATCCCCTGAGATGTAGATTCTATACCCAACTTCTACAACTTCTTCCTCCCCCTCCTATTGATACCCGAGCTCTAGCATGTGCCCATTGGTCTGCGTCGGTCACCTCTTTCGTTAGCATTTTCAAGTATCCCTCGCAGCACCGTACGACCTTTCATCGGGAAAGCCATGAAAAAAGGATGTGCACTCACGGGCGGGATTGCGTGCAATATGGCATCGTTGACAGCCCCGATGAATCCGGCAATATGTTTCCCTGCGCCCAACCCAAGTATCAGCGACTGTGATAAGCTACAGAATTTCTCATCGTGGTGCGGAGATGGGCAGAAACAGAGGTCGGTACGAGCCGCGGACTTACCTGGGGTGGCGACGACCCTGACGACGGGCTTCTTGTTGCTCTTCCCTGGCGTATCGGTGATCTTCAGCAGTGTCGACTCCCAAACGTCCATACCGTACTGTATCAAAAGTGTTATCGACATACCACAGATCAGTCGTGCATCCCTTTTCGTATAAGAAGTGCGATCTCTTCTCGAAATCGCCATATCACCCATAGTGGCGTATACGATATCGCGATGATGACGGACGACACTCACCACATCGGTAAAAGCGCCCCCGTTCCCCTCGAGACCCATCAACTCTTTTTCCGCGTGTCGAGTTGTGACGATCGGCAAGTCCTTCCTCAGTTTCTCTTGTACAAGCTGGTCAAAGTGGTCTGTCCGGCAAAAAGCCTTTTGTGAGCTTTTTAATGTGCTTTTCATATTTCCGGAGGGGAAGGTACAGGAACAGCGGAGAACAGACGAAGAAGGAGAGCACGAACGTACCGGCATGAAAATGACTCAAGACGACCACATCCACACTAGGTAGACCTTCGATCGGGAAGGCCGGGTCGGTGACTCTTGTGCCCGTTACGCCTGGACCAAGATGAACGTGGTCTCCAGCCTGTGCGCATCACATCCGAATTTAAGGTTCGAATACAAGCGTGACGTAGGTAAAGGTTAGCACGGTCGCATTTGTATTTTAGGGGAGTATGATACTTTGAAAGGATGGTATGACGACTCACGTGAAGCTAAAATGACGAAGCGGAGACATCAGCATCGTTTGCTGCAATGTAGTTCGCATTCAACGCAGCAGGTCATAGAAACCACCTACGAAGTTTGGATCGGTCATGATTCTGACTCCCTGCCTACGACGGTGCTACTTAATGTAAGCTATCATGTTGGGTCTACCTGAAGAAAAGGCGAGCTCGACTTGCCATTCCAAGACACAAGTAGCCGTCCCGACAAAGACCAAACGAGCCTTGCCCGCCTTATCCGCTTCTCCATTGGTTCCTCTCTCAGTAAACGGCGCAGACGGGTGTGTCTTGATCTGCCCGCTCTGCGGGATCTCTGCTCGGGGTGGAAAGACAGGAGGGTCGAGAGGAGGACGTTTAGAGGATGGGTCGGCGGAGAGGGAGAGGGTGTGGAGAGGCTTGGGGTTGGTATGACCGGGCTGAACGGTGGTCATGTTGGTGGTTACCTCTTGATAGACTTATATAACGATCCTGAGTGAGTATCGATGTCGATGTCAAGCTTGTGTGAACATGTATGTATATGTGTTCAACGACCATTCCCCATCCATACCATCTCATATCGTCACCCCCGAGCCCCTGCAGTGGGACCTCGGTGATGACATCAGCAACGACTGAACATCACGTGACTGAAACGGGGTCCACTTGTATTACCTAATCAAGACCCCTGTGCCCGTTTTCGGATCCGCCCTCTCGTTTGACTTGCTTGCCCCCATCAGGATCAGATACTCCTTCTCCATGACATATCGCTACCAGCAACCATACAAACCACTTGCACAGCGATACAAACATCCTACATCAGCACATATCTAGATACCTTGAATCACATATTCAACCAGACACCGGGTCGGCAGACCTTCCACACTTCCCTCCGCCCCGTTGTTCCGGGCCAACACCTCCTTCCATTCTCCACCCCGGTCCTCATCGGACAATAACCACCGCATCATGGACCTCTCATCGCTCTACAACACGCTATCGACACCGCCAGATAGGTTGCAGCAGGCAGAGAATGAGATGATGGAGCGGTTCAAGGGTCAGTCTCTGCGTCTACTAGGCAGTAGGAAGTGCATTCCGCTGACGAGCGTTGTTGTGCTTCTCGTTACTGTGTCTTGTGACCCGTCCTCATGCTTCCGGCGTAATCAACCATTCGACCCATCAAATAACCAACGTGACCAAATTCGACCGTCAATACCGACGACCATCTCCACCTACAGCTGCGGCCTTGAGCATAACGCACCTTTATAAATCGTCCGTACATACATCAAAGGTGAGTCCACGTCCTCTTCTCATTCCCTTTCCCCCCGTCAAAGGGTGGATTCCGTCGTCACTGCCATCAGCCTCAGCTAACATTCCTTTGACGTCCGATTCTTGGTTCTCTTGGCAATCGCAGCAAGCATACCGAGCAGGTTACTCGGCTTGCCTGTAAGTCTCCTCGGTAGTTTTTTCCCGTGATTGAACGCAATCACATCGGCTGACCCCTATCGATTCTTCCCAATCTCTGATAGTAACGACGTCCTTCAGACTCTTCAAGCGTCATTATCCACCTCGTCTCCCTCATTACACCCTAGGACGATAGCAGAAGTGGATAGTGAAGCTGTTCAGGGGGAAGAAGCGGGCAAGGTCTTGGGAAGGTTGATGGATTGGGTCGAAGCTCGGCAAGTAAGTCGGCTCCTGATGAACCCTTGTTCAGTGGGCAAGTAGATTGGACATTATGCTAAGCAATCTGGCGAATATTTAATGATTTTTAGGAAGCCATCAAGTTGGAGACGGAGGAGGAGAAGGAGAAGGAGGACGCCGAGTCTAGCGGGACAACAACGACAGCGGCAACGGGAGCTGGGGCGGGAGGTAGCAAGCTTCGACGGCCCGTAGCCCCGACGAGGGTGGATTCGATGCAACCGGAACGACCTGTACGGTCCGTCTTGCAAGGTACACCGACGCCTGTGCGGACGACAGGAGCAGGGTCGGGGTCTGGGTTGGGTGGGATGAAGATGGACGAAGTGGAAGAGGCGACCACGGAAGAGACCGGTACGGACGTTGACAGCGGGACGATGTTGACGAAGAAACCTTCTGGGGCTATTCGGCAGCGGGATGCATTGGTACAGGCCGTAGCCAACGCTCGGGCCAAGGATCGGACGGGGAGTGGGAACGGGATGAAAGACGAACCGACGGATGACAACAACAGGGAGAAGGACCGGTTCGCCCCCCTAGCCCTAACACGACCTTCCTCCCCGATTCCTATCACCGCCAACAACACCATTCGGGAATCTACCAACCCGAACCCTTCTTCCCCGCTTACACCCACTCCTCAGGCATATGCGGGGCATCATCGACCATTCAAGGGGTTCGGACAACATTATCGAGGCGGGACGGATCACCGTAGCAAGCTCCTCAACCTGAACAGGAGGGAACCTCATGCGCATGCGTTCAACCCTAATTTCGGGAACGCCGAAGTGCCTCTGTTTCCGGGTACAGAGGCTGTCGCGGACGTCCAGTCTGGAGCGGCTGATGCCTATGGGTTTCTGTCGGGAGGCACCGGAGCGGCAGTCGTCGGAGCTCCCGGAGGTGGAGTAGGTGGAAAACGCGCCCATGAGAACGCTTTTGGAGGCTCTGTACCCGTTACTGTCCCCCTTAATGGAGGCGGGAACAACAACAGCTCGGTCTTTGGCAGCGCACCTCCGAATCACGGGATGGGGTTCGGGAACGGGGGAGGGAATGGGAGGGGGAGACGTAGGGGTGGCAATCACGGGTTCGCTGGGTTTGCGATGCGGGGGAACGGGGGGTCAGTCCAGGTCCAGGGGAGCGAGGGGGAGGACGACGTGATTGAGGGGAGGGAGAGGAAGAGGATCGCTCGGCGGTAGCCTCGGTCATGCCATCAGTAGTCGCAACGGTAGCTTACGCCAATCCTGAAGCCTCCCGATCGACGCCATCATCCTCATAAATCATGGACGAGCCAAATTCTGCAGTCTACCGGCATCCTCCTTCTTGAACCCCCCATCAATTTCAATCCCAGCACACGTCCGAGACACAACAACCACCAGTAAACGCGAATCACGAAAGACGATAAACAACAACGTACGAAGAGCCACGGCGATACACCACACAACAATTCATTTCACTGCACCTTCCATCCGATTCGACCGCACAAGGTCTCGGTGGGAATTATCAACCAATCACATCACGGCGAAGCGAGAGAGACGGTCGACGCAATCGTTCTCCGGGCTTGTTGCACCGTTGTATAGACAGAGAGAAGTGTCTGGACACCTTATTGTATAGTCTGCGAGATCATGATCACAAATGTAGCATAGACACCATGTAACGACAAGATCGCCCACTTCTCGGATAGCACCTCGCGAAGTCAGCCTATCTAGACCCCCCTAGATGGCTGCAAAACAGCTCATTTAGACGTAAACTGACCTTAAATAGAGACAAGAAATACACAAATAGGGTGTAACCGGTGTAAACAGTGAGTAGGGAAACTATTCAGCGCCTGTTTAGGGGGGTCAAGATAGGCTGACTTTGCGAGGTGCGGATAGGGACGCTGGCGTGGAGCGGCTGCACTGTTCGCTCACAATAAGCATGAAAGAGGATCATGCAAGTCGGTTCTACGGTCAATGTCATTATCGAAATCGACTGAGACATCTGATGCGTTCCATAAGATAGAAAGCCATTTTCAGATCGAAGTTTCATATCATCTCAGATCGCTTGTCGATAAGCGAGTGTCACCGTCTCAGGCCACAAATCGATCAAGAAGAGGTCGGAATTACGTTCTTTCTGCGACCGTTCGGGTAAAAGCGTAGATCGTGTAGATTAATGGTACATGATAGACTGACGTGCATGACGTGTTGATGGTCGTACACCGTTTCGCAACTCGTCGAACCCCATAGTTTAGGGTCACCGAAGAAACCGGAGGTCGATCGGCCAATCCGGAAATTTGGCCGATTCGCACGGGATGGGCCTGGTCGAGGGTATTACCCCGAATGGATATATCTCGATATCGTTGACGTCAGCTGATCCACCCCGATCGTACCGATTGCTGTGCTGTTCATCACGATCGGTGACATGAAACAAATCAGAACACGGGGTACAGGACGACCGCATACCCTTGACATCCAGCGACGATCGGTCGTCGGGAGATATATGATGAACACGGAGATAAAGCCTGATCAGCGCGGAAGCTCGGAGCCATTGGAAGGTCTGCACGCTAGGCGAGGTGGACGATGCAGACCACCTTTGAGAATCTTACGTCCATCCTGGTTCAGCTCGCTGCCTCGCTGCCTCATCTAGCAATGCACAACACACCGGCAACGTGACCCACATTTGCAGAGGTCCTCGTCATCGTCAGATCACATGAAACAAAGGTGACACATGGCAACAGCGACAAGATCGGTCCGTCGAGTGGCCAATTAATCCCCCGAGCTCGGGTGGTTTTCTATTCGGCCAAGAAGCCGCGATTTTGGCTCGAAATCATATAAGATGGAGCGATGGGGTTCGGATCCCCTCGTTCCAACTCCCACTCTTCCAATCTCACTCACATACGCAAAGCACATCTACTTGCAAGAGCGACTCGCCGCCGATAACCCAACGCAACACACACTTAAGCTTACACACTTATCACAATGGTCGCCGTTACTGCCACTCGAGGTCGAGAACTCGACGCCACCTCTGACAAGATCGACGAGGTCAACGTTCTCAAGGGACAACTCAAGGGAGACGCCGCCGCCTTTGACGAAGCCTCCAAGTTTGACGAGACCAAGGAGAAGGAGACGTTCCGAAACTACGAAGATGCCAAAGACCATGTCAAGGTGAGTCGAGAGTCTTGCCTGTTGCGGACGAGGCTAGGCCGACTTTGCTTCCGCGAGCTGACACGCGCCACCGTTTCGTCCTCGTGACCTCGCAGGTGTTTTACGCCGAGCAGCACGCAAAGCAGACTCTCGAGTTCAACCTCAAGGCTCGTGAAAAGTTTCACAGCGAGACCAGGGCTCGGATGACCATTTGGGAAGCCATCGAGAAACTCGATACTTTGATCGACGAGAGCGACCCAGACACGAGTCTCTCTCAGATCCAGCACCTGCTCCAGACTGCTGAAGCCATGCGTCGGGACGGCAAGCCCGACTGGATGCAGCTCACCGGGTTGGTCCACGACCTCGGCAAGCTCCTCTGCTTCTACGGCGCCGAAGGACAATGGGACGTTGTCGGTGACACCTTTGTTGTCGGCTGCAAGTTTTCCGACAAGATCATCTACCCCGCGACCTGTAAGTGCCAGTCATGATCGCTCCAACCGCCTCGCCGATGTATTGACCGGTTTCTTGTCATCGCCCCCTCAGTCGAAGCGAACCCGGATTACAACAACCCCAAGTTGATGACCGAGAACGGCATCTACGAAGCCGGTTGCGGACTTGACAACGTCTTGCTATCCTGGGGTCACGACGAGTATCTCTACAACGTACTCAAGGATCAGTCGACTTGTGAGCCGCACCTTGCTTCTCAGCGTCACCTCGCTCTCCGCTTACCGTTGTCCCCACGAACAGTGCCCAAGGAAGCCTTGTCGATGATCCGATACCACTCCTTCTACCCTTGGCACCGAGAGGGCGCTTACCGCCACTTCATGCGCGACGGAGACGAGGAACAGCTCCGAGCTGTCAAGGCGTTCAACCCTTATGACCTCTACTCCAAATCCGACAACCCGCCTTCCGTTACCGAGCTAAAGCCCTACTACATGAGCTTGATCGACAAGTACATCCCCGGTGTTCTCGACTGGTAGACCGCTCGGCCGATGGCATCGCCCGCATCAGACACAAGTTTGCGATTTACGATTTACGACATTAGAGCTGGTTTCATTCTTTTCACTTTAGTTGTATAGTTGACCCTGACATAATAGAGCGGACAAAGTTCTGCACTTGTACAATTTATCCTATGCTGCATGAATCCTTTCGTGACTCGTACCCACCGCCTTGAGTAGGTCCCGGATGTACAATATTGGCCTCTAGGAGTATTTACCGCGTTTCTTCCCGGAACCAGCGTCTTTGACTTCGTCATCCGTCCATTCGAGAAACTCGTCGTCACTGATGTCGTCCTTTCCGAGGGTCGACTTGTCGGGACTATCAAGCGCTAGCTTGAGGATTTCGGCAATGTCGACGTCGTCGTCATCCTCATCGTCAGTCGCATCACGACAGCCCTTCTTGGTACGGCCTCCGCCCTGACGAGACCTGGTGCCTTTCGACCTCTTCCCCCGGATCTGAGGCATTTCCGTAAACCAGGTAGATACTCTGCGGCCCAAGGTATCCCGCCGCCTCCGGCCTCGTTGATCATCCTGCTCCTCCTCTTCGTCACTTTCGCCGTGATACCACGTGCTGAGTCGTCTGACCGCTTTACGGGCCGGTCCACCCGACTTTGCAGAGCTCTTGCTCTTGCCTGCAGTGGCCGCTTTCCTAGCCTCTTCCTTCGCCCATCGCTTTTCAAGACGCCGTCTTTCAATATCGTCGTAGTCATCCACTGAGATGTCACTACCGCTGTCGTCATCCGTGTCGCTCTTGGGGGGAAGCCAGGTGGATCGGCGCTTCTGGATTAGGGTGGCCCTCTTGGCTTTGCGCCTGGCGACCCTCTGCTTCTCGCGCTTCCTGTAGCGTGCCGGTTTTGTCAACGTCTCTCTTCGACGACGTTTCTCCCTTGTGCTCCTGGAGACATGTTCTTCGGTGTCGCGCTTCGCAGCTGATCGTTTTGACGACTTGGTCTTGACTTTGGCCGCTTGCGACTCCAGGTAAGTCGCAGACTCGCCTCGTTCCAGGCTATCTTCGACGGCACGCTCTCTTTCGCGTACAAACGAGTGAGTGCGACGCAGGTGTACGATCAGATTTGGAAACAGAGACATGCCGAAGCTCCAGAGGAGGAGGCAAGTCGCCGCTGCCACTGAAGGGGCAATCGCGCTGCAACAGAATCAAATAAGCGCTGTTGGCGACGCTTTCGCAAGGCTCGATCAGACATACCCGCTTTCAACCACATGGTCACTGCTCTCCCGAGTGATGTCTAGTTTGAGTTTTTCCTTTACGAAAAAGACAAAAAGCTTGTCGACAATCCACTATGCAGGCCACAAAGAGTTAGCTATGAGACGACGAAGAATTCCGATCAATATGATCAATGTACCGCTGCCAGGGCGGCCAAAGCAGAGGCCAGAATTGTTCCATGCTGTAACCATCCTGCTGTACGCTGCAAGAGTCGATAATCGATCAGGTATCCGCAAGTAAGTCGTGTGATCCTCGTCGCTTACCCTGGAGTTGTTGACAAGGTGACGAAGCCAACAATGGTATACGCACAGCAGGAGAGCCAGTCCGCACAAGGTAACAGCTATCGAGGCACAATCTTGAGAAGAAATGTCGACTTCCGCTTTGTGGCATCAATAACTCACCGAGACTATGTACGAAGAAGGCGTAGAAAATCCCGTTAGGTAATTGAAGCAAGCCTTTTGAGAAGTTTCTGTAGTTGCAAAGTGAGTAGGGAGGTTAACGTATGGAACATCTCGCGACCCACGTGAATCCGATGTCATCTACTAGAGCATCCATGGTGTACCCGAACTTGGCAGCTGAGCAGCGAGCACTTGCAGCAGCGACGGAAGTCAGAACGTGAGCGGAACCTTCTTGTGTGGAAAAGAGCACTGACATTTCGTCACTGTTCATCACACACCAACCCCAAACGCCAAACAGACCGATCTCTTCGCCTTCCACCATGCGGTCATCGCTTTCTGCGCTTTGTCCAGCCAGACCCACTCGCGCGATACTCAGGTGGGCTCGCCACCACTCGAAAGGGACAATGGCACTTCCGACCAGATAGAAGCTGATAAGGAGAGGCAGCAAGAGTACAGCTGGCTCTACGATCCGGTGGAACCGAGGGAGCGAATGAGACGATGCGTTCGGATCTTCATATGCCTGGAGCGACTTTTGGAAACGCTCTTTCCACGTAAGTTTGGTGTCTATCGGAGTTTCAATAGAGCCCTGGACCATACTGTTCTTCTTCGAGTCAGAGATAATGGGAGAGAAGGGCTCTATTTTCGTTTCGACGTTCTCGACTTCCCGATCTTCGGATGTCTTGGACGTCCTGCGATCAGGGACCTCTTGTGTGATTCGCTTGGAGTCGGCTATCACCCGGTCTCCTGCGAGAGCCGAAAGAACTGCTGGTGGCGGAGCTTGCTTTGAATAGCGCGGGGGGGCGTCCCCAATAGGGTTTGTGAAGATAGGTAATTCCCGTTCAATGTCGGGCGGACATGGCGCGGGCCCAGCGAGGCTCTTACCATCGTCACCGGGATGACCACTCTTCAAGGCTGAGTTTCCCAGAGCGATCTTCCCGATAGCTTCGAAACCTCCCACCGAGCAGGCGGTCTGGAGAGGTGAAGGCGTCAAGTAAGCTAGAACAGTCGGGGACTCGATATTCATTTCAACAGAATCAGTCGCTTCAGATGTCGACCTAAGTTTCTGGGCGAGAGATTTCGATGTCGCTGGTATTTCGGTTGCTGTGAGGCGATGCAGAGGTCGCAACAGCGGTACAGTCCTTGCAGGTATCATTGCTGGGCTAGGGGAGGGTAGAGAGAACTTCTTCACACTGCGCCTACTAGCATTCCTGGGCGTCGGAACTGCTTCGGCGTTGTTCACGCTGACGCCCTGCGCGGGCTTCTCGCCTTTGTCGATGGGCGATGATGATGTGGCTCGGTGACCTGCTACATCCAAGGGCTCACCGTGGAGTGGTTTTCCAAACGGAGACTGGGGTCGAGATGGCCGTGATTGATCATATCTGCGACGTCCGGAGCGGGAAGATGACGGCGATGGGGTTTGCGAGTGAATGGATAGGGTAAAGGAAGAGGAAGAAGACGCTGCTGAATGCCAAGATGTTGAGGATGGGGATGGAGGGGAGGGCATCTTGAGGGTACTAGAACGGGATAGAGACGTGGGAAGCCTGGCTGGAAGACATCTCCCGACTTTAAGGCCTTGGTTTTGATCTTGCGCAGTACTCACTTGTGACACTCGCGACGACAGACAGCTAGTCTCAGGTGAAGTCTCCCGCTTGAAACTGAAACAGGACGCCCCCGACTACGGAGGCAAGTGCAGAAAGGAAGGGTTCAAAGGCAGGTAGCCTCGAAGTGCGCGCGAAATGTCGGTCGTCGTCATAGTCCCACCAATGCATGGCGATATACAGGAAGCTTTACGACTTGAGAACATTCCTCGCGTCACGATCGTTGGTTGAGCAACGACCGGAATTGTTGACGGTTCCCACTCCTCTCCTTAGCTATACCGCAATTCGATCACTCTTCACTAGACCCTATAGTCTTCCTTCGGCAAAACCTCGCCCCCCTCACCTCCTTTCGCAAGATGACGCAATCGGAACATAGCGACGTCCCGTCTAAGCTCCCTTCATCCTGGGTGCGGGTAAACTATCCGCGCTGGGACTGTTATGGAAAGTTGGTCCCGCATAGACCTTGACGTCGTCGGCGATCGATCGTTTCACAGGCTCCATGACAGCGAATCCATTCGGCGGCGCAGACATGGTATGATGCGGATGAGGTCGTTGGTCGGTGGCGTGTTGTAAGCGCTGGTTATGCTTCATCGGGGTCGCAAAGCCGGATGGGCCGCTTCGGAATTGAGCAGGAACGGCCGCCGGCATGGACCCAAAGGTTTCTTGATCCCGAATTTGAGATTTGGTGGGGGTGAAACCTTGGGTCACTCTGGCCGATGCGTTTCGCTTGTTGGTGTTTGGCGCAGCGGAAGGGGTAATAGCTTTGGCACGACGAGGTGTCTGAGTGCGTGTATTGACAGCTGGGGAGGCCAGAAGCGATTGCTGCCACTGCAAGACGATGATTTGATATTTTCTGTTGTCAATGACGGCCGAGCACAAACCCGACCCTCCGGCTGACTTACAGTGAGATCTGTCCCGCTACCTCTTTCCTGCAAGCCTGGCATCTCCCAAACGGCGCTCTCGTCCTGCAAATCACCCCTGCGTCCTGCGACATTGGGCTGACGTCTTCGATCGTCCCTGCCAGGGCGATTGATTTGGTCCCCCTGGCCTGAGCCATAACCCGAACCCGAGCCGTAACCATCGTCCGCCCTCACGTGGTCTGCCAAGTAGCTCTTTCCGCCGGGAGCGCTCTGGCTTAAAGACCTCAACTCGTGAAGCAGCCTAGCCCCAGCGTTGTTGAGGTCGCCAAAGGGACGTCCAGGGTTTGGCTCTTCGATAGGCAGTGTCCGATCGAAAGCGACTCCAGAGTCGTCATCATCCGACGCGGTCGATTCGCCGTCGTCTTCTTCGGTCAAAGGGAATCGTAGCCCGGTGCGTTTGGGGGGCTGCGTAGCCGAGTCAGACCCTGCGTCGGTGCGATGCTGAATATGAAGGTCGCCCAGAGCTGGAGCCAGCGGCACCTCGTTGACTCCAACTCCACCCCTGCCTCCTCCCCCCTTATCCTTGTCCTTGTCTTTGCGACGCTTTCGTGAGCCGCGTTGACTAGGTAGAGGTCTGGGTTCATGCTGGACAAAGGAGTCATCCCCACCTACGCCACTCTGGACGCTGAACGGCTCAGAGACGGTCCTGTTGTGGCGAGGCCGACGACTGGGATTGACGTCTTTGGAGGGAGTTGCGAGCTTGCCAAATGTAGGTGGATGATGCACGCCGGCTGAAAAGACATCGTCTTCGGTCGTGTGATCATCCGCGGCGGACCGGCCTTTGAGACCTTTGGGAGGTCTCGTTCGTCTCTTATTCTCGGTCGCCCTGTTGTGGTCCTTGCTAGTTGGCAGAGGTCCCGCACCCTCGATCACATCCCCCTGTCTGACGGCCGAATCTCGAGCAGGCCGGGATCTCGATCTTGCCGGACCATCAAGTTTCTGCTTGGGCAGGTTGATGATGCCTCGCGGGCGGTCGACGGGAGAGTCGCTAGATTCCATCTGCCTAAGTTGGGAGGCGGTGGGAAGAGGCTTGTTACGTGCTTGTCTTGAAGCTGTGTTGGAGAATTCACTATTTGCTGGTCCGGATGTTGTGTTTGGATCGCCCGAGCTGTTGTCTGCCGCGTCTCTCTCGTGCATGTGTAGTAAAGAAGGCTGCTCCTTTCTCTGTCGAGAAGATCTGTTTCTTGCCGTCTGCGGAGTTGTCGGTCTTGATGAGGAATTGCTATTGGACATTTGCTTGGAAAGTACAGGGGGTTGTGCAGGCGTAGAGGCAGCCGCTACCGAATGAGTCGTTGTTGACGGGGCCATGGAGGTGACAACGGACTTGTGACGTCGCGAGGTGTGTGTGAACTCGAGCCGAGTCGACTAATGGGGGGCCGAAAAGGGCGTACTTGATTTGCGGTGTACAAGGAAGTCGTGTGGGACAACAGGGGAAGGTGAACAAGTTGTGTATGTTGTTCGCTTGGTCATTTGTGAGCTCACAGGATGGACCGGTCCCGGATAGCTGATCGAAGTGTTTGTCGGAACCGGAAGATGCGAGTTGTGGCCAGAAGTGACGCAGTGATGCTGTCGAAGTACAGTCGGATCCTGTCCTGTTCGAGCACGGGAAAAAAGAAATAAATATAGAAGAAGGATGAGACGTGAAGAAGCTGAGTTTCCAAGGAGGGATCCAAGATGAAAGTACAGGAGGGGATGAGATTGCGATCGAGTACAATGCGTGAGAGCTGTGTCTGCGGGGGAGGGGGGGCAAAAGGACAAAAAAGCAATCCCCTGCGCGGCTCGAACGCGCGACCCCCTGATAACAAGTTGAATACCTCGTAGTCAGATATTCTACCACTAAACTAAGGGGACGTCCATAATTTCAGCTCGGTTCATTCATTTATAATAATATTTTGTTTACCCAACCCATAAGGGACACCTAAATGCCTCTCCACCGGTAAACGGGGCCGGTTGACAGATCGTAGCTTCCTTCCAGAACTTGATTGGATCACCATCTAAACCATCACTCAGAAATCTCTTGGGCCCCACCCAAGTACAAACCAAAAGCTGTTCCCAATTCAATCTGTTATTGCCATTGTGAGATGTGTTGCTATTTGTTGCAGGAATTGCCCTTGAAGGTCCTCTTGGAGAGATTTTATGACATCCCCACTGGGGTCTTCTTCTACATCTCCTATAGGTGTGTTATGGTCGTGCCTAGCGCTAGCAAAGGTGTAGCCTAGGTGGATATGTTGAGGGCAATTGTGCAAAGGCAAGTAAGGTCAACGATAAATGTAGGTTGGTACTGTCCAAGACAGGGCTTGGATCATAGCTTGTTGCTGATCTGTGAAGTGCTTGATAAGAGCATAAGGTTGTTGAGCGTGTTGGTAGTGAGGAGTAGTGTAGAGTATTAGGGATGTAACATGTGATAATTCTTCTTGGGAAAGAAGAGGAAATACATGAAGATAGAAGAGTACAATCACTCTGGTTTGGTCTGCTATATATACTAATTCATGATAGAGTTGGGGGTCTAGCTTGGTTTACTATGGTATGACCATAGTGCAACCATGGCATGGACAAGTCGGTATGACCATGATGTAACCATGGTTTGACTATAGCTATAAGGCCTCGCATTCGACTTGCGGGGTCTTGGAGTAATAAGGTCGCGGGACTGGGGAAAGGTAACGGTAGGCATAGCAATGTAATAACAGATGTCTAACTACTACAGGGTACTAGTTAGACATCTACGAGAACATCTCCTAAAAGGTCTCCGAGAGGATCTCCGAACGAGACCCCCAGGCGACACGCACCGTAGGTCACGCGTCACGTGACGCCTATAATAATAGCAGGGCGAGTTGGTATGACCATGGCAGTAGCATGAATCACCTAATTGGGCTGGTCTGTACAGCATCCCCCTGCTATGCTGCAAAGTCCCTTGAGCGGTTTGACCACTGCAACTATCTTGTGTTAGGCATCGAGAAGGCTCCAGTAAAGACCGGCTCAATGTATACCTGTGAGGACATATCTGGGAGTAATGTAGGATGTAGGTCTAGGGTATATAGATGTAATAACAGATGAAAGACTATATACTACAATGAGAATAGAAAGTGATACAATACGATATGCTCCTTGAACAGCTCTGCCAGAGTTGGCAGACTTGAGTCCGGCGTATGCGCATGTCGCTATAACATCTTGTCTGCTGCGTGGTTTGGGGTGAAGATCTGGTGTTCCAGCAAGGACATCTGGCTTTCTTCCCTGCGAACCGGGTTGATATTTGATAATAAAGGGCAGGTGCTGGAAAGTGCCTTAAAGACATTGAAACCATTCCTGGAAGCACAAGATGATGGCAAGCATCTCCTGACTGTGGATCCTGGAGTTGAATATGGTGAGATCCTCTCTCTTGAGTGGAATATGATGGGTTTGAGAATTCCATCTCTCAAGACTTAAGATAGGCTTCCAGCAAGGGCACAGTTCAAAGCGTTTGGCTCTAGGACTAGAGGCCTCTCTGGATTGAAGTGAGCCGAGAGAGTTGCTGGGGTAAAGGCATTCTGGAGTATGTTGAAGGCCTGAGAGTGTCTCATGGTCCAGAAGGGTGGGATGATTTTCCTGGTGGGGTGCGATGAGTGAGAGGATGGGTGTTACGGATTGACACAAAACCCAGAAAATCACATAATAAGATACATAGATGTAGACGTAGATGCAGACGCAGACGTAGATGCAGACGCAGATGCAGACGTAGATAGTGATGGCCACAATCAAAATGATCACGTGATCGTCTCCAAACAGACGTTTGATCATCTTGCTGAAACCATGAACGTTACCTTCTGCTGACCGTCTTAAGATGGTCAAGACGACCACGTTTGAACGTTTAAGAAGATCAAGGCGGTAAACGGTCAAAACCGTCAAATCATCTGATTAAACAAAATAGTAGTATGATCTTCGAGAAGGATCCAGAAGATTATGTCGAAAACTCTGGAGCAAAAAGTATCGATCTCTTTGAATAGATATATAAGACAAGCACTTTTGCTGATGTGCTGTAGAGCTGTCGATAGCATACATGTTCCCATGATGCCTCGAAGATGCATATGCATTCGGATGACGCCTCCAATCGGAAGCAACTTGCCTGCAAGCTGCTTGCGGTACATCTGCCAATCACGCACAGCAGGCAAAACTGCTGTAGCGTGAGTGTGAATTGAACCCAAGACCGTGGTGCCAAGGTAGCAAGCTTGCAAAAAGAAATCATAACCACTGAACCAATGTCAAGTTGTAATAAATATCATAAACGGTCAAAAGAATCCCTTTTATGCCCAAAAGTCTGTGACCGTGATCGTCTGTTTGATCTTCTAAGACGATCAAGACGATCACGTTTGACCTTTTAAGACGGTCAAGACGGTCAAAACAGATGATCAGAAGACGGTCATGACCTTCTGTTCCATGACCGTGGCCATCACTAGACGTAGATGCAGATGCAGATGCAGACGTAGACGTAAACGGTTTTGCCACCACTTTCCTAGTAAATATAGTCTTCCGGAATTAGAATATATAGCTGGCCAATCCAGCCTGATTGTACACTCCCTTTTGTGCTCTCTCTTCTTCCCCAAGAAGAATTATCATATGTTACATCCCTAAACCTTAGTGTAAGGACCCCTGGTGGGGGTCCTCCGGGACAGGCTGACGGGGTGCAGGAATGAGGCAAGGTAGGGGTAGACATCTAAATGTAATAACGGATGTAGATCTATCACAGAGGTACTAGATCTACATCCAAACAATAATACCGGAAAGTACCCCTGGCGGGAGCCGTCTACAGGGGTTGTGCACGGCGTGTTTGGCGCGTCACATGACACCTATACCACTTAGCCACCCAATAATCTCTCACTACTCAACACTGGAGCTCTCGTCAAGCTCTTCACGGTCAGCAAGCAGATTGCGCACCAAGCACTTACCGTTGAGTATCTCTGCCTTAGCCCAATTTCTACTGACGCTTTCCACCTAGGCTAGCCTTTCGCTACCACTAGGCCCGACCTCAACAATGGGCAATGTAGGAGTATGATGTGCTGAAACACCTGTAGAAGGTACAGAATCCAAGGAAGTATCTGTTACGGGATCATCACGTGAGTCGACTACCGGCACACAGGGTCGTTCTACGGACATCAGCATACACCTAAGTCCGGCTCGACGAGGCGAACCCGATTCCCTCGGAGCAGATTTGGTCGCCCCTACCATTCGCCTTCACCATTCACCGAAACGACAAACCTTCCCGACACATATCACAAACAGGTACAGGGACCTCGAGGTACCAGACAACCTTACTCGATGTACCTAGGGACAATGCAAACCCAAACTTGCCTCCTCTATCGAATCCGGTTGCTCTCGACAGGATTCGTTTGTTTGCCATCTCTCGTCGTTCTATTGTTCTTGGATCTTTTCAGTGTTCGCCACTCTCTTCTCCGTACTCGCCTCCGTATAAATAGCTAGAGGAACTTGACCGAATTCAATAGAGGACGCTATTAGGGAGGAGGACTAACAGTCTACGCGGGGCTAGGTCTGAGGATAATGATGTAATAACGGATGAAGTATATACATACTATTATAGGCGTCACGTGACGCGCGACCTACGGTGCGCGTCGCCTCGGGGTCTCGTTCGGAGACCTTTTAGAAGATGTTCTCGTAGACGTCTAACTAGTACCTTGTAGTAGTTAGACATCCGTTATTACATTACTATGCCTACCGCTACCTTTCCCCAGTCCCGCGACCTTATTACCTCAAGACCCGGCAGGTCGGTGTTAGAGATCGACGCAGCCGAGACGCGGGACGCGCCGAGACTGTCACGAACCTAGTAACACCCGACGACAAGGTATCACGAAACACGATTCGACATCGGGTCCGTCTACAACCAGCCTTTGACACGTCATGGAGGTTATCACGCGCGACGAATCACGAAACACGAATCGACAAGCGCGCGCGCGCTTCAGCATCCGTCATCTCGTTCATCCCGACACTTGACACGTCATGCGATTCACAAATCGACCTTGTCAAGTTATTCGAGGTAACCGACCTCACCGGAGGTGACAGGTACAAGGACGAAATCAAGAACGATACGTTGGGGAAACCGACATCGAAGGAACGGACGTCTGCCTACACAAAAGACGAAACGACCTTAGACAGGGACGGGAAGTAATTACAAGGTTCAACACAGGGACGGAAGACGAATCGACAATCGTCGATCAATAAAAGACAAAAGCAAAAACAAGGAACGATATCTGACTTAGACGATACGCCGGTGATTGAAAGACATTGAGGATCGACCACCGACGTTCTCCACCTTTGCCAAAACAACGGCGGACGATTCACCAAGATGAGAAGGACGTAGGACGACCTTAGCATTGAATCGGGTAATGTGACGGACCTTAGAGAACAGACGGGGACCTAGGTGAAGTCAACAGCAGGCGTGCTTTCCCTTTCCGGTTTACTCGAGTAAGGACGAAAGACGATTCGTTGGACAATCGTTGGGGAAGCACGAAAGGAGAAACGAGCGCAGTACTTATAGCTCGATAGGATAGAAGAACGATAGCAGTTGTACCCTTTCGACTAGAAGTTCAAGCTCGTTATTACATTCGAATCTTAGCATACGCTAGACGAAGAGGTTACAAACAAAGACTACAGAACAACATTTTCCACCGCCTTACCCCTTATCGAGCACGCAGTGCACGGCTACTCGTTAAGTACACTTCCCTATTTCTTTACCCCTGCGTACGACGAAGTGGTATTGGTTCTGAGGTCGATACGTAGGACGAATCGACTATCGCGACTAGCTACCGCACAGAGACCTACACGAGTGACGATTATCGAATCGTAGTAACCACTCACACCAACCG